GGGGGGAAGACGTACAGTTGCCGTCGTTCCAGAGCCAAGTCATGCCGCGCATACGGTACACGTTGTCGCCCCAAAGTCTGTGCGCCTCTTCGGCCTGGATGAAGATGATTTCGCCGCCGGTAGGTTCGCGCGCCTGCTCGTTCCCAGGCTCGCTGTTGGCACCGACACCAGTCGAGGTCAGCTTGCGCAGCTCAGGCCAGGCGTCACGGCTAGGTCTGGGGGTCAGCGACGAAGCAACCACGACGCACGAAACGACATAAAGTTGCCCATTGAAGATGTACAGCTGCTCAAACATGGTCCACCCTGGAGTGTGGCCCAGCATCTTGGTGTTGAGGTGCTTGAACTGCTCATTGTCGGACTCGGTCGAGGCAGGGTCGCGAACGAAGCCGACCTTCTTGACCGTCTCCTCGAAAGAGACTGACTGCGGTGGGGGGCAATCGCTCTTTCCGCTACTCCACAGACTTCCCAACGAGCTCATTCGTCCTCGTTCTGCCGAGCGCGCCGCGTCATAGGCAGGTTGTGAGCGGGTTGGTGTTCCGAGCCAGATGTAGGCGACGCCGAGGGTCATGAGCACGATCATAAGATCGCGACGCGACGGGCGTAACCCGCGCGAATATGGAGATGGCATGGGGAGGTGGGAGGGGGGAAGTGGGTGAAATGCGATGGACGCGACAACGTGCCTCGACGTGTCGCGGTTGAAGGTTGAGAGTTGAGGCTGACCAAGGAGATGCAAGTCAGGCGACCGGGAGCGACGAGGTATAAGTAGTGTTTAGTTGAGAGGACCAGGCTGAGTCGGCTGGGGGGTCGTGTGTGGAACAATGTGATGATGAAAGGTTTGAGAGGATGAGAGGATGAGAAAGTGAGAAGAAGAAGAAGATAAATGTGACTGTTGCGAGGTGTGGATGATGAGTCGACACGCGCAGGAGGAGGGGGGCCGAGGAAGGTGAGCGGTGAGCGGTGGGAGATCTGGGGACGGGTAGATTTGTGCTACCGGGATGGTTCAAACGTCAAACCACCCCTGGACGACATTTTGCTGCTGATCGTCCCTCACACGCCCTCAACTTTGTTCCTCGTTTTCGCCCCCCGTCCTCATCTGCCAGCTGCGATTCCTCCCAAGCCAAGGCAAGCAAGCCAACCAGCCAGCAAGCCAGCAAGCCAGCATTGCTTGCATCGCCGGGCTCGATCGCCGCCCCGAGGATCCGAGGGAGCTGTAGCGAGCAGGCGCCCGGCGGAAGGGGGGATGCCCTTGAGACTGACGCGCCTACAAGACAGCGGTGCGGTATGTCGAACATGGGCGGGGGCTGCATAGCTTGTTATGGGCTGCCCGTGGTCAAGCCCGGCTCGGCCCGTGATTACATGTCCCATTCAGTTCATCCAAACCCTTTGGCTCCTCGAACCGTCCCGGCTCCAGGTCGCTCCTGATTCCAAAGCCAAAGAACCCCGTCGTCCCTGCAACCGCCGCCTCTCTGCCTCTCCGCCTCTCCGCCTTGCCGCCTGCCTCGCCGCCTCGCGCCGCCTGAACTGTGCAGCCTCGACTCGCGCGCCCCGCTGCCCATGCCCGGTCTGTCCTGCAAATCCTTTGAACCGTTGCCGGGGCATTCATCCTTTCATCCACCCACCGGAAATATAGACTGTTCGCACGCCGTGCACGCCGCCGCGCTCGCGCCGCGAATAGTCAGCCAGATTGCTTGAGCAAATCGTCCGACACTGGATCAAAGTATCCGCAGAGGAGGCGCATGTGGCGACACTGTCGTTGTGCACGCTGTTGGGAGAGATCCTGAGGATGACTATAGGAGCGTATGCGCACAGAACACCACACGTCACACCTGAATAGTTCAAAGGCCTACAGTACCAGGAGACAGGCCGAACAATGGTAACCCGCAATGTGCAGATTGCGAGGGGCGCTCTCAAGCAAGATGACATTATTGAGATGGCGTACAAATGTTCTGTGGAAGATGGATGTGACATCAGCAGGTCGATCGTCGATCACCTGCGCCCTTTCCAATAATTCCTTCAATTGAGCATCTGAGCATTCCAATATTCCAACGTGATCAAAACGAGGCTCTCGGTTATCGTCGGCCATTGGAATAATCCAGCTGCCCCACTTCGTCGTTTTTGTTCCCGAAATTCACCCTCCACGTGGTATCTATCCGCCAACAGTCCCACGTGGGTGTGCCTGTGAAGTACGCGCGCCTTGCGTACCTGCGTGCCTGCAAACCTTCTACCCCCAGTTAGGCGCGGAGAGTGAACCCTTCGCCCCACTGCCCAAGGACCCAGCACCGCTGCAGTGAACGACCCCCGTTGCTTTCGCCGGATGCCCACAACAAGAGTGTTCAGAGTGGGACCGTGGGTCCATGTCGCAGACTCTCAGGAGGCAGTAGGCCGGCCGAAGCCGAGATGGAATCAATGAGATCAAGCCCAGGAGCGCAGGAGCAGCTGCACGCCCGCGGCGGGATGCGGCAGGCGGCAGGCAGCAGGCGGCAGGCGGCATTGGCAGCAGGCAGAATGCAGAATACAGGGTGGAGTGCAAAGTGGTATGGGAGGGGATGGTCACCGACCCAGACGCAATCCTCACTCAATCACTCAATAGCCATCACCAACCGCACAACCATCTGTCAATATCATCCATCCACCCATCTCTTTCATCCCATCCTTCTGTCTTTGCTGTCTCAACATCCATCCATCTCTCGTCCCCTCCCACCCCTCCCTCCATCTGGCACCCACACCCATCCTCCGAATGCTCCACCACGCCTAGTGCCCCTCCAACCCCCTCCCCCATCAAAAGCAGCACCTTCATGTCGGCCCTCCAAGGTCAGAGGCCACCTGCAGGTGCTCAGCCTGGGCAATCGTCCGCCGCTGGGCCCTCGGCATCCGCCCCCTCCGGCCCTCTGCACGAACAGCCCCAGCCCGTTGCTTCCTCTTCCCGCAACCCTCAGCTTGGGCCGCACCCATACTTCCGCTACCCCACACCTACGCCCGACCAGATCGAAGAGGAGCTTCCTCCGTACTGGGAGGACGAGAATGTTCCCCTAGGGCCGCTGCTTGACCGCCTTGCGCGTAAGAGCTACAGCGACATGCGCACGCTTGTCGAGAAGACGTTCGTCTCTCGCTCCTGCGAAAACTGACGCCAGGTTGCCTCCACTCGCACCACGACAGAAACCAAAACATGTCATTGAGTATGCCAAAACAACGCGCCAGGCCGTCCTCAAGTACCTCGCCGTACTCAGGTGGAAGATGAGCGTGGATCTGGCGACCACCACGCAACCGCACGCGAACGGATTGCCAGCTGCGGCTGCCTTCCCCACGCCGCACTCGAATGGCGAGTCGAACAACACTTCCCCTGTCGCGTTCCCATCAAAGGGCAAGGGCCGCGTTGATGGCACCGCTGAGGAGCCCGTCGTGCGCGGCAAGGTCACTGATGCGAGACGAATCCAGCATTTCCTCGAGCACCAGAACCAGCAGCAGGAGGCGGCGATCACCCACATACGACATGTGACTGGTATGATCGACATGTTGCGGGAACGCAATGCCGACCTCCTCACTGCGCTTTCCTTGCAATCCACGGGAACTTATTCTCGACTGCCTGCGCAGCTCATGGAGGACTGGGTACCGCGCGCACCGCTCCAGCCACCGGCAGTCCTGGCCAACATAGAGCGGCTGAACGAACACACGCGCTACAGGTTGCGTTGTGTCGACTACGTCCCTCCCGATCTGGTTGTGGAGCGCGTCGCCGATGGACGCGTGTACGCTCGCGGTGGAGGAGAGAACGGCTGGATCGCACAGCTGTCCCTCGAAGGGTTTGAAGAGGACAGCAAGTGGTGGCTCTGCGGCTTTGAGTGGGCCTGGAAGGTTGATGGGGCTGAGTCCCCGAAGCCATTCTCCACTCCAGAGCTCAACCAGATTCTGGCCATGTGCAATCACGAGGTACTTGCACCTCAAGAGGGGGAAGGGGACAACGTCGATGAGGGCGATGCCAATGCCGACAAGGCGAAGGTGGACGCTCCACTTGTACGGGTGTACAATTTCCTGCGTAGGTGCCAGCCATCATTGTGTGACTGACGTCAGAACATTTGTCGCTTGCGTATCAGCTTGAGGTGCTCTACTCGCAGGCTCTGGCCATGACACAGGGACGATGGCGGGGGCAGCTTCAGGTTGAAATCGACCGCACCAAGAAGGAGCTGCGACTGAGGTACTGGATGTGAGTGTTGGCGAGAGACGTAGCTGACAGCAGCCGACAGCGGACCCAAGCACCACCAGTTGCCGCGCCAGGGGTGAAGCGACCTCCCCAGGCGCCGACCGTGAGCTCTGTCAACAACCAGCGGCCAATGGTTGGCGGGACTCTGACCTTTACGCTGGCAGAGGCTACATCGCCGATGAGTGAGGCCGAGCGGGTGTTGCGAGAAGTCGCTGTGTGCGGGGCCGAGCCAGCAGACCGTACGGTGCGGTTTGAGTTGGGAATCAAGTGGGAGGTTGGTGAGGCGGGAACGGGCGGCGGACTGAAGGCTGGTGAGGCCATGGACGCGTCGGGCCTGAAAATCGTAAGTCACGGCCGCTTTGCAGTGGAATATTCATGCTAATCAAAAGGACCCATCATCTTTGAGCATGAAGGGGATCGTCACGGCCGCGACGAGAGCGCACGCTGCACATCTGTCACGGGTGAACACCACGCCGCTCTTGACGAACGAGCGACTCATCCTGGATCCACTCAACCCTCCGCGGATGGAGGAGTCGGAGTCGTCAAGTACACGACCAGTCTCCCTCGTCGTGCCCTTGCCGTCTCGCGGACAGCTGTCCATTGCGGTCTCTTCGATCTCTGGGCTACTCGAGATCGAAGATTCCATTGCGCGTGACAATGGGCAGGTCATGGAGAACAACCGCACATTGCGGGCGAAGCTGGCGACTAACTCGTCCAACGAGCAGAAGACGCGGTTAGCCGACGACGTGTACCGGTTGGTGTCCGCCATTATTGTGGAGGATATCGAGGACAATCTGCGTCAACTTGGTTTGCACCCCCTGCGCCGCGTCGCCTTGCGAACCAATGACCTTTCCAAGACGGACTTGCATCCGTCTACGACTGTCTTTGTGCCACTACCCGTGTCACAGAACCACTACTTCGTCGCCAAGGTCACGACCAAGGGCATTGCATACGAGTTGCTCAAGCTCTTGCGTGTGCCCATGGAAGGCAATGGAGGCATGAAGATGTCAGTTGGCGAGAGGATCCCCATCGACCTCGCCAAGTTGGTCGAGCGACGGGCTGCCAAGGGCGCCAAGCGCAACCTCGATGGCGAGGAAACGAGTGCAGACATGGCTATGCTCAAGTGGGAGAGTGCGGCTGGAAAGAGCGGTCCCTTCCAGGTCCACGCCCGCGACCTACGTGACATGTTCACTTACTGCAACGCCCTTGTCGCACAGACTATGGTTGAGCAGCAGCTCAAGGACCGTGGAATTCCTTACACAGCTCAGTTCCCCGACGAGGACGACTTTGCGGTGCCGCGCAGCCGCTCGGCGCTCGCGGGCATGGTGCCGAACCTTTGCGTCAATGCGAGCCACCTGTTCAAGGATGGGCGTGCGGCCGAGGTCGCGTCGCCCAAAGTTTTCCTTGTCATCAAGAATTGGTGGTCCGGGTCACAGTGCAATGTCGAGACGATCGTGCGCCTTCGCCACCAGCCATCTCTCGACAGTCAGCCCGCCGCGCCAGTGGCTCGTGCCTCCGACGCCGGGCGCGCAGAGGGCATTACGTTCGATCAAAACACTCTCACTGTGCGCTTCCACGCGCCGAGCATTGCGCGCTGTGTACCTGATTTCCTCGAGCAGTGGGAGCGCCTCAGCAAGGTCATCGTCGTCGCAGGGGAGGGTGAGTTTGCGCTCAGCGACGGCCGACTGACACCAGTCAACCGCCTTAACAAGCAAGAGGAGTTCCGGGACATCCGCATGCTCTCCTTTGACCTGTGCACGGCGAGTGTGCAGTATGCACCTGGGTTCAACGTGGCGATAACGTACACACCAACGTCGGACTCGTACGAGGCGTCCTTCTCTCGTACAGCGGTGCACGGTGCGACGCCGGCCCTGGGAGGACCGCATAGCGATGGCGGGGACAACCCACACGCGGCACTGGCTCCGCTGCTGTCGGCCCACCTGAACGAGCTTACGCAGCTCGCACCGGTGGGCGGGCGCGGCCACGCGGGCCGCGACTTCTTGCAGCTGCTGCGCGCGACCCTTCCGCTCCTTCTCGAGGCGGAGGCGCTGCGCGTGGCAAGCGCAAGCCCGTATCCCGCGCTCGTGGTGCGCAGCGTGATGGAATACAGGCTGGTGTGGGACCACGAGGCGAAGACGCCTGCGCGGTATGCCCTCGATGTGCTTCTCACGCAGGCTGGCAGTGCGCGCTTCCTGCTCTGCGACGCGACGCGGCGCAAGGATGTCCCAGAGGACCTGACGTGCGGGCCGCTCACGCCTATCCCGAACATTGCCAACGCCATGCTCAAGGGGTTCCAGGCTGCCAAGATCGCCAAGGTGTCGACGCCGAGCGGGCCAGCGGGCACGCCGCGCACGCCCAACCCCAAGACGCCAGGGAAGGGTATCACGCCCAAGGAGGCCCGCGTGAAAACCATCACGCCTGTCATGCCGCCCGCTGCGCGCCTCGATGGCGGCGAGAGCATGATCTGCTCGCTGGGGGTCATGCACGAGGTACTGCGTGCGATTTCGAACGAGATTGAGATCTCCATCGGTGGCGTACCTATGGGGCCGGGGAGTGCGCGGGGTTAGAGGAGAGAGGAGAGAGTCGGTCACATGCATTGCATTAGCATTGTTAGTGGAAGAGGTGTCTGGTCTATTGCTGCATACTGCTACTGACGATCACTGCGCGAACGGGTTCTCGATTTCTGCTGTCAGTCCTGGTTTCCACAATTCGCTCACCGGCCAGCCCGTCGGTCGGGGAGATGAGCACGACGTTGGGGCCGCGGAGGACGACAAGGCCGAGCGTGCGCTCTGGCATCTCATTGTCTGGAGTCAGCGAAGTCGGTGGGGGAGCTCACTCTCGTAGTGCTCCACGACGTCGTCCATTACGAGGTTCATGAGCTGGTCGTACCCCTTGAGCGTGCCGGTAACTGGATGTCAGCATCCACGCGTTGAGTAGGTAAGAGGGTATCATCTGAGACGAAGAGATGGGAATGACGGTGACAACTCTCTTCCTCGAGCGGTCAAGAACGGCTGGACTGCGACCCACCCGCTCTTCGCATATAGCAGCCGTCGCAATCCACGCGCGTGTATTGCATCCTTCATGCACCCCACCCCTCTACCCTTCGCTTCGTGCACTCACCAGCCCGACCACCTTGCAGCGTAACGCGGATGCTCTTGTCGACATACAACGCGAGGTTGAGGATCGCCTCGCGCTTCTTGCGCTCCTCGGGGCGTCCGCCGCCACGTCCACCACGGTGTCCTCCTCGTCCCTGGTCGTCAGCCCCTCCGCACCGATACGTACTCTTGATGACATTGTTGTGCTAGAATGGAGAGTTCAGGAAGGTCATAACATAACACGAAGTAAGTTGTTGCCATGAGTTCGAGCGGGAGCAATTCGAGGCAGGCACTCCACGATCCGTCGAAATCGCCCTCGAGCTTCGACAGCTCGCCTTCGTCATCTGTCGCGACGAGCAACAACATGTCTCAAGACCTCTCGTTCAAAGGTGAGATTCGTGGCGACAGAGCTGACGCCAGCACTCAACCTGCTTAGCCGTGAGCGTGCGGTCTACGGCCTGCGCAACGGCGACTATGAGCGGTATCGGTGAACCTTCCTCCGTTTCTCTCGCTGACGCCAGCCACCACTGCGCCAACAAGCTCCATCGCCTGCGTCAGGTGACGGGGCTCACGAACGGCAAGGGCAAGCAGTTCAAGAAGGCTCCCGCGGTTACGGCTGAGACGGCGACCGATGTCCGGTGAGCTGGGCCTAAACGGACGACAAGCCGCCCCGCTGACACCAGCCACCTCCACCTCGTCCTCTTCTCCGCCGAGCGCGCTCTCGCGTACTCGCACGAGCTCAAGGCTTTGGCGGGCAAGCCCAACGCTCCCCCCTCGACGCGCCGCGAGCAGATCTCGTGGCTGCGTCGTGCGCACAAGCTCGCGTCATCGTTGCACGAGATTGCGCGCACCCTCGCGACCTCCGACCGCATGAACCAGCGCACCCTCGCCGAGCTCACGATCTACCACCTGAGCGTGCGTGTCGAGCTGTCGTTTGAGCGCGGCGCATACGCCGAGGTCCTTGCTGAGCTGGCCGCCCGCCGGCGCCTGCTTGATACCCTCGCTGGCGCTGCCCGCGACTCGTACGACCAGGCGCTTGCGACCGAGTTCATCGACGCTTACGACCCGCTGATCCGCTTCAGCGCGTACAAGCTTGGCCGTGCCGAGTCGCACGACATTGACGGTGTCGTTGCCGACATCGACGCGGACATGATGGAGGAGGCGTCGCCGGGCCTCGGCAAGCTTGTCGAGTCGCTGCGCGCCGAGACGGGCGCGGCGGAGCTGGAGGCTGGCCGCCGTACGCTCGAGGATGTCGAGTTCGCGGGTGACAAGGTCGAGTTCCGCAATGCCGAGCTCGTCGCCGCCATGATCAAGGTCCAGGAGGCGCTCGGCCGTATCAACAAGAGCGCCGGAAAGGCGACGGGTCGTGGGGGCATGAAGGGTTGGGACCGTGTTCTCGGTGTTCTCGGCGAGGCTGAAGGCACCGCCCGCCACCTCCTTGACGACCATGAGGCGACGGCGAACAGCACGCTGCGCTCTACGCGCACCACTGAGAGCTTGTCGCTGGCCCACCAGTACATCGTGTTCCTGCTGTTGAGCCACCGTATCCGCCGCGACCTGCTGCTTGTTGACACGCTCGCGTCTGGACCGAGCAGCTTGCCGGCCGACCCGACGGTCTTCAAGGTGCCCGGCGGGCGTGTCAAGCTCGAGGAGGCTGTCAAGGGTCTTGCGGCAGTCATTAAGCTGTACGACACAGTGCTGCAGTCGCTCTCGCAGGCGCGTTCCCTCGCGATCGTCGAGGAGAAGGACGGCGTGCGTCGGGCTGCCGAGGCTGCTGAGGCTTACTTCTCCGCCACGCGGTGCTACAACCTCGCTCGCCTGCACTGTGTGCACCCCAGCCCGTCTTACGCATCCGCCGTGCAGCTGCTCGAGCGCGCAGCGCGGAACGTGGCTAGTGCTAGCGACGCTCTGAAGGAGGGCGGGCTCGCTGAGGAAATCGTCCCGTTGTCCAAGGAGCAGGTGGATGCGCTGGGCGAGAGTGTCGAAGCTCTTTCGCTCGCCGCCAAGCGAGCACTCTTCGCCCACGCCGTCACCAAGCCTGTGTTCTACGACTCAGCATTCAACTACATCGACCTGCCGATGGAAGAGCTCCTCGAGAAGGCTGGCAAGGGGCTGCCGAAGAAGGAGAAGTCATCCGCCCCGGCGCCCATTGTCGCGCCAGTCCCTGCGAAAGCTGTCAAGGCGGGGCCGTCGTCTCCCGTCAGAGAGAAGCGCGAGGCAACGCCACAGCCCGCTCTCAAGGACGAGGAGGAGGCGCCCGCCGCAGGCAAGAAGGGTGGCTGGCTCGGAGGCTGGTTTGGCCGTGGCTAGGTTAATACTATCTGAGCATGCATCTCAAGATAAGATTGCACATGTTGCGTATGTGCGAGCAGAAATGAGTCCCAGAGCCCTCGAGGCGAGATCCGACGAGATTTGGATCACTGCGGGGTGATTACGTAAATTTTCCCCACCAACAAACCACTCTCCTGCGTCATGGCGCCTCTCCTGCACAACCACACATCCACCATGCCACCCCCGAACCAGCGGCGCCGTGCGCGCGGCGGGCGAAACCGTGGCGGCGGCGATGGTGCCGGTCCCGGTACCAGCTCCGGTGGTGGCGCAACGGAAGCGAACGCGCTCGGCGCGAGCACGAGCACGGCCGACACGACCTGGAGCGGCAGCCCTGGAAAGAGCGCCGTCGAGCTCTACAAGTGGGTCGTGCAAGGACGAGCTGACAGCAGGGATGCGCAGGCGGCGAGTGCCGAGCTCAAGAGCCTGATGCAGAGCCAGCCGCCGTGGACGCGAGAGGCGGATGCCGTGCGGCAGCGGTGAGTCTCGCGCTAGGTCCGATAGTCCGGCCTGCTGTGCCATCGCAGTCGCTGGCGCAACGCCAGGACAACTGTTTGCCACTGTGCTGTCTACATCCTTCTTCTTTCTCGACGCCCCCTCCCCCCGTGTCTCACGCTGCGCCCGCCCGCTGCGCTTGCGTGGATCGGCGCCCCTCCGGCTGACCGCAGTGCGCGCAACACCTACCTCGCCGTGCTCTTCCAGCACCCGCTCTCGCCGCATGCACAGACGCTCGACAGCCTGTGGCTCAACACTACATACACGCTAATCCAGGCGTACCGCGACGTCGTGGGGCGCGTCGAGGCGTCCCTCCCCCCGCGCAAGGGCAAGGACAGCGCAGACCTGCGCCGCACCCTCGCGCGCTTCCGGCAGGCGCTGGGTGCCGAGGACGCGTTTTACCGCGGCCTCATTGGGCGGATCGTCGCGTTCTACCGCTTGCAGGATCGTGCGGCGGACCACCTCGCGCTGGCGGGTGTGCCCGTCCCCGAGGCGGAGGAGGGCGACGAGCCGCCCCTGTCGCGCGAGGAGGCGGAGAAGAAGCTCGGGCTCGTGTACAAGGGTCTCATATGTCTCGGCGACCTCGAGCGCTACAAAGAGCAGTACTCGGAGAAGGCGCGTAGAGATGCGCGCGACGGTGTGGCGCAGCGCGACGCGAAATTCGACCGCGCCGTCATGTACTATGAGGTGGGGCGGGGACTGCAGCCGGACAATGGTGAGCCGCGGCCATGACGACACTGACGACAGGCATGGCGTTTAATCAGCTCGCCGTGATAGACGGATACCTGGGCGACCACTTCCACTGCACATACCACTACTTCCGGGCACTGGCGGTGCGCCAGCCCTTCCCGGGTGGCGAGGTGAATCTCGAGCGCGTGCTCAAACGCGCATTTGACCGGTGGCGAGTGGCGCGTCACGAAGGCGACGCCTCGCCGGCTGACGGCCTCGAGGCCTTCCGCCGCGATCTGCTGGTTATCTGCGCCATCCTGTTCCTGAAGGCCAGCACGTCCCATGTGTCACACATGAGCAACGTACTCTGCGAACAGTTTGCACGTAGCTTGCGCGCACGCAAGCTTCCCTCGGAGACGATTGTCAAGACGACGGCCATGGCCATCGGCTCGCACTGGTACTGCCGCTTGGACGCGAGCCGCGGCGGCCCCGCAGCGGGTGCGGATCCGGCCGAGACCGCCAAAGCCGAGCGTCGGCGGTTGGTCGAGGATCTCAGCCTGCGCTTCCTGTTCACTGTTTACACTGCGCTCGTAAGCGTGACCGCCGTGGAGGTGGAGGAAGCGCTGGCCGCCAGAGCAGGAGAAGACGAGAGTGCCATCGCAGACGAGGACGACGATGATGTGGACACTGTCCTCGCCCTCGCGGCCAGAATTACAGCCGTGGTGCGCCGCATTCTTCCGAGTCTGCGCATCATGAGCCGCTGGCTCAAGAGCCACCTCGAGTATGTGAACCGCGCGGCTCACGGTTCCAACCCCGAGCTGCGGAGCACTATTGAGACTTTCTGGACCGAGTACAAGCGCCTCATGCTGGGCCTCGCGCGCCTCTTCCCACTCGTACAGCTGCCGAGCCTCGACGGACCCCTGGAGGAGGACGTGGACATGCGCGGCTTCCTACCCTTGCGTCGCGGTAATGCAGAGGAGAGCGTTGAGCCGCAGCGCGCCGACGTACACCCAAACGAGGAGCAGCTCATGCGGATCGCCGATCTCCTCGTCGACGTCAAGCTGCTGATGCAGACTGAAGCAGGCGCGTCGGTGCTCAGCGATGGCTTCCCGAGCGCGCCGTTTGTGGCCGGCAACAGCGAGACGGCGAGTGTCAGCGTCGCAGAGACGGAGGACGACCCGGTCAACCTCGCGATGCGGGCGGGGCTTATGGAGGGCAGTACGGTAGACGATAGCGGCGACGACGAGGTGATCATGTGGGAGAGGACGTGAGTTAGACACGCAAACCGACGAGCTGACCACAGCACGTCGATAGTGGAGCAGTCAGCGCGACTTGGCGCGCATGGTCCGCAGACCACTACGGCGCAGGATCTCCTTCAGAACCTCTCGCTCGCACCACACCCACCTCCCGGTAGTGGCAACAACGCACTTCCTGCGCCCATGCTCTTCGGTGGTGACGGCGGCAGCATCTGGGCAATGAGCCGCGAGGAGTCGCAGAAGGGTGCACAGCGTGCGCAGCGCACCACCCACGCCCACGCCGTGCCGTGGCAGAGCGAGAATCAGCAAGGGCACAGGCTATCCAACCCCGCGATCTTCGAGTTTGCCCAGCCGCCACAGGCGCAACAAGCACCACAGGCGCAGGCGCAGCAGTACGGACACCACGGGGGATCGTACTACCAACAGTACGCTGGGGCACATGCGGCTGCGCACCCCTCCAGTGCGTGGTCGACGCCTGCACCCGCCCAGCAGAGCCAGCTGCCGCACTCGGGACAGCACGCCCAGCCATCGTTGTACTCTAGTCAGTCGGGGCAGCACTCTGCTCAGCACTCTGGCCAGCACTCTGCTCAGCACTCCGGCCAAAACTCGGCCCCCCACTCTGCCCCTCACTCGGGTCAGCATTCCGGTCAACACTCGGCCCCACACTCTGGCCAACCGACACCGCATTCCGGCCAACACTCGGCCCCGCACTCAACGCAGCCCTCCCCGCCGTCATGGCGCCCGCGCCCGGCGACGCAGTCCCAGAACATTTGGGGCCCGCCCGAGGGAGGCAGTATCTGGAGTGGCGGGCAACGCACGGCCAGCTCCGCGGGCTGGGGCTACCGTCCCGGGTAGCACGAGCTCAGCGCCAATCATGGAGCATCTGACGGGAGCAGGTATCTCGGCGCGGCTGATCCTTCGTACGAGCCGCGAGACAGCGAGGGGGACGCTGCACGCCGAGGCAGACCCTTCTTGCGCGATATCAGGCCCACTTAGCGAGGGTAAGAGGCGTGAGAACGTGAGCGAGCGAAGGGACGTGAAGCGTCGATCAGATCGTGAGATGTGAGACTTGGATGGTGATGCAGCGAGTGGAGATGTGTGATTACTTGAGCACGGATGTGTTGTTGAACATCAGCGATTGGGATGCGCTCGCCTCGCGATGCAAGTCCACATCATCAAGACTGCACAATGTCCGAAATTTACTACATGGCGGCCGTGGCGGACTCGGATATGCCCGTGTACCGGCCGGTGTCCCGGTTGGGAGCCATCTATAGCCGGGTTGACGCTTTTCGCTGACACTTTTCTGCAGACAAGTTCGGGCTCTGGGGAGCCGGTGGGGAATGCGTCGCGTGGCTCCTCGGCCTGGCGAGGGAGACCCGCTGTGCAGAAGGCAAGTAGAGCAGAGGCGGGGAGGCCGAGGAGGCCCTTCTGACCCTCGAGGCACCCCAGCCGCCCGCCTTGATGTTGCGGCCGAGGCCGTTTGCGCTGCGAACTCTGCCCACTTGACCGGCACGCCTGGGCCGGTACCCGCTCACCCCCCCAGCCCCGCTACATAAGATCGGTGGACGGGCTCGTGTCCCCCATCCTTCACACAGACTGCATAATGGCTTCCCGCATCCAGACCGTCTCCGAGCACCTCAAGGGCGACAACCGCGCGCGCCTGTTCGCTAAGAACGCCGACGATGGTGAGTTTGTCTTTGCTGTGCCGCTGTAAAGCTCGACAGCTCGCCGGCTCGGTCGACAGCAAAACCCCCCAACCCCGCTGGCTTCGCTCACACCCAGTCGTCATCACCTGCGCCAAGCGCACTCCCCTCTGCAAGGCTCGGAGGGGCGCGTACAAGGACACGACCTACGACGAGCTCCTTTACGCCACCATGGTCGCCGCCAAGAACTCGATTGGCATCGACACTTCGCTCGTTGGCGACATCTGCGTTGGCACCGTGACCACCCCCAACGCGCCCAACACCGCGCGTCTCGCCGCCCTCGCCGCCGGCTTCCGTAAGTTTTCCGGCCGCTTGGCGTTTCCAGAGTCAGCGCTGACGCCGCAGCCAACACCGTCCCTTGCCAGACCATCAACCGCTTCTGCTCGTCGGGCCTCATGGCCGTCTCGACCATTGCGAACCAGATCCGCAACGGCGAGATTGAGATCGGCTTGGCTGTCGGCTACGACGACCTGACGCACGACAACGGCAAGTCGTTCGGCTTCTCGGACGAGGTCCTCCGCACCCAGGAGACCAAGGACGCGCTCCAGCCCATGGGCTGGACCGCCGAGAACGTCGCGGGCGACTTTGGCATCTCGCGCCAGCGCATGGACGAGTGGGCGCTCAAGTCGCACAACCGTGCCGAGAAGGCCGACGCCACTGGCGTCTTCGCCGACGAGATCGCCCCCGTCGTCGTGCCCCAGAAGCAGAAGGACGGCTCGAAGAAGTACGTCGAGGTGACGCGCGACGACGGCATCCGGCCCGGCACGACGGCCGAGTCGCTGGCCAAGGTCCGCCCCGCGTTCCCGCAGTGGGCGCCGGGCCACTCGACGGGCGGCAACGCGTCGCAGATCACGGACGGCGGTGCATTCGTGCTCATGATGACGCGCCGCAAGGCGCAGGAGCTCGGCCTCCCCATCCTCGCCAAGCACGTGGCCACCGTCGTTGCCGGCCTGGCCCCGCGCATCATGGGCATCGGACCCGCGTTCGCCATCCCCAAGCTCTTCGAGCGCACCGGCCTCGGCAAGGACGACGTCGACCTCTTCGAGATCAACGAGGCCTTCGCCTCCATGATGGTCTACTGCATCGACAAGCTCGGCCTCGACGGCGAGAAGGTCAACGTCAACGGCGGCGCGATCGCCCTCGGCCACCCCTTCGGATGCACCGGCGCCCGCCAGGTCGCCACCGGCCTCAACGCCATCAAGCGGACCGGCGGCAAGGTCCTCGTCACCTCCATGTGCATCGGCTCGGGCATGGGTGCCGCCGCCGCCTTCATCAACGAGCAGTAAAAGGGTCCAGTGGCCTGTGGGTAACTTGGTAGATTGTTGTCATGTCAGTGTGCAGTCATACGCGAGGACGGGGTGGGAGTTGGTGGGGCAGTTTGGGGAGTGTCGTTCCAGCTGAACAGACCATAAATTCGATGAGAACATCATAGCACTGGAGTCGGGGAGCCGGCGATCAACGAAGCGGGGGCGCAGGAGCGGGTCAGCTGAGATGCCCATCGTATCAGGGGTATCCCCAAGATGCCCATCGTATCAGGGGTATCCCCGAGCCGAAAGACGCAATTCATGCTGCCCACTCCTCCGTTCTCCGCTACGTCCGCGACGTAGCCGGCATCACGTTTTAGGCGCCCATCATACCGCCTAGCTCGACGGTATGCGCATTCCCAACGCGTGATCTGATGACGCTGGATTGGATCTGTGGTGGCGTGGTCGCTTAGACGCGGAAAATGCACAGTGACGCCGGTAGAGACCGTGCACATGCCGACCTGTTTGGCTCTGCGGACCGGGCGGGCTGCGGGCTTTGCGGACTGGATGCGGATCTGCGGACTCTGCGGACTGCATGCGAATGTGCAGACTGCCAGTCTGCATACGGCATCGCCATACTGGGTGCGCTTGCATCACATGCCACTGCCGTCTCATTTTTCAAGACATCATATGGGAACAGCCGCGTGGCAATGTGGCGGTGCATGATCGAAAAACGTGCCCCCGCCACTCACCATACCGTCTGTGGTCGCGAGGTGTGCCTCCGCGTACAGGCCACTCGGGCGAGACACCCAACTTTTGTCCGTGCAACCTTGACGGGAAGATCTTTAGCGCAGTCTGCGACACCTCACGACGAGGGCCACTACCGCAAGATACGGAATCAGGAGCCTTCTCACACAAGACTAGATTGTAGCGGATCCTCAGAACATGTTCATCATCAAGGGTCGCAGCGCCGCAGTCTGGCGGATCGACGGGATCGTCAAACCTGTGCGCCAGAGTTTCACAGGTGGCACATGAATGAGCCACTCCAAATGCTGCGGGCTGCAACATCGTTCATTTGTCTAGCTGCTAGCGGCTCGTGAACGTCATACATGTACGGACGAAGCACTACAAGTTCTCCTCCTAACTGTTCTCCGTATATTAACACCTAGGGGTGGTAAGTAAAAGTTTGAGTATCGTAAAGGGTGGGCGTGATGGAGTGCGGTTTAGACGACACGCTCGTTGTGCATGGTCGTCGCCTTGGGTCCGCGGCTCCAGAAGTGGCGGCGTGGGGGAACACCGACAGCTAGCCGGGTCAGCTTTATGCCTGGTATGGCTTGTTGTTATACCCACCGTTAGGGGCGTTGGGGTCGTAGGGGGCGGTGTGGGCGGCGGTGTGGCGGGGCCCGCGCTGCCAGAAGCGGCGAGGCTTCTCGTTGTAGTGAAGAGCGTCCTGCTCAGCGCGGAGCTCGCGCTCGCGCTGCTTGTGCTTGTTCGAGCGGCCGCAGCAGCACGAGACAAGGGAGGTGAGCATGGCGATGAGGAGGAGAATGGTGGCGACGAGGGTGAGCCAAGTGCCGGTGCCGTAGTTGGCGCGGCCGCCAGCGTCACCAATGTTGTTCTTGACCATGGCAAACGCGACAAAGTCAATGAGCATGGCGGCGAGAGCCGAAAGGAAGGCGAGAAGTGCCAGGAGCGAGGCAAAGAGGTAGCCAATCTTGTCCGCAGCGCAGGCGGTGATCATAGCAAGGAAGGCAAACGCGGCGGCAATGGGGTGAAGAATGAGGCCCTTGGTGACAGCAGTGAGCGACTTGGCAGCGCTGTCCGAAACGCCGTCAATGACACCGGTACCCTGGGTTGACTGGCCAAGCGAGAGCCGGTTGGTGAGGCCGGTGAGGTCGTAGCCAAGCTTGGTTCCAGAGCAAGTGTTCTGGAGGCAGTAGCCAAACGCGCCAATCTGGGCAAAGACGGGCTCGTGGACGGTCATGAGGGTGAGCGAGTTGATAATTGGTGTGGACACTGGGATTAGCGGTGACTCGGGAGTGGGTGGGTGGGGGTCTCGCTGGGTGAGACTAGAACGTACCGCTCGCCAAGATGAGGAGGACGCAAGCGACCAAGAGGAGCAGGCCGGTGAAGCCACCGATGATCATGATGTCGAGGTGTTAGTGGTGGTCGTCGGAGTTGAGAGGGTCGCGGTTGTCGCGTCTAAACACTTGATGGGAGATTGAGAAGAAGAGAGAATGATGTCGAGATGTTCAAGATATGGGGGAGAGGGGAGGTCTGGGATTTGCAGGAGAGCGGCACGGCGGCACTGCGGGTGGGGTGAGCGTTACTGCTGGCGCACTGCTGAGAGCAGAAGCGGTGGTGCTGCTGGTGCTGCTGCTGTGGTGGCGATGCGGTCATATTCTGCTGCGACCTGGATAGAGCGCGTCAACCTCGATCCCTTGCCTCCCTTCCCGGGGCGAGAGCAGCAGCAGCAGCCAGCAGCAGCCAGCAGCAGCCAGCAGCAGCAGGAGAGCGCTAGACACGAAAACAAACTCTGTCAGCTGCTGGGAGAGAGAGAGCGAGAAACGGCGAGAGGGTTGCCACCAAAGCCAAGACATTCTGCGGCCCGCAACAGGTTGCGAGGCGCGACAAGCCAGTGACATCACTCCGATCACTCAAACCTCCCTCCCTCAGGGCCCAAATTTCCTTCTCCTCACCTCAAAAGTCTTATCCTTGGCGCTAATGCACTAATCCCATCCCGCGCTCCTGCCTCTCCTGCGCCCTTTCCAGATCTCCCCCCCCATTGTCCCTGACCGTCTCTATTAAGGGAACGGCGGCACGCCGCGCTCATCGGCGTGCCACAGCCGCACTTCGGAGTGTCTCCAAGGATGCAAGAGGCCGACAGTGCCTGGGTGTCAGCTAAGCATCCCTCCTCAAGATCCTGCACAGCCCTTTCACGTGCCACACCTTGTGGATCCGTGGAGCTGACAACATGCATCTCCCGCTTTGCTCCTCGTCCTCCGTCATTGTCTATTCCCTCGTTAAACGTCATAGATGCTCAGACGGCTGGTCATGCTGTTCAGTGACGCACAACCCAGCAGCTGGCAGCTGGCAGAAGGTACGGCTTGACATTCGCCGACGCCAAGGCCCGCTCGTCCCAAACTCTGGCCACGACAGTCACAGGCCATACTACTGACCCTAAATCCTCTGACTGCAGTCTTTTGGCTCTGACTCGGCTCGCGGCCTCACAGCTCCAACCGCAGCTCGGGCTATTGAGAGCAAACAATATCTCCCTTCTGCCATCACGGATCACGGACGGAACGGGACCAGTTCGAAACGTACCCTATACCCATCGACCGTAGGATGGCCTGCATCGGTTCGACTTGAGTTTGGGTGTGATCGCGAGGCAGAAGTGCGTTACGGTAGGCGCACTCCCAGACCCCATTAGCTTCCGACAAATAGTGTAATTCGCGTTCTGGGTGGGGGAGTTATGTCCAGCTTGCAGGCTTGCGTTGCATCGGACCGTAGAACACGGGCTGCCCCTTGCGGCACGGTCGGGCGAGGTGCAAGTCCACTCTCCCTGCCAGGACGAAGCAACCGTCGGACGGGTCGCTCTCGACGCGTCGTTGTTAGATGAGCCGAAAAGTCTTCCGACGCGTTGCAGGGCTCGCAACACGCGTGGGGGCCGCGAATACGAGGAGGGAGAGGTATTAGGGTGAAAGTTCAGTAAAACACCCAAGTAGGAGGTGGCCTAAGATCAGTCCCGTGAGTGATCGACGCCACAGTGTGATTGTTGACCATATTACGGCCCTTTTGATGGACGGCAAGCTGACTGATGATCCGATGATCCGATGAAGTACAACTTGCTGAGTGCATGTGTATCTGTGGCGATCTGCAGTGTGACCGGACTGTCGTCGCCGTCTCAGAATGCCTGATGCGTGAGACGTGCAAGACCGAATTTCAGTCGATTCCGTTGAACATACGGGCTAGGAGCATGCTCGCCTGAGTCAAACACACCCGAAAGCGGCGTACGCAGCGCAGGCTGACACTGCGAGAGCGGGCATGGGTAACAAGAGTTCAGACTGCAGACTTGCCTGGACTTCATGCGTCTCGAGTACTCTCGTGACGCGAGAACACCACGAAAGCATGGCAGTGGCGCAGCGGGCTGGAATGTGGGGTCTTCCACGCAATCTAAGTGCCTGCCTTCTCATGTTGGGGGTGACACGGCGCCACTGACATCAAGCGTGAGAGATCGGCGCGACAACTCCCACACTCACAGTCACTGCGGTGAGTTCCCGACCGGCCCGACAGAAGCGGTGGATTCGACACTCAAGGTGCGCTGAATGCCACATTGGCTGTGCGTGGTGCACCATTAGACATGAGCGCTATTCTGGGCAGTGAGCGTAATGTCGATGATGCCGCAGCTTCCGACTGCGGATCGGCGGCACTTTACCTTCGGTGCACGCGGTGCAACGGCGCAGACTCGGTCAGTTACAAGATCGGGGTTTGTGACGCGCGCCGCCTCGCTTGTAAGCTTGTGTAAGGCCTGTGCCTCTGCGCTGCGCCGCAGGCAGCTGCATAAAGCATCATAGGCGACTTGGACTCCACGTGGGCTGTGTTTTGCCATCATGCCCTACGCTCTATGCTATACACAGTCAAAATGTGTCTCCGGCATCCACCAGGCGATCCAAGCGACGGCGTTCAGAGCGTTGAGTGAGTTCTAGATACTGGACCTTCCTTTGCGTCAGCCTCGTTGCAGCGGCAAAGAGAAGAGAGCGGCGGCGCTGAGACCACCGGTTCGCCCGTACTCGTCCCTCTCAGCGGCGAAGCCGAGCACGTCGCCCTCGACCAAAGCTGGGCAAGGAAAAGCTCAGCATGACTCCGAATGAGAGGTACTCCGGAATGACATACCGAGAGCACGAGTGGTCATGGCGTTTTGGCAGCGCGCTGCTTGGGTGGTCACAGACGGAGGAGACGCAATGAGTATAAGGCAATCGGTGGAGACGTGGAGACGCGAACTGAGGGGAGTGAGCAGGCGATGTTTGATGCCTTCCTTTCTCCTAGATGACGAGGATCCAGTCATCATGAGCAACCCTAATCGTTCCTTTACAATCTAGATATCATTTAACAATTCATTAGACAATTGGCAGCCTTGTCTTATCAGTGGCGAGCTTGATGTGGGGTATGGGGTTGGCCCGTGCCTGTGGGATCATCTTCCCGCCTCAACGCGCCTGAGACGCTGCAACATGCCTTCCTTCGCGCGCCATCGCTCCCGTCCACAGCACAGCTCGCGTCTTTTGCCCCTCAACGCACCTACCCACCTCCTCCTTATAACCTCCTCTTATTGTCATCTCATCTCCTCATCGCCACCATGGACAGCATGGACCCCGTCGCCACCCTCGGTGAGGACATCGTCCTCCTCATCCTCGACCACCTCGCCCCAGCCGACGTACTCGCGTTTTGCAGCGTGTCCCGCTCTTGGCGCGACTTTGTCGATGACCACGACGTATGGCGCCGCATCTGCCGGCGCACGGGCATCGACGTGCGTGAACACCTCCACGCGCAGGAGGAGCGCGCCGCCATCGCCCGCGGGGAGCAATACAGTGGCGAGCTGACCCGGGAAGCAAACGCCAACGACTGCCGGAGTGCATGTGAGTCCCGTGGACATGCAATTGCTGATGCAGATCTTGACACCTTCCCCCTCGCCAAGGCGTGGGAGGAGCGGCACATGTACGAGACGCTTGTGAAAGCGCCTGCCTTCAAGCTTCGCAGCATTTACATAGACCACGGCGAGGATTACATCTACGCCCTGACCGAAACCACCGTCTCCGCGCGCGAGGAATGCCTCCTTGTGTTGAACAAGTACACTGGGAACCTCCTCCAGCGCATCCCCGGGATTACGCCGCACGCCACTGTCACAGTCGGCGCAGGTTACATTGCTGTGTCCCAGCACCAGCGAGGTGGGAGGCATCAAAGCGATGACTGATGCCAGATTCGCCGCGTGACCGTCGTCGCGAGTACTCTCCTCTCGGCACTGTGACTGTGTTTCGTACCGCGACGGCCGCGGGGCGGACGGGAGCGCAATGGCGCGACCGCGGTCCCCTCGAGTTCGCCTGCCACCTCACTGACGATGGCGTGAGACGCTCAGGCAAAATGGCGGTGGGGGTGGTTCGTGGACAGGGAGTGCTCGTCGCTGCGGACGAGCACACCGCTCATCTCATCAACCTTGACACTGGCAATCGCACATCGATCGCTCTCGAGCGCGTAGACACTATCGACTCGCCGTTATTCAGCGACCGCAACCTGAAGGACAAGGAGGCCAAGGTTTGGGTGAGTACGACTTGTTCTATGTCGACGCTGACCTGCAGTCCGTCAACATCACCGATGAATACGTCTTTGTTGTCACACAGTATCAGGTACACATCTTCACACACATTGGAGAGAAACTTGCGGCGTACCCCGACCCATGTGCCGACTATCTCGCTCATGCTGGATTGGGGTTCGGTGTGGAGGCCCGGTATCCATACGGCAGCTTATTCAAGCCTGCTCCCAAGACCCCGGCGTCCGCGCCGCCCGGCTTCAGTTTGGCGTGGACATTGCAATGGACGCTCGAGGGGGCGCACCCAGATTCTCACGAGTTCGCCGAGGCGACCGAGGGCGCGTTTGCGTACCCCAGTGAGTGGGATGACGACCATTCGGACGATAGTTCGGATTGGCATCTGGAAGAGCGCTTCCGATTTGAGGGCATGAACGCGTGGCTACAGGAGTAAGTTGTCTAAGTTGAGGAAGGAAGTGCTGACAGCAGTGTTTCATTTACGACGGATGACTTGGTCATTCGCGGTCGCCAAGGCGGGATATTTATCGTCCGCGACTACCGACGAGTGTTGCGCGAGGTGCGCGATGTAGAGGAGTATCGGGAACGAACAGCCTACATCGGGCGCCACACGGTAGTTATCGGATTTCGCGAGAGCAACGACGTTGTTGCTTGCTACGGCAACCGAATCGCCGTTCATGCCGCTGATGTACGTGTCACCCTCTGGCAAGACTGAAACCAGACTGTCGTCTTCCTCATTGACACAACCCAACTTCCATCGATGCCATGGCTCGGCGACGAGGATGATCAACCTTGTGCTGTTGTCTACGCGTTCGAGGTCTCCTCGTTGGAGGGAATGCAGGACGAGAGCTCGGTCGTCATGGACGCCCGCGGGATCTACATGGCTGACTGGGACATAGGAATGCCTGGTCACGGCATCGAGTACGAGGATATGAACGAGATCCACCGAGACGAGGACTCATGGCCCTTCGCAATCCGACCTAACTGTGAGTACGAATAGCACAGTATCTAACGGCAGGGGGCTGCATCAAGGCGTGGATTTTCCGCCCGACGGGGGCGCTGCTCCACCGACCTTATGCTAAGGCGTGGGCGGAAGCGGATCATCACGACCACTGCTCGCACACGTGGACGCTCCACTTCCCGTCCGAGGTGCATGTGGCTCCGGACTGGCAAGATGTGCTCGATGGCGTCGCGGCGATGTTGGGTGAAGACGTTTCTTGGCAGGAGGGGGACGGGGACGAGTGGGAGGACGAGGAGGACGGGGAGGGCGAGGAGGGCGCGGAAAACGGGGAAAACGGGGAGGAGGGAGGTCATGTGGATCAGGGAGACGAGGTCATGGAGGGTGAGGAGGAGCGAATCGTGATGCGCGGGACAGATAGGGAGTTCCATGAAAGCGCCGAGCTTGAGGAGGCTGGCCCGAAGGCTGGTGAGGTGGATGCCGCTGTCGGCGAGACGTGTGTCGAGCGGGGCACGATTCGTGATGGAGTGGAGAGTTATCTTGGCGGCGGGGCGCAGGGCCTGGCTATGCTGGCAGACCTCCTCGAGCAGATGGGTTACGACCGAGACACAGAGGGGTACAGCCGTGTCGCATAGGTACGATTAGTTGTAGTATTTTCCTGCATTCCAACTAGGTATTGAGCTGTGACAGGTAATCGCATGGCGCAAACCCGCTTGTGGTTCTGTCCACCGCAGTGAGAGAGTCCCGAGTCCGCGTACTGCCCCACGACGCCCATCACCCAACGAGGAAGTTGTTCGTCACATCATCTTCCCCAGCAGGTATCTCTGATCGTATAGTGGCTAGTATGCTCGCTTGTCATGACCTGGCCGCGGGAGACCGGAGTTCAATTCTCCGTCAGAGAGCACATTGAAGATGCAACGTCTCCTTTTTAGCAGCAGAACCCAGCCTGACAAATTGACGAGCGCACAAGCCGCACCATGGCAATGTGTGTAGTTGGTTCGATCGTGTCACAGCCGTTGGTGGTGCCTGAGGGCCGGCGATAGCCGGGCGGAATGTGTTGAGACAGCCAAGATATTGACGCCACGGCGTCCGCGCTTTGTCCTCCTCCACACTTTTCACCATGGACGTGGCGCTGCTCAACGCGGAGCTCACGACGACGGACGACGAGCTGGAGCTGACGGACAACGAAGTACCGCGCAAGCTGCGGCAGGGGAGCGCGCGGGCGCTGAGCCCCGGCCCACTGTCGCGGCCCGTGCGCGGCCCGCCGGACCTCGAGCGCGTCGAGCACAGTGGGAGGCAAACGGGACCCAAGGGCGTGCGGGACGATGCGCGCGCAGCGGCGGCGGCTGCGAGACAGCGCACAGCGGACGCGATCAAAGCCACGCGGGCAGAGCAGGAGCGGCGGGCGATCGTCGCCCCGTCGTTCCGGGAGGAAGAGGCGCGGCGGGCGCTCGAAGCTGTCCGGATCGAAGAGGAGGAGGACCTCGCGGCGCTCCGCCGCCGCCGGCTGGCCGCGCTCAAGCGCAGCACGGTGCGCGAGGTCGACAGCGCGGGATACGTCGCCGCGGTCGAGCGGCGGGGCTGGGTCCTCGTCGCGATCTACGAGCCCGTACGTTGAAGCGGGGAAGGAGCTGACGACAGGACATGCCGCGCTGCGACGCGCTCCTCGCTGCGCTGCCCACCGTCGGCGTGCCGGCTGTGCGGGCGCGCGCGGCGCGCATCGGCTTCTCGCTGCTCGCGGACACGGCGCGTGTCGACCGCTACGACTCGGACTCGGAGGAGGAGGGCGAGGCGCGCGCAGACCGCGACGTCCTCCCCACCTTGCTCGCGTACCGCGACGGCGAGCTGCGGCATAATTGGGTGCGCGTGGATCTCGAGCCTGCGTACGCACGCGGCCTCGGCGCGCTGCTGGAGAGGTGGGTAGTTCACAGAGGTGGCTGACGCCAGCGAAGGCATTTCGGCGCCGCACGCTGAGGAGAGCGATGAGGAGAGTGACTGATCTGCGGTCTACATATTCATAGCATTGTGCATTGGTGGCATAGCATGGGCGGGGCTGACATTGGTGATACGATGGGGCCTCCTCGAGGTCATGCACAACACGGGCCAGCCGAGGCCGACCGGGCTGCGAAACCCAGCCTTCTCGAACGACAGCTTCGGTCAGTCGTGTCAGCGCCCCCACCGACACTCCGTGTTCATGTTGCATCAGACTAATCCTCCTTACGGACACCCAAATCCGCTGCCTGCTGTGACCACCGTTGCGAGGGGATGGGCTTGGTTGGCGCAATGAGGCGGACCTGAGGTTAGCGCGTGCGAATGGACAAGAAGCGGGGAAGGTCAAGTGTCACGATCGTGAACGGACACGACGCCCGAGCGCTCCTGCACTGGGAGATTGGGTTTGGTGAAGAGCACAGGAGGGGCTTGCCGTCTTCACCGCCTCGCGCCTCTCCTCGGCGACGCTGAGGACGTCCCCGGCCTCGGACTTAAACTCCTGCGCACAATCTCGGTCCCTATCTCCCCCGGACGATCATCGCCTCGCGCCACACCTCCCCCGCCCCTCCGTCTTCTCCACTATCCCTCGCCCGCCCATCCAAACCAGCTCGACTCACCTCGTTGCGCGCGCTCACGCGCCAGGTAGCGTAGGTGACAGCGACGATGCCGGCGACGGCGATGACGGTGTTGCTAGCCCAGTTCCGGGGACGCGACCACCAGCCGCCAGACGGGCTCCACACTTCCTTCGGGAATGGGTACTGTGCCTGTAGGTTAGTTGTGATAGCTCGTCGGCGCTGCAAGACGCAAGACGTGGATCGATGCAACGTCCAGATCCAAAGGTGACGAGGACGGTGCGCGCCCCACTCATCCCCGCACCCGCCTGCGCCGCTGCGTGCGCGCGTGTACTCACTCCGCCGCCCTGCATGTCAGCTCGTCCCGTGCGTCAGCTCACCATTATGTTGTCTATCGATGAGGAGGTTGAGGTCGCTGTTGCTGCTGCTCGATCTCGGAGGTGGTTCGGGAGAGGTGTGAGTGGATGCGATAATTCGTGTGCCTACTTTGCGCATGCCTATGGGCTCAACAGGCAGCTGTGTGCCTACCGCAAACAAGTTAGGCGCTGGACATTGCCAGTTTAATCCCGTTAACCCCGTTTGAATTTTCGGCTCTACGGTTGGCTGCACTCGGCTGACCCTGGCGAGCAGTACGGTGGGGAGTGACGTGTTGCCGAGCCGAGGGCCGAGAGGAGAGGGGAGGTGAGGAAAAGAGCGCGCGGGGAACAAAAGCCCTCTGGCAAGCCTCCAAGCTCCGGCCTTGCCGGTCATGCGCTGCCAGCTCCCAGCTCGGCGACAGAGGACAGGGAGATCTACGCATGTCCATTGCGCGCGCGGCGATTCGTCGGTCTGTGCTCGGAGGATCCCGGGCAAACTCCCCCGTTGGCTGGTCTGGCTGCCGACTGGCCCACGGCCAGAGAGAGAGGGTACGTCAATTAAAACGGCTGCCATATGTAAACCGAATCATCCACTCCAACTTTTCCGCATCAGCATCCAACACATATACATCATTAAAAATGGGCAAGGACTCGTTCGCTCCCGGTGAGTACATGAGCATGGCACGCATGCACTGCACAGGCGCGGGTACGCACTGGCTGTCACCTTGGTGCAGCGTGGCGTGCGAGGCAGGTGGCTGGTGGGACGAGAGCGATAGCAAAAGGATCATCTCTGACACCCAGGTGACGTTGGCAAGGGCGCCAACCTCTTCAAGACCCGCTGCGCGCAGTGCCACACCCTCGAGGCTGGCGGCGCCCACAAGGTCGGCCCCAACCTCCACGGCCTCTTCGGCCGCAAGTCGGGCCAGGCTGAGGGCTTCTCGTACACTGCCGCCAACGTCAACAAGGGTGTCGTGTGGGAGGAGCAGACTCTCTTCGAGGTGAGTAGATTGGAGGTGCGGAGGGGAAGGGGCTGGGGGAGGGGCTTGGATGATCGGGGGAGGTGGGATTGTTGAGAGCGCCACGCAGCAGGGTGTAGGAGAGAGGGTCGATGGCAGCAAACGCTGTTCGCATCACTCTCCTTGCTCTGGAGCGATGTCTGATTCTCTGACTATGGCACTCTCATCTCACCTTTGTGCACCTCCCGCTTCCATTCCCCACTCCCTTCTCCATACCCATCTCCACCCATCGCGCTCCACACCCCGCATCGCTAACCCCCAGTACCTCGAGAACCCCAAGAAGTACATCCCCGGCACCAAGATGGCGTTTGCTGGCCTCAAGAAGGGCAAGGACCGCAACGACCTCATCACCTACATGAAGAAGGAGTGCTAAGCGTTTCTTCGCCTGTACTTCTACTAGACTGTATATGCAATGAATAGCTAGCATTATCGGGAGCGCGGCAGTATGCACGAGCAACTGTTAGCGACGAGCAGCGAGCTACGCAACGGCAAGCGAGCAAACAGCAGCGAGGCACGAGCAGCGAGCACAGCGAGCAGCGAGCAATAGTACCCCCGCGGCCCGCAGCACGGACTCACAAGCGAGGCGATACCCGACCGACCCGCACCGAGCGCGGCCACCCTGCGCGGTGTCATTGCCTCCCAGCCTCCGTGTCCGACTCGGTTCTATCCTGCGCTGACGCGCCTCCCGCCGTCTCCGTCTCCGTCTCCGTCTCCCAGCCTGGAGCAGGTCAAGACGGCAGCGGTGTCTTCGTCGGCGGCGCACATGACGCATGCCCCGGCCCGCGAATTGCCTCCGCCCTCATATCGGGCAGTGTTGTTTGGTCACGGGCGCCTGGACGTCATGGCCACGGCCACGGCCAGCCCGGCCAAGCCTAGGACGTCGGGCGTCGGGCCCGACGCACGGTCCCCGCCCAGCACGGTGGAGCTGGCTGCTGACATCAAAGAGCTCCAGTAAATAGATCATAAGCGTTGAAGATGCCAACTAGTCCAGGTCACAAGGTCACTAATTGCTACAGAATCAGCTCGCTTCGCCTCCAAGCTCCTCCAGTGCGCAAGATACCGGCGTTCTCGTTCGGCGTGTCGCGCGCTTGTGCCGCTGATCCCGACGGCGAGCGGTGATCAGGCCACTAATCATCGTCGCTGTGTGGCATGAGCTGCTGCGTGGCTGCGTGACTCGGTGGCTAACACCGCACCCAGACGACCGCCGATGCGCCTCTCGAGGCAATCGATTCAAGTCCTCTGCTGTCCCACCATGTGGAACTGCTCGGGGAGCGTCGACGCCTCCGTGGGCGGCTTAGGCGGCTTGAGAACGTTGCAAGGACCCTCGACATGAGGTCGTGAGCGGTTTCGTAGGTCCCGGCGAGACAGTATTGGGCTTTGCACACGTTGTCGCCGCAAGACTCGTCCTTCGCCATCGGCGTATCGCTATCTATCACATGACACTATACAGAGCCCCGCGGCTCACCCTCTACCGAACGGAACGGCCGGCGCCCCCGCTCTAAGGTGGGGGGTCCGGCATCGGATGCCGGAGGTAGGCGTGCTTGAGCGCCTCGTTGACGTCGATGCGGTTCTCGGGATCAAAGTCGAGAAGGCGGATGATCAGGTCCAAGAACAAGGCATTACCCGGGCTCGTAGGCGGGATGATGTCGCGTAGATGCTTGAGGCCCTTGACAAACTTGCGGCTCGATTTGGGCACCGTGGGGTTTGGGAAGTCGATCCGGTTGCCCTTGAAGAACTCGGGCTTCTTTGTCCGCCCACGGTCGATCATGCGCTGCGGCATCTTCCCCATCACCACCTCCATCATTGCCAGGTGCTCCAGGTTGTCGTGCGTCTGGAAGAGCGCGTCGCCCGTGAAGAACTCGACGAGGATGCACCCTATTGAGAACATGTCGCACGGGTACGACCATGACAAGCCTGAGCGTTAGAAGGAATGCAGAGCAAACGAAGAGCAGGCGGAAGCCCCGCTCGCTTGTGTACTCACCCAGAATGATTTCTGGCGCACGGTAATGGCGTGTGCTGACGACCGATGAGTGGTACTCATTCTCAAACGTCGCGCTGCCAAAGTCGATAAGACGGATCTCGGTGTTTCGCAGAACTGACTTTGACCGGGCGTTTGCACGCTAGCATGTAAGCATTATGTTGCAGCAAATGACTCACCCTTGGCCCGGACAACCTCGATTCGTTGCTGACCAAAAGAATATTTTCTGGCTTCAGATCGGTGTGCACTAGTTTCAATTTGTGCAAGACTGCGTGCGTCAGCATGCTTCTCCTTCTCCTCTGATGCGCCCCTCGCACCAGCGTCGTCCCACTCACACTGAACGCTCTGTAGCAGGCTCCTCGCAAAATCCTGAATGTGTTTTTCTGGGAAGGGCTGGAAGCCGTTGATCTTCAAAAAGTCGAACACGCTCATGCCGTACAGCTCAGATACCAGACATGGATGGTTGCGGAAGTCAAAGTACTCTGTAAGATGGATGCACTTGCTGGGCGAGTCAGCTAGATTACCAACGCGATTGCTCACTATGCGTTGGTCGGGTCATTCTTCTTGAGCGTTTCAAGGACGCGGATCTCAATCTTGCTGGCGTCGCGGTACTTTTGCACCGCGCGAATGACCTTGATTGCGACCTTCTTTCGCGACTCGATGTGACGCGCCTCGACGACCTTGCCAAATGTGCCTTGGCCCAAGAGACGAACGATTTTGTCTACCATCAGCACTCGCCTTTCTGCTAAAACCAAACACTCACATCGTCCGCCAATCACATCATCAGGCTTGACAATGTAGTGACCTTCGGGGTCGTCCCATGGAGGGTGCGCTGCTGTGCCAGAGGCGGTTGAAGTCGCAGCGGCATGCTGCTGGGCGGGTGCAGCGACTTGCTCTGGTTTGCTTTGTTTTGCCGGTTGACGTGCAGCGGGCTTTGCACGAGCCTTCTTCTGAGCGGCCGCGGCCGCCTCGTCCTCTTCGGCCTTGCGCTTCTTTGCGGCCGTCCCGTTGGCGGCCCCATTGGCTGCGGCCCACTTTTCGGACGCAGCAGCGGCCGCAGCCGCCGCAGCTCGCGTGTTACGCTTTTTAGGAATGGGGCTGGTGCTGTCTTGGATAACAATAACCTCCTTGGGTTGGCCGTATGAGTCGTAGGTGTGTTCCGCTGTCCATCCGTTGCCTTTGGAAGGCACCGTGGATGATCCTGCTAGTCGTCGCGACGACCGCGTGGATGTGCTAGCCGGGGTCGTTGTGACGGTAGCACTCGACCCACCCGCGGCGGCAGCTTTTTTCCTGGGCGGCATGGTATGCGCGTCAAAGGGCTGAGGTGACTGCGTGTAGTTGAAACGCAGAGGATTCGGGATGTCAAGAGGAGAATTACCACGGGTGGTTGGGTGAGTCTGGGATGCTCGGGGAACAGGAAATAAGGGGGGAGCGGAGAGATAGGCGGGCGAGATGGGGGCGCCTGTCCGGGGATGGGTGTGCGAGTGTGAAGTCGCCGACGTGGATGTACTCGGCAGCGGGTGATGCTGGGACGACGAGTAGTATGCGTGTGGTGGGGGGTGCGAAGCGGACGCAGAGTTGCCGCTGGTGGGTACGTCACCTAAGGGGCTCGAGAGATATGGGCGTTGGTGATACTCGTCGGCCTCTAGAGTGGGCGGGAGGGGCGGCCAAGGCTGTCCCGAGTAGACGGCGGTGAGAGGTGGGTGAGGAGAGCGGAGGGAGCGGTGGTCGTTGAGTGGAAGAGGCGAGGATGTTCCAGATGATGGATAAGGAGGCGCGAGAAAGGTTTCACGACGCCCTACAGCTGCTGATGCAGAAAGCGGAGGTGGGGGTACGCCTGAAGCGGAGTATGGGCCTGGAGAAAGACGAGGTCCGGCGCTGCGTGGAGGGTGCAAGTGGTGGCGAAAGTGAGCTGCCGAGTGCGGCGGAGGGACAAGGGGAGCGGACTGCGGCGCTTCGTATCCAGACCTGCCCGAGAAGCGGGGGATGGAGATTGCAGGCGGTGGGAGGGCGCGCGAGCCGAGGTGTGAGGGCGGGGGAAAGAATCCACGCGAACGAGGTGGGGACGAAGGCTCGCCGCCGCCGGGTGCCGAGTGGGGGTTGGGACTTGGGAGGTGTCGAGACGATGTCGCGGCGCTTCCTTCTGGCGCCGCGGAAACGGAGGGTGCGCTGAGACGGCGAAGGGGTGGTGGACCTGCGTGAACAAAATCGCGAGACGAGCCCGAGGAAGAGGATTCCAAGGGAGGTCGGCGGTAGTGATCGTCGCGAGAATGCGACTCGCGAGGGTGGTGGATGTCGCGGGGGTGGGGGGGATAGGGAGGAATTGAAAGGTCGTAGTCGTAAGTTTCAAGACGATGAGCAGAATGAGGAGGAGGTTGGGGAGGATGATGCGGATGGGAGTGAGAGTGCACCTGGTGCGCCGGGTGGTGCACTGGGTGCGCCGTCGAGTGCGCGTTGTGCGCCGGCGAGTGGTGATGCCCAGGCTGATAGAGGTGGGCGGGGGAGGGATACTTGTCCTTGTTGTCTTGGATGGGTTCTGGGTGGAGTCGCTGGCGAGAATAGTGCGTCTCCATGAGTCGGATATGGCGATCCGAGTGGGACGACAAGAAAGGGACCGTTCGAAGAGCCGCTTATGGAGAGGATGGACTTGAGGCGGGAGAGGAGGGGAGGAGGAGGAGGAGGAGGAGGGAGCACAGAGTGGTGGTGTTGAGAGGGTGACGAGTGGGGAGGGGATGGCGATGAACGACGACTGCGTACTTAGCAGGGAGGCAGCCCGGCAGCCAGGCAGCAGGCAGGGAGGGTGGCAGGGTGGTGGTAGGCGGGCGCGGTAGAGCGGAGGCGGGGAATGGGTGGATGTGTGTGTTTGGGGGGACCAGGGAAGGCGGGGTGTCGGAGGAGAGGGAGGCTGGTGGGGGATTTGGGAGGGTAATATCGATTCACAATTTGAGTGGGTGATTGACCGCGTAAAACGTGCAACTCGCAACACTCGTCGCGTTGATCCTGTTCTTCTGTGCTTTGTAATTGGCCTTGGGCGCTTACGCACGTAGAGCGAGGCGAGGCGCGAGGCAATTCAATCAAAGGTGCTTTTTCCTGCTTCCTGCGATGGAGACTGCTCAAGCTGCCAACACCCTCGGTGGCCGACGCTCGCAGCTGCCAGTTGCCTGTTTTGTGCAGTTTGTGTTCGCCGACGGAATCAGCGGAAGCAATATCCTATTACGACTGTGATTAACAGTCCTAATCAAGTGCACGATCAATTAGCAAGCAGTTGAGCCGATCGTCGTGGCGAGTATGGTGGATTCCTTAGTTGGTGGCGGTGGTTTGGGCTGTGTCGTGCTTTGCGGTGCACGATTCGTTTGAGCAAGTGAGCAGAATGGGCGATGCAGACATTTAACTAATGATGGAGGCGTTTCGTTGTCGCATCTCCCGTCAGCCCGTATGCCCGTTTGCCCCGCCCTCCCCCCCCCGTGGCCCGTGGTCACTTGCGCTAGGGGTTACATGTACAAACTGGACAAGCGCTGTCCGACTCCCAGCTCCCCCCCCCGCTGGTCCCGCTCGCTCATTATTGTTGGTTAGCGCGCGTTACAACAGCATTCAACGATGTATCCTCCTGGGCCTCCGGCCTCCGAGGCAGCTCTGGCAGGTCAGTACAGTGCGAATCGCTGCATACATCGTACCTTGCCTTCCAGGTCCACATGCCGCTGGCCGCTGGCTGGCCGCTGGGCCCATCCCCCTTCACCTTAATAGCTACCTGCCATCCAAGCGTACTTACGCACCAAGGCACAACCCTCCCCTTATTCCCTCGCCCTTTCGCCCCTCCTCTCACCTCGCACCGCTCGCTGCTATACTTTCACTTCCCACCCATCAAGCTACAATGTCACGAGTGACATGACCGGCTGGGCCACCATGTCTTGCACTTCTCCGTGACTAGAGTACATAAACATTTAGATCTAGACATGGTGGGGTTCGTCGTTTATCATCGCGTTCATGAATAGTCGTCACAGCACTCTCCGCTTCCTGCACTCAAGCTAGTCCGCATCGCGGCGGCTGTGGAGGAACGCGTGCCGCAGGCTAGACTCGACAGCGAACTCTAGCCACCCCGGCGCTGACGCCCGATGACTGTGCGCCACTGTTCCAGCTCGTGCTGCGACGCCGCTTGGATAATATACGAGTTGGTCGGCGTGTACACGGTGAACGCGTACCTACGCTGCTGTTAGTTGTGTGGACGCACGCTCCTCGCTCCCTCGCGTCGTAATCTCAATCGAGCCATCTCCACGATCAAGATAACGACGTCCCATTCGGCTTCCCGACCGAGCTTTTTTAGCCGCACTCACCCCAAGCAACGTTTCCACGTCGGGGCTCGCGACAACCGACGCCTGCGACAGGTTGATAACCTGTGTCTCCCGCTTGTTAGGCTCCGGGTGAAGGTGCAGATATGGCGATCGCAGCACTGCGCTGGCATCCTCCCATCTGTTGGTCCGCGAATCCTTAAGGAGCGCAAGCGCGCCCCGTTTGATTACGCTCTCACTGATATTATTAGCTTTCTCGTCCTAGCAACACTCACTTTGGCGTAATGAGCCGCACGGTAGGCACCAGTCTTGGCTCAATGTCTGGCACCAGCTCGCGCAAACGCTGCGCCATCTCTTTTTCCACTGCGGTCTCGCGCTTGACGTCAAACTCGACGCGTGTGTCCATCTCGCGCTTCCAAAGAGATAGACTTTTGGCCTCGAGCGCGCGTTGACCCGTCTCATCACTCTGGGACGCCGCGACGTCGCCGATGTGCTCTAGGACGACGCGTGTGGTCTGCACTTCGGCGAGGGCACGCCTCACACGCACGAGATCATTGTACTCGCGCACCAGAGCTATGCTGCGTGGTCGCCAGCCGCCGAGAATGGCCTCGTTAGGCACAGGCTTTTTGGAGGTGTCCAGGCGCCACAGATCCCGTGCTGTGCGTGCCAGGGGTGGGTTGAGATCTACACCGAAGAGCGCGATAACGCTGCTAACAGGACGCGGGCGCCAGATGTTGCGGATACTGATGCTAGAGCGGCGCGAGTCGCGGCCGATAATTTTCACCTTGATATCCATTGTAAACACTGCAGGTTCGTCGAGACGCTCGACGTCCACCATGAAGGTGAGACGTACAATAGCGTGGTCGTCTCCTCTGGTCCGCCGATCAAGGTGAATGCAGTGGTGTGCGGCCGAGTCCCATGTCCCGCGCGCCAGCAGCCGGCTGGTTCCATCCGACGCATAATCGACGTGCGAAACAAGCTGAAGCTCCACGCTAGAGGCCGGCACCTCCACAGGCTGCTGTTCTTTGGTCTGGACACGAACATGGGAGGCGCTGGCATGCACAATGCGCGTCCACTTAAACGCCTGGCCGGAGGCGTGCTTTAGGTTCACGACCACTTGTCGCTGAACGCCCAGATGCAAATGCAAGATGTCGTCCTCAACGTCGGCGGGCTTGTACTCGCCATCGTTGCTCATCTCGTGTACCTCAATCGAGGCAAGCACATCATGGTGTTCCGTTGAGGCCACTTCCATGTCAGCCTGCCTCATCGTAGGCTTGCCATCAGCTGTCAGCTCGCCGTTGGGTGTGTCGGGTGATTCCTTTGACGCATCGAATCGTTCCAGACGCTCCAAATACGAGTTGCGTACCCGCGCGAAAAACTCGATAGTCGCAAAGCCCGTTTGCAAGTGCGATACCAAGTCAGAGGTAACAAGCACTGATAGTGTCCTTCGAAGCTGCAGGTGCCCAGCCGACATCTCATCGAGCTTAACGGGCAAAGAGGCGAAAGTGTCCTCAGACGCTATGGGACCGACAAGCGACGACAGCCGCGTCTGTGCGTGCACCTCACTAAAGTCCGCTGAAGTGAGGCCCCTCACGAGGTCTACGGTCACGGTGAAGCCAAACTTGTGATTGCTGAAGGGCTGGCCACGAATGACAGGCCCAGCCGATTCCGGAGTAGCAACCCCGGAGCGTGGCACCGTCGAACACTTGAACTCGACTCGGCATGAGCCAATCGCCTCCATTGTGTACGCGCAGAATATCGGTACCGTAACCGCGTAGGACAGTTGGCTGGCAAGTAAACGCAGCGGCACATGCGAGGCTCCAATGTACGAGAAGCTTGGGGTGGGGTCGTCAGCGAAGGGGGCGCGCACGCTCAAGTGGACAGAGTAATTCGGCCTGTCCTTGACGGCGAGGACCTGACGCATGCGCGCGAGCTGCTGCTGGAAGCGACTCGTGTTCCAAGTGTACACCGCTGGTTGCGTCAGGGCTTGTCCTGGAACTTGCTCACATGTCGACTCATGGTCAATGACCTTGATCATCACCCGCGCCCCAGACGGGGCTGAGGGATCGGCAACGTCGTCAAATTCGATGATGCCTCCCAGATCGTCCAACGCCGACTTCGCAGAAACAGCTGGCCCGTCCATGATCGTGAAGTTGAACGAAATTTTCCTGCCCATCTGGCGTCTGTACCGTCAGCACTTCCGTCCTTCTCCAGACAGTCCGTACGCGATGATGTTGGCCTCGCGAACATCCGCCGCCAAGTGAAGAAGTTGCTCGGCCATAACAAAGTTGCGCAACTGCTTCCACTTCTCCACGGCCTTCCGCACAAGTACAGTCTGCGGCATAGACCATTCCTCCTCTTCCGACATCGCCTCCCCCCGAGCCCGACTGACTGCGGCCTGCGCACGGATACGCTTGACCTCCAACGCCAGTGTGCGCAGCTGCTTGGTCATGAACTGCTGCTCAAGCGACTCGTCGGACAGGCCTGACATGGCCGAGAATCGTGCTGCCGGCGAGGCCTCGCTGCGGCTGGTGCTTTCTGTCCCCTCGGTTACCTGGTCCCGGCTCTCGCTGCCGTTTTCCATGGCTAGGGGGCTGCCATTGCCCAGCTGGCCCTCCCACGGGTTGTTGTCGACCGAGTCGTCCGCGATGGAGTTGGCGAGAAGCCGCGATTCGATTTCGGCTGTCAAGTCTAACCTACTGTCGGGCCGTCCACGAAGGGTGCGAACTTTGACCTGCGGTCAGCGCGCTCATGTGCCAACCCACGATATCGTCAAACAGCTTGTCCAAGTCGCGGTCACCTAGGGCCTCAATGTCGGCCGCCTCACGTCGCGCAGCCGTCCAGTCCATAAGTTCCGTTGGTGCGGGCGAGTCGCAGCGTCCAGGTGTCCCAGGATCCCCGTTCGTCACGTTGCCCCACATGCCGGACATCCGTGTGCGGTGAGCGCGAACACCTGCTGGGTCCTGCCTGTCAGGTTGCAACCCTTTAGTTAGAACTCACGTTAAAGCGGAAAACATGGAAATCTCCTAGAATGACCCGGAAACCATGCTGTAGCTTAACAGGCTTAAAGTTAGTGCGACGCTTATGGCTGCCTCCTCACTGTGCTGGGAGGCACGCGCTTGCCGTTTACCTGCTTGTCAGCTGGTTGCAAGCATTGCGGCGATACTCACGAACGTCCGGGCATTGTCACAAGCTTCGAGAGTGACTTGCCCCTCGGAGTTGATGAAGCGGCAGTGGAGAGCAGTTATGTTCTCGCCGGAAAGCTTGATCTGTGTGCAAGTGCTCTCGAGATTGCCCACGACAGTCGTGCCGGGTTTGAGCTGGTAGACAAGGCACTCGGACATGAGCGGGTCCTCGTTGAGATTGACAAGTGATGGGAACTTCTGCGGGGCATGGACGCCGACCATATCCTTGTCGACAGTGATACCCAGCTCCTCAAGCGCTTTCTCTCGTGCGACGTGAATAGCCTGAGTCGCAGCCATTTTCTCCTCCCAAGTGAGGTTGAGGTCCTCCATAAGCTTCTCGGAAGCCTGTAGTTGATCCTGCAGCTCGAGTTTTGTGACCCGCTTGATCTCTCCGTCCTTAGTCTGATAGGTGACGATTTGCTTCTCAGGCGGAATCGATGGGTCATAAGTGTCTTCGGACAAACCTCCGCCACCAGACACGGAGGACACCCTGCCACGCAGTAGCTCGAGCTCCTCCTTGAGCTCGCTAAAATGTCAACTTTGATGCTTCATTACGGACCCACCGGATGAGCTTGGCATTTGGGTCCTCGTTGACGACAGCGTGTGTGCGAATACGCTTGGCAGCGTCGGCATAGCGCAGTGTACTACGCGTTAGCACACATCGAAAACCTCGCCTACCTTAGTGTCTCGTCGTCTGTGATACGCGGTCAGTGTCTGTAGTATAAACGAAGTCGGGGACTCACAGTCCGCCGGCCTGAGCGTTAGCGCGACTGCAATTGCAACGCGACTCACGAGATTGCGGCAATCATTGCCGTCTTGGAGTTACCTCCCAAGCTCTCCTTCAGGAGCCATGTGAGGACCGAGTCACGGTAGGGCACAAACTCCTCCTTCTTCTTCCTGCCCTTTCCCTCAGACGCATTGGCGAGGGCAGCAATGACCTTGCCGAGTGTCGTGAGCGACTTGTTGATATTGGCACCCTCCTTGAGGCGCGTTCCCTGAAGTCAGTGCGGCTGCACATGGCACTTACCGTGGCGCCAGTTGATGCTTGCCGTTCACTACCTGCCAGGTCGACGAGCGAGATCTTGGACACTTTCTCGCCAACCATCTTGGACTGTGGGTCCCGGCGTTTTTGTGTGAGCTGAGACATCAGCGAGCAGCACAACGCTGACCTACAATAACGGTAAACACGGCATGCGAGCGAGACGATGTTTCGTTCATGTTAGTCGACGCAACTGTCCTCGCCTGCGCGTCAGCCACAGCCGCCGGCAGACACATGCCTTGTTGCCCTCGTCCATGAGTGTCATCATCTGGGCATCGTTCTCAACAACGAGCTTGCTGAGGTCCTCGACATACGGGCCGAGCGACGGGTGCTCGCGCACCTTGAGATTGCCCTTGTTCTTGGGGTTCAGCAGGTCGCGCACCCTGATGTTAACGCGGCTTGGACTTCCGCACCACCGGCCTCCACCCACTTCTCGTTGTAGATCTCGATGTAAGACACTTCGACCGAGTACGTCAGATTTGGATCCTTGGCAGCCTGCTGCTCGACGCGGCGGAACAACTCCGAGGTTGAGAGCGGGATGATACCCTTGTCGCGCCCATCTGTAGCCGTAAGCCTGTGCGGCGACCGAGCCGCAATTCAGAAGACGCACATCCCATCATTGAGTCTGTGCATGTTAGCGAGTGTGCGCGCAGATGGCTAGCGGCTGGTCCAAACGGGGAGGCGATCGCAACGGCCAGGCCAATGGCCATGGTCGCAGCCGCCCCTCGTCCGCAGCCCAGCCACGGTCTTGCACACTCACAACTCTTGCCACTGTGGGTGGAGATCAGTATCTGTCCGAGGAAGCAACATGCGGGATGCGACGTGCGATCTTACCTTCCTGTCTGTCCATCTGTTCCATTAGCACCGCTCGCTTCAGTCGCACGCTACCGCGAGCGAGTCAGAACCCACATGCGAAGATACACGTGTTGAAGCCTTCGAAGCTATGGTTGAGGAGCTCAACGCCGAGGTCGTCGAACAGTGTCTGCTGACTCGCGTACCGTGGGTCATCTTTGGACGAGGCTGACCAGTACGACTTGTCTGGCTGTTAGCGTTGCACGGGTGTGCAGCTCGGCGACAGGGCCGCAGGCGGGGCCGCGCCCTCACCAAACGAGAACACCTGCGGCTTCTTCTCGATCGCGCGGGCGCTAGTCGATTGCACCTCTGGTGGGTCGAGAATGGTGCGGTTACCCTCCATGCGGATGAGGGACTTGGCCCCTCGCGCGATTTCTGGTTGTCAGCACCTGCTGGAAGTAGACGCCGTGCGGCAGCGGGCGTGCCATGGCCTACCTCGCGAGTTGAGAGGTCGGCATCTGGAGCATCAGCATCGGGGGAGCGGGAAAGGTGTGACGGGGGTGGAAGAAGGGAAGGGTGGCGCACCGTACGACGACCTTGATGTTTCCCCCGCCGGACATGGTTGAGTCCGGGGGTGGTCTTTGGAGGTGATGGCGATATTGATGGAGGGAATGGCAACAACAAGATGAGGATGCAGGTGATGGAGGTGATGGAGGAGGAGGAGGGAGTGTGCTGAGAGAGTGCGTGCATGATCAGGATGCATGATACAGGATGCAGATGGCAAAGGCGAGGTCTGAGCGTGGCATCCTCGTTACCCCGCAATTGACGAGTATGCTCGAGCCCAAAATCCCAAGGGTGAGTATTGTGGGGAAGACGCGCCTGACTCAGTGGATGCGTCCCTGGAACCAATCCGCCATGCCCCCTCCCTCCTCCATCCTCTATCCTCGAGCCCATGCACACTGGTCTACTATCAACTTCTCTCTACTAAGCTATGCGATATTCATATCCAAGCAGAGCGGATTACAGAAGGCTCGACACTAGCTCACTATGATTCCTCGAAAGGTGAGTTCACCCGCCTATCGTATGGCTGCTAACAACACTAAACTCAACGGCACCCCCTCACGCTTCGCTTCTAGTGCTTGGGGAGCTCCTTCTCGACGTACTGCGAGCCGATGTAGCTGCGAGAGTTAGCCTACAGTTGTTAAAATTCAGAAACGCTTACCCCTCGAGACCGGAAAGAGCAAGAAGACCCGCAGTCACACCAGCGACAACCTGGTGGTCCCAAGGCTGGACGTCAGCATCATTTCAAGATTCCCTCAAAGCGATGACTCACCTTCCGCCAGTCACGCCATGCGTAGTAGCCAACAGCAGTAAGAACACCGACGTTAACTGTCGCGTTAGCTTGCTCACTCATGAATAACATGTACTCACGGATACCGGCAAGGCCACCGAAGACGTTGGGACGCAGAATGACCTCCTTAGCCTGGAGGTAGAGGCGCGAGCCCTCGCGCTTAGCACGCTCAGCCTCGGCGCGGCCCTCGGGAGTGTCAAGGTACGAGTCCGCAAGGAAGCTCACGCGTTAGTACTCATGTCTTTGATGATAAACTTACCCCTCAACACCAAAGAGAGCAAGAGTGCCGGCGACAGCGGCCGTCACGTTACGGCGGTCCCAAGGGAGGTTACGGTTCTCGTACGCCCAGTAACCCATGCTGCCAAGGAGACCAACGTTCACGATACCCATGAGGCCACCGAGGGTCCCGGGACGGAGAACAACATCCTTGGTCTTGGCCCAGAGAGCAGCGGCAGCAGTCTCAGCCTCGTCGAGCTCAGCCTAACAAGTCAGTTACCGTTTCCGCACGTCGTGTGCGTCACCACTACCTACCTTGGCGCGCTTCTTGAGCTCGCGGGCCTTCTTCTCAGCCGAGTCGGCGGCGCGGTTGATCTTCTTGCCAGCCTCGTTGGCAGTGTCCTCCAGCTTGCCCTTGGTCTCCTCCCAGTCCTTCTCGGCCGAAGCCTTGGCCTGCTCCCAGTCGTCTTTGGCGTCAGAAGTGAGCTGGTGGCAAGTCAGCAAAGCTGTTATGAATTGCCACGATTACGGGCTTGTACTCACATGGGGCGCGGGGTCCTCGGGGGTGGGTGGCCCATCCCGCAGCTCCTGGCTGGGCTCGGGCATCTCCCCAGGTGGGACTGCAGGCCGTGGTTAGCCCCGCCAGGGCACATTGCCCGAGCTTTCCCAGGCAAAAGCCGCCTGGGTTGGGCCGGGCGGGGTGGAGGGGTTACTCACTGTTGTCCTTGGTCACTTCAGCGTACGACATTGTAGATTAAGAGTGATGGATGAGTTTGATGGAAAGAAAGAGAGATTAAAGAGAGAAACGAGATGTTGATATGAGAAGAAGGAAAGAGAAAGCGGGCGATGATGTCTTTGTGGTAAGAGGGGAGCACCGAGGAGGGCCACGATGAGGTGGGAGGGCCGAGGAGGCGAGGAGGGAATGGGCGGCGGGAGTGGCAGGGATTGGACGACAATCATCGATGACGCTAACAGGTAAAGCAACGGTCGGCGCGGCCGCGCCTCCGCCGCGATCTCTTCCGCCTCCAACCCACGGTGGGAGCTAGGTGCCTTACGCGTTTGCACCGGAACAAGCCAGCAGCCAGCAACGCTTTGCGCACCGCCGATTGCATGCGCATCTTGCCGGCCGGGTGACGCCAGCGGCGAAAGCATGTGTCCATAGTAAATGACTGGTCGCTGCATCACTGGCTCGGCTCCAACGGCAAGCCGCGCGCCGCAAGAGCATGAGAGCTGAGTGATATGTGGTGGATCGCAGCCATCAGAGGGGCCGAGACCTGCACGCGTTCATTGTGACGTCATTTACATCAGCCCGCATTGTCACACCCCTAACGTTCCCATCTCAGGGCAACAAGAATGACCCAACCCTGCACGGCCAACAACTCACCGATCCCAAGCGCCGATCACACCGATCATGTGGCATTCTTCGGATTCCCAACAGATCACGTGACTGTTGACGCACGTGGGAGCCACGCTATTCACCGAGCACGTGACTTTTATCACTGTTTGGATCATGTCATGATCAGACTTCGACGCGTCTCACGTCTCCAACATTACCTCCCATCCTGTCGCCGCGTTCAACCCTTCAACCCACTCCAGCGTGACCGGCCCGGTCCTCAAGCGCGCCTCTCCAACGCCCGGAGTCATTAATATCTCCTTTGCACTCCAATACGTGTTGTCACTGTCTCCTCCCCGACTATACTGGCTTTTGTGAAGGGAGCTGCACGTCACCTCGCCCCTTCCCTCGTCGCCTCGAGGGAAGGTCAGGTAAACTCTCAACTCCTGGCAATGCTCTTGTCGGACGACGACATCGGCGGCTTCAACAATCCAATCTACTTATCAAGTGGGTCCTCAGGTACGCCACTCAACGACGCCGCCTCAACTATCTCGTCACTTAGCGATATGGATCTCGAGAGGGCGTTGAGGGAGCTGCGGGCCAACGACGCGCGAAGTGGCAATGCCAAGGCCGGCCCCTCGCGCATTAAGCCTCCCACAGCTCCACGCTCTCCCCGTGCTGCTGGCAAGCGTCGTAGGATCGACGAAACGCTTGTTTCTGGGTATGACTACTCCGAGCGGAGCAAGAAGAAGGTGCACCCAACAGCAACCGCTTCTCAGTCTACCCTCACAACGTTCATTAAAACGTCGCCTAGCAGTAAAAACAACTCTCAAGGCGATATTCGTTTGGGCGGACCCTCACGGAATGCGCCTTCTTCCGTTGTATGCCAACCCTTCCCCAAGACCGCCCCGGGCAGTCAGCCAGCACCTTCGAATCAGCCCGGCAGCCAATCGTCATCTATAAGGAAGCTAGGCGGCTCATCAATTGAGGATGCCATTGAGCTCGATTCCGATTCCCCCTCTAACCCGCAGCCGGCATCTCGAGGCCATGGTTCACGCCCCTCGTCGCGCTTGCGGTCTCGGCCTCCCTCCGTGCAGGTCAAATCAGCGACTCCGAAAAGGCAACGATGGAGGCCGAACAACAGCTCACTACCTATTGTGGTGTCCGACTCTGACGATGAGATTCCTGCCCCACGGCCTTCCCAGCGAGGTTTGACCTCCACATTATCACCTCAGAAGTCTCTGAGAGATCAGCGGATTCTCGTGCCGGAGACCATCGTCTCACCGGTCCGGGGGCGCATACTAGTTGACGAGACTGTCCCTCCACGCCCTCGCAACACCACCACAATTGCGACACAGACAACTCTCGTCCCCGACTCCGCCGTGTCTTCTGCAGGTGCTGTTGTCTGTGACGACTCGGTCTTTCCAGAACCTGGCCCACTTCGTCGCCACTGCAGGAGTCGTTCCGCCGTGACCCCGGAAGAGCGGCGCGAGCGGCAAAGGCGCGCGAACCAAAAGGCCATGACACCCGCTCCCATACCTGAACTTCCGTCCATCCTCGATGGTCTCGCCAAAACACCAACGCCTAAGAAGCCGGCGCCTCGGGAGACGGCTCCGCCGCCTGATTTGAACCCCTCCAGGCGCCGTCTGTTCACCGCTAACCTCGACGACGAGAGCTACCGACCCAATCCCGGCACTGCGTTTGCTCGCCCCGTCAAGCCAGCCAAGGTGGCCGCTTACCAAGCTAGCAGACCCCGGCGCAGCGTTCCGGAACAAGGCAAGTATGCTCTACCCGCGGTCGACACCCCGATTCACCAGTGGCCATCAAAGCCGGGGACCTCACACAATGCAACCTCGAGTAAGCGCAAATCGACTGAACACCAATCCAAAACTCCGGCCCCAATTGAGCGCAAGTCGAAGACGCCGGTGGCGGCCCAGCGTAGATCCAAAACACCAGCGGCGACGGAGCGTAATTCCAAGACGCCGATACCAGCTGAGCGAAAGTCGAGCACGCCTACCATCTCGTCCCGGAATCGCACTCCCGCACTGCGGACACCTTCTAAGGCCGTCGCAGGTCTTCACTCCCCAGCGAAGGCGGCACCGCACAAGCAAACGTCTCTCGCGCCGATCGCGCCCAAATCTGTTACTCCTTCTCGCACGCCTGTCACTTCGCAGCGGCGGCGCTCTCGGTCTCTCTCAAGTTGCTTGACTCCGCTCCCTCCAACTCAGCTGCCAGTCCGCAGTCCTGCCAACATTCAACGTGAACCCTCAGCTTCCAGCCCGCATACATTGCCGTTAGAGGTCGAACAGTCGGCATCACGCAAGGGCGGCGAAACGCCTGGCGCGGTTGCCCAAGCCCTCCCCCTGGAATCTGAGGCCGAAGGGGCGGGTTCCGCCATCCACGACGACGATGACGGGTCAGACTTCGGAGTGAGTGCTGGCAATATAAGCGGGGTGCTGACTTTCAGTTGGACATGTACGCCGACTTTGCACAGTTTGCTGGCAGTCCTTCGACACAGCCACTTCTCAATACGCCTTCAAAGTGCAATCTCATCAGACCCAGTAGCTCTCCGGTTGCTATGAAGACGTCCCGCTCTCCGATGGCCTCCGAAGTGGGAGTCGTGAGCGGGATCGGCCCTTCCAGTCCTTACCATCACATCCCTAGATCGTCTGGGGCGCGTCTGAGGTCGTCACAGTCGCCACTGTCTCCCACTGCGCGCCTGCAGGCCGAGGATCATCAGCGTGAGCGCAAGCTGGCAGAGGAGCGCGAGCATGCGCAGCAGGCTGCTGCACAGCGTGAAGCCGAGAATCGGGCGCGGTTAATGGCCATGAGATTCCTTGAAGGAGACAGCGATCAATCTGACGACGAGCAGGAGATTCGCTTGTCGCAAATCTTTCAGTATGTTGCGCACCGCTTTGAAAGGGTAGTCATTGACACACAGGGACATTGCCAGAAGCCCGTCACCAGGTCCTAGACGCTCCACCAGACAGCGCCACTCCATCTCCAAGGTCTCAGACTACACTGAAGACCTACCTCAACGACCCCAGCTCTCGCCCAACAACAAGCACGCCTTGTTGTTCAAAGAGCTCGACCGCGATGTCAAGCGCGGTACGACCACTGCGCATATTGAAGCGGCGTGTTCTGCTTCTGCAAGCCCAGAGCGGCGCAAGCTCGACCTTGCGAGCATCAGCGGCGTTGACGGCCAGGTGCTGGCGGAGGCGCGGCGCGTCCAGCTGGAGGCCGCCCGAAAGGAGGAGCAGGAGGCAGTGTATGCGGTATTCTGGGAAGATCTCAGGCTGGCAGAGGAGCGACCATTGCTACCATTCTGCTGTGCCTACGAGGACCCTGCTGTGGAAATATTGGAGGAGGTTTACGACGAGTCGACACTTTGCCAGCTCATCTCTTGTCTCCCCATCCCGGAATCGACTGAGACTGTCCTAAACCAGTGGCTTCTCGAGTTGGGTGAGTCCGTGCTCGACAATCGATGCTGACAGGTTCAGCCTTTTGTGCTCACGACGAAGAGCTGGCTTACACTGCTTTGGAGCGCGTGCTTGAGAACATTGCGAGCGCGAGGACAGAGCCGGTCGAGCCTCCGGAGGGCTTGTTTACTATGATGACCTCGGCTTGGTTTCAGCTCGGAGGCAAAGTGAGACAGTCAGACCGACATTTCGGTCGCGTCGCTCGCGACCGGGCCACCGCAAGCTCTTACATCTGCCGCATCGCCTCGACTGCAGCGAGGTTGGTAATGAGCCTTGGTATTCGCTGACCTTAGCAATGGCTGGCTTGATGCTCAGTGCACGGGGCTGATGCTCTGCCACCTTTCCATCCTCGCGAGCGATTCCTCGACCAGCGCGGCTCTGAGGCGCGAAATCGAGGCGACCTCAGCGGTCCTGTTTGAGGCAGCCTCAAAGTCTGACGAGTACAGTCACATGATTGCGAAGCGGCTCACATCCCTCCCGCTTGTCCCTCAAGTTCGCGCTCTACATACCCTTGGGCAGAGAAACAGCGCGACACGCGCAGCTGTGCGGTGGGTTGCGGCGAGCTTGTTACTCCCAGAGGATTTGGAGGACGCCACAGATGGCAACCTTGAGCGCCCCAGTGTGCATCACATCGTGCAGGCCCTTAACTGTATCGAGGATGAAATCCGCTCCGAGGACGCTGAATACGGACGCATCAGCAACCTCCTGGCACTGTGGTGCGCCGGCCTGACCGATATCGACGACGGCTGGGCCCGGGACCCCGAGGCCAAGCTGTTGGTGCAAGACACTGTGCGAGTGCGGGACCTGGTGCGCGAGAACCCGGAGGACCCGGCGACGAGCGAGGTTAAGGGCCGCCTGCAGCTTTTTCACCACATTGTGAATCTGCATGTTCAGGCTGCCACCGATCGTGAGCAGCGCGCTCGTGTAGCAAGCATGGGGCTCGAAGTGGGTAAGATGGGACAGACGAGGCTGAGCTTTGGGTTGGGGGAGAGTAAGGACAACGAAGAGTGATGTGGTGCAAAATTACGGGTAGAAATAGACGTAGAGCGCACATAGTGCATGGTTGTATATATATTTTGGCATTGTAATACTCTATGAACCGGTGAGACTAGTCGTCAAACTCATCGCGCTTGCGCTTCATCTCGCGTGTTATCTTTTGCCTGGCTGCCTCGTGGCGCGCCAGCTCGGGGTTCATTGTTGACCGGGCCGACTTCTGGATCTCTTGCTTAAGATCGAACATGACCTCCTCGTCGTTGTTGTCGAGGAACGTGATGGCGAGACCCTCCTTGCCAGCACGGCCGGTACGACCGATACGGTGGACGTACTTCTCGATCGTGTCCGTCATCTGCCAGTTGATGACGAGCGACACATCGGTGATGTCGATACCACGGCCCGCAAGGTCGGTAGCCACGAGGACTTCGACGTCGCCATCGCGCAGAGCCTTGAGGCTCGCCTCGCGCTGCTCCTGGTTCTTGCCCGAGTGGAGCGTCGTCGCGCTCCGCCCCGCTTGCTGCACGTACTTGACGACGACGTCGGCCGTCGTCTTCTGGTTGACGAATACAATCATGGGCGGAGGCAGGCCGATGTTGCGCAGGATCTCCTGCAGGCGCGCCTTCTTCTTCTCCTCGCCGCTGACGAACTCGACGCGCTGCTCGACCGTGTCGACCGCCTCACCCGCCGTGCCGATGGTCACGGTCGCCGGCTTGCGGAGGTACTTTCTCGTGAGGCGCTCGACCGCCGGCGGCATGGTCGCCGAGAAAAGTGTCATGACGCGGTCCGACTTCTCGCCCTCCTCCTTGGGCCGGGGCATGGCGTCGAGGATGAACGTCAGGTCCGCCTCGAAGCCGAGGTCGACCATCTTGTCCGCTTCGTCCATTACCACGTACCGGCACTGCGACATGACGAGTATGCTCTTGTCGATCATGTCCTTGAGACGACCGGGCGTCGCGATAACGAGGTGCGCACCGTTGCGGAGGTTGAACTGCTGCTCGTCGACGCTGCGGCCACCAACAATCGACACACAAGTGTATCCGAGGGGCCCGCAGAACTTTGCCGCTTCGGCCTCGATCTGCTGCGCCAGTTCACGCGTCGGCGCGAGAATCAGGGCATACGGGCCCAGGTGGCGGTTGTCATCGTCCAGCGGCGGCAGCCGCGAGATGTACGTGAGCATGGGGATCAAGAACGCAGCAGTCTTCCCGGAACCTGTTTTGGCGAGACCGACCAAGTCGCGGTTCTGCAGACCGATCGGGATGGCCTGCCGCTGAATCGGCGAGGGCTCCGTGTACCCGATCGTGTCGACAATATCGCAGATGTTCTCGGGGATCGCGCTCTCGCGCCACGTACGCAGCGGGTTCGGAATGCTGCCCCCACGAGACGAAATGCTGTAGTCCTCGCGGAAGATACGCCAGTCGCGCTCCTTCATCTCGCTCAGGGGCTTCTCGCTCCAATGCCGGTCGTCGTTACCGCCCTTGCCGGCACGCCGCCGTTCCAGCGCATCTGTGAACTTGCTCTCGCCAGGAGCGGGTGAGCCCACACTACTCGCCGCGGCGCTGCGGGGCAGCTCCTGTCTAGGCGCCCAAAGGGGCTGCGCCGACGTGTCGTCCGCCGCGCTCCAGTCGAAGATGGCGTTCTTGTTCGTCGCCTTGCGCATCCACGGCTTCTTCACCTCCTCCTTCTGCCCAAGATACCGCTTCTTGATCGTATCCAGCTCGTCGCCCGTCCCAGCACCGTTGGGTGCGCCATTCCGACTTGGCCCAGCGCCATTCGCGCCGCGGCGGTCATCCCGCCGCCCCCCGCGGCCGGGGCCTAGCCCCTCGCGCCGGTCATCGAAGCGCCGGTCGTCCCGCCGCCCACCGCGGTCGCGGTCGCGATAGTCGCCGCCGCGGTAGTCGAGCCCGCCATCGCGCGTGTCACGCTCCCTGTCGCGCTCGCGCCTGGAGGCTTCGGCCCTCCGCCGCTCCTCGGCTGCAGCGCGTTCCAGCCGTTCCCGGCGCTCGCGCTCCGCCCGCTCCTTCTCCTTGGAGGACGAGGACTCGAGGGCAGCTTTCTCCGCCGCGAGCTTCTCGCGCATCGCCTTGGTCATGAACTTCGGCTGGGGTTAGTGCTGATGTTGCTCTGACGCACCTTTGCAGCGGCCTCGCGTTCGGCCTTTTGCTTGGCGAGGATGTCCTCCACGGAGAGGGGACCGGCCATTGTGCAGGTTGTGGTGGAGAGGTGGAGGAGAGTAATCTAGTTGGGTGGCAAGTGGTGGACAGGACCAAAGTCGGCAGCGGAGGCAATTGGAGACCTCCGCCGCGGAGATTTCCCGGAGTCCGGACCGAAGTTGGGGAAGTACAAGAGCAGGACCATGGACGTCATGAAATGTCCTACTGTTTTGTCCTGTTCTCACACACTAGCACAATGCCCAAGGCCATCATCGCCCCCTCGGTCCTCGCAAGCGACCTTAGCAACCTTGCTAATGAGTGCAAGCGCATGCTCGGCGACGGTGCCGACTGGCTGCACATGGGTGAGTGTTGTCGGCGAGGCCTTGATGGAGCGGAACGCGTTGAAGGAAGGAGCAGCGCCACCTCATCAACGGACTAGGTGTGCTAGGCAGCCACTCTGTATGGTCTCCCAACTCTCACTAGCTTGCCTATGACAGGCCGAGGGTCTGACCTGCATATCGCTGCTCTTACGAGCTATCGACTGTGGTAGTAGCTCGCACCGCCGTCGTATGTGGGCTGGCTGGCACGCCAGATAAGCCTGAGCCGCCTGCCGTGCTGAAGTCCTTGTGCCCCAGCTGCACGCCGCAGACGCCCTCCTGCCATGTACACTGACCCCAGACGTCATGGACGGCCACTTCGTGCCCAACATCACCATGGGCCCTCCAATCCTCTCTTGTGTCCGCGACAACGTGCCCAACATCTTCATGGACTGCCACATGATGGTGGCGGACCCGGCCAAGGTGTGTGTTTGGGCGAGGATGGTGGATAGCGGGCGTGAGCCGCTGGCGTGTGGTGACGCCGAAAGTGTCGGGAGCTGTGCGATAAGCCCAGCAGCTTGACGGCATGGCTATGCGCAGCTCTGAATGAGGGATGCGTAATGGCAACAGCTGACGACAGTGGGTGCCCGACGTCGCCAAGGCCGGCGGCAAGCTGTACACTTTCCACTACGAGGCGACGGGTGAGTTTGTTGTGAAATTTCGGGGTGTTTGGGGCGGTCAGACCGCTTGCCTGTTCAGAGCGAGGTCTGAGCGGATGGGGCGGACTCAATCCAGCGTATGTGAGCGGAGGGCGGTATGCCGGCCGCGTCACCCGGACGCACTTGCTCATCGGTGCCTCCGCACCTCCGCACCGCGCTCTGCTTTCCCGCACCTCGCCTGCAAAGGTGATGTGAAAGCGCCCTCGTTTGCCGATGCCCCTCCTGTGCCCTCTCCGCTTTCGTACTACCCGCCCACGGCCCCGCCCAGCCCCAGCTAACCCCAGACAAGCCGATGGACGTCATCAAGCTCATCCACGAGCACGGCATGCTGGCGGGCCTGGCGATCTCGCCCGACACGCCCTCTGACGTTGTAACCGACGAGCTGGGCAACGCGGCCGACCACCTGCTCGTTATGACCGTGCGCCCCGGCTTCGGCGGGCAAAAGTTCATGGCCGAGTGCCTGCCCAAGGTCACGGAGCTGCGCGCGCGGTTCCCGGACAAGAACATCCAGGTCGACGGCGGCGTCGGCGCAGGCAACGCGTGCCAGTGCGCCAAGGCCGGCTCGAACGTGCTCGTGGCGGGCTCGGCTGTGTTTGGCGCGAAGGAGCCGCAGGTGACGATCAAGGAGATGCGCACGGCCGTCAACGCCGAGTTCTGAGCGTAAAACAGCGATAATATGAGAGCCGTGCATTGTTACAACACATTGTGTGGTGTGGTCTAACAAATCCTAATGTGTGAAGGTACGATACTTACGAGGCCAATGAGGTGTAGAGGAGAATGTGAGAATTGATACGTGCAAGGATATATTAAGGCGGATCTCCGCCTAGCTAGAGCCGGCGTGCTCTAGCTTGTGCCCAGGCCCACCGCGGGGGGACTGCGCACGAGGCGACATCTGCTCAGGCTCAGCCACGGTGCCGCGGCGGCTGAACTCGCTCTCCATGAGCGTGCTGAGACCCGGCACATTTGGGAGCTTGCTCGCGCTGGGTGGCGTGGGATCGGCCTGGAGTTTGCTGAGGGCAAGCGACAACGCGGCCGGGTTCGCAACAGGCGACTCCATCGACGATGCACCCGAAGAGAGCGAGCGCTGGTGGCCGCGCTTTGGACCGGAGGCAGATGCGTCAAAGCGGGCCATGGATGGGGACGAGTCGCGGCGCGTGGGGCGCATGATCGACGGGGATGTGTCACGGCGCAAAGGCTGTGCGCTCGACTTGGGAGACATGGACTGGGAATTTGTACGGCCGCGAGGACGAACGGGGCCATGATCCTTTTCAGTGTCGCTGTCATACGCGTTCTGATGCGGGCGATTTGTGGTGTTGGTCATGTCTGTAAAAGTCCTGGGGAGACCGGGCATACCAGATATGCCCGAGGCTTGCGAAAACGACATACGCGAGCGCATGCGTCGCAACCGGTCGCCGATGGCGGCCTCCTCGGCCTGCTCAAGCTCCTTTGGGAGCATGACTGCACGGTCAATCTGGAGTCAGTGGCCTTGTTAGAAACGATACGTACAGCGACTGGCAGACCGCGATGACGGCCACGCAGCATGACGACGATGATGACAAGCTTTGAGAGCTTCCGCATTCCTCCCACAAGAGAGAAGTTGTCGTAGGTGACGCCCAAACTCAGACCGACAGTGCCGTACGCACTGACGAGCTCAAAGATGATGTTGAAGACGTTCATGTACTCCCACTTTTCCTTGTCGTTGAGGTTGGGCCGCTCGATGATACAGACGAGGAACAGCGCGCCAACAATCCACCACATATCGAACGCAAGCTGGCGACGAGCGCTACAAGTCAGTTGCGCTCGGACATGTGAAACTCACTGGAAGCCAAGGTACTTGGCTACGGCGTTGGCTCCAACTTGCTTGCCAATCTCTTCCTCAGCCTCCTCGAGTTCATCCTCGTCCTCGTCTTCGTCGAAAAGGCCCAGAGAGCGCTCTTCGTACACGTTGGTGGAGCGAACGGACATGGCGATGGGGTAGACGGAGATGTACATCATGATGACGAACATTACTTTGACTGCCGGGGCGATGTTGTTCATGGGCACGATCGCAAAGCCAGCCGCGCGCACAGCGACAGACTGAAATAGCCCGGCGGCGACTCGGGTTCCGATGGGAATGGCCTCGACGGCCTTTGTGCCAATGTCCAGGACCATGAAAGTGAAGAAATCGATGCAGGTGAGCAAGAGGACGACAACGGCCAGGAACCAAGTGGTGGTCGACGGGAAGAGGTAAACGAAGCATCGACGAGGGTGATCAAGGAGAAATTTCAGCGATTCACGCATGGAAGACCCGGCCGGTACAGTCTTCCACATAACCCAGATAATGAAACGGAGAAGAATTGGGTAGCAAGTGTTGCCGAAGAGGATAAGCATAGCCACAACTGCATGTTAACGCGGCCAGCAAATAGAAACTCACCAAAGTTCATTAGGTACGCCTCCTGGAACTGGAGAAGTGACAGATCTGCGAGACTCATGCCAAGGTTGGCAAAGCCGGAGTAGGCCTGGAAGAAGGAGAACCATGGTACTCGGACGTGCTTGTATTGATCCTCAAAAACCCAGTTGTACCGACCTCCCGCCGCGATGTAGGGCGCAATGATTGTGGCACCCGCGAGCGGAAGCGCAATCCAGTAACACAGGACGATCCAAAACAGGAGCTTCAATGCGCGATACTCCACGCCACCGAGCTCGTCCATCTGCTCTTCAGTCAACCCCTTGAACTTGGAGTTGCGGCCAATGACGGCGGAGAACGATATATAGGGCACATGCTGCTCGTCGCCAGAGTGAATGCTGTCACGTCCCGCGATGGTGTTGGTTCGAGGCATGGTTACGGTCTCGTGCAACTTGGTGGCGGCGCGAGGAAATGCCTTGCGGAAACCCCTGGAAAGTAACTCAATCGGGGTAGGGAATCCACCGAAGCCTGTATACCGCGCGTCGGCCATGGTGCTCTGTGGACGAAGCGAGTACGTGCGCGGAAAGGCACTCGATCCCATGGTGGTAGTCCAGGGAATGGCATTGCTCGACGGCATTGTCGTGGTGCGCGGCATGGTGTACATTGGACGACCATTCTCGCCCATGGTGAGCTCGTGCGCGAAGCCATCATCAGGCTCGTCGAAAGCAATGGTCTTCGAGCGAGGAAACGCCTCCTCACCAGCAGTCGTCCCCGAGTATGGTCGTCGCGTAGGCTCTGTTGCTGGTGGCGCAAGGGCGGTACCGGCTCCGCTCCCGCTGTCATTGGTAACGATCCGGCCGAGTGGGCCCGCCATGTCGAGAGGACTCAACAGCGTTGGACTGGTGCGTAGCTCATCTTCACCAGAGTCGCCGTCCATGCTCCTCTTCTTGCTGTCGTCACTGGTCCCGTTCTCACTCGGAGGGTTTACAAAGGTGTTGAGCTTGTGGCTGTCATTCTTCCGGGCCTCGCCGTGATCAGGAGAGAGAGACCGACGAGGTGTACCGTGAGCAGAGGTCAAGGGTGTAGGCATTGGAGTTGCAATAGGAGTGCCGTCGTACCAGCCCATCGGGTTTACCAGACCGACGCCTCCGCCATCAACACGCTTGATCATGTCCTTGTTAATCGGGCCCTTGCCCTTATGAGGCTTCTTTGGAGCAGTGTGGGCGCTGCCGTTGGATGGAGCGACCGTTGGCGAACCCGTGACCAACTCTTCGCGCCCAGGGTCCTTGGTGAATCGCTGGCGAAGAGCATTCGGCGCAACCGTCAACGTCTTTGTGAGGCTGAAACCTGGCTTCTCCTTTTCCTGTTGAGCAATGACGTGCTTAAACTTCTGGCGGAAGAAGTACATGCGCACGTAGATCATGACCAACGAAACGAAGATCTGTTTGTCAGCTCGGCGCGACAAGCACAAGCGAGAAGAAACTTGCCAAGCTGCCCATGAGGGTCTGCGCGAACAAGAGGAACTGCTGAAACGTGGTGAGCTGGCTCAAATTGGTTGTAGCCAAACCCGTGACACACATGCACGAGAAGCACAGAAACAGGCAGTCGACATAGGGGATCTTATACTCTCCGTTAACGGCGTATAAGATGCCTGAGAAGATGAGGGGAATCTGGTGTTAGTCGGCGGAAAGGGAAGCATCGTGAATGGCATACGAAAGTGCTGCAAGGTCAGCAGGTGTGTGCGATTGTGATGCGTTGCCGGCCGGCGCGCGACGTACAAGCATAGCAAGTGAAGACGGTAGAAGTTGAGGCTTCCAAGGAGCTCCTTGACCGTCTTCTTAATGGGTTGGGGTAAAGCAGGATGAATCTTGACCATGGCGCGGGACGGGAGGCTGACCGCCGTAGAAGATGTGACCGAGGGGCGCGAGAGGCGACGACGACAACGACCACGACGACTATAGCGAGAGCTCAAAGTGACGCAAGGAGACGCGACGGGTGGAGCTGTGGTTATCGAACCGCCATGTGAAATGGGGGACTAGGAGGGTAAGGAAGGTGAGATGGGCGTGGCGAGTGCACGCGCGTTAAGCTGCAAGGTGCAGGCTGCAGGCTGTTGGGTATAGGTGATGCCCGATGGAAGAAGAAGACGGGAAGTGGATGTGCCGGGTGGAGGTGGTTCGGCGGGTTTGTTTTGGCTGTGGGGGCCGTGGGGGTTCAAGGTCAGACCGACCCGGACGCAAGCTTTGTAGTGGAGATGGAAGCGTCGAAGAGTGCTAGAGGTCGAGGAGGGGAGTTTGGACGGGGTCCGGCGTTTCGGGGCCTCGCGAGGACGACTAGGGCGGAGTGCGGAGTGGAGGTGGATGGCGAGGAAGCGAGGAGCGGTGCGCGATAGTGAGATTGAGATGGACCAGTTGGAGCGAGGTGGAGTACAGTAGTGATTGACCCACTGCGGGCCTCTTGCGGGATCGGGATGGGATGCAGAGGAGGAGAGGAAAGAGAAGAGACGAGTTGGATTCGACAATTGACAAACTCGCGCAGTCCGCGCGCGTTCGAGCTCGAAGCGACAGCACCAAAGCAAGTGTGACTGGCGACCCCTGCCAGAATAACCCACTCGGCTCAATCGATGGGGTCAGCCGCAGATCCCTCCGTCATGATCCGTCACCCACTTTGCGCGATTTTCTTTTTATAGAGTGGGTATACTTACCCTTTCCTAATCATGCTAATCATCCTGATAAATCCCGCAAGTCGCCATCCAATCTCAGGTTAATTCAAAGCCGGAAGCCGTTTTGGCACGGCACTTTGTTGGCACGGCGCCGCGATATGCGATCCCGTACACCCTCAACTTGTGTCCCTTTTCTTTCACACTACTCTCAACCCTTGGGTGACCATGGGTGGCCATGGGTGGAGCATGTGGAGGGGAACGCTCTGATCCCTTCGAGGCTGGTATGCTCCTGCACACAAGTTTTCACGGCGACCTGATTCATCTTCAATTGAAAGAGGAGGGCGACAAACAGTGTGAGGTGCATGAGCGCTAGACGAGAGAGCATCATAGGTGCTTCTCTGATCTCATGAGATGACCTAGGTAGCTAGGTTTGGAGACCGAGGTGCCAAGGAGTTCGCTTATCTCCCGCACAGAGTGTGATCTGGCACGGCTGTCTTCCTCACGTCTCGTGCTTGACGCGATCGATGCGATCCGGGCGACAGGGAAAAACGCCTCTCAAGGCGATGCAAATCCGCAGTCAAGGTTCCGATGCAATCTCCATTCCGCAGGACGTGGGGCAGTATTAAACACGTGCACTATCAGAAAAGCAAATGACAGGTGTAAACCACGAGGACAATCACCTTATGGTCAAGGTCGTCTCCACGTCATTCTAAGCCCACGTGATTTTTAATGGTAAGGCATATTTAAAGAGCGGCTGGGGCACGGATCGTGCGGTGGCGTATGGCTTGGAACTGCGGTGCTGCTGTCAGAGTCTGGGCCATCTGGGCATGCTGGGCAGAAGGAAGGTCAGGATTCGGCCCTCTATCCGATCCCGCCGTTCTACAGGTCGACGACTGGCTCTCTCGCTGCCTCCAACGCACCCAACGCTATCTCCCTGTCGTCGCACTACGTCTCTTCCAGCTCCCAGCCTCCTGCACTAGGCTGCTCTCCTCCTCGCATCCCATCACTCCCCCATCCATTATCATCATCCCTCTCTCCTCCACGCCTTGCACGCGCATCCCTCTCTCTGCCCATCTTTTAACTTTCTACACACAGCACGGACCGGACCAGTGTCGCGCCTCAAACCTCGCTCAATCACTACTCTTGACATCCCCTCCCCCTTTCCTCCTCCCCCTTTGCACGCCTCATCCCACTAATTTACCCCACCCCCACCCCTAGCATCCACTCCGAACACGCCACGTCAAACTCGCCCGTTCGGATTTCGTACCTCTCTCTCTCCGCTCCATTCTTTATCTCTTCAACTCAAAACTCACTCCATCTCCAACGCAGGCCCTAGCTCATCTGCTGCCGACAACGCCCCATGTCGCTTTTCGGTCAGGCAAAGCGGCACGCACCGCCAAAGCCTCGCCGCTCCCCCCTCCCAGTCTTCGCAGGTGACTCGGAAAAGTTTGGTCTCTCGTCCCCAACCACCACCGCACCATCACTAGGCTTTGCGTCACGATGGGTCACCTTTGTCGTCGTCCCCATACCCGGTAGTCTGCCTTTCGGATCGCGCGACTCGCCTGCTTTGGGCAACGGCTATGGTCAATCCAAGACGTTCTACAGCCAGAATCGCGGGGGACGACACATCCGCATCCCGCTCCCTATCCCTCCGCGATTGTTTGCGCGAATGTTGCGACTGCACCCACTCCTCCGCATCACACTGGCCGCAATCGCGATCGTGGTTATACTCATCTTCTCCTTGGGCATGAGGAAAAGCGGCCCGGCCGGGAGAAAGACGTGGATTCCGCTCAAGGATCCCAGCACTCTCGTGCTCTCTCCCCCAGAGGTCGCAAAGATCTGGGAGTGGGAGGTGCTGAGCGGTCATCACCCCAGCCTTGCAGAAGGTGAGCCAGCCTCCCGCGGCAATGGCGCAACGTTGAGCTGATGTTTAGTCCCTGCGAGCGTCCCCATCCAGCAGTCGCTCGTTAATCCCATCGTTCCCGCATCCCTCCTGTCCGCTGCGAAACCGACGTCCAAGGCCGGAGAGTTGCAGCGCACTCCGATCGACCACCGTCACCCACTTGTTGGCAAAGGGCCAGCACGCCGCTACATCACCCCTTGGGACAAGCCGTTGCGGTCACCAGGCTTCCCTCCTAGGCCTGTGCCAGGCGCCGTCATGGATCTCGACATCATTGTGGACAAGTGTGATTTTGGCACCAACAAGGTGGGTCACGCGGCCGAGGCCCCTGCTCATTCCAGTATGTCCGTGACTGCCTGGAGCTTCTCAGGATAGGAGGCAACCTTGACAACGGCAAGCGTGTTCGACGGGGCAACTACCTCGCTCCGTTCCGTCAGATGTACCTCGAGGAGGAGTTTACGCCGGCTGACGAGAGGCAGTGGACGCCACTGCCTCCGGCCACGGAGCCGCGCTCGCCTGGACTTTCGAGGGCCCCTCTGACGCTCTCGCCTCCCAACACTGTGACACCGGCGTTCACATCGCTCGAGGATCCCTGCGACCCTCTGCACCCACGCATCTTCCACATGTTCTGGGCAGGCGCATTTACGGATAAGCCATACATGGCCGTCATGTCGTTCCTCTTCACCCAGAATCTTGGCCTCGACCGCAGCCCCGAAGCCTCCACGTCATCGACGGTGCGCAAGACGTGTCGTCCGCAGTTCTGGGTGTGGATCAACCCTGGGCCTGCCGCTGCCGTGCCCAACCCCTCGGCCGAAAGAGAGATGTACGAGACGCTCGCCACCAACCCCTGGTCAGCCCCATTCCTTCACAAGCGGTTCCGCGACGTGGTCAAGTTCAAGATGTGGAACACGACCGATCAGCTGGACGGAATTCCGGAGATGAAGCCGTACTGGCGCGACATGCCCATCTTCAACTCTGGCGGCAACGTGTACAAGGAGGGCAAGCTCAAGCAGCCGGAACCTGAACAGGAGGCGGAAGCGGAGACCGATGCGGAAACGATCGACGTGGAAAGCGAGGGTGAGGTTCAAGCCCAGGCCGAGGCCGAGGCTGGGGCCAACGCCAACGCCGAGAGCGCCCCAAAGAAGAAGAAGAAGAAGGGCGGGCTGTTCGAGAAGGTTGGTTCGTCGTCGGAGAGCGACTACGACCGGCTCTCGGTTATTCTGTCGGACATGGCGCGCTTCGTCCTGACGTATCGATACGGTGGCATCTACCTGGACGCGGACACGCTCTTCCTGCGTGACTGGGAGGAGCTGTGGAATTACCGCGGACAGTTTGCATACCGCTGGAGCTGGCATCAAAAGTACAACACGGCCGTGCTCAAGTTGCACAAGGGCTCGGCACTGTGCACGTTCCTGTTCAAAACGGCATTGGAAAACGGCCTCGACTTCCACCCGATGACTGTGTCGCGCTACCTCAAGGACGCGGGGCTGGACAAATTGCTAGTGCGCGTTCCGGACGCGCTCTTTGACCCCGCGTGGCTCAACATGGAACGGTTCCAGAGGGATCGTCCTCCATTCCCCTACTTCCCCGAGTTCTCCGTCTTCTTCTCGAACGACGAGTTTGACACGGCGGGACCCGAGCAGCTCGGCTTTGACGGCTTCTTCCGTGGCTCGTATTCGTACCACTTCCACAACTTCTGGTGAGTGGCGTGCAACGTCTTTGCGCCTAACAACCTTTGCTAACACTACAGGTGGCTGCCGTTCGACCCGTCGCGCAACTGGCCGGATCTCGGCGAGCGTTTCGCGAAGGGCGAGATGGCGCTGCGCGAGGCGCAGCGGGAAGCGGCGTCGTCGTCCAAGGCCGCGGCGGTGCGCACTATGGCGGAGGAGGAGGAGCTAGACGAGGACGAGGCTACCGGCGGCGTGACGAAGCGCGAGGACATGGACGACAAGCTCGACCTGAGCTGGTCGACCGTGCTCAAGCGTACCTTTGAGGCGTATGTCCGCGGCGACCGGCCCAACATGTACGGCGAGTGGATCAAGTGGTGAGGGGGAGGAAGCGTGCATGTACGCAGCATGGTGCGATGCCCGTAGGGAATCTGGGCATTGGATAGATGCATTGGCTTCGGATGCGGGGTGTGGCGCTTTTGTTCCAAACTAGCCGAGCTCGCCGTACACTCTGCAATCGTTTCTGCAGCTGGCCATCCACCCGCCATTCCAGCACGCCTGCATACTAATACCTATTATCCTCATACCACTGATTATGCTGCTGCTGCTGCCGCTCCCACTCGACCTGCTGCATATGTATTTCGGCCTGGCTCGGCCCCGTACCGTAAGTATGCGGGTTGTACGTCGGCCGTGGCCGTGCTGGCGCCGGCGGGTGCGCCGCCGCCCGGAACGCTTCGACGGGCTTGCCGCCCGTCCCGCGCACGCCGCACCCGATGACATTGCACGTGAAGCGCTGGTGTGAGACTCTTTGTTTGAGAACGGGAAACGCACGACGATAAAGCCTATGAGGACGAGGGCGACGACGACGACCGCGACGATGATCACGTACTTGACCCACCCGTCGAACTGGAACTCGCGTTTCGCGAGGGTGTGCGGCGCCGCCGCGGCGGGGAGCGCGAGCGCGAGCGCGAGCGCGAGAGCGAGAGCGAGTGTGAGTGCGGACATGGCAGACCCCTGGTGGGCAAGGGCAGATAGAAGATGGAATCAGCGCGAAAGATGCCTCTGCAGCTTTAGCGGGCACGAGTTGGCGGACGGCGACACGGAGTGTGAGCGTGGCTGGCGCGACGCGTCGCGTTCAGGCCGAGGATCCTGCTGCAGGACGGCGAGGCGTGCAGGCGCACGCGGCAGACGAGACAAGGCAGCGCTAGAGCTTGAGCCCTGGACGGGAGTGGGGGATGCATACTTCCGTCTGGCGTGCCTGTAATGTGAGCTGGTGCGGGAGGGGCGAGCAGTATGCTTTCCGTGATAAATCTTATCGTGCGAGTACATGTCAGCGTGGGAGAAGCAAGCTGGCTCGGCTGCCTAATCTGACAGAGCAGCGCCAGCCTGGTTGGGTGATGCGTCGCGAACGGTACGAGGCGGAGCTGACGCATAGACAAAAGAGCGCTTGCTCCGTTTGCGTCCAGCACTGCACCACGTACAGGGCGTAATTGGGTGTTGGCTTCAAGGCTGTGAGGATACTCTCGGCGAAAATGGGAGACCGGAAGGGCCTGACGGTCGACGGTGAAGAGTCATGTTGCTCTGCGGCTGACAGCCGAAATGCTGGCTCGACGGTCCGTCTGTCTCCACGCAGGACGTGTAGCCGGAGCGTCTTGGCCGGGCTAGTTGCTCGGGGATGACACCACGTCCTCGCTGGGGCCGCATGCGGCAAGCACCTAGTCTGGCTGATCGAGAGGATGTACAGCGTCGTGGATAATGACGGCCATGGGCGCGGGGCGAGTCATAGCTACTGGCGTGGATGTCGTGTTTCGATTTGTTATGCCACTCTGAGGCACGTATTCTCTGTGTTCGCGGCAGACGGTCAGTGTCTCGAGCGCAAAGTGGCGGCGGACGTGGGGTTCATCGGCACAGTAATCCAAGCGGGCACGGAAATCAGTCGTAGATAGTGAGCGGCAAGAAGGTAAGTATATGCACTAGCTTAAGATGCGAGTGAGAGGGACCACCGGGACGACGGCGGATACGTGAGTAAGGCTTGCATTTGAGTGTGGCGAAAAGCGTTGACTGCCGAAGTGGCAGGATCGACGCTGATCACCGCCACTGTCGATCTCGCTGAGGTCAGTCTCGTGAGACCCATGGTGCGGAAAACTAGCCACTGCATTTGGCCCACCTCCGTAACCCACAGATCGCTTCGACACCAGCACCTCCTCCTTTTACCTCCACCAACTTCCCGCTATCGAGCAATGCATTCATAATGGGGCGAGGATCGAGAGGCGCCGGCGCGCCCCCTCCTCGCTGTCATCTTCCGGCGCCACAAGAGATACAAGGTACACTATCACGGGACGCTCAGAAGTTGATGGGCTTGCCGTGGGCGGCCATGGCGGCCTCCTTGAACGCCTCCGACAGTGTGGGATGCGCGTGGCAGGTCGCGCTGACGTCCTCTGATGAGGCCCCGTACTCCATGGCCAGGCACGCCTCGGCGATCATCTCTCCTGCGTTGGGGCCGATGACTAGAGTGTGAGCCGGTGTACATGCGGAGCAGGGTCAGTAGACTTACTGTGGGTGCCGAGGATACGCGAGGTGTCCTTCTCCACGAGGTGCTTCACAAAGCCCTCAGTGTCCTGGTTCGTCTTGGCACGCGAGTTGGCGGCGAAGGGGTACTTGCCGACCTTGTACGCAACGCCGGCCTTCTTGAGCTCCTCCTCAGTCTTGCCGACCCAAGCGACCTCGGGGTGAGTGTAGACGACCGAGGGGATCACATCGTAGTTGACGTGGCCGTGACCGGTCTTGATGTACTCGACGGCGGCGATACCCTCCTCCTCAGCCTTGTGGGCAAGCATAGGGCCAAAGGTGGCGTCACCGATGCAGCGGATGTTCTTGACCGAGGTGTTGAACTGGTCGTCAATGACGACACGGCCCTTCTCGTCGACCTCGACGCCAATCTTGTCGAGGTTAAGGCCCTTGGTAACGGGGCGGCGGCCGATGGCCACGAGAAGCACGTCGGCCTCAAGCTCCTCCTCCTTGCCGCCCTTAGCCGACTCGACCTTGACCTTGACGACGTCGCCCTCACGCTGGCCGCTGACGACCTTGGTGTTGAGCTTGAACTTGAAGCCCTGCTTCTGGAGCGACTTCTGGAAGGCCTTGGCGACCTCGCCGTCAATGCCGGCACCGCCAACAGCGCCGAGGAACTCGACAACCGTCACGTCAGCACCGAGGCGCGACCAGACCGAGCCGAGCTCGAGGCCGATGACACCGCCGCCAATGACGATCATGCGCTTGGGAATCTCCTTGAGCGAGAGGGCGCCGGTCGACGAGACGATGCGCTCCTCGTCGATCTCAATGCCGGGGAAGGGGGTGACCTCGGAGCCGGTGGCAATGATGACGTTCTTGGCGTCAATCTGGGTCTCGCCGCCGTCAAGGAGCTTGACATTGAGCTTGTCGGGGCTGGCGAACGAGGCCTCGCCCTTGACGTAGTCGACGCCGTACTTCTTGAAGAGATACGACTCGATACCGCCGGTGAGGGCCTTGACCGAGGTCTCCTTAGCCTGGAGCATCTTGTCAAGGTTGACCTTGACCTCGCCGACCTCGATGCCGCGGTTCTTGGTGTCATGGACAATGGTGTGGTAGATGTGCGAGTTGTTAAGCCTGGGCGGCGTCAGCTGACTTCCGTGTCCCGCGCGCGCTCTTCGCGACTTACATGGCCTTGGAGGGGATGCAGCCGACGTTCAAGCAGGTGCCGCCGAGGGCGCCGCGCTTCTCAATGCAGACGGTCTGGGCGTCAGTCGTCTGGTCACTGCCAGCATTCCGCTTCGCGCTCCGAGGGAAGGCGCGAAAACACAACGTACCTTGAGGCCGAGCTGGGCGGCCTTGACGGCAGCGACGTAGCCACCGGGGCCACCGCCGATGATAGCAACGTCATAAGGGCCAGCCTCGGACGCAAGGCCACGGACGCGCAGGAGGCCACGGGCGGCGGCGTACGACGAGGCGGGGTTGGAGAGGGGGCGGAGGAGGCCCGAAGACTGCTTGGTCAGTCATGCAGCGTCATGGGATTTCAAGCTCGAGCGGAGGGGTGGAGGTTGGCACGGGGAGCTGGCCTGTGTGCGCCTCACGACGCCCCGCTCGAGGAGAGTGTTAGCGAGCGTGTACGTACGATGGTTGACCGGGAAAGCATGGTGAGTGAGGAGAGGGGGGGGAGGGGTGAGGATTAGTGGTGAGATGCTGAATGGAGGTGGATTGGACTGGACGAGGTCATATGAACACGGAGGAAGGGAAGCATCTCCTCCAGGTTGCCCACGGTGGAGTGCCTGGCAGCGTTTGGGTGGAAATACCACTGCTCATGCGCCGCAGACGGAGGTCCCGGCCCGCCCACGCGGACCTTGCCTCGCCGAGTAAAACCGTCATCCGCCCCACAAATGTGGCACTCGCCATCCTCCCCCCCCCCCCCCCCAACCTCCTCCCTCTCCACAACACTCATCCTCCAACCAATGCATACACGCGCCTCTCTTTCACATCGTGTTGAGCCAAGAGACCGCGCGATGTTTCAGTATTGGAGCCTCAGAGATGCTTTCATGGAGTCAGTAGCGAGACGTGTCCGCCGGCAACTTGACCACACTTGGAGATACTTGGACGCGCATCGGCATTCCAGAATTATGCATGGCGGAGAGGCGGATGCCGCGGTTCACGTCGGTACTTGCCCACCTGCTGAGTGTCCAATGTCTACGGTCAAGTTGGAAAGAGACAGTGCAGCGAAAACCGGATACTTCTTATAAAGGCAAGCAAGCCAGCACGACTTTTGGTCGTTGTTGGAAACGTGTCAGTGGTTGTTGGAAACGGGACCGTTGGCGGGGTCACTGGGGCCGGGAGCGGAACGACGGATACGGCGGATTGCCCAGGCGCCGAGAGCCGATCCCTCAAAGCCAATCCTCACAAGCCGGCGGCAGGTGCGGCTCCAGCCAACCACAGCACAGCCAGCCAGACTTACAGAGGTGGTGTCACCTTGTGCTAACTCCCTTCTTGTCGCTACATATGCACATAAAAACTGGGGCTAGGAGGTAGGAACAGGGCATCATTCATTGCACTCATGCACGTCCATGCGTCCACTCGTTTGTCGATGCGTCGATGTCCATCTCATTCCTCTCTCACGACACGACGAGATTAGTGTCGTCACCGGTCCCTCGCGTGTGCGTGACCGCGGCATTAGCTCAACCTTTTGGAGTGAGGGTAGACGTGAAGCGGGAGTGGCCAGAGTGGGCCTGGAAGCTGCAAGCACTCGAGAGGCCGCCTTGGAGGGTGGGAAATTGCGAGGCCGGCTGGATCGCGGGTCGAATGATCACAGAGGAAAATGACGAGTGACGTCAGAGCATCTTGACGGACGTCGGTGGTGATGACGACGGGCCTTGCAAGGTGCAACTTGCATCACACACAAGTGGCGTGGCAGCCGTGTTAGGCTGGAAATCCAGACATGCAGACGCGGGAAACGCTACCCACCCCCCACCCCCAGCTACATCATTCAAGTACGAGTGCCATCTCCTGCTCGCCATCCGTTTCTTCATCCTCCCTATCCCCCATAGCATCCACCCCATCCATCAAGAGGTATGAGGTTTGCAAAGCTAGTTTCTGTCGCTCTCCTCCTCGGAGCAGTCGACGCCCGTCTCTTCCGCGAGAACAAGCGTACGTGATTTTTCTCACTACATATGTGCTGACCTCGCTAGCCGTCTACGAGGACTGGAGTCTCGAGGAGACACGCAACTTCCTGCTCGCACAGGGCATCAAGGTCAAGGACTCTGACACCGTCCAGGACCTCCACAAGCAGGCTGCCCAGCACGCGGACGCTGCCACGAACGTGAGTGCTTCGCAAGGCTGTATAGACCGAGTCTAACACACAGTGGGCCGCAACGCAGGCTTCGTATGCCAGCATCTACGCGACCGACGCTGGGGCTGCGGCGGCCGCTAAGGCCAGCGCGGCTGTCAAGGACGTCAATGCCCAGGTCGTTGACGCCTGGGATGAGTCTCAACTCCGCGAGTGGTTGCTCGAGCAGGGCATCATCTCGCCCGCCAGCAAGCCTGAGCAGCTCCGCATCCTTGCCAAGAACAAGGTTTCGCGTCTCTCGTCTGCCATGTTCGGTGGCCCTACCGACACCCTTAAGGCCTCGGGTTCGAGCGCCGCTTCTGAGGCGTCTAAGACCGCCGCCAGCGCTGCCTCTGAGGCATCCAAGTCGGCGTCGAGCGCTGCTGCATGGGGTCAGAAGTCGGCTGAGAGCGTTGCGTCTTGGGGCACCAAGTCGGTGAACAGCTTGGCGTCCGAGGGCGCTTCCCACGCCTCGACTGCTGCCGTCTCGGCCTACAACTGGGCGAGCGGCAAGCTTGACGACACCAAGGATTATGTGTTCAGCAAGTGGGACAACTCGGACCTCGAGGACTGGCTCGAGGTTCACGGCGTCATCAAGCCCCAGCCGGTCAGCCGCAACGGCCTCCTCGCCGCTGTGCGTGAGGCATATGCTAAGACTGTTGGCCCCGTCTACAACTCGTGGGAGACCAGCACCATCCACCAGTGGCTTGTTGACCACCACGTTGTCGCCCCGCCCCAGACCAAGCGTGACAGGCTCCTTGAGATGATGCGCGAGAACTACTTTGACGCCTCGGACAAGGTCTACACCACTTGGGACGACAGCAAGCTCCGCAACTGGCTCGTCAGCGAGGGTGTCCTCCAGACCTCGTCGCCCGAGCTCAAGCACGACAAGTACCTCAAGCTCATGGACGAGCACTACGACAACTCGAAGAACGTCATCTGGAGCGCCTGGTCTGACTCGGACATGCGCAGCTGGCTCGTCAACCGCGGCATCATCCGCTCGGACGCCGACAAGAAGCGCGACGAGCTCGTCAAGTTCATGGAGAAGGAGTACAAGGGCAACACCCGCGCTCCCTACCTCGCCTGGCCTGATGCGCGTATTCGCGCCCAGCTCCGCTCGTACGGTGTCGACGACAAGAAGATCACCGGCCGCACCAGCTTGCTCCAGGAGATGCGTGTGCACTACGTCGAGAGCGAGAACGCTATCACCAAGCTCGTCAACATGGTCAAGGCCTACATCCAGGAGGCTATGGACCTCGTTACGTCGACCATCGGTGGTCTCCTCGGCGTGAGTTTCAGACCAGAAATGGTAGCGGCAGAGCATACGCTGACCTCCAGGCTGCTGAGTTCGGTGCCAAGACCACCGAGGACACCTTCAAGCGCGGCATGTCGTCGGCGGCTTCTGTCCTCGACCGTGCCGTTTCGTCTGCTTCGTCCATGAGCAACGTCCAGTCTCGCAGCGTTGAGAGCGCCCTCTCGTCTGCCTCCCTCGCGGCCTCCAAGTCGGTCGAGAGCGTGCGCTCGCAGGCGCAGGCCTCGGCGAACTCGGTCTCGAGCCAGCTCGCGCGCTCGTACTCGTCCGCGTCGGCTTCCGCCGAGCGCAACGCCGACCCGTCCGCCAAGTCGTCGGCTTCGAGCCTCTCGAAGAGACTCAGCTCCGAGTACTCTGTCGCGTCGGCGTCCGCGCGCGCCTCGGAGATCTCGGCCTCGAGCTCCGCCGCCCACCTCTACACCAGCCAGTCCAAGAGCGCGCAGACCGCCCTCTCGTCCTACTCGAAGAGCGCGGCCAGCGCCCAGGCCTCGGCCTCCTCCCTCTTCGCCCAGGCGACCAAGAGCCTCTCGAGCGTCTACTCTGTCGCCTCGAAGAGCGCCGCTTCCGCCTCGGCGAGCCTTAAGAAGGAGCTCTGATTCCCTAGTCCGTAGTCAGTAGTAAGAGATGGCCGTGTCGAACGGTGTCAGATGTCTCGATGCAAATGTGAAGTAGCACTGTTTTATTGTGTGTCCGGAGGAGAAGTGGAGCGCGTGGCCGGCGCACGGAGCGCTGGAGCGCTAAAGGCCGTAAGTTGACTGTGGACCCGGCGCAGTCCATCTCCGTGTCCGAATTTACGGACGGAGAAGAGAATGAGTGAAGACGTGGTTCTGTTTTTGGCTCTGAGTGACGTCAGGCTGACCCGGGTGCGAGTCAGGTGGCGAAAACAAAGTACGACGGCGATTTCCGCACACCTGCACGGTCGCATCGCCGCGTTGCCTCGTCGACCGGACACCGAAGTAAAGAACTCGTCTCCGCGTCGCTTTCTCCCACGCATCAACTGGCATGCTTTTCATCTCTCACTCATTTCCTTTGGCGCGGAATCCTTATTGAGCACTGAGCTCTGCGTCTAACCCAATCTCTTATCTAACCGACGCCTTCGCACAACCGCCCACCACCACCCCCACCCAACCGCTTCTCTCTCCTCCCCGCCCATGGGTAAGAACAAGAAGAAGCCCGATGGCGGGCGCGACAAGACACCCCTCGAGCCCAGCAAGGGTCCGACGTACACTCTCCGCATCGTCTTCCACTCGGCGCAACACCTGCCCATAGCCGACTTTGGCACCCAGTCCTCGGACCCCTTCATTCTGGCGCAATGCAACGCCGGCCTGCCCACGCGGCACAAGATGGACCCAGAGGTGCGCTTCCGCAGCGCGACTGCGCGCCGCACCCTCAACCCCAAGTGGGACGCCGAGTGGGTCATCGCTGGTGTGCCGGCCCACGGATGCGAACTCAAGGTGCGCGTGTACGACGAGGACAACGGGACGCACGACGACCTGCTGGGCCGGGTGCACGTGCGCACCGGCCCGCTGGAGGAGGGGTTAAAGCTCGAGGGACGCGAGTACGAGCTGCGCAAGAGTGGAGCCGACTGGAGGGCGTGGACGTGGCGCGCGTGTCGCAAGCCGGTGGACGACGAGGCGAGGAAGGAGGCCAGCCTCACCATGTCCGTCGAGGTGTTGGGGCGCACCAAGGTCGAGGTCGGCAAGGTGTACACTGTCAACAGCTTTTGGTGGACGCACTACTCGCCGTTGCTGGGGCGCGTGGTGAACACGACGTCACCGGACGCCGACGACGACGAAGAGTCCGCAAAGTGAGTCGGACGCCAGTTGGCCGCTGACAGCAGCTTCCAAGCCAACCAGCTCCAGCTCGCCGGACCTGTCCCCAACGAGCTGTACCATCGCTACGTCGATTTCCAGATGTACGCGTGGGCAAGGCGATAGTTCGCTGACTACAGGTTCGTCCCATGGATGTTCGAGTCCAAAGGCCTTCGAGGAAGGTTCCTCCACGCCATGCTCCACCGACAACACGAGAGTGTGTACCACTATGACGCGGAGACAGAGTACGGCCGCCTCCCCGGTCCCGGCAAGGCGATGGGACAGCGCTTCCTCGACATGACCTTCTGGGGCCAAGGAAAGCGCATCTTCACCTATGTCATCACGCTGGACGGGTTGATGCGCTTCACTGAGACGGGCCCCGAGTTTGGCATCGACATGCTGAGCAAGCACACGATGCACTCGGACGTCAACGTGTACGTTGCGTATAGCGGGGAATTTTTTGTGCGGAAGTACCGGCCCGACGCGCCCGGCGAGGACGTGGCGGCAAAGTATGAACGCAACAGTCTGGACATTGAGCTCGAGGAGGGGGCGATGCACGGCGAGAAGTCTGGCGGCGGGGAAGAGCAGGGGCTCGAGGTCAAGCCTCGGCAGCGTGGGCCAGACACCAACACCAAGCGGTTTCGGCACGAGCACGGCCGGCGGCGCGCGGCGCGCGACGCGCAGTACGACGTGCCTCCGCAAGAGACGACGCTTCACGGCCCGGGCTCGCGAAGACGCTCCACCGATCCGGCTGATTACGAGCTCGTAATTGACAACGACTCGGGCACGTACCGGCCGGACAAGGAGCTGCTGCCCATCCTGGCAAAGTACCTCTCGGAGCAGTTTGGCGGGCTGCACATCGCTGTGCTGAGCTGTACAGACGACGTGGATCAGGAGATCAAGAAGCGGCGCCTCAAGGCCAAGGCAAAGCGCACCGGACGCCGGCTGTACACGCAGGCGAACAGCTCGAATTCGAGCCTGTCGAGCAGCGACGCCGAGGCGTTCGAGGAGGGCAGGCATCACTTGAGCGGCAGGGAGAAGGGACTCGACTTCGTCACGGATCCCCTCAAGTTTGCGAAGGAGCGGTATCATCACGGCGTGGACAAGCTCAAGCGCCAAAAATCGGGCGAGAGCAATGCCGAGGGCTCCCCGAGCGCTCCGAGCCCAAGCGCGGAGACGCCGAGCGTCGACTCTCCACACGACACGCCAGGTATCAGCGAGAAGGCTGGGCTTGACGCCCGGCGTAGTCCCAACCTCAATCCTAATCATCCCCCTACACAGTCGAGCGACCAAGCGCAGTCCGAGAAGGTGTGAGCGCGTGAGCACCAAGGTTCCCATCTTTCACATGTAGCCACAATAGTTGTCTTGAATTAAAGCGACCCTTCCGCTCTCCATGTCAATCACATACATATGTTACATCATACAGCGGTTGAACTACGCGGGAGGAGCGGGCGCGACGGGGGGCACTCCGAAGCCGCCAGTACTGCCAAAGCCGCCCTCACCGCGCTCGGTGACGTCGAGGTCGTCGACCTCGACCGCGGGCGCCATGCGCACCTCCTCCAGGATGAGCTGGGCGATGCGGTCGCCGGCGGAGACTGTGGTCAGCGTCGCCATGGGTGGTGACTCACTGGAGAAGTCGACGTCCGAGAGGTTGAAAAGGATGACCTTGAGGGGGCCGCGGTAGTCAACGTCGATGACGCCGGCGCCGGTGTCGATCGAATGCTTGGCGGCTGGTGTGAGCGGGGGGGAGGGGAAGGGAGGGGAAGGGAGGGGAGGAAGAGCGGAACGAGGCGCGAGGAGGGCGGAGAGCCGCACGCGGTGAGGGGGGAAGGCCGCCGAAGGAGGCAGACGGGGCGAGGGTAGAGCAGCAAGCAATGCGTCGCTCTGATGCACTCACCAAGCCCAGAGCGGGGCGCAACACGCCCATACGTGCCCTCCGGGAGGGCGATCGAGATGTCCGTGTCGACCATCGCCTTCCCCCGGGCGGGGACGACGGCGGGACGCGACGCGTACAAGTCAAAGCCGGCGGCCGAGGAAGAGCCGCGCGTGGGCACGACGGCCGTGGGCGCGAGGCGCTTAACGCGAAGAGGCTGGTTCTGGTGTCAGCGTGGACGGCGGCGGGTAGCGGTGAACGGCGGAGCGACTCAACCGGAGACACACCCCAGCTTCGACAGCAGCAGTGACTCACCAGCTTGGACGCGCATGCACAGCTAGACGCCGGGTGGATCCACTTGGCGACGGCGCGGGCCGAGGGCATGATGCTGGTGGGGAGCTTGGCGGTGGCCTTCTTGCCTTCGTCGGTGGTCTTGGTGCTGCTGGTGACGGTCATTTTGGTGCGGAGGTGACGAATTCCGAAATCAATGCAATGTCAGACGCGTCCGACGCGTCTGGCCTGCCCCTCAACCTGCCTCGCCACCCGCCACGCGGATAAACCCGCCCATATCTCCGCCGCCACCCAAGTGTCGGTGAGCTGCATCATCTCCACCCTTGACCAGACCAGACTATCATGAGCACCGCGGAGCTGGAGAACGACCCCTTCTACCTCCGGTACTAGTGCGTGATTGCGCGGCCGCGCTGACGGCAGCACCGGACACCAGGGCATGCACGGGCACGAGTTCCTCGAGTTCGAGTATGGGCAGGGTGAGGCGGCGTTGTGCGCCGGGGACTAACGGCAGGCCGGTTGCGCTACGCCAACAACTCGAATTACCGCAATGACTCGTTGATCCGCAAGGAGGGTGGGTTGTAGAGAGGGGAGGAAGGCTGACGCCAGTGTATGTCGGCCCCGCGGTTGCGGACGAGTTGAAGCGCATCGTGCGCGAGAGCGAGATCACAAAGTTCGTTCTGAGATTCTGAGGAAGCGGGGCTGACGCGCAGAGAAGACGACTCGGCGTGGCCGAAGAAGAACGTCGTGGGACGACAGGAGCTCGAGGTCCGGTTGGACAAGGAGCACATTTCGTTCGAGGTGGGTGCGACGGTTTGAGGAGGTGGAGGGAGACGGGGGGAGTGACGAGGTCGTGGCTGTGGTGCGCACGGTTGGGGTGGCAGCGTAGGGCGTGACTGCTGCTCTGGGCTCAGCGCGGGTTGCAACTGCTACCTCAAGGCAACTCTCCACCAGCTGCAGGCTCGGAGGTCGACAGTCGACAGGCATTGAACTCTGGGATCTGAGTATCACCATGTGATGACGATCTGGAGGTCGCTGTGCAACCTGAGTCTCCCCTCGATTGCCATCAAGCCGAAACCGACCTTGATCACTGCAGCTCACACCAGACCGCCAAGATCGGCTCGCTGGCCGACGTCAACGAAAGCGCAGACGCAGAAGGTCTTCGCGTCTTCTACTACCTGGTGCAGGACCTCAAGGTGGGTCAATTACGCCGCTCGTCTGACCTCTCCAGTGTTTCATCTTCTCTTTGATCACGCTTCACTTCAAGATTAAACCCAGTGAGTTGAGCCTCGCAGAACGTGGTTGCAGGTCAGCGACTGACGCCAGTCCAACAATAGTGTCGCAATACCCGTGTCCAGGGTGTTTACGCGAGTGTGAGATAGACCGTATGCATGTACCATGATGTGTTCAGCCGGCCTTGTTCACAGAGGTCACTCGTCTCAGTCAAGCTCTGGGAAATAAAGGCCTGTCGCTCCTGTCGTGGATGATGGCCATGAGCCACTACTATTTCACTGAATCCCGGAGTCTGTTTGTGCCGACGGGAGCAGAATGTTCCAGCTGCCGGTGTGCCTGGCTCATACGCCATTGAAATACAAATACCAACCCCAAATACATCCAATAGCCATATAGCTAATGGTCCTATTGTTCAATAGCTAGATTCAGGTCAGGCGATGGGCCCAGATGCCCAGACAGCCGCCTCACATGCCTCAAGCCATGCCCCCCCCCCCCCCCCGACTCTTCGCACTCTGTATCCATTCATCCTTGCTCAACATCTCTTCTTCCTACTTCTCCTCCCCTCCTCTTCCTCCTCTCGCCATCCCATCCCGCTTTCACGCAGTCCGCGTGAACAGCTACCACCCCCTGCACAACTCGCTCCACTTTACCAAACGCGTCGGTACTGCACCTCCACCCGGCCCGGCCGATTCGCGATTCGCAGCCGCGGCACGCCGTACCCCGCTCCGGTTGCTTCTCCAAACCTCAGCAATCACCACTTCTGTCTCTCGCTGTATCCCCAAGCACCGCACACCTGCCTTGTGTAGTCACAGTCGCTACCTGTCTCGCACGACTAGCACTCGCATTCAGCTCGCTTCCCCTACCCCGCGCCGGTTCCGCTTGGCATTTACGACCTCGCAATACGGCATACGGCGGTGTCCGGTCCGAACTACGCGGCCGAGTTCAGTCAACGACGAGCTAGCCCATTGTTCCCATCACCGAATGTGTTAGGGGTGGCAGCGGCAGCCATCAGCACTGTCCTGTGCAGCGCATTTATCAACTCTTCTTTCTCAACTCGGCCTCCACCATCGCCCCCGCCCTTTCTCGCCCTCTCGCCCCTCCCGGGTGTCACCCGTCCCAGAGGGCGTTCCACTTGACGTCCTACCTCGTCTATCTTCGCCCTTTCTTATTCATCACCATCCCCTACAATGCCTCTGCCTAGCGGCACCATCCCCCTCGCCCCAGGCGAGCCTGATTCTCTACCAGCGCCGGCGTTCCTGGTCCGATTTCCAGAAGATGCCTGGTCTCAACTCGCCGAAGCAGCGGCAAACGGCGGCGAGGTCAACTTTACCGTTGACGGGGGCATTGTGAGTGATATGCAAGACGACTAAGCTGATCGACAGAGCCTCAACCTCCCAGGCCAAGACCCTATACCCCTCGAGGCGCACGGCACCGGTGCGCCGAGCGAGCTGTACTCGTACAATGATGGGCAGCTCGAGCCCGTCGGTAGTGCAGCGGGGCGCCTGTCGGTGCCCTTTACGGCAGGAGCAACATTTCGCGCAGCCGAAAAGATGGCGCAGAAGAATGTTGCGTTGGAGCGCCAGCGTGCGCAGCGTGCAGAGCGCGTGACGGGCAAGCCTGTCGTCGCAAGTGCGTTTACCGCGCGCCCTGTTGAGCCGTCCAACTTTCACGCGTCGCCTATTCCGTCGCACGTTCCTATGGCTCGAACACAGAGTGGACCGGCGTCCATGTCGACAGAGCGCATTCCGCTCAAGACTCGTGTCGTCCAGCACCTTGCTCTGGGCCCATCGACGATGCAGGAGATCATCGACAATGTCGGGGGTGATACGACCGATATCGGTCGCACGGTCAACGTTGTAAGTTAATGGTTCCTCCCAGGGCGGCTCTGATAATCAGATTGGCGAGCCATGTGGCGGTGAGCCAGCCAAGTTCAGGCTGCGTCCAGCCCAGTATGCGAAGATCAAGATTGCCGACTGGAAGTACACGTATGACGAGGTTGTCACTGTCGTTGCATTAGCGCGTCAGGCGTTTGAGGAGATCCAGCTTCCGGCCGACGATTGGGCGCGCAGTGCACTTGATAAGAAGGAGACGGAGGCGCTGGCGACGGCTCCGCGCGAGCGATCACCGCCAGAAATCAAGCTTCCCCCCAAGGTTGTCTCACCGCCAAAGGCCATGGTCGTTTCCCCTCCCAAAGCGATCTCTTCATTGCCTCCCAGTCGTGCCGAGTCGCCGGCACCGGGAGCTCCTGCAACGAAAAAGGCCGCCAAGGACAACGCGCAGCGTACCAAGGTCGGCAAACAGATCGCCAAGATGCGCAGTGAGCACGTTGCTAAGCGCGCGTCGAGCTTGCCCAACACGAAAAGCGCGGATGGCACTGCGAGCCCGCGCCTGGGTCCGACGAGCCCCGAGGGGACGTCGCCGAAGAAGGAGCCTTCTCCCCCTAAACGAGCAAAGGCAGTCAAGGAGAAACCACCATCAAAGGTGGAGAAGAAGTCAAAGTCACCGCCCGAGGCCAAGCCGGCTCTCTCCAAGGAGCGCCAGGTGAGCGGCAAGCGCGCACGGGACTACACAAGCTCCGAGGATAGCGACAGCAACAATGACCGTGGACATGGGCGCGGTGTGCCACCGACTGCGAACGGCAAGAAGGCGAAGACGAAGACCGCCGCCAACGGGAATGCCAAGAAGCGCCCGTCTCCCGAGTACACCTCGTCGGAAGATGAAGGAGCCAAGCGGCAGCGGACGGTGAAAGAGAAGGAAAAGGGCCGCGATGAGGAGCGCACACTGCCCAGCTTTAAGCGCCGTGTGCCAACGTCCCGCGACCTCGAGCGCGAGAAAAAGGCCAACGGGCACGCGGTGGTCGATCGCTCACCGCGGACACCCGCTGTCAAGAACCATGAGGCTCTGCGTCGACGCTTCGAGGAGCTTCTACCTCAGTACCACAAGCTGAAGGAATCGGTGGCTGGTCAATTCAACGCCAACGAGGCTCTGAAAGGGGGCGAGATGCCTTCGATTGCGTGCATGGATGAGGCTGAGGCGGCGCGTGCCGTGGAGCAGTTCCGAGCGTTGCACCGCGAGCTGCAGGAGATCCAGCGCGAGTTTTACAGCTAAGGGGGAGACGGGGGTGGGAGGCGAGTTGGAGGTGTATCGTAGCCACGGCATCAGGGCCGAAGCATGTTTGTATAATGATAGCATCTGCATGATGTGTGTAAGAGCGAGGATTGGGAGGAGGTGCTGGCGTGTGGTGATCGACTTCAAGCAGAATATTGAGCCGGAACCACTTGCGTCATCGTGCATTCCGTTGTTGATTTTCCGCATCTTCGCTTTGATCATTACTCAACCAACATGGAGGACCCATCAGGCTGGTCGCTGACCGAATCAGACCCACAGGTCTTTAGCGAGTTGCTGCGCAACCTCGGCGTGCAGGGACTGCAGGTGGTGAGTGCGCGTGGACGGATCCGAATGCACGCGTAGATGCGGATCGTCATCGCATCAAGTTAGCTAACACCAGGATGACCTGTACTCGCTCGACGCGGACACGCTCGAGCGCCTCAAGCCCATCCACGCGCTCATCTTCCTGTTCAAGTGGGTCGGGCAGGGCGGCAGCGATGACGCCGCAGGGCTGGAGATCGATCCGGCCGAGGCCGGGGTGTGGTTCGCCAACCAGGTAGGGTGGTTGCGGCGATGGCGGAGGCGGAGCCGCTGACGCCAGGTGATCAACAACTCGTGTGGGACGATCGCGGCGCTCAACGCCGTCATGAACATCCCCGAGCAGGAGGCTGGGGCGGAGAGCATCGGTATTGGCGCGGAGCTCAAGAATCTGCGCGAGTTCGGCGCCGGCATGTCGAGCATGGAGTAAGTGCGCGCGGCGCGGCGAGGTGCAAACGGAGCTGTATGGGCTCGGCTGACCCCAGCCTGGGACACGTCGTCGCGAGCTCCGACACGATCCGCGAAGTGCACAACAGCTTCAGCAAGACGTCTCCGTTCGCGCTGGACGCCTCGGCGGACGAGCGCGAGAAGGAGGACGCATACCATTTCGTCACGTACCTTCCCAAACACGGGGTGCTGTACGAGCTGGACGGGCTGCGCTCGGCGCCGCTGATGCACGCGGCGTGCGACGACGACTGGCTGACTGCGGCACGCGAGACGATCGAGGCGCGCATCGCGACGTATCCCCCCGGCTCGGTCATGTTCAACTTGCTTGCGGTGCGGTCGGCCGCGATCCCGCGGCTTGAGCGCGAGCTCGCGGCCGCCAGCGGCGAGATGGAGCGCCTCCGCATCACGGAGATGCTGGCGCAGGAGCGCGCCAAGGCTCAGGAGGGCGCGGTCGAGAACGCGCTTAGGAGGCACAACATGCTCCCCCTTGTGCTGGGGCTGTTTGAGGCACTGAATGCCAGCAGCATTAAAGCTGAGGTCATTGATGCCGCGCGCGAGAAGGCCAAGGCGCGCAAGGCGCAGGCTGCGGCGCGGGGCCAGAAGGAGTAGAGAGAGGGAGCGGATGCGAGGACATGAAGTAGTGTCGCTATGTCATAAAGGTCTTTGTATCTGCTCGCGTTGCTCTGCGTCGCCGTCGCCGCTGTGCACTGACGGTGGCTCTTACGTGCACGCCACACCTGTCACACACCCCCGTCTACCTTTCACTCGATGCATTTTAAACCCCTAACAGTCCATCTAGTGGTGCTCGTTCTTGGGGAGGTCGGCCTCCATAGCCTCGAGGAACTGCTGGGCCGAGCCGCCCGACTCGGCAGCGGCGGCCTGGGTAGGCGCAGCGTTGTTGCCAAGAGTGGGCTCGGTCGCGTCAAACTTGGACATCTCGCCGGCAAGGTCGCTGGGGACGGCGGGCGCAGCGGGGACAGCCGGCTTGGCGAAGGAGCGCACGTGCTGCGCGTGGGCGTCGGCCGACTGGGGTTAGCGTGGAAGGTGGGTGAGGAGTGCGGGTGCGGGGGCCGGCTAAGGAGGATGGAGGACGGAGGACGAGGGATGGATGAAGAGATGAAGATCGCCCATCACATCAGCCCATCAGCCGGCCTCCATCTTAAAGCCGCCGACTCCCGCTCCAGTAGAACCCACCTTGGCGGGCGCCTTGTAGGCCTTCAGCTGGTTGACGTAGAGGTCCTGGATGAGGTCTGGCGTCAGCGGCCAGCAGCCATCGAGCGCAATGTCGGAGGACTCACCCTTGCGCGCAGCCGAGACGGAGAACGAGCGCGCAAGCGCAGGGGCACGCTGGGCCTGGGGTCAGTGGTCTGGTCGCGGGGTGCGCGGGCAGTCGCGGGGGCGCATCAGCCGCGGGGGCGGAGCAGTCGCATAGCGCAGGGCGGCGCACGGCGCGGGCGGAGGCGTGGCAGCAGCTGCTATGCGCTGTCGGAGCTAGAGCAAGACGGCCTGCGATTGGGCCGAGGCCGGTGCCGAGGGCGAGCCCGCGAAAAGTCTGCCGCGCCGCGCTGGCCGACGTTTTGCGCTGCTCCGCTTGCCGCCGCGCTGGGGATACGCACAGTGAGGCGGAGGAGGGACATTTTTGACGAGTGGGGAGTAGGATGAGGAGAGGCAACGAGCGACGACGAGGAGAGGGGAGGGGGGGGGGGCAGGGCGCGAGTCCGGCCGTTTTCGGGGATGGGGTGGAGTTAGGCGTGGGAGGGAAGTGTGGCGGGCCTGCGGGCCTATGGGGGTTCGAATTGCTGCTCACCAACTTTGGGCCGGGCCAGCATTTCGGCGAGCAACAAGATGAGAGCGCAGTCCGTGAGTACCCAGAGCTTTGCACGCTGCAGAGCGGACGGGGGCGGGCGTAAGGTGCAGATCCAGAGTGGGTTGAGCAGAGCATGCAAACCGATGTGGACGCAGGCAGACGGACACAACATGACATAGGGTAATTTACAACACGCTCTCCTCGTCGTCCATTCTCCTCGCTCGCTGTCCAGCAAGCTCCAACACTGCACGTCCTATCCTGCTCCCGCGCACTCTCATCTACAAAACGCTGCCCGAAGACACCGCTCCCCATCGTGACTCAGACCTAAGCGCCGCCCCTTTATAACAAGGAGGGTGGCCGCCGGGCGGCTTCTGTCCACCTGCACCCTTCGAGGGGTGCAGTCGAATACCTGCGGCCGTGGGGTGTCATCACTTGTTTAAACTGGGGTCAGCGATCTTTGCTCTCCTCTCCTCTTCTCCTCTTCTCGACTCACCGATGGAAGGATGCTGAACTCGGATCGCGCAGGCTGGAATTTGTACCCCTCTCAGCGCGGTATCACTGCCACGCCATTTCGGGGGCCCACCTCCACTCCGCCCCCCATCTCCACCCACTTGCCTCAGCCTTCCGCTGTGAGGTGACACCACACCATGACAAACCTGTATCCCGGCGCGGCGCTGATCGCGACGGGCCTTGCGGCACACGGATACCGCAAAGGCGCGCTGTCGGCGTCCGGCGCCACCGCCGCCTGGGTGGCGGGGTACGCGCACCTCGCGAACCCGCTCAAGCTGTTCGGGGTGACCATGATCGTGTTCTACCTGGCCGGCAGCCGCGCAACGAAAGCCAAAGCGGCGATCAAAGCGACACTTGAAGACGGGCCGGACGGCACGTCCGGCAACCGCACATGGGTGCAGGTACTGAGCAACTCGCTCCCCGGCGTGCTCGTCGCGCTGTCCTACCGCCTAACTTACGACGTACGTCCCTTCCCCGCCTCTCCCCCATCCCTCCGTTCCGCCTTCCGGCGCACTGACGGCAGACATACCCGCCCGCACCGCCCAACCTCCCCCCGACGCTCCTCGCCGGCCTCCCGCGCCGCCTCATCTTCGCGCTGGTGGGGCACTACGCCACATGTCTCGCGGACACGCTCGCGTCCGAGCTCGGCATCCTCGCGGGCCGCCCGACGCACATCGTCACCCGCCGCCCCGTGCCGGCCGGCACGAACGGGGGCGTGACGGCGCGCGGGCTGGCGTGGTCCCTCGTCGGCGGGCTGGTTATGGGCCTCACGGTCGCGGCCGGCGTCGTGGTCGAAGATCCGAGCGCGTACTTCGCCCCGAGCAAAGACGGGGTGCGCGCCGCCGCGCTGTGGGTCGCGCTCAGCGGGTGGCGCGGGCCTGTGGGGCTCGTCGTTTTCGGCGCGATCGCGGGGGTCGCAGGGTCTCTTGTGAGTTGGGGCGCTGCGGGGCTGACGCAGCTCGACTCGATCCTTGGTGGTACCCTGCAACGTACGCTGTACTCTACGGCTGATGGGCGCGTGCTGACGGACCACTCGGACCCGGCGCGCGCGCGCGCCCCCGGCGTCGTCACGATCGGGCCGGGTATAGACGTCCTCTCTAACTCGGCCGTCAACGCCATCTGCGGCGCCGTCATGGCCGCCTTCGGATGGTGGGTCGCGGGCTGGTAATCTCCCCCTCTGTTCGATGACTAGTGCATCACTATACAGCATGCGCAGCAGGACATAACGAGACGTAAGATGAGAATATGCGCGGTATGCTACGATGCAAATCTATGCCTACACAACTAGATCGCCCGGACGGCAGCCGCGCGACGCGTCTATGCGCCGCGCACAGGCGACATGTGGCCGCCGCCGCGGCCATCCGCCCTGGGCTGGGCCAACAAGCCCGGGCCCGACGGCGCTTAGGCCACACCCTTGGTGGCGTTCTTCGAGAGAAGCTGTGCCTTCTCGATCTGGGCCTGCGACCGCTTCTGCAGCCCCCGCTTGTAGTCGACAATCGAGATGTCCTCCTTGGTCAGGTTGATGACCTGCTTGTCCTTGACCTCCCACAGGTCCTCGGCAACCTGCGAGATGAGACGGAAGTCGTGCGAGACGATGACGACACCGCCCTCAAACTCCTTGATGGCAGTTGCGAGCGAGTCGATCGAGGCCATGTCGAGGTGGTTGGTCGGCTCATCGAAAAGGATGACGTGGGGGTGCTCGAGAGCAATCTCGGCGAAGCACACACGGTTACGCAGACCGTCCGAAAGCATGTTGATGGGGTTGGTCTGGTGCGCACCCGACAGACCGAAGCGGCCAACGCATTGGCGCCAGAACTGGAGGTCCTTCTCGGGGAACTTCTCCGCAAACTTGGACTGGATGTGGTCCACGGGCGACTTGTCAAACGGCAGCTGGTCAGCCGAGTGCTGCGAGTACTTGGCGAGCTTGAGCTGGCCGTGACGCGAGACAGTGCCCTCCACTGGGTTGAGCTGGCCGGTGATCAGGTTGAGCAGGGTCGACTTGCCGGTACCATTGTCACCGACAATGGCGATACGCGAGTCCATGTCGATACCAAAGTTGAGGTTCTTGTACAGGTAGTCCTCCTTCTTGCCAGAGTACGAGAAGGCAACGTCGCTGAAAGCGATAATAGGAGGGGGCAGCTTCTTGACCTCCTCAAAGTTGAAGCGCAACAGGCGGGGCTGCTCGACCTTCTCAATAAGACCAGCAGCCTCCATCTTGTCGATAATCTTCTGCTTCGACTTGGCCTGCTTGACCAAGTTGGCGTAGGTACCAGCGGACGCGATGAACTTCTTGATGTGGGCAATCTCCTCCTGCTGCTTGTTGTAGGCCTTCATCTGGTTGATCTCGTTGTCGGCCTTGGTGCGCAGGTAGGTCGAGTAGTTACCACCGTAGTAGACGAGCTTCTTCTTCGGCGTAAGGTCCATCATGTTCGTGCACACAGTGTCCATGAAGTCAGCCGAGTGCGAGGTAAGGATAAGGATGTGGTTGTAGGTGGCGAGGTAAGCCTCGAGCCAAACGACGGCGCCAAGGTCCAAGTGCGAAGTGGGCTCGTCGAGAAGAAGCAGGTGAGGCTTGACGAAGAGGGCACGCGCGAGCGAGACACGCATACGCCAACCACCAGACATGTCCTTGGTAGGCTTGGCCATCATGGCCTTGTTGAAGCCGAGACCGGAGAGAATGGCACCAGCCTTGGCCTCAAAGGTCGAGGGGTCCATCTCCTCGAGCTCCTCGTAGATCATCTCGAGGGCGAGCTCGTCGACGTCGTCGGCGGTAGCCATGTCCTCAGCGAGCTTCTCCAGACGCTCGACCTTCTCCTTGGCGGAGCGGACAATGTACTCGACAGCGGTGATCTCCTCTGGCTCGGCGGCGCCCTGAACGAGGTAGATCTGTCAATTAGCGATGCCATCACCTCATCCCTCGTCGCCACTCACATCGATGTGCTCGGGGATCTCGACATCACGCTCAGCAAGCGACTGGAGGAAGGTAGTCTTGCCGGAGCCGTTCTCGCCGAGGAGACCGTAGCTATCACGTTAGTGTCTGAACCAAACCACCGTCGCTAGCACTGACCGCTGGCCGTAGTTGAGCGAGAGCTCGGCGCCCTCGATGAGGAGGCGGCCGTGGAACGAGAGGGTGTACTGGTCGATCTTGATGTCGCGGCCCTTGGGGTCCGAGACGAGGACACCGTTCTAGGATCAGCAGGGCTCGGGGCGGCACACTCACGGCACTGCGGTTGGTGGCGACATTGAGCTTGCGCATCTGGGCCTGGGCGTCGTTCAGGTCGGCGAACGAGCCATTGGTCGAGATGGCGGGGGTGTCGCCGGCGACGCTGGCCGCGGGGGTGCTCTTGAGCGAGCCAGCCTTGCTGGCCTTGGCGGCCTTGGCTTCGAGACGCTTCTGCTTGGACGCGGAGGGGGCCATTTTGGGTGGTGAGGGTGAGGGGGGTGGTCAAGAAGGAAGAGAGGGAATGTACACGAGTGGCGGTGGTGAGAGACCGCTTTTAGACCAGGAGAGGGAGGCTCGTCGGGGTGAGAGTGGGGATGAAGAGAAGATGGGAAGAGATGAGATGCAAGGAGCGTACAATGGCGGCGGCGGCGCGGTGGGTGGCTCTGAGCGCTGAGCGTCACTCGCGCCGCCCTTCCTCCTGCTGGATGCCTGAAAACTTGGGTCCTATTCGTCGCACCCCACTTAACAACGTGGCATGACATACCAACCCCCTAGAAATTTGCTGCCGCCGGAGCACGGAGTTGGTCCGCTTTCCGTCAGCTCCGTCAGGCCAAGCAGGCGGACATCATGCGACTCTCGTACTTGAGCTCCGTGACTGATCGTCTCATACATAGCGGCATGCACTCCATGCTGTACGCTGAACTAACATACGCATGCAGCAGGGCTGCAGCCGGCGCCTTCCCCCGCCCTAGACCGACACCTATACCAATACATGCTAGTGTCCCGCATTCATCTCGAGCACGTGCCTGAGCCTCTCCTCGTCGTCCGTGGACTCGGGGGACGCGCTGAGCTCGCGCGTCTCGAGGCTCTCCGCACACGCCGCGGCAAGCTTGGCACGCACATCGCGCACCACCGCCCACTCGGCGGGATACTCCTCCTCCTGCGTGCGTTCGAGATATCCCTCCGGCACAAGCCCTTCTGCGCCAGTATCGAGGCGCGTGGCAACGACCCAGCCGTCGCCGCCGCCGCCGCGCCCGCGCACGTCGAGCAGGTCGCCGACCTCGACCGCCATCTCGTTCACGCCCTCGGGCTCGAACGCGAACGCGGCGCGGTACAGCCCGTCCGGCTCCTCGTCCGCGAGGTAGTAGTCGTCGAACTCGTCCGCCTCACTCCAATAGTCTGCGGCGTCTTGCTCGACGCCCATGTCTTCAACGCGGCCCGGGTCGTCGTCTTCGCGTCGCAGGAATCCCCACCCGCCCGAGAACATGGAGCGGACGGGCGCCGGCTCGGGCTCAGGCTCGCCCTCGCCCCAATTGCTCCGGGGCCGTTGGGCGCCGAGGCCGAGGAACCGCTCGTCGTCTTCGGGGAACGCAAAGTCGCGTACGATTACGCGCCGTACAAGGCTGGCCGCGAGGTGCGCCAAGCTGCCCGTGAGAGGCGAGGCGGGTGCGGCGGGCGAGGCGTGCGAGGCGGGCGCCGCCGTGTCAGACGTGGAGAGTGGTGGGGATGCCTGTCGGGAAGGTCTCGACTCGTCGCCCAGCTCGTCCTTCACTTCCTCCACCGCCGCGCTGAGGTCGAACCCGCCGGCGCGCGCGTCGAAGCTTCCCCCGCGCCGCGCGAATACCGCCGACGGCGTAGTGTATGGCGTCGTCGGGTCCGAATTGGGCCCCTCGCTTGCGGACAAGACGCTGGTGCCCAGCGTCGAGCGCGGGCGCACGCGGCGGCCTTGCGACACGGCACTGGATGTGGATGCCGCGCGCTCACGACCCACAGGCGACGGGGAGGAGCGCGCGAGCGCTGGCGCGCCGGACGCCGCGCCGGCCGCGACAAACAGCTCACGCGGGCTGATGTCCAGCACCTGCGATTGGGGACGCGATCCCGCCGGGCTGGGGGGCGCAGGACGGTTTGATGTGAGCGACGAGTTGCTGCGTGGCTTGCTGTTGATGGCCGCGCCGATTGAGCCGACGAGCTGCGAGGTGGGGCGGCCGCGCGGGCGCGACGAGCTGGCTGAGGACGGCGTGAAGCCGGGAGAGGAGGGGGAGTGCGGCGAGCGGCTGCGCAGGTGCGACGTGTTCAGCGGCGAGCCGAGAGGCGTTGAGCTGCCCGGCGAAGGCTGGACTGGGCTCTGCGCGGCGGGGATGGCTCTGGGCGCCGGGATGGGCTGCGGCGCTGACATGGCGTGCATGGGTGGGTCGTCCGCGAGCTCAACTATTGTTGCCGCGGGAGACGCGTCGGCAATCGGCGCGAGGTTCGGAGGACGCGTCGCGGCCAGCCTTAGTGACGCGGCGGGCGCGAGGCCAGACACGGCCTTGGTGCCGGCCAGGGCGTCGGGCTCGGATGCTGGCGCTTGGGCGGGAGGCGGCACTGTGGTCAGTGCTGCGGCGCGCGGGGCCGTACTACTTGGTATGCGATGGGGCTCGGCGACTGGCTCAGTGTCGGCGCTCATGCCGGGCGGGGTGGCGCGTGAGTGCTAGGGCGCCTCGGACTGCGGGCGAGGGAGGGCGCGGGCGCGAGGAGAGCACCGGAAGAGGCGGATGTTGACGCCCCACTTAAGGTGCAGGATTTGGCGCGTGACGCGTAGGGAGCGGCAATGTGTGTGCACCCGTGATCGCGCCGGTGATGGCAATGGGGTGAGGCAGATGCTTTGATACGTGATGCGTAGCGTGATCCGATGAGTGAACGATGGCTTGAAGAATACAGGTTGCAGGCCGCTGCCTCGGACCGGCGAGAGCAGCAGAAGAGACGGGCAGGCACACGCTAAGCTCCGATTCCGGCTATTGCCTCCGATGGACGTGCAGCCGCGACTGACGGTCGGAGAGCTGAGCGTAGAGATGAGGAAATGGAGGTGGATGAAAGCTTGTGTTGTGGATGGATTGGAGGGGAACGAGGATGGAATGGAGGGGGGTGGAGAGGAGATCGAGAGGCGGACAGGGGGAGCAATCCCCATCACCCAAGTCTACCTCGCACAACATGCCGCCATTCAAAGTCCAGGCCCTTCTGTTATAATCTGTTACCCAAGTCTAATCCGCGCTATATGATCCCATTATCATCTCCCAAGTCATCCCGCATCCCACACTGCCCACCCGGTAACCCCCATGGTCTTGGCCCCGCTCATGCCGCTCATAACACCCGACACTCGTCGGGTGCTAGATCAGACTTGGTTTCACCAAGCTACTCCCCGATCCCCGGTACCCCAGTCACGAGTGATCGGAATGCATCACTTGAGGCGTCATGACGTTTCTACAACAAAATCACCCCTAGGAACATACTCCCAGAGACCCAGATAAAAACACAACCCGCGGCTGATTCGGATTCACTATATGACACATGATCGGTTGTTTTTGGTTGTTTGCGCGCATCCTCTCTCCTCTTACACCTCGTCCTCCTTCAGGCCAGCCGACCGCATCGTCTGGATGACCTCCACCAGCTGGTGCAGTGTCTCGAGGCCGCGTCCAGGCAGCGCGGCGGTGCGCTGCGCACGCCGAGACAGGCCTGTCTGCGGGGCGACTGAGTATGTCGCGGTGCAGAAGTTGCCTCCCGGCGCCCGGATGGTGAGCGCGATCGTCCGCGGGTTGCCTGGCGACGGCTCGAGCTCGCGGAGCTCTTCGACTGTCCCGAGACCGCCGTCGAACACAGACAGAATGCGCAGGTGCGCAGCGTCGGCGGCCTTGCGCGACTTGAAAATGTTCTTGTCCGGCACGGGCGCGGCCAGGGCAATCATGTCGTTGAAGATGAGCATGGTGAGGTTCTCGTCACGGCGAGTCTTGCGGAACGAGTTCAGCTTAATGTTCATGCTCGGGCGCGAAGACTCGGCGAGCGAGGACGAGTACGAGGGGCTGCGGGACAGCGAGCGGTCGTGACGAGCAGGCGTAGCAGCGCCCCCGATCGAGTTGACTGACGAGGTGCCTGAGGAAGGCGAGGTTGTAAGGCCCCTCGGGTGGTGGGGAGGAAGCTCGCTGTCCGTGGACGCACCGCGGGAGGGTGCGCGAGACGGTGCGCGGGAGGGTGCGCGAGACGGCGGACGCGAGGAGGGCTGGGACAGCTTGATGGACGAGAAGCTTGGGACGGACGCCATTGTCGCCTTGAGAGAGCGAACGCTGACCGACCGTGGCAGACCCGTGGTCGGCCCGACTGACTCCCCGCTGACGCGAATGACCTGGGCGTGGGCGAGCAACCTGCGCCCGCGGATAGCGAGGTCAAAGTTGCCCGGAAGGTCATCGAGGCGCTCCTCCAGAGAAATGAGCTGGAGGAAGTCATCCTCACGGGCCTTGCAGGCTTCCAGGCGACCGATGATCGACTCGGTCAAGGCGATGAGCTCCACCAGAGCCCTGTGGGACTTGTGCGTCGCTGGGGTGGCATTCAGAAGACGCTAGAAGATCAGCACCGGCCCCAACGTCCAAGCTCACCTTCAGGAACAGCGTATACTTGGTGATGCGCTGCACTGGCTTGAGAAGCATGCTACCCAGCGAAAGCGATCCAAGAGCCTTGTCGCGAGTCTGGAGGCGAAGAAACTCGCCGAAAATGCTAGTGTGGTCACGGGCCGCCTCCTCGATATGAGCGACAACCGTGTTGAAAAGCATGATGTACCGCTCGTGCACAGCTAGCCGGGGGACCCACGACTCGAACTGGTCGATGAACGGCGCAATCTCGATCACGTCGGATTTGCGGCGCGCGATCTGCTGAGCGTTTGAAATGTCTGCGTGCGTAGAGTGGATTGCTTCGAGCGCCTCAAAGAGCTCGCACACGCCGGCAGGGAGACCCTTCATCCAGTCGCCCTGGGCCTCGCGAAGCGGGGACGCAAACAGGCGAATCACGTCCCGACAGGAGCGGACAAAGGTGGCTTCTGTCTCGCTCATCTCCCACATGATCTCTTGACGCTTGATCTCCATGGCGCCGTCAGGCCCTCCCGCCACCTGATCGTAGATGTGGTCGTTGGGGAGCGACTGGCGCCATGACGTCGGGCTGTCGCGAGGCCGCGGGGTGGTGGGGCGCAGCGACTTGCTGTAGCCAGAGTAGACGACGCCGAACGACTCCTTGCGCTGCCGAGGCCGTGGAGGCTCGCAGGGAGTACCCATGGGACGTTGAGAGGTCGACTTGCGCAGAGTTGAACCATTACGGCGTAGAGAAGTGGGGCGAGGGCTGTCGGCGAGGTCTAGCCGAAGAGTAGGCTTCTTGTCGTTTTCAAAGTCCGTGGGCGCATGAACAGGGCGCGACGAGGTGCGTGGGGGGATGACTGGACGCTCGGGCGCAATGATGCTGCGGCGCGACTTGTGCGCCTTGGCATTTTCGCGAGGAAGGCTGTCTACAAGCGCTGCCATGGATCGGCTGTAACGGCGAGATCGCGGCCAGGTGCCCGAGTGGCGCTTGTCTGTGGCGTCGATAGGCGGTAATGAGACGACGCTCTCGCGTGCGAGGATGGACACCTCCTCGGCGTCAAACGAGCTTCCAAGCGAGAGGCGGTTGAGCTGGGGAGGCGGAGAGCTTTCGGACGATGGCCAAAATAGCTCGTCGTTGGCCTGCTCAGTCTGCTCAATGACGCTCCACGATTGCGCAAAGTCGAGGTTGGAGACGAGGCTGCGAAGTGCGGCGAGCCGGCGTTTGCGCGAAGTCGGGGAGGGGGATGGCGAAGCGTCGTGTCGTCCCTCGTTACCTGTGACTGTCGAAGCAGAGTCCTCGACGCAGGGTGTGACTTCTCGCGGTACGAAGGGCAGAGGGGGACCTAGGAGACTTTCGCCTCCGTGAATGAAGGACAATCTGGGAGCGCCGCGAGAGCTCTCAGTGATGCGAATGGAGGGCTTACTGTCCGAGTGGTGCGAGTGGTCGGAGCTGGAGGGGGGAGCTGGAGAAGAGTCGGTGAGGGAGTAGAAGGAAGATGGAGACATGGACCGGGGGGAGGACTCTGGCACGGCAGAGAACGCCATGTGATGGTGGTGTTGGTGGTGGTGGTTGTGGAGAGTGTGGAACGCGTCCTTTGATTCCTGGGCGGCAAAGGGCTGAAGGTTGTGGTTATAGTGGCATCCGGCCAAGGATGGGGACAACCACACGGGGGCGGTGGCCATCTCGTCGTCTGTTGTGCAGACGATGGACTGGGGAGGTGAGGTGGAAAACGTGCCAGACGTCATGTTGTAGTTGTGGACACTGAAGGCAAAGTGGTGATCGGCGTCGTCGGTCTCGTCGCTGGGGCGCCGCCCCGGAGTTTGGACAGTTTCAGAAAGTGGAGATGATGCTTGTGATGACGAGATGGTCGAGGACGAGATAGTCGATGAGCGTGAGCGAGACGAGTCGGATATTGTTGTGGATGTGGATGAGTGAGAGATTGAACGGCCAAGGTCAGGCAAACAAGGAGAAGAGAAATTCGACAGAGTGACTTGGGAATGCTGAAAGTGCAAGTTGTAGTAATGGTCGTGCTTTTGCTGCTGCTCGTGCTTCTTCTGAGGCTGAGGGAGCTGGGCGGGCTGAGCGTGTGCGTAAACGCGGCGTGGTGGCCGGGGCGGGCGTGGGGTGGTCGAACGGTCTGGGGTCTCGCACCCAGGGGGTACTGGGGAAGAGGCAGCTGTCCGCGGCTGCTCAGTACCGGTGGAAGCAGCGTCGGGTTGTGGGAGCTGGAGTCCGGGGAACGCTTGTGCATGGACGATTGGGGAGTGATGGGGCCACCCGGTGGCCTTGGTTGGTGGGAGGGGCTGGAGCTTGGGCTGGGGCTGGGGCTGAAGATGCTGACGGGGGAATAGGCAAGAGGGAGAGAGCGACGAAAGGAGAAGAAGAGGAAAAAAGAGCAGTGCGGAAGGGCAAGAAGCGGTGAGCGGAGGGGAGTGTGCGTTGGGTGTGGTGCGTGAGGAGTGAGGTTGAGAGAGTGCGACGAGGTGCGAGGTGAGGGATGACTGTGTCAGCTGGCTGCACGCACGGGGGTGGGTGATGGGGGAGCAGGGAGCACGGGGGCGCCGGGGGGCGTCGACGTCGACATGAGATGAAGCGAGAGCGAGAGCAAGAACTAGAGAACGCTCCAGGAAGGCCAGGAGCAGGCTGCTAGCTGCTAGGAAGCAACGACTCACAGAGGACTCTAGTCCGTGCGGCAGGGCCACCGCCACCTGCTGACGGTCGGACGTCGCAAGCATGATGCTTGTCCGGGACAGGTGATGGGGATCAAAGCGTTGGGAGAGATCGCGAGATAGGTGGTCGTCGACGCTTGGACGCTCGGGGCCGCTGTTGATGGGCGGATGAGGGGGGGTGGACAGGGGCAGAGGGGTGGACGTCGAAAGTGGAGGTCAGCGGAAATTGAGCCAAGGCGAGGATGTCGGATATAGCGAGTGAATCGATGAGCGATAGAGCGAGAGCGAGAGAGAGAGAGAGAGCGTGCGATGAAGAGAGTGATGGTGACGGATGAGAGAACGGTAGCGAGATGGGAAGAGGCGAGCGCCCAGACTAGCTCGCAATGTTGGGTATATCTGCATGCTCATGTCCTCCCTTCGTGGTCCAGCAATCACGGAGGCCACAGCACAGTGATGCATCACCCCAAATCGATGACCCCCGTCCGGGCTATCCAGGCAGCCCAGACTGTCTATGCCGCCGGATCGCGGTACGAGGCTCACGAGGCTCAAGAAGCTCAGGCGCAGGCAAGGCGCAGGCAATGAATAGGCAGCCACTGACAAGGTATGGAGGCGCGGAGTGTACCTTGCCGTGGTGAGCGTGAGCGAGGAGAGGGCAGAGCAAAGAGGGATTGTTTCCATGTTGCAAGACGGCAGAGATTGGCTCGTCCTCATCCAGGATAGCCAGGACGCAGCCGAGTCTCGACCGCTCCCTGTGAGGGTAGCGCAGGGAGATGCTTCGCAGAACATGAGTCTAGAGCGTGGAAGCTAGACACCCTCGGGCACGAGACATTGCATGACGCCGAGCATGCAAGCTAAAGAGCAAGAGCGCAGAGAACGAGAAGAATCTCCTCGGTGAGCTTGCGAAGCCTATGTCGTTTACCCTTTTCAAGCGAGGGAATGCGAGTCTGGCCCTTGCTCCCTCCCGGCCCACCCCAAAAATGGGGGCCACGCCGTGTTGCCTCGCATGCTTGGATGCCTGGACGCCTGACGCCAAACGCCTCGCGCCTCCTGCATGCTGCATGCTGCATGGTGTCTGGTAGCGTGCCACGCCTCGCGCATGCAGAATGTTCATGCGACATGAGGAATGGGGCGACTAGTAATGTCGAGAGACGCGACGCGTTCCCATGGAAGGTATGGCAGTTGAAAGGGAGATTGGCGCGGCTTATGAGTCATGTAACGTCGTCGGACTTGGAGGTGTCGGAGCATTGGAGTGGCCGAGAGCGAGGTTGGTCTTGGGAACTTGGGGGGCGCAATTCCCGCGTCCCCCCTTGCCCTCTTGGCTTCATGTCTGTGCTGTCGGATGGGATGCAATGGCGTTGGAGACTGTGGAAGCGCATCATCAAGGAACAGAGATGTAGGGGAGGCCTGACCAGCCTGGCTAGCTGGCTAGCCTGGACGCGCTGGGCGAAGGGGGTCTGATGAGAGCGGCAGTTGGGCTGCAAGGTATGCGTGTCTGGCGCCTGGCTTCTCTGAAGATCTGGAACATGGATATGGGGTAATGGGTACTAGCCTCAATGGTCATGCTCATGGCCGAGTTGGAGGTGCATGAGGTGTGGTGCTGGGCTGACGGAGGGAGATCTGGGGCAGGAGGGCAGGTACATGTCCATGAACCTTGTAGTTCACAGCAATGGATATTGGAGTGGGGCGGATCTTGATTGGAGCTGAAAGCTGAAAGAGTGGGCATGTGGGTTCCATGTGGCCTCCATGTGGCCGGGAACAAGGTGGAGATCGCTAGATCGTGGAGAGGTGACTGCCAAACTGCCACTGCCAAGCAGCCATCATCCACAAGCGACTACGTAGCAACTAGCAGCGCGCAGCAGTCCATGCACTCGCGCCGGGCGTCATGCATGCACACGCGAGTGGCAAGTGGCGCAGCCAAGTGAAAGAAACTTGCAATGACGAAATTGCCTCTGCACCCTGCACTTGGCAGCTCGCAGCTCGTCGCGGTCGCATCGAAATGACGCTAATCCCGGCGCTGGATGCCGGTGGCCTCTGCGTCACCGGCCAACTTCGGCCACGGCCAACCCCGCCTCGCCGCCTCTTCACTCTGATCCCGCACTCCTTTAACTCGCGCTGACCAATGCTCCTCACCACCACCCGCATCGTCGCCACCGTCCCACGACTTATCACTCGCCGTCCCCCCTCTCCACTTGTCAAAATAGGCTCCTCATTCTCTACCCAAGTCGACCCCGCTAAGATGGGTGCTGCAAAGGACTTTGTTGAGCGCGAGATCAAGGCGCATGATGTGCTCGTGTTTTCCAAGTCGTACTGCCCGGTGAGTTGTTTCAACTGGTTGATTTGGCGAGAGGTGCGAGGTGGCGAGTAGTGAGCGGCGACGGGAAGCGGAGAGCAGATGGAGTAGAGAAGGAGAGAAACGTTCAAGACGGCGAAGAGGCGTTGGTCTGATCTTGCTTCGCGCGGTCTCCTTCCTTCCTCGGCCTGTCCTCCATCTCCAACCCACCTCGTGCTCGTACTCTCTTTCTCCTCTCGCCTCTTCCCCCCCTCCTCCTCTTCTTCCCCTTCTCCTCCCATCCCCTCTCCCTTACTCCCCCACACCTCTGAACACCCCCTAACCCCAGTACTGCCGCAGCGCCAAGAACATCCTGCACCAGTACACGGACGCCATGAAGGTCTACGAACTCGACGAGATGGACGACGGCGCCGACATCCAAGCCTACCTCGCCGAGCGGACCGGGCAGCGCACCGTGCCATCCATCTGGCTCAAACAGCAGTTTATCGGCGGCAGTGAGTGTGGGGGAGTGACATCGCTGACATCAGACAGCGACTTGCAGGCGCTTTCGGCCGCCGAGATCAAGAAGCGTATCCAGGGATAGAGTAGAGTTATTAGATAAATCTTGTGAGGACGAAGTGGGGACGGAGGGCCGATCCGGAACGTCGATGGACATGTGACGGAGATCAGAGGAGGAGAAGGGGGGAACGGGGCAGGGATCGGAGATCGGCACGCCGCCCATGACCATCGCCGTGAGCCAGATGCTCCAGATGCAGATGCCTTGCCATGCCAGAATTTCTGACCAGAGATGTACAGAACGTGCACAGAATGAGCGCGACCTCGATCCGCTGATCTGTTATATCAGCGATTCAGAGATCTGCCAGGCATGCCGAGAAGCTCCAAGCTGCATGTGGCTGCATGGCCTGCATGCCAGACGGTGAGGACGGAGCTTGCTCGGATCCGCTCTTCTGCTTCGACCGGCGACCACACCAGGCCGCAACGAGACGTCGGGACGTGCGTGCATCGCGCTCGGATAGCGTGACTTGGCATCGCTCCAGATGCAGATGCAGACGCAGGTCGCCGGTGTTCTGCACGCCACAGAATTACATAAGGACGCGGAAGCGAGCGCCGCTCACCTATGCATGGTATATGGCCATCATCGGGTGTCAAAGTGGCAATGGGGCTTGTGCTGGAAAAGCTAGAGCAAGCCATGCACGCAAGCGAGGTGGGAGGCGCTTCATTTGCTGAGCCATGAGCAAGCGCGAGCGAGGCGCGATGCACTTTGAAGCGCGCGTACTTGTCGAGAGTCATATCCGTATCCCGAGGTCACGAGGGGAGTCATCGCCCATCGCCTCCAAAGCCCACAGTCCACAGCCCACAGCCCAAAGCCCACCACGCCCACCACCGCATTCCACCGACTGTCCTCGGTCTCCTCATCATCCATCATCACACTCTCATCCTCTTCTCCGTCACTCTCATCCCTCGCATCCCTCTCCTCTCTTCCATTCTCCCCCTCCCCCGCTTTAACTCACATTCCTCTCCCGACTGGGCCGACCGGGTGCTGCGCATCGGCCATCCGCCCCTGCCTTCCCCGCAAATTCCACACCTACGTGCCCTCGTGGTGCATGCCCCTCCCCCCGCAACCCCACTCATCCACTCTGCACATTTCAAACGCCATCTTTTGCTGCTCACAGCTCGCTCATCTGCTTCTTTCCATCTCCGCACGGCAAGCTTAGATCCCCCCGCCCAGCGCCCAGCGCCCAGCGCCCAGCCTCGTTCCTAGCCGTCAAAGCACTGCGCCGACGCTCGGACTCCTCTCCCAACATTATCATGGACCAGGGCCGCTTTGTCACCCCATCAGCCGGCCCGTCAACATCTCAGCTCCAGAACCAGAACCAGAACCAGAACCAAACTCTGAACCCGTCACAGAACCAGAACCAAACTCAACCCGCCCCCGCACGCCAGCACCAGAAGAAACGCCCCCGTGAACCCGACTACCAAGCACGCGGCATGCCCGGCCCATCTGGCGGGACAGGAGGCGCAGGCGACCTCTCAAAGGTGCGCGCGTTCGCAGCCTGCCGCGCATGTCGGCAGAAGAAGGTCAAGTGCCTCCCCGGTCCGGCTACCGGTGCAGGCGGCAATGCCGCCTGCCAACAGTGCACCATGAGCGGCGCCGAGTGCGAGTACCAGCCGACACGCGACCGCGCCGCCTACTCGCGCGCCTATGTCCAGGACCTCTCGGGCCGCGTGCAGCAGCTCGAGGCGATGCAGGCCCGCCTCCTCCCCCTCCTCACGGCGTTCGAAGCGTCGGGCGGCAAGTTGCCCGCTGATGTCGCCAAGCTCGCCGCTTCCGGCGGCCACGCAGACAGCGATGACGCACCGCTCATACGCTCACGAGTGCCGTCGCCCGCCGACGACGAGGACGAGGAGAGCGCACGCTTCCTCACCGACGAGCACGGCAACTACCGCTGGATCGGAGGTAGCTCGGCCCTCTCTCTCATGGACTCTTTCTCTGGCGACCGCGATCTCCCCAGCCGTGTCAAGTACGGCAACATCCACGACGACCACCACGACCCCTCCGAGGAGTCTCCCCCCGAGTCTCACCCCTACTTTGCTCCTGTCGCCGGGGCCGGCGTTATCCGCGCCATCCCTGGTGTCGATCAAGTCACCTTCCCGCCCCGCGCCGACTCTGAGCGCATGGTCGACGCCTTCTTCGCCGAGGTCCACCCCGTCCTCCCCGTGCTTCTCGAGAATGATTTTAGACGCCGCTTCAAGAGTCTTATGGACAAGGTCGAGGCCGGCGACTTCAGCAACATTCGCGCAGGCGTGAGTACCCAACTTTCCTCACTCGTGGCGCAAGCCCTGAATTTTGCACCCATTGTCCAGTTTCAGCAGCAGCTGCTGGCCCAAGCGGTGGCGCGGAGATAATGTCAGGCAGGGCTGACAGTTCCGCAGTTTATGAGCGTTGTCTTCGCAGTATTTGCGCTTGGCGAGCGCGTCCTCGTTACGTCGGCTGCATGGCACCGGATGCGCTCCAAGTTGAGCAATGGCGAGTTGTCGGACCAGGACTCGCCACAGCCAGGCGAGGCCGAGGCAGGTGTGATATGGTTCGAGCGCGCGCAGGTGTTGCATTACTCGTCCATCCGCGAGATCGACATCTACCAGGTACAATGCTTGACGTTACTGTCTGCCTTCCAGGCCGCCGTCAACTCGATGCCCATGAGCTGGCTGCTTGCGAGCCAGGCACTCCGCATCGCACAGGACATCGGGTTGCACCGCGCTGCGCCGCGGTTCAAGGTCAGCTTCAAGGTGAAGCAGTTGGGCGCGCGCGCGTGGTGGGCAGTGTATGGGTTGGAGCGGTGAGTAACGTGCTCTTGGCGGCACTAAAACCAGTCTCGTGTCGATCACACTTGGGCGTCCCTTGTGTGTCGAGGACGCAGATATCGACCTCGCGTACCCCGCAGCCGTTGACGACGCCACAATCGACAGCTTCGGCGACGCGCTTACGGAGGAAGCGGGCAACTTGCCAGAGGAGAAGCAGGACTGCACGATGAGCGGGTTTGTGGCTCTCACCAAGTTGTGTAAGATTGCCGGGCGAGTCGCGCAGCTGCTCTACCGCCCCAGTGGGCGCAGCGTCAACGACCCGCAGTGGAGCGAGCAGCAGCAGAGGACCATCGACAAGCTGGACAAGCTGCTGCGCGAGTGGCTGCAGAACGAAGTGGTAAGCCTTTCTCCGCTGGTCCCCTTTAACCCCAGCCACAAAAGTACAAGGACCCGTCGTCGTCGCGCGCCGTGTCGCTCATGTCGGCGGTACTCTCCAACTCGTACTTCGCCGTGCTCATCACGCTGCACCGCAACCTGCTGCCGTCCAACCCCAACTTCCCGCGCCCGAAGCCGATCGCATCGAGCCAAAGCCTCGCGCACTGCGTGGAAGCCGCGCGCTCCGTGATCCACGTCGCCGCGCAGAGCAAAGTGCTTGTGCCTGTATCACACCACCTCGCCGTCTTCTGCCAGTACCTCTGGTCTTCGGCCGTGATCCTGCTGCTGTGCGAGACGCGCGCGAAAGAGCAGGTCGTCGTGGAGGCGGTCGGCGCACACGTCGAAAGCTGCCGGCAGTCGCTGCGCGCGCTCGAGCCCGTGTGGCCCGGCGCGTCCAAGCTGCGCGAGCTGCTGCGCGAGGTCGAGACGCGCGCGAAAGAGGTCCGCGCCGCCTCGCGGCCGAGTAAGAAACGCAAGGCCGAGACGAACGGGCGCGCGCGCGCGCCCCCCGCCAAGCCCGAAGTATGGGCGCCGCAGGGCGCACCCTTCCCCACGCCGCCGATCACCATTGCGCCCTCGACGCTCGCGGGCACATTCGACATCTTCGACGTCGGGGGGATGACGTTTGACGGGCTCGAAATGTTGAACGCATTCACGAGCGACGCGTGGCAGGGCCAAGGCCAAGGTCAAGGCCAGAACCAGGGCCAGAGCCAGAGCCAGAGCCAAGGCCAGAACACGACGTCGCCCATGACGGGGGTGACGCCGACGGGGACGGCGGGCTCGACGGGCCACGAAGCCAAGCCCCTCCTCTCGCCGGCGCACCGCATGAGCGAGGTCCAGACGACGCCGACGCTGTCGCCCCACGGGCCCGGAGCAAATCCGTGGCAGCAGTTCGGGCAGAGTCCGGGCGGGCCGGTGCCGCCCGAGATCGCCGAGATCTGGAGCCAGATCGCGGGATCCACCTTCGACTGGCAGGCGGATCCGAGCGTGCCCTTCAATATCTAGCCGTGTACATGTACTCTGATTGTGGCTTCGAGCATAGCACAGGGGCTGTGGCCATCGCGCAGAACTCGACATTCACCTAACAAGGATACACTGATGCAGATTATCTACGCCTTGCCCTTCTTCTGCTCCTTCATGGCCGCAATACGCGCCTTGCGCTCCTCGCGCCGTCGCGCCATCTCCTTCTCCTTCTCCTCCTTGCTCATCCCCGCGAGGCTGGGCACAGGCGTAGCAGGCTTGCTGCTCTCTGACACGGGGGAGGCGACAGGCGGCGGCGCCTTCCCCGCTGGCGGGGCAGGTGCGGACGCAGCTGCCGGAGCTGGCTTGGGCTTAGCCTTGACGGGCTTGGGCGCGGGCAGGGGCTCGGCCTTGGGCGCGACGTAGTAGCTCTGCGGCGGGGGTGCCTCGACGACGGGCGCGGCACTCTCGAACGCCGTCCAGTCGTCCGTGTCCGCATTCACGTCCATCAGGTCGTCGCCCCACGCGTTCGCGACGTCGTCGTCCAGCTCGTTCGCGAGCTCGTCCATCAGGTTTGGCTGCTTGGTGTGTGCGAGCTTCATGCCTGGCGCGGGCTTGCGCGAGGCCGACACCGACGCTGAGGCCGAGAACGAGTTCAGGCGCGCCGAGGGGCGCGTGGCGTCGGCGCTCTCGCGACGCGACGCCGCAGGCGAGCCGAACGAGGACGTGTTGGGAGACGGGAGATCATGGGCGGGCACGCCCGGCGCCGCCGTCATGGCTGAATTCGCCTCGCCGGTCTGCAGGTGTTTCCCAAGCGACGAGAATGCCCAGCCGGCCAGCGAGCCGGCGGCACCAGCCGCACTCGTCACCATGCCTGCGCCTGCCGCGTGCTGCGGCGAGGTGGGGCGCTCGGTCTCGGTCAGGACCGTAGCCGGCATGCTCGCTACCATCTCCTCGACGCGCTTGACGAACATCGCCATCGCTTTGAACGCCTGGTCGCGCACGATCTTCTCCTTGTCCACCAAGGCGTGCGCCATATTAGGGATGACACGACCCGCAAGATCGTCGCGGTCGTAGCACTCGACCGTGGCCATCAACGCCATGAGAGCTGCAACACGCGCGTGCACAAACGAATCCTTCAGGCTGCGCGCAAATGCCGGGACGAGCACCTTCTTCTTCGTGTTCGGACCGAGCATCGGCGCCAGGCGTCCCAGCAGAATACAGGTGTTGGTGCGGATCGACGCCTCCTGATCCTGCTGCATCTTGGCGAGCAGACGCAGCAAGTCATTGTTCAAGATACGATCTGACAACTTGCTGGCAAGCGGGTATACCGCCTTTATGGTCGCTTCGCGGATCACTGGGACCGTGTCGGCGAAACCAGTGGTCAGGTGCGGCCAGATACGATCGGTAACCATGTGCTTGTCGAGCCGGTCGGCATACTCGTCCAAGCCATCCAGCAAAGCCATCCGCGTCCCACGATCTGGGCTCGCGAAGAGCTTGATCACTGGGTCGAGCACAACTTTAGCGTATGTTGAAGGAGGAACTTGCTTTCCAAGCGCAAGAACGAGCGGGAGCATCTGCGCGCTTGGCGCATTGGGGAGAGAGAGCGAGTGCAGCAGCGAGGGAAGAACGCGATGCACGAGGAAAGGTTCCGGCAGCGACCCCCCCTCGGCCGCGTCCTTGATCGTACGCAACAACATGGCCTTCTCCCCATCAGAACGCAGCTCAAAGCCGTCTAATCCATCAACCAGCGACACCAACGGATTGTCCGACCAGATACCGCTCGCCTGCGCCTCAGCCACGAAGTTCGTCGTCGAGAGTCGTGTCCGCGCATTCGGGTTCACCATGCGCTTCCATAAAGGGAACAGGCGCTTTGGGATGGCACCCGCCATGGCCGGTGTAGGCGCAGTCGACAATTGGGGCGGTGGTTTCTCGGGGTTGAAAAGCCAGAACAGCCACATTGCGAGCAGATATGTGTCTTCGAAGGCGGGGTCGGTGCTGCCCGTCAGCGGTGTTTGCATCACCATCACCAACTCACTCTCGGAGCACACCCCAGCCGCCCTTCTTCACTTCTGGGCTGGAGTACTCGCCCGCATTTCCTGGCGCAACTCCCCCAAGTCCCCACAACACGCCAGCACCGTCGTCTCGTCCTGTCAACAGCTCGAATCCGCCTAGCCTCCACTCCATCGCTGGCGTAATGAACACTGTTGACGGTATGAGATAAGCATGGTGTTGAGACAATGGCGGGGCGTTGAGGAACGCCAGCGCGGTCTGTCATCAGCTCCCCGCGGCGCATAGGTCGACATACAGATATGCTCCTCACGCCCCAGCCCAGCCAGGCTTCCTTTCCCGCCTTCCCTCTAGCCGCTGCAGAGCCTGTGAGCGCCCCGCCTGTCCCCCAGTCCCGCAAAACGGCCTGTACAGGCCGCACAGGCTCCGTCGCAATGTAGATGTGGGTCTCGGTCTCAACCGAGTCGATGTATTTGATTCTGCCGTCAGCGCGCGCCACGGCACACACTTACACGTCGGGATGCCGAATTGTGCGGAGCTTCTTGAGAGCATTTTTGGCGAGCTGAAAGAGCGTCCGCCGGTCCTTATTCCCAGGCTGTAGGGGAGGCAAAGTCGCGTCGAAGATGAAGAGCGTCACGGGCGAACCATCGTCCTAAGGTTAGTTGGATCGCAAGCGCCAGCGCACCTTCTTGACTCCCTCTCGGATCTCCCAGACGGATGCACCGGCCTCAGTACCGGGAATGCGCTCTCCGATTGTAAAAGGGAAGGAGACGCCAGTGCTAGAGAGGACCGAGGAAGTGATGGATTTGAGGTAATTCATGGCGCAGGAGACGCAGTCCCTGGGAAGAGGAGCTGCTCGCCAAGGAGAAGAAGAATGTGGGAGTGACGAACGCGGGTCAGTTAGAAAAAGCGATGGAGAACGCGTGAGAGACCCGAGGAGGAGGACGCGAGAGTGGAGTAGAGATGGAGGAGATCTGGAGAGATTGCGGACGTGTTGGTGCGGGTGCGGGGTCCTCGATTCCCCCAACCTCCACCGCGACTGCTCTGGTCGCGTCTTGACCTCATGGATGTTTATTACGTAATGAGTCAATTTATGACCAGGGTGAGTTGTGAGCAGACTCAAGATTTGATCCCGTGAGCGCTCCACCGCAGGGGCATTGGAGGGGACTTTGCCATGAGAAAAGGAAGGTCGACTCACCCACTCCCTCCCTCCCCCGCTCGCTCTTCCCAAGTAGAGCCACCCACCACAGGCTACCAGCCATCATCATTCACCTCTCCCCGACACAAGCGGCTTGCATCTCAACTCTGCTCTACTCCTCCTCCTCTCATCTCTTCTTCATCATCTCAGCATTGAGCTACCTATCCTCCAGTCACCTCCAATAGCGTTCCCAACTCCACTTCCTTTCGTCCTCTGGCCCAAAACACACCTCGCTCCACCTCCATCATGGCATCAATGGAGATGGCCGTTGAGGCCCCAGGCTTCGACGCTGCCCCGGCCGACATCGCCATACAAGAGCCTCTCGTAAACAGCGACAGCGACGACGACGTACCCCTCGCTCGCAACAAGGCCAACGGCAAGCGTGCTGGCGCAATGAGCAGCGACGACGAAAAGCCTTTGGTGAGTTGACGAATGTGGCATCGCCCAAACAAGTGCCTAAATGCGGAGCCACCCTTTTCGACCCCTTTGTCACAATAATTACTAACCGTGACAGAGCAAGAAGCCGCGCACGTCAAATGCTGCCGCCAAGAAGCGACGTGTGGTTGAGAGCGACGACGACAGTGATGACGACGCGTCTGCCGTCCCACCAATGGTTAGTACATGGCTCAATGCGACTACGTCTACATCGAAGGGGAGGGAACATTATAGCTGACTCGTCAGGTGAACGGACATGGCTCAGAGTCGTCAGAGGATGAGAAACCTCTCGCCAGGAAGCGTGCACCCGCCAAACCCGCCTCCAATGGCAAGACCGCTCCCAACGGCAAGCCTCCGTCCAAGGGCAAGCCTGCCTCGACAAGCAAGCCCGCGTCGCGCGGTAAGAAGCCCGCAGCCGACAGCGAGTCGAGCGAGGACGAGAAGCCATTGGCGCGTGGCCGCAAGCCTGCCGCGCCTGCCGCTAAACCCGCGTCGCGTCGAGCGTCTACGAAGGCTAAGCCGCCGCCCGACAGCAGCTCCGAAGACGAGAAGCCGCTGGCTAAGCGTGCCCGCGCCACACCAGCAAAGAAGACCGACAAGAAGCCGGCCGTTAAGAAGGAGAAGAAGGGCGACGAAGAGGAGGACGACAAGTACAAGTGGTGGGAGCAGGACGAGAACAATGACGGGTCGGTCAAGTGGACCACCTTCCACCACCACGGTGTTCTCTTCCCTCCACCCTACGAACCCTTGCCGAAAGACGTCAAGATGAAGTACGACGGCAAGCCATTGACTCTACCTCCCGAGTCTGAGGAGGTCGCAGGATTCTTCGCCGCCATGATCGAGACGGACCACGCTAAAGACGAGAAGTTCCGCGAGAATTTCTTCAGAGACTTTAAGGCTATGCTTGCCAAATACCCTCCTGTGAGTGCTGAGCGCCGCCCCAGCTGACCCCAACAGAAGGAAGGTATCAAGGTCACCTCCTTGGAGAAGTGTGACTTCAGCGGCATGTTCCAGTACTTTGAGACTCTGAAGGAGAAGAAAAAGGCCATGACCAAGGAGGAGAAGAAGGCGTACGTGACTCCTACTCGATGTGCGCTCACCCCAGCATTAAGGAGGCCAAGGACAAGCTCGAGGAGCCGTACCTCTACGCGATCGTCGATGGGCGCAAGGAGAAGACTGGTAACTTCCGCGCCGAGCCACCAGGATTGTTCCGCGGACGAGGAGAGCATCCACGAAAGGGGACACTCAAGCACCGTCTTCGTCCTGAGGACATCATTCTCAACATGTCTGAGGACGCCCCTCCACCTGTGCCGAATATTCCTGGCAAATGGAAGTCTATTCAGCACGACAACACGGTGACTTGGCTGGCGCACTGGAAGGAGAACGTGAATGGCCAGTCTAAATACGTTTTCCTTGCGGCGGGCAGTTCGTGGAAGGGCCAGAGCGACCGCTCGAAGTTCGAAAAGGCGCGCGAGCTTATTGTGAGTGATTGCCTTGCTCGTCAGCTGATGTTAGCAACACGTCGACCGCATCCGCAAGGTATACACCGAGGACCTCAAGTCCAAGGTAATGGCGGACCGGCAACGTGCGACAGCGCTCTACTTTATCGACAAGCTCGCACTTCGTGCTGGTAACGAGAAGGGCGAGGACGAGGCGGACACTGTTGGCTGTTGCTCTTTGCGCTACGAACACATCACCCTTGAGCCTCCCAACAAAGTCGTCCTCGACTTCCTGGGTAAGGACTCGATGCGCTTCCACCAGGAAGTCGAGGTCCCGCCCCAGGTGTTCAAAAACATCAAGCTGTTCAAGGCTGAGCCCAAGGGCAAGGGCGACGACATCTTTGATCGCTTGAATGTGAGTGAATCTCTCATTAGCAGCGCTGACCTGTAGACCAGCATCCTCAACAAGTACCTGAACGAGCAGATGAAGGGTCTCACTGCCAAGGTGTTCCGTACCTACAACGCCTCGTGGACCTTCCAGAACCAGCTCAAGGCCTTGACGCCCAAGAGTGGCACTGTCGCGGAGAAAATTGCGGCCTACAACACAGCTAACCGCGACGTAGCTATTCTGTGTAATCACCAGAAGACCGTCAGCAAAGGTTTCCACGAGTCCAAGGCCAAGTTCGAGGACAAGATTCGCGGCGTCAAGTACCAGCGAATGAAGCTGCGCATGCAGCTCTTCTCTCTCAACCCCAAGTTGAAGAAGAAGCGCCCCGAGCTCGCCGAGGACGAGTCAGACATGGACGACGAGTTCTTTGAGCGCCACGAAGTCGAGTTGCTGGAAAAGGCAATCGAGGCCGCAGGCAAGAAGTTTGATCGCGAAAACGTCAAGCTCGAGGGCGAAGGCGAGTCGAAGCAGCCGAAGAAGGTGCTTGATGAGCGGGTAAAGGAGATTAAGGCCGAGTTCAAGGTGCTCATCAAGGAGCGCAAGACGGGCAAGGCGGAGCCCAAGAAGGGCGGTGAGTGTGGCGAAGAGTTTCGCTTTCAGAGTGCACGAGCTGACTCCTAGCCACTGAGGAGAAATTGCTGGAGCAGATCAAGAAGCTGGACGACCGTATCGCCACGCTCAAGATTCAGCTGCAGGACCGTGACAACTTGAAGGACGTTGCGCTCAGCACGTCCAAGATCAACTACATTGACCCGCGCATCAGTGTTGCTTGGGCGAAGAAGTTTGATGTGCCACTGGAGAAGCTGTTCAGCAAGACTCTGCGAGAGAAGTTCCCCTGGGCCGAAGCCGAGGCCGACGAGGACTGGATGTGAGTTTGGCTTGGGATAGATCTCGCCAGTGGTAGATGCTAATACCAGCTTCTAAACTGACAATGCTCGACTGGACTGGGGCTTTGCATAAGAGGCGAGCCCGCCTGTCCTGGCTGTATCCATCTTCTTTATCCCACCCATGTTGTTTTGAGAGCACCTCCCGCTCTACCCCATTCCGCTCATGTAGACGAGGTCACTGTAGTATGCATCAGGCATTTATCGCCATCGCACACGACCGAAGTCCGGGGCAGTCGCGTGGCGCAAGGTGGTTGGGACAGGCAGCAATTGGACGAAGAGGGATTTGGCCGGCGAAGTAAAGCCGAAAGTGCGATGAGTGGCCCGAATTCTCCCGCCTGGGAAGAGAGCGCGGATGATTCCGAGATGATTATTGGGTGAGTGCTGGCCGAGCCGTGGGAGCGCCCGCAGGCAGCAGCGCAGAGACGCAGAGACGCAGAGACGCAGAGAGGCGGAGAGGCGCAGAGGCGCAGAGACTCTCAGTACGGATGCAGCCGACAGCTGACAGGCTGCGCTGCAGACGGGGCCAGCATGCACCAGGGACGGGTCTCGCTCCAAGGTAGTCCAAGCCTCAGCCAACCAGCAAAGAGGTCATTCACACCCACCCACACCCTGCGCCTTGGTAGGACAAGATCGCTTTCGTAGCTTCCTCGCCAGCTCCTCCCCAATTCCCGTCGCCGACCTTGCTTGCTCGTCCTCTTTTCCTAGCTCCTCACCACTCCAAAACCTCTGCCCAACATGATGCGCCTCTCGCGCGCCCTCACTCGCCCCGGCGCCGCCGGCCTTGCTCTCCGCAACTCGCGCGGCTATGTCATGGCTTCGCAGACCCACCGCGCCCAGGAGGCTACTGTGAGTATCCCCGCGGCTGTCGTCGCATATGCCCACGCTCCATCACCTCTGCATGCATGCCCGCCGCGCTACGGAGGACGTGGACGCTGCGTGAGCGCGCGCTAATCTCCAGAACTTTGGCCAGCACAAGGGCTACCCCGTTGTTGACCACGAGTAAGTCGCCCGCTTGTCGAGTTTGTCCGACGCTGACGCCCAGGTTCGATGCCGTTGTTGTGTGAGTGTCGATCGCAGAGCAGGGGGACGGGGAAAGACCCCGGAAGGGAGGTTGTAGCGCGGCTAGCGGAGAGGCCCAGCGACGATCAGAGGAGAGGGTGTCTGGCTTAGAACACAAACTAACATTACAGTGGTGCCGGTGGTGCCGGTCTTCGTGCCGCTTTCGGTCTCGCCGAAGCTGGTCTCAAGACCGCGTGTGTGACCAAGCTCTTCCCCACCCGTTCGCACACTGTCGCCGCGCAGGGCGGTATCAACGCCGCGCTCGGCAACATGACCGAGGACGACTGGCGGTGGCACATGTACGACACCGTCAAGGGTTCGGACTGGCTCGGCGACCAGGACGCCATCCACTACATGTGCCGTGAGGCCCCGGGCACTGTCATTGAGGTGAGCGCGGAACAGCGCGGGAGCGCTCGGCGCCCGAGTCTGCCTTGCAATTTCATCTAACGCCCCAGCTCGAGCACTACGGTGTCCCCTTCTCGCGTACTAAGGAGGGCAAGATCTACCAGCGTGCCTTCGGTGGTCAGTCGCTCAAGTTTGGCAAGGGCGGCCAGGCGTACCGCTGCGCCGCCGCTGCCGACCGTACCGGCCACGCTCTTCTGCACACCCTCTACGGCCAGTCGCTGCGCCACAACACCAACTTCTTCATCGAGTTCTTCGCGATCGACCTCCTGATGCAGGATGGCGAGTGTGTTGGTGTCATCGCCCTCAACATGGAGGACGGCACGCTCCACCGCTTCCGCTCCCACAAGACCGTTCTCGCGACCGGCGGCTACGGTCGAGCCTACTTCTCGTGCACTTCGGCACACACCTGCTCGGGTGACGGCAACGGTATGGTTGTCCGTGCCGGCCTTCCCCTCCAGGACCTCGAGTTCGTCCAGTTCCACCCCTCGGGCATCTACGGCTCGGGCTGCCTCATCACCGAGGGCGCCCGTGGTGAGGGTGGCTACCTCCTCAACTCGAACGGTGAGCGCTTCATGGAGCGTTACGCCCCCACCGCCAAGGACCTGGCGTCGCGCGACGTCGTCTCGCGTTCCATGACCATGGAGATCCGCGAGGGCCGCGGTGTCGGCCCCGAGAAGGACCACATCTACCTCCAGCTCTCGCACCTGCCGCCCGACATCCTCCACGAGCGTCTCCCCGGTATTTCGGAGACTGCGGCCATTTTCGCCGGCGTCGACGTCACCAAGGAGCCCATCCCCGTCATCCCCACCGTCCACTACAACATGGGCGGTATCCCCACCAAGTGGACTGGTGAGGTCATCACCGTCGACGAGAACGGCAACGACAAGGTCGTGCCCGGCCTCTACGCTGCTGGCGAGGCTGCCTGTGTCTCGGTGCACGGCGCCAACCGTCTCGGCGCCAACTCGCTGCTTGACATTGTCGTCTTCGGTCGCGCGTGCGCCAACCACATCAAGGAGAACCTTGCGCCCAACACACCCCACAAGCCCTTCGACGAGACCCTCGGCAAGGAGTCGATCGAGAACCTCGAGAAGATCCGCACCTCGGACGGCCCCCTCCACACCTCCACCATCCGCCTCAACATGCAGAAGACTATGCAGCGCGACGCCGCCGTCTTCCGTATGCAGGAGTCGCTCGACGAGGGAGTCAAGAACATGACCGAGATCTACAAGACCTACGACCAGGTCGGCATCAAGGACCGCTCTCTCATCTGGAACTCGGACCTTGTTGAGACGCTCGAGCTGCGCAACATCATGCAGTGCGCCGTGCAGACTGTAAGATTCGGCTTTGGCCTTGTACTCCGCTAACTCCCAGGTCGTGTCCGCCGCGAACCGCAAGGAGTCGCGTGGTGCCCACGCCCGCGAGGACTACCCCGACCGTGACGACGAGAACGTAAGTCTCCTTTGGTATGCCGCACGCTGACTCAGCAGTGGATGAAGCACACGCTGTCGTTCCAGCGCGACCCGGAGTCGCCCGAGGTCGAGCTCCAGTACCGCAATGTCATCTCGAACACCCTCGACGAGAGGTGAGTTTACCCGCGTTCACCCGCCCTCCCCTGCAGCCACTGACGCCCGCAGCGAGTGCAAGAGCGTCCCTCCGTTCAAGCGTGTCTACTAAGCGACTCGCAGTGCGCTGGGAGAGGGTCAGCAGTGGTAGTGTACGAGCAAGCATGCAACTTTGACATCCGAGAGGATTCGAGCCGTGGGCGAGGCGAGGGAGGGGTGTGGTGAGAGCGCAGAGCTAGAATATCAACTTTGAGAGACTGTTGATCTTGCTGATCTTGTTGATCTTGTGAATAGACATAAATGACTGCGCAGCGCGCTGCGTTGTGTGCCGACTTGCGTGTTGGAGGTTCAGGATGGTCGGCCGTCGGGAGAGGTAGCTGCGGACTGAACCGCGCATCGTACGAGACGGGAAGTAGCGCTGTGATTGTGCACACATGCTGTTGGAGGACATGAGGAGGGCTCTTCAATGTCGCTATGTTCACGGTTGATTTCTGACGGTCGCATATCATTCAATGGTGCCAAGGGCACTCCTCCTCGTATGCAACGCTGCATCGCGCTAGATCTGTGTGGCCGAGCCGCGGTGCATTTGAGTACAGAAAGCAGGAAGCGAGGTCGATGAGGCGGATAACGACCCTCGAGCTTCAGTTCTGGTCCGCCCGTCCCCACCCTCCACCCGCACGATGCTATGCCTTGCATTGGTAATCAGCACACTACTCTACTCTACGGCACACTTCTCCGCCTAGAACCGCCCCGCCGCCGCCTTGGCCGACTGCATGACCTTGCGCGTCTCCGCGCGGCGCGCGTCGAGGCTCTGGCCCTGTGTGCGGAGGATGTACTTTGACGCAAAGTTCTCGACCTCTGCGGCGGGGAGGTCCTGCTCTGCGCGCGGCGTGTCCAGCCAGCGCTGGAGGACGGCGGCAGCCTCCTCGGCATAGAACTCGGAGGGTGTTTCGTCATGCAGCGCCAGCACAGCGTCCCAGAGGTCGCGGAGGGCGACGCCGCCCGCGAGGAGCGCGCGCGTCGCCCACCCCGGCGCGCCGCCGACCTCGGACGCGTGCCCGTACACAATGGGGAGGACGAGGTCGGGCGGGGCGCCCTCGGACGGGTAGAATTTGCGGCACAGGTCCGTGGTTACTTCGGCCGGGTGCGGCGACTTGAGGAGCTCGGTCCACACGGCCTTCACCACGTCTTCGACGCGCGTGTCTGCCGTCCGCAGGATCAGGAGGATGGGCTCGTACAGCCGCAGCGGCCGCGCAAAGTTCTGGTACAGGTCGTCGAGGGACAGCAGGTCCGCGTTGAGCGAGACGAGATAGTCGGCCTTCTCGGAGGGGGTCATGTCCGGGTGCCCCTCGACTGCGCGCACCACCTCAAGCTGCACGTGCGCGACGTCCAGCCGCTCCTGCAGGCCCGTTGTGAACTCTACGTCCTCGGCTCCGAGCGACGCCGCACTCTTGGCGTTCGTCAGCGCCTGCGCGAGGTAGTACACGCGGTCCTGTAGCGACATGTCTGATGGGCGCGACGCCATGTCCGCCAGCGCCTTGGCCGCGGGCAAGTACTCCTCGCGCCGCGCATAGTACTTCCACAGCAAGTCGCGGCGGCCCGGCACATTCGACGTTGTCGCGCGCAGGTAGCTCTCGATGAAGGGTGTCTCGAACTGGGGTTAGCTTTGTCCTAGCCACAGCTCACGTCAAGGAGCTGGTCCGCCCGACCAAGCGCCGAGATCCAGTCGTACAGGTAGAAGTGGAAGAGCTCGTCGTTGGAGCTGATCGCGAGCCCATATGCCTCGTCGCGGATGCGGATCGCACCCGTAGCTGATGTCAGCGGTGTTCCTGCGCTTGACCCACCCTGCCCAGGTCCTGCGGCAGTCGCCTTGTCCAGCGCGTCGTCGTAGCTCCCGAGCACCTCCACGACAAGCTTGTAGCACTCCTGCCGTTCCTCGAGGAAGCCGACGCGTGGGTCGCCCGCGTTGCGCCCGTCGCGGACGTAGTCGCCTGCCTTGTCCTGCGGGTCCAGCTCCGCGGCAACGCGGAGCGGCAGCTCGATCGTGCCGCGCACATCGTTGAGCGCGCGGTATCTCCGCGTAGCGTCTGGCAGGCGGGGGTATACGCTGCGTGCTGCGCTCCCCGCCGCGCGGTTGAAGAGACGCAGCGACTCGGCAATGTTCTCCTCCCGCTCAAGCGCGTCGCGCGTGCTCTCGGCGCGCCGCAGGCTCTCCTCAGCCTTGTAGAGCACCACGTCGCCGGGCTGCACGAATGTCCCGCAACGCTGCTGGAGAATGGCGCTGAGGTTATCGATCTGTTGTCAGCTGCGGACGGATGATCACACTCACGCCGAGCTCCTGCCCGATCTGCAACTCGATCAGCGCTGTGACGAGCGTGCGCGCGACATTGCGCCCGCCCAGGCTCGTGAGGAGGCTCTCAAACGAGAGGCTCGTCAGAGTGCCCTGCGTCGCCTGGTCACACTTGGCAATCACGTCCGGCAGCTTATAGTCGGCAATGAGCAGAACGAACGAGATCGCCTCGATGGCCTGCTTGAGCAGCAGCCTGAGGCCCTCGATCGACGCCTCCTCTGCATCCCATGCACGCTTGCCGTCGCCCTCGGCCTGGTGGCGCGGGAAGGGGTGGCTCTCAAGGAAGCGGAGCAGGTCCGCGAGATTACCCTGGACGTCCAGTAGCTCTCGGTCGCTCACGCCGAGCTTGAAGCGCACCGGGCCGGGGACGGTCGCGACGACCTTGGCCTTCCAAATGGGGCGCAGGTAGCGCGCGAGTGTGGCGGCGAGACCGTCGTGGCGGGGCGAGTAGATGATCGAGCGCGTCCCGGTCGTCGACGTCTGAAGGATAGGGGGCTCGGCGGCGATGAGGATGTTCACGGAGGCAGTGACGAGGTCAGTGATCTGCCGCTTGTGGCCCGATGTGCCCATGAGCACGGCCATTCCGGCGAGCTGCACACGGCCGAATGCCTGGCGCGCTACGATGACTGCCTGCTCCTTCTCAATTTCGAGGTCGTCTTCCAACATGTCGATAGGACGGGGCTGCTCGACGCGGAACAGACCCGAGTTGGTGAGCAGCAGGAACTGGCGTGCAGCGATGGTGGCTTCGCGCGCAAGCTCAGTCAAATCGATGCCGTCCTCCCTTCTCAGCGCAGGCGATGCCCGGGCCGGGTTGGTCGACGCAACCTCGGCAATAGTCCACACAGTAGCAGGAATCAGGATTCTCGACGTCCACTCCTGCAGCGCGGGCGCCTGGTAGTTGTCAAAGTTCTCGCGCATAGCCGACTGCCTGCCGACGGCTGGGGTGGCAAATGTAACAATGGACGATGCGGTGGCTGCCCCAGTGTTGGGCTGGACGGCCAGCAGCGTGCCGGACGAGTAGAACGATTGCGGGAGCACCTTGGCCACGTCTGGTGGGGGAGGACGAGTCGCGATAATCTGGAAGGCGCCGCCGCCACCGTAGTAAAAGCCCGTGGTGCCGATGTATGCGCGCGCACCGCTGGCGGCGATGGCCACGACTGCCGCCTTCTTGCTCTCGTTTGCCGGGACGGGCGCAATCGCCACGACTTGTGCGCCAGCATTCCCGAGCGCCCCAGTGAGGCGAGCGCGCAAGAAGTGGTCGCGCAAGTTGTTGAGGCGCGACCGCGACTCAAACTTGGTGCCCGACACGTCAATCCACTCCAACTGGCCCTTCGTGTGCAACGCGTACAATCGGCCTTGCTGAGGGTCGACGACGAAACTTTCGACACCTTCGCGGTTGGCGCCCTGTAGCACACTCGGCACCCATGTACTCAAGTACCCGCTCGAGTGGTTCGTGAGCCAGACCTTGGAGCCGCTGCTCAGCCAGCCGCTGCTGATCGAATACTCGAGCTCGTAGATGTCCTTGTTGACGCCGAGGAGGAAGATGCGTCCCGAGTCGGTGCCGCGGATGCACGTCATGGTAGTCGGCGCCTCGACGGACATATTCGTTGCGTACAAAGACAGCTCACCCTTGGCGGAGCGAGAGAGGCCGAGCAAAGTTGCCTTTGTTGCCGTGCATATGACGAGGAGGTAGTGGATGTCGTCCACGAACACGTCCTTGCGAGCACGCACTAGACCCACAGAGTAGATAGTCGAGTCCTGCTGGTCGTAGCGGCTGAAGTCGCGCCCGTCGGTGTAGTCCCACAGGAACAGCTTGTTGTCGACTGTGAACCATGCGCGCTCAATCTCCTCAAACAGGCCCATGTTTGCTGTCGTGTGCTTGTCTGCAGGTCAGCAACATCCGCAGCAACAGACCAACATTGGAGCTCCTGATGCAGCGCATCTGGGAGAGGAATGTTCTTGACGAGCTTGGCGTTGTTGAACGCAGCCGATGTAGAGGGTGGGGGGACATAGAGCTCGTTGGTCGCTGGCGTTAGGTCCGTGTCATCCATCTTGCACCCACGCTGCTGGAGCTTGTCAACAAGGTCCAGTGAAATCTCGTTGTCCGACACCATCGCGCGCTCAATCTTGCCTCGCGCCCGCCCCAGTGGGCCGTAGACCGGATCCTCGTCCTTGGCCGGCTCCTCGATCGCTTGGGGAGCCTGCACGCGGCTCGCGGTCACAGTGTAGCTTTGACCGAACGGTTGTCTCCACCCGCTCTCGCCATACCCGCTGCTACCGTACGGAGGGGCCTGCACGCTCCCCGTCCCGAAGGGGGGCGGCGCCGCGACAGGCCCCGCTGGACCAGCTGGCACGAGCGACCCTGTCGCGCCTAGCGGCACCATGGCGCCCGCGGGCGCCGTGGGCGCGTGCCCGGGCGCATGTTGGAAGGGGTTGTGGATGTGGGGAAAGCCGTGGGTGTGCGGCTGCTGGGGAAGCGCGGGGTAGAGGGGCTGCTGCGGTTGCGCGTAGCCGCCATACATGTTGTTGTTGTACGACATGGCCGCGGGCGCCGGATCGTCACACGCGCCGGAGAGAGGTCGTGACTCTGGTTGCCAGGTGACGTTCTCCTAGTCCCTAGTACGACGAGGAGGATAGAATGGGGTGAGGGGGGTGAGGTAGGAAGAGGCTGTGGATGTTGAGATTGTTGAATTAGTGAACGCATCACAGGTCTCGCAACACAAGGCCCAAAGATGTTTGTAGCACGTGGTATTTTGAACCCGCTGGTCATGCGGTGGAGGTCGTCCGTCGACGACCACGATCACGATCAACACGTCACTGGGAGCGTGCACGCAGCACTCGTGTACAGGGGGGCATGCATGATACAGGATGCATGGACGCACGAACATCAACAGAATGTGATTCTACAGCAAGAGGATCATACAACGTTATGTCTACATGATCTACTGATGCATGTATTCAAGGCTGGTCTTTGCGATACCTGCTTGTTAGCAGCTGAATCTTTCCAGTATGGCTTCGAACTTACCGCATCAGCACGCTCTTCGCGCTGCGGATGTAGCCTGCATCCTTCATCGCCTCGACGCAAAGCTTGCCTGCATCCTGACCGGGCGTCTGTCCAGGATGTTCCGCGTGCCAGTCATGCCAGAAGTCGGCGAAAAACTCGAGCTACGCGTCAGTAGTGCGGCATGGCTTTTCTCACCTCCTCCTTCGTCCACAGACGGTAGCCATTGGAGCTCATCTTGACCTTGCCTTGAGCCGGGCTTGATGCTCGGACCTCCGCGCGGCCAGCCTCAGCTCGAACTGTCTTGGCCTTAGTTTTCATAGAGGAGGAGGACGCCGCCTTTCTGCGCTGAGTATCGTTAGACAGCACCCCGCTCTCTTTGTGTGCTGCTGTACGTTTTCCTGAGGCAGTCGGCCTGGAGACGATTTTGGCTTGTCCTCTTGGCGAAGTTCCAACCAGCTTCTTTGACCAGCGCATGCGCTTGCGACGGAACGCCGGGCCAGCAGTGTCACTGCTCGGGTCCGCAGCACTTTGCTCTGGTTCCGCTGTGTCTTCGGTTATGGAAGAGGAAGTTGCTGGTTGTGTTCGCGTTTGGGAACCGCGCTTGCGCTTGGTTGGAGCGGGTGGGTGATCGGAGTCAGGTGCGGGAGAGAGGGTTGAACGACTCGTGAGGCTCAGTCTCCGCCGCTTCCTCGAGGTTTCCACGGAGGGCTTCACACTGCGAGGCTGACCCAATGGATGCTGCGCATCCCCAGCCTGGGGGTCCTCTTGTGGCCCCGTCTCTTCCGATGTCTCTTGCGCTTTACCGGCCTCCTGCGCCTTTGATGCGTTCCGCGTCCTCGGCAGAGAGCTGGTCGCCATGCCGGGTGGCACCTTCCAGAACTTTGGTGCTCTTGTGAGCTTGCTGCGCTTGTCTCTCGTAGCTGTTGGAGATGTACCCGCAGCTGCCGTCGATGAGAGTACCACTCGCTTTCGCCGAGGACGGGCTGTCGTGTTCGTGGGCATGGTGGTGAGGATGGGGACGAACGGCTTCCGAGTCAGCATGTGAGTGGGCGGTTAAACCTACGCTTCTGACAGCTTGATGAACATCTTCTTTCCGCTCGGCTTCCTTTTCCGGGACGTCGACGCTGGAGCTGGGCAATCAGTATGCGGAGTACGAGCGTTACTTACGGCACTGGAGATGCTCCCAGCCTGCCTAAACCTACAGCGCTCATCATCGGAATGAGATCATCAACCTCGTCCTCCTCCGAGGCATATCTTCCCTCATCATCCCAACACTTCAGCACTTCAGCGCTATGTCCGACCCTCTCCACGGGCCCCGAGAAAGATCCATTGCCATTAGGGCACGGCCGCAGGGGGATGGTCCGCAATGCCTCGGATGATGTGGTACAGTGCAAAGAGAGAGGAGACTCTTGGTCCTCGAGGCAATCAACAGTGTGGCGTATGGCGGATGTGTGGGGCACAACGCGCAGTCGACCGGACGTGGCAAGGTCGCGTGGCAAAAAAGCTGGGACGAGTGACTCTCGTGGGGAGCTTCCCGACGCTCTGCGGCTGGCACTGGACAGAGTCAGGTTGAGGCTACTTCGGGGGTTGCATGGAACGTTAGTGGGCGGCCATCCCCACACCCCATAGACTGGATGAAGTTGTGGGAGACTCCCAGTCTGGCCTTCGACGGCAGGCCGATTGAATTCTGTGAAGTCGTCGTGGAGCCGGCGCGGCGCCCCTCCAGACAATGTGTGCGCATGAGTGGGGAATAGGTTGTTGAGGCCAGGGGTGTCAACGGTATCCGCGGCGGATAGCTGTCCCGTCGGCGATGATGTGAGGCGTGACTCGGACGGCGCTGATCTGCATAGGACAGGAGCTTTAGAGCCTGCAGACCCCTGCGATGCCGCATCTCCCGCCACATGAGCTGCCGTGGTCACAGTATCGAGATCAGGATGTAGAAATGGACAAGGGTTGGCATGGGGGAGGTCGCCGCCGACCCCACCGAGGTTGGAAATGGACGATGAAGCCTGGTCCACATCTGACGCACACTCGGTCTTAAGACATCCGTCCGTTGCGGCCGCCTCTGCCTTTGCAGCCGGGTGCAAGGAGGAACCAGGGGCATAGTCCAAGACCGTCGTGGTTGAAGACTGGCCATCGCTGCTAGAGGGGTTTGTGGGGCGCGGGGGAGATGAAGAGGAGCCGCCAGGGCTGGATGAATGGTACGGCTGCACCCGCGCTTCACTCGAGCTGTGGCAGTCACCTGAAACTGTCTCGCTTGACGTGTCCGTCTCAGCGTATGTCAGGGCATTACCAGGAGTGGTGCCGACAGAGGGAGGTGATACTGGTTCGCAAACGGAAAGGGCAGAGATCTCTGCGGCCTCGAGTTCTGCGGGGGCTCCCGAGGTGCGGATGGGCGAGCCCAGTCGACGCTGCGCACTGCTGCTTGAATTATCGCCCTCGTCGGACTGGGCAAGGCTGCCAGGATGCCAATCTGGTTCAGGCGAAGTGCGTGACGCCGTGGCAGTGGCGGCCGAATCAGCGCTGCCTTCGCTTTGGCTGAAGGGTAAAGAATCTGAAGGCACCCTGGTACTTGGTGTGTGCGACGTCGATGTCTGCGCTAACTCAGTGCAGTCAGATGGGGACGGGCTGGGCGGCACGAAGTGTGAGAGCCAGTCACTGAGTGCGCGGGGTGCGGCGATGTTGGTAAGTATTGTTGATCTCGGCTGTGGCGTTGGTATGACAGCGGTCTCATTGGCGGCTGGCTTGTGGCGGATGTCGTCCGGTGTGGAATTGTCTAGAGCAACTCCCTCTCTCGGAAGAGGTACTGCGAACGTACCGTGGTCTGGACAGACGTCGGCACTTTCGGTATCAGTGGCGACGGACGAAAGGAGAAGTTCCCCGTTGATGCCTTCGGCATCGGCAACGCCATGGCAAGGAGGGCTCGAAGGCGTAATCGACTGCACGTTGTCTTCTGACGCCTCGTCCACGGGGTCCTTCGTTAGAGTTCCGTCCTCGACGCCATGCTTCGACGTAAATTCTTCTGGTTCGCTCTCAGTAGCGCCCTCGACTTCCACTTCTGGCCACTCGCCGTCGGAGTCATCGGATGTGAGGGGAATGGCAGTCGGCGTGGACACTGGGGTGCTGACAGCGGGGATGATACTGACAGCCTCTGCCACAGGTAAGGCAAGTCGGTCCTTCCCGTTATCAGTGGTCGCAAGGGACTCTTCCGCGGTTCTGGACGCGGCTATTTCAGGCGAGCCAGCGTCAATGTTGTCCGGCTCCCGCAGCGACTCGGCAGGAGAAGGGGTAGCAGTGGTAGCTGCCATGAAGCGTGGCGTCTCATGGTCCACAGGCATTTCGAGCGTGTCCACCACGCCGCCCTCACTCGGTCGTCCCTCGAGCGAAGGTGCAGGAGCTTCGGTTGACGCCTCGACTTGGAGCGTGGACGAAGGTCGGGCAGAATATTCTCCGCAAAACGGATAACAGCCATCTTGGTCACTAAGTATGCTCCTGTCATGGTTAGGCGGCAGGGGAGGGGTATCCTTCACGGAAAGGTCATTGGCCGGTGCCACTGGCGCCGCTGGAACCACCCCCGCCTCGGATGTCTGTTGCAAGGTGTCACTTTCAAATAATGCCGACCTCACTGTAGATGGCAATGTGGATGACGATGGAGGCAACGGGCTTGACCGCACGCAGGTTGTGACCTCAGATTGAATACTAGTGGGTTTGGGGGAGGAAGGGGCTATTGGCGGCGTACAGTGCTCCACACCTGGAGATTTGGGCTGCTTGTCCACCACAGGAGAATCGTAGATGAATGCCTCGAACAGTTCAATCAATGGGTCTGGGATGCTCGGGCCTGTTGGTGGAGTCTGAGGTAGCTGCGCGTCTGGCGGAGACGGCGAATCAATGGGGAAGCTGGGCACATTGGAAGTGAGGAGGGAAGGCGGCGGCTCGTTAGCACCCGAAACGCTTTCAAAGCTCTGAGTGTTGTCAGCATCTCCAGCATCTGGGTCCATTTGACACAACTTACGGCAGGCTCTGGGTCCGCCAGGCGTCCGATCACACCATCCAGCTCCTCAGTAAGCGCCTCGTCTTCTGCGCGGGCAAGTGGCTGAAAACCCAGTACGGCGCGGTCATCGTCGGCGGCAAAGCTAGACACGCAATGCGAACCGTATGCCTCACGCATCTCCTCGGGTAGATCAACGGTAGCCCACTCGTCCTCGCTCTCGACAGGCTCTTCATAGCCCGCCAGCTGTGCGCGCGTCGCACTAGCGGACACGGCGCTCATGATGACACGGGTTGCTGAGATTTTGACCGAGGAAGGAAGGAAGGGCGAAGCCAGCCAGCTGTATGAGGAATGACGACACCTCCCTAGGGGAGTGAGTACTAGCGCACTGACGACGGTGACAGTACTAACAGTGGCACCTGTGGGATCAGGTGTGCACGCTCTCGCTCAATGCTGACTCATGCACCCCTCGGGAGCGCGAAGTGGAGGTGGTAGAGGGTGTTGCGAATCGGTGAGGGTGAAGGAAGAATATGGAGTGGGTGCTGTCGAGGTGTGAACCGCCGGGCGAAAGGAATGGTGGAGAGAAACTTGTGCGACGTGGGGATGACGATGGGAATATGAGGGGGGGAGTTGCAAGGTGGGACGAAGAGGAGGAGGCGTGGCCGTGTGTTTGTGGGAGTGTTGTGGTGGTGGGATAAGTCCCGACGTGAGTGGAAGAAAGAGGATGGCGAGCGAGTGCTGAATGGGTGATGAGAAACGGTCGACGACGCGTTCACGGTGGGAGGTATGAGGGGATCGAGGGGAACGCGAGCGCGAGGCAGAATGACTGAAATCATGTCGAGTGGAGGTAACTGTATAACTGATCTTCACTCATCACTCACTCGCCCATGGCCCACGCGCGCGTCCCAACTGCGGTACTGCGGTACAAGCGGCCAGCCAACACCAGCGGTCGGGTCGTCCAAACTGCCCGCTGCCGGTTGGATTACGGGCCGATTGCTTGAGTAAGTTGTTTCAAACCACCTTGTCGTCGGCCATTGCTTGCATGACGCATTACGCATGCCGAGAGTGATGAGGATGGAGGAGGAATGCCACCTCCCAAAGGTGGGGAAAGACGTGGAGGTGCGGAGGAGGTGGCAATCGTGGCGAGGTGGCGGGCGCGGCAGGGTCCGCCCTCCGCCCATCGATGGGATCTCTGGGATCTGTCCACGCCACTTCCGCACCTCTGCGCCTCACGCCCCGCGCCCCCTGGGCACTCCTCCCCAGATTAGCAAAAGGAGGGGAGAGGAAAAGATGGCGTTCTGTGTCCCGTGTCCCACTTGGACACGCTCTTCCCACATTGGATCTCTCGTGATGTGACGCACAGAGTTGGTTGAGTCAAAAGGTAGGACGCGCGTGGTGGCGAAATTGTCGGCGCTACTGGACAGCTGGGCATCAGCTGACCGGCACGGCCGAGATGACCGGTCCGTGGAAAGAGCGGGTAGAGCACACTGACTCACAGGGGTGCAGGGGAAGAGGGAATGGGGTCCGAGCGGGAGGACGACCACCAAGTGGTCGGCACGGGTGGCTGCGGACGCGGAGGTGAGCAAGCCGATGATGCTGAGTTGGTCGCGTGGCATGTTCCGTCAGTGCCGGTTTGACAATCTTTTGAGTCGGCGATCCCTCGCCCTCGCAGTCCCCCATTCTCCTTCGTGACCGGCACTTGGCAACTGGCGAGGCTTGAGCAACTGGGCATCAAGATTGAGGGAATGTTGTGTCTACGATCTGCGAAGGTGCAGCGAGGACGGGTTAGGTGAATCAGTGCATCGGCGGTCGCGGCGCATGTGGCGCCTCGTTTCAATCCACCTATCCGCTCTACCCGCACTTTTCTGAAGCACAGAGATACAGAGAACGTACAGGCGCACAGGCCTCTCGTCCACACACGGCGGAGCCGCAGTCCGTTCGGGGGATCGGGGGTCAATGTGCTGATCAACCTTTGAACTTCGAGTCGGCCCCCACCGCCTAAATCATTCGCCACCCATCCCTCCGTCATGTCCACCATGCTATCAAGCTATGCCTGGGGTAAGTGTAAGCTCACTGCACGATCTCCACAACGCAGCTGCTCTCTTACGCGCTTATGTCAAGGAGTGGGCAATGTGGATATGCGGAATGCGCGTGTTGTTGAGATCGCAATCCGTCTCCGTCATATCAGTCCGAGAAATATCCGCACGGCGACCGTGGGAATATGAAATTTCGTGTCATCCACCCAACCGATCACTTCCACCTAGTCAACAACATCACCAATGGCCGAGGCAGACGTCAAGCCCGACGTGCAGCAGAAGAAGCGCAAGCGCACAGGGAAGGAGCGCGAGGAGCGCAAGCGCGCCGCTATTCAAGTGGGTCTGTGCGCTGACCGTCACTAACCTGCAGGCCAAGCTTGAGGCCGAGGCCGCCGCAGCTGAGAAGGATGAGTCCGAGCAGGTCCCCGAAGCCCCCGAGCCTGAGGGGGGCGTGACGGAAAAGAATGGCGATGAGAGGGAAATGGACGCGACTCCGGCAGTGGACTTTGACAAGATCGCCCAGCGCATTGTGAGTCATCCCGCGACGCAACTGACGCCAGCCCGCGGGCCTGAAGAAGCTTCACCCCGAGTTCAAGCAGGCCAGGAAGGCCGAGACGATGCGTCTGATCAAGAAGATTCGCTTCCTCAAGTAAGCGTCGTGCTGATCGGGCTAACCCCAGGTCCAAGTCGGAGGATGTGTCCGAACTCGAGGCGCAGCTCAACCTCCTGTCCGCCGTACAGCTCCGCGCTCTGGCGACGTCGCATTTCCGCCAGAAGCTCAAGAAGCATCACACGCTGAAGCACGCCGATCTTCCCGCCTCCATTGTGACCGCGCTTCCCGTGAACCCCAGCGTGCCATCCTCGTCGTCTAGTGCGACGCCGGACGTGATTGCCAAAGTCGAGAACAGGCTGTGCTCGTCAAAGAAGGTGGTGGACGCGATCAAGCCCGTCTTGGCTTGGGTGATGTGCGAGCCGGGAGCCACGCTCAAAATCACCTCGGCCAAGAACGTCAAGACAAATGTCAAGCGCGCCATGCCGGAGTCCGAGGACGAGAGCGAGGACGAGGACGAGAGCTTCGCCGTCGGACCAGTAGAGGGGCTGGATAGCGACGACGAAGCGGTGATGGAGGCGCGGGCTGCGGACGCGGCAGGATGGGAGTCAGGGTCGGTGGGCGATGAGAGCGGGGACGATTCGAACTCAGACTCGGACTCGGACTCGGACTCGGACTCGGACAACTCCGGGGCTGGCCGCATTGCCCCGCCATCAGACTCCGAGTCGGAGCCAGAAGCGCCGCCGAGGAAGAAGGTTAAGGCGCCCGAGCCCAAACCGTCGTTGAAGAAGGGGAAGGATACGAAGGACGGGACGTCGTCCATGTTCCTCCCCTCGCTCGCGGCGGGTTTTACGGTCGGCGACGGCGACTCGGACCCCGACATGGACTACGACGAAGACGGGATTATCGGGAGCAAGCAGGCGGTGCGCAAGAACCGGCGTGGGCAGCGTGCGCGCCAAGCGTGAGTCCTCGTGATGTAGAGCTGACGGCAGGATCTGGGAGAAGAAGTACGGCAAGAACGCAAAGCATGTGGTCAAGGCGCGCGAGGAGGAGGAGAAGAAGGTGCGCGGGCCGCAGGGCCAACGGCGCGACCAAGGATGGGGGCAGCGGCGCGAGGCCGCGTCTGCACCCGCACCCGCCCCCGCGCCTGCGCCGGCGAAGCCGGCAGCGCCAGGGCCGCGGGGAGAGGCGTCCAAGCCGGCCAAGGAGGGCCTGCACCCGTCCTGGGAGGCTGCGAAGATGCGGAAGCAGCGTGCGATTGCCAAAGACGCGCCGAAGCCTACGAAGATTGTGTTCGATTAGCCGTCAGATTCCATGCATCTGTGTCCCAACATTACATTCCTACCTCCACCAATTTGCTTCCGTTGCCACCTAAGATCTTCAAACGCGGGAATGTCCAGCGCAAAGCTCAGCTCATCAGCACCATTCGCCATGACGACACACCACCCGCGCCGGCACCCGATCATCCTGATCACGGGCACGCCCGGGACGGGCAAGACGCTGCACGCAAGCCTGCTTGCGTCGGAGAGCGACGAGCTCGTGCACTTGAACGTCGGCGACATCGTGAAGCAGCACGGGCTGCACGAGGGGTGGGACGACGAGTGGCAGAGCTATACGGTCGACGAGGACCGGCTGCTCGACCACCTCGAGGAGATTGTCAACCCGGCATCGGGGCCCGCGCCGACGGGTACGTGCGTGCGCAGCGCTGGCTGATCGCAGGCTTCATCATCGACCACCATGACCCAGGGCTGTTTCCCGAGCGCTGGATCGACCTCGCGGTCGTGCTGACGTGCGACAACCGCGTGTTGTATGAGCGGTTGGAGGCGCGGTGAGTGGCACCCAGAAGGCGCTGACAGAAGCAACTACCCCCAGAACAAGATTACGGAGAATATCACGGCCGAGATCATGATGACGTGCGTGAATGAGACGCGGGAGAACTACGACGAAAACATTGTCGTCGAGCTGCGCTCGGACGGGTCCGGCGGCGAGAACGAGGTCGAGGACAACGTACACCGCATCGCGCAGTGGGCGGCCCAGTGGACGCGCGACCGCGAGGCGGGCGTGCACGACGAGTAGATAGACATCTCTTCATAATCGCATCGCATGCCCTCGGCTTCACGCTCGCGCTCGCGCTAGTGCCGCTCCAGCCCGCTTGGATCGCACGTCATAGCTGCGCGGCGCTGTCTAGATACACCATGTATTCATTACCCGCCTGAATGCTACTCGTCGTACACATGCACCACATTAACCGTAGACGCTGCTGTCAGAATCATCGCGGGCCGGACTCACAGGCGGAAGACGTCGTTCTGGACGTAGTACGTGCCGTTCTCCGGGATGAGCTGTGCGTTAGCGTCGCAGGTCGCAGCGGGATCAAGCTTACCTGGAACATCTGCGAGAACTGGAGCACGTTGGCGCCGTCGTCCACGAGCAACTGGCCCGTGACGAGCACCACAAGAGATGCGATGGTCGCAGATGCTGGCTGGGCGTCGACGGTGACGACGCGGTGGACAACCTTTGTGAATGGCAGGTTCTGCGCGTGAGCTGGCTGGATAGGTGCGGCAGTCAGGCCCCGGACGCTCGCGCCGGCGGCCCGGTCGCGCATGAGCATGACCCACCTTGAGCTTCTCGATGATGTTGGTCACGCCCATGATCTGCTCCTGCTCCCATGTGAGCATCGACCGGTCGCGCTGCCGTCAGCTCCGTTGCTCTCTCTACATTGCACGCACGTAGAGCGCCTGCAGGCTCGCCCTGTCATTGTCGAACGCGGGGTAGTAGAAGTCTGCGGGTGAGCACGGACGCTGGGTGTAGGCGCAGCTGCGGCGCAAGGCGTACCGGTGAACTGGGACGTCAGCGGACTCGGGAAAGGACAAGGCCACGTACTGCCTTGGCAACAGCGTTGATGTCGGCCATGGTGGGAGATGGGGAGAGCAGACAGAACCAAATAGAGTGCACTTGTGTATGGAACTGGGACGACCTCCATGACGCTCAGGACTGTGCCACTGGCGGGGATATGGGAAATGCCGGGTTCAACGTTGCTGCCCCACTCTGGAGTCGGTGCTGCGGCTTTGACCGCCTGACGGAGTGGGCCGAGGTCCCCGAGCAGGCACAAGGTCCAGATGCAGATTGACTTTGCTTTCAGGGAAGAATAATAACCGCGAGTAATGAAGAGATGGCCCGAGCCCTCGCGAGCCATCCCGCCCGCAGCACTTGGTGAGCTTGGTTGCATCCGCGGCAACCCGCCGTCTCGGACATGACGATGCGATGAGACGCCAAGAACAATCAGATTTCCGTGCCGCCGAGGTGTAAATGAGCAGACGAAAAGAGCAGGGAGACAATGAAGGCACACGCGTGGCACCCAGTGCGCAGCGCGGGGGGCGATCCAGGCGATCATTCAGGTTATTCAGTGCCCGCATGTGTCCATCCAACCCGCCCCTCGACTTTCGTGGACACCTCTTGATCTCTCCATCTCCATCCTCATCATCTCTCTCCTCCTCTTCGCTACCATTGCACTGGTACTCGCATCCTCCGCTCCAAGCACAGAGGTCTCCCGCACCTCTCCCTCACGATCCCCACACTCCTTCACAGAGCCACCATGATTTCGAAACTCGCCCTTGCCACCCTTCTCCCCGCTCTCGCGGCCGCCCTTCCCTGTGTCCAGTTCGATGCCAGCCGCAACCTTTACGCTTTCGGCGGAGAGCAAGACGTCTCACTGGGTGCTAGCTCTGCTTGGTCTTGTGAGTAGCTTCCAGCCTCATCCACTTCCATGCTCAATGCTGACCGACGCAGCTCCCAGCCCAAAGCCCCTTTCATCTGAAGGTCGCCCGCCATGGAACGGCAACTACTCGCAGTGCCTCCTCTCCCAGAACTCGAACGCGATGTATGTGCTGGGCGCCGACAGCAGCGATGCATCAGTAAGTTTCATTGCAGATGTTCATCAAGCTGACCCCTGGCGATCTACATCTACGACTTTGCCGGCGACAAGTGGAGCAAGCAGGTAACCACTGGCGCACCTGACGTCCTGCAGAACTCGCGCTCGGCGTCCATTCTTGACCACAACACCAACGTTATCTACACCGTCGGCCCCGCCAACATGGTCTCGCTCGACTTCGGAGCTGTGACGAACACCGCTGCGGGTGCTTTGGCATGGCAGGTTGTTGGGACGCCCCAGATTGCCTCACAGAATTACCGCGTGACCGCCGCTGCCGCCTCTAATCACATCAGTGAGTAGTAGAGGCATTAATCCAAGGGTTAGCTGATCCGACCAGACTACTACGGCGTCCCGGGCACCCCTGCTGGTTCAACGAACATGTTTGTCGTTCACTACAGCTACTGGCAGCCGCAACCTGCGGCATACACCGCCGTCGGCGGGAGGAACTTTCCGGCTCAGTCTGGTCAGGCCGTAAGCCTCCTCACTCCCAACTCGACTCTGCCGCCGTACCAGAACCTGTTTGTGCCTGACGACTTCTCCGGCGCATACATTGTGACGCACTACACGGCCGATTGGTCATGGAACGACACTCGGTCCGCGCCCATGGCCGTCAACCTCATCAACTCGACCCAGGCGCTTCCAGCCCCGACCGCACAGGACAAGGAGGCGTCGTACGCCTGCTCCGACACCGACTGCGTCCAGATTGACACCCAGGGCAACATCTACTACATCAATGCCGTTGGCAAGGACTACACCATCGCCCCGGGCGCCACATGGCAGAAGTTGGACTACACTCTCAAGCCCTATGTTGCGCCTACCACCTCCAGCGGGCCCAACGCCTTGAGCGCTCCCACCGGTACTGGCAATGCTGCAGCCTCGAGCGGCGCCTCCCAGGCGAGTGCGACTCCAGCTGGCAACTCGGGAGCTCAGTCGACGCACCGCGGCGGCGTTCTTGGCGCTATGCTCGCCGTCGCCGCTCTTGCGATCGCCTCCATTGCTTAGGCCTGTGGCGATTATCGAGGACATCTCCTCGGACCATAGATAGCCGTATTATTAGTAACTTGTCCGCCAATCCACTGGCCATCTATCCGTGATAGCATGCATTTGTCTGTAATTGCAACAGAAGCCAGGCGCGTTGCGAGGTGGAGGTCGTGCCTGGAACCAACTTCATTAGTCGCCGACGACGGTGACAATGCTTTCCACTTCACCCTCTCCCGCCAGCTACGACCATGCTTCGCGCCGTGGCACGCTCCAGCAGGCGATATACAAGCACGCTCGCCGCTGCTCGTCAGCGATGGGTAGGTTCACGCTCCTCGGCCGTCAGCTTGGCTCACCAAAGAACGGCCGTCTCCAAGTGACTCCGGAGGTTGAGCATGCTCTTGAAACTGGCGCGCCCGTTGTTGCGCTTGAGACCGCGATTCTTACTCATGGTGCGTTTTTGCTTACACAGGCCTTTTGAATGGTTGTTCCTCGGCCGCTGACCACAGGCATGCCCTTCCCGACGAATCTGACCACGGCGCAGTCTGTCGAGTCGATCATCCGGGCGCACGGCGCAATCCCGGCAACGATCGCGCTGCTGGACGGGCGCGTCCGCGTGGGCCTCTCCGATGCGGAACTCACGGCGCTGGCGGACCCGGCGACGCCTCGCGCCGAGCCAGCGGTCAAAGTGAGCCGGCGCGACCTGGCGCCCGCCCTCGCTTTCAAGCGTGCGGGCGGCACGACCGTTGCTGGCACAATGGTGATCGCCGCGAGTGCGGGCATCGACTCTTTCGTGACGGGCGGCATTGGCGGCGTGCACCGCGGGGCGGAGAGCAGCATGGACGTTTCGGCGGACCTGATCGAGCTCGGCCGCACGCCGATGATGGTCGTCTGCGCGGGAGCGAAGAGCATCCTCGACATCCCGCGCACGCTGGAAGTGCTCGAGACGCAGGGGGTGTGCGTCGTCACGTATGGCGACAAGGCAGACTTCCCCGCCTTTTACTCGCCTAGCTCGGGGTGCGCGAGCCCATGGCGCGTCGGGAGCGTTGGCGACGCCGCGAGCCTCGTCTGTACGTTTACAGGTTGAGTCAGCTGACACAAGATACGGGCCTCACGCTGCCTTCGCCGCAGAGCATCCTACTCGCCGTCCCCATTCCTGCCGAGTATGGCGCGCGCGGTGCCGACGTGCAGCGTGCTGTTGAGCAGGCTGTGCGTGAGAGCGTCGAGCAGGGCATCGACAAGCGCGGCAAGGAGGTCACGCCGTGGCTGTTGAAGCGCGTTGGCGAGCTGACGCAGGGCACCGCCCTCGAGCTAAGTACGTCGCGCTCACCACGTTTCACAGCAGCTGACGGAAGACATCAAGCTGATCGAGAACAATGCGGCGGTTGGCGCACAGGTTGCCGCCGAGGTCGCGCGCTTGAGGAAGAATGTATCCAGTGCTGCGTACATGCCCGCCACGCCTTCTGCCATTAATGAGCCGCCAGCTGAGACCCCTCCGCCCAGCTCACCGCCTGCCAGCCCAACTGAGCCTTCTAACCTCCCACCGCCCCGCGCAATCGTGTTCGGCGCCGCCGCCGTGGACATTACGTCGGCCACATCGCGCCTCGTGCCGCACACCACTACGCCCGGGACCATCAGTATCAGCGCGGGGGGTGTGGGGCGTAACATTGCGCATGCGGCGCAGAATCTTTCTCCACCAGGGGAAGTGATGCTTGTTTCGGCCGTTGGGACTCACGCCACACATGTCGACCCTCTCGGACAGTTGCTCGCCCTTGCTCTCCAGGACGCGGGGATGCGAGCGGACGGCCTCGTTCCCACGGCGGGACGCACCGCAGCGTGTTCGCTCGTGCTTGAGAATGGGGACCTGACAGGCGGCGTGGCCGACTTCTCGATCGCTGAGCAATTGAGCATAGAGGTTGTAAGTTTACAACAATTCAGCTGAGCTAACAATAGATTGAGGCGGCTCTGGCGCACAACCCCTCCGTCGTCGCGTTCGACTGCAATCTCTCGCCCGAAGCCATTGCCGCACTGCTGTCAGCGACATCGGCCCGTGCAATCCCGACGTTGTGCGACCCGACTTCCGTGCCGAAGCTCGCGCGCCTGATTCCCGCCCTCAACAAGCTTCCGCGAGCCCTAACGCACATCGCGCCCAACATTCTCGAGCTAGACCACCTCCACGCAGCCCTGATGGATCTGGACGACGACGCCGCGTGGAACTATGTCAACAGCCTCAACCTGGGCGCAGAGTGGCGCGGGGCAGTCGAGGCGTTCGCGAACCGCAACGGCGCGTGGATCGCCGACGAGGGCATAGCCGCGCGGATGGTCCAGTGCCTGCCTTGGGTTGGCGGAGTCTGGCTCAAGGCCGGGTCGCGCGGAATGCTACGTCTCAGCCTGGGCCTGAAACCCAAGAGCCGCGGAGGGGGAGCGCAGAGCGTGTCGCATCGCACGCCCGACGGCCGGACGCTCACCCTCACACTCTACCCGCCGCCTGTTATCGCGGCCGACGAGGTCGTGAATACCACCGGCGCCGGCGACACGCTCGTGGGCGGCATCGTTGCTGGTCTGCTGAGCGGGGCGGCGGAAGCCGACTTTGTCGCGGCTGCGCTTGAGCGCGTGGGGCGTACCCTGCGCTCACCCCTCGCTGTTGCGTAGCATGCATGTATGCTTGTAGCCAAACGCAATGGGATGCGCAGAGTGTCACGCGACTCTCTTCCGCTCCTTGAAAGTGGAGCTGCCGAGGCTAATGAAGACATCGGGTGAGTCGCCCGATAGCGAGTCATAGTTTGGAGGACGAGGTTCTTGGCGCCCCCGTCCCTTATCGGCAAGAGACCAGATTTGGACGCTGCGGAAGTGGTTGTGCTCCCTCCGAATGTTCTTCTGTCCCAGACTTAACAGGATCGAGGGAATGGTCTCTGACCCTGGCTCCAGCAGTACGGTTTGCTACGCTGACTTGTTGTCAACAACTGACGAACGGCGTGTGGCATGCCACAGTCGCGCCTCGCACTTGCGCCGCAGTCGCTGTAGGTCGGCCGACCTCCGTACAGTCAATGCCGATCACATCAGCTCCGACATAGCGGCCATCGCTCATGACCGTCCCGTCCACCCTACTGCGCATGTGACTATTGACTGCCCATGACCGAGCAGAACACCTTGCTGCAGAGACAGATGGCAGAGGGCGGATCGGCGCGCCCGCGTTCAAGGGCCCAGGACCACATTCCGTTATCTGATTATCGGCCGAAATTCCTCGACCAACAATAGCATACTGGCGTGCTGGGGTCTGGCAGAACTTCTGGGCGGCTGGCGCCTGGCGCCTGACTAGCATGGCACGGGGTGTGCAAAAAGTCCTCCATCCGTGACCTGGCAGTCGTGGTTCTTAAACTCGGGTCAGGCTCAGCTGCGGCCCAGCAACTTCCATTTGCTGACACGCGCAGCCATGTCAAACCCAGTGGCACGCCGCAACGACCCGGAGGTCGACGCCGCCGACCCGTCAATGTACGAGGACTCGATTGAGGAGAAGTCGCCGGGCGTGGCGCGCATGGAGGCCGTCACGTCGGTCTTTACGCAGTGGGACAAGGCGCTCCTTTTCCTCGGCCTGTTCCTCGGCGCATGTGAGCAGCCCAACGACACAGCTGATGCTGACGGCAGACGCGCGCGGCCTGCACGGCCTCATGCAGAGCCCGTTTCAGGCGCAAGCTGTCTCGGGGTGGAATGCCGCGGGGCAGGTCGCGACACTCGGCGTCGCCCGCGCCACGATCGCGTCCGCGTCGCAGCCCATTTGGGCGAAAATTATGGACTACATGGGCCGCCCGTTCGTCGTGTATGGCTCCTGCTTCTTCTACTGCCTAGGCTACATTGTGCTTGCGTGCTCAAACAACTTCGGCACGCTGGCCGGTGGTCTCGTCCTTCAGGTGTTCGGATTTGGCGGCGAGAATAGTAAGCTTAATTCCAGCCACAATCGCTGACCCCTGTCATGATGTACATCGTCGTCGCCGACACGACCTCGCTCCGCCAGAGGGTGTTTTTCAGCATGATCGTATGTCGTAATGCATACGCCGCTGACGCCAGCCATCTCTTCACTCCATCATCAACACTTGGGCCGCCGGTGTCATCGCCGAGAAGTTCGTGCAGGGCCCCGGATGGCGGTGGGGCTACGGCACTGGTGCCCTCATCTACCCTATCATGATCCTGCCCCTCATCTTCTCGCTCGTCCACACCACGCACAAAGCCAAACGTGCGGGCCTGCTTGATGGACTTCCCGGCCCCGCCAAAATCGTCCGCTCGCCCGCGATGTGGAAGGACTTCTTCTGGAAGGCTGACATTATCGGCCTCACCTTCCTCATTGGCAGCATTGCTCTCTGCCTCGTCCCCCTCACCCTCGGCGGCGGCACCGCCTCCAAGTGGCGCACGGCGCAGGTCCTCACTCCCCTCATCATCGGCTTTGTGGTCTGTATCCCAGCCTTCGTCTACTGGGAGCTCAAGCGCGCGCGCCACCCCCTGGTCCCCTTCCACCTCCTCAAGAGCCGCCACGTGCTCGTCTCCCTCGCCATCGGCCTCCTCGTCACCATCACCGGGGCCCAGCAGAGCACGTACCTCTACTTCCTCCTCATCGTCGCCTTCGGCCAGAGCGTCGAGGCTGCGACGCGTATCTCCAAGCTCGCCAACTTCTCCATGGTCATTTCGGGCCTCATCCTCGGCCTGGCAATGCACCGCTTCCGCCACACCAAGCCATTCACTATTTTCGGCGCGGGCATGTACGTCCTCGCCTTTGGCCTCCTCTACCGCTTCCGTGGCGGACACAGCTCGTCCGAGCTTGGCGGCCTCATCGGCGCCGAGATCGTCCTCGGTATCGGCATGGGTGTCGCACAGAACTCGGCGCAGTGCGCCCTGCAAGCCGTGTGCAAGCACGAGCACGTTGCCATCATCTCAGCCATGTTCTTCTGCTGGTAAGATATCATTCCTCATCTAAGCTGACCCCAGCTTTCAGATTGGCTCGGGTATCGGGTCTGCCATCACCGGCGCGATCTGGACGAACCTCATGCCTAAGACGCTCTTGACGAACCTCAGCGCCGTCATGCCGGCCGCCACCGCCGCGACCACCGCCAAGTCAGTGTACGGCAACCCCCTCAAGTTCGTCGCGCAGTATCAGCCCGGCACGCCGGAGCGCGCGGCGGTCGACGAGTCGTACCGCCAGCTCATGCGCCTGCTCTGCATCTCGGGCCTGTGCTTCGCCTCCCTCCTCTTCATCGCTGCGCTGTGCGTCGACAACCCGATCCTTACGGACAAGCGCAGCATCGACGACAAGGAGGACTTCGTGATCGGCCGCAACGAGAAGGAGGAGGAGGCGCAGCGCGAGGCCGACGCCGCCCAGGCTCAGGCGCAGGCCCAGGTGCAGCAGACTCCCCAGGTGCCCTTCCAGCAGCCCGTCAAAGCGTAGGTGCTCCTACTCGCGGCCTATACTATCACTCTGCAAAATAAAATTCTACTTCATAACTCTGTTCTCATAAAGTAATATCGACGTTACGTGCACCCAGCTTGCAGACCACGGCAGATGTAGGATTTACCTGTCGTGTCCAGCTTCGGGATATGTTGCTTGCAGTTGTCAACTTGCCACACGTGACGCCTGGGGGTGGGACAGCAGGAGGATCAGATCTACAAGGCATGAGTGACTGGCCGGCAAAGCTGATGTGCCAAACCCCTTCCCAGAGAGCAGTCTCTTACGACGTCGCGCACCTGAAGATCTGAGGTGACCAGACCGAGAGTGTTGTCGGGCTGAGCGGTCGCCTCTACGCGACACCGGGGTGCTCGTACCTCGTGAACGGTTTCGGGGCCGCGAAATATGCTGTTCGCCTTCTGCAGCGCGACGTCGTGCCGACATCAGCAATGTGTAGGCATCTTCAGCGTGTCGCTGGCAGTGAGTGGTCCGGTGGAACGATCACGAATCCAGGGCCAAGAGCTTCCATCCGGCGAGATGGCCGAGTGGTCTAAGGCGCTGTGTTCAGGTTACCATCAGGTGATCCGCAGTCTTCGGACGTGGGTTCGAATCCCACTCTCGTCAACAGGGTATTCAGTTACCCAGCCTTCCCTTTTGCCGCATGAACGGACCATGCGACAAGCTCGGTAACACGTTGCATGTTCTCCTCTCCACATCCTGCCTACAGGATCCACGACGCACAGGACGAGGGCCGCTGTGCCAACACGAAGGCTTGGCACTGACCTGCTGTCCGGATCATCCTGCATTGGCGTTCCAGGTACTTTCGATGCCTGCATATGTTCCTATGGCCAAAGATAATCGAAGCTGCATGCTCCATCACGCTGAGCGCCTCGCGCTGAGAAAGCGAAGTGACAATCAGGTTTATGTGCCGCTGCATGATCATCCAAGCAGTCGACGCCCCGTAATACCCAACATCGGCAACACGGTCGCATTTACCGGTTGCCCTGTTGCCGCGGTTCTGATGACTCCACAATATTTCAGTATGCCAGCCGCAATCCCGCTCCATTCCCGTTGGTAGACTTCTCACTGCATAACCCTATGAGGCAATCCCAGTCTATTCCGCGCACGGTTTCTTAGAGCTTGGCGCTGCCGGCGAGCAGAGACTGCCCACGCTTGATCTGGGCCTCCGCGGTGGTGACCATCTCGTCGATGATCTGCTTCGCTGGCAAGACCTCCTTGATGGTGGCGGCGACGTCTCCCATGAGCTGATACAGTTAGTGGCAATTCTGAGGGGTAACAAATGACCAAACTCACCCAAGGGCGGCCGGGGAGGGACAGCTCGGGCTTCTTGCTGAGCTCGACCTCGTGAGGGAGCTTGCCCTGCGAAGTGAGAGACTTGATCTCGTCCTGGCGGTTCTCCCACTGCTTGACGTAGTCGGTGCGGCGGACACGGAGGGGACGGCCGGTGTAAATGAGGGTGGTGTTGGTGTCGCCGTGGTCGGCGGTGAGGACAAGCTCCTTGTGCTTCTTGGGGGCGCCGGCCTCGACGGAAGCGACGAAGCGGGTGCCGACCCAGACGGCCTGGGCGCCCCACATAAGGGCGGCGGCGAGGCCACGGCCGTCAGCCATACCGCCGGCGGCAACGACGTAGATGGGCTTGCCGGTGAGGGGCGAGGTCTTGCCCTTGACGCGGTCAACGACGGCGGGGATGAGGATCGAGGTGGGGATCGAGCCGGTGTGGCCACCGCCCTCACCACCCTGCGCGCAGATGATGTCAACACCCTGGGCAAGAGCCTTGTCGGCGTGCTTGGGGTGGCCGATCATGTTCATGACGAGGATGCCGTGCTTGTGGAGCTTGTCGACGACGTGCTTGGGGGGCACACCGACGGCGCACACGAAGAGCTTGGCCTTCTCCTCGATGATCACGTCAATGAGGTCGTCGAGCTGGCCCTTGGTGTAGTCGTAGTTGGTCTTGCGAGCCGAGCCGCCGACCTGGGGAAGGAGCAGGTCAACGCCGAAGGGGAGGTCGGGCTTGGCAAGTCCCTCCTTGATCTCCTTGATGACGGAGCGGAGGTGCTTGGGGCTGAGGTCAGCGGTGCTACTCGCAGACGTCGATCACGAGGGAGGAAGCGGGGAACTGCCGCCGAGCTGATCGGCTGTGGCAGATGCGTGTCGGTATCGGACTATCAAACGCGGAGACGCGCGCTGGTGACAGTAGCAGCTGTCGGCGGCTGGTCCGTGGAGAGTGACGCAGGCCGCAGCCGGACTATGGGTCTACCGGATCGCTCTTCTCGCCACTCAAGCTTCTATACCCCACTCCTCCCTCACTCTCTCACTGCATACTCACGTGTAGCCGACACCGCCGATAACGCCAAGGCCGCCGGCGTTCGAAACAGCCGCCGCGAGCTTGGGGCCCGCAGCGACGTTCATGCCCGCGAGGAGGACGGGGTGCTGGATGCCGACTGCGCATTAGACATTGTGCCTCTCGCCCATGCATAGCAGGAATACTCACAGAGCTCAGTAATGGGGGTGGTGATAGTCATGGTGTATGTGCAGGTGGATGATGGGGACCGACGTGTTCGGGCCATGCATTTATTGCGCGCCCACCTACACCCGGTTGAGTGGTTGCCGGCCTTGCCGGGTTGGTGCACCAAGCGCGGCCATGAAGCTCCCATGGACGCGCATGGCTGGGCGGGCACCGGCCAACTTCTCGGATTCGGCCGACCCCTTACGGCTCTTACGAGCCTGCAAACGACAAAATCGTCAGCCATGCCGGTGGTTGTTCACCGAACAACGCTGGGCGGGGATAGCCGCGCGCCGGGAGGGCGCCGGTGCTCGACCGGTCGGGCCTTTGTTGTCGCTTTATGCTTCGACCTGCCCACCAACTGAGATCTCATCACGAGTTTCGAGGGGCGAATACTGCTGAAATCTGGCCATGTCAGGCCATCTGTTAGTCTTCAATGTACCCTCCTCCAGACTGTTGGCTCGCTCTGCGGGATCTGCGGGTCCTAGCTTGGTTTCTGGTCGCCACGGTGGTGGCATGGGTGGGCCACATTCCACTCCTCGCCGACCACCCCAGCGTGACCTCAGCGCCCCCCGGATCGTGATACGGCGAGCACATGACCGGTTCCGGCTGCCAGTAACTGTGTGCCCGCTACCCATTCGGGATTCCTCGACGCCGACACATAGGCTATGCCTGCCGGCTGGTCGCCGTAATCTCGGGCGGTTGGGCAGCAACACTTGCAAACACCACGCTGATTGCCGACGCGTCGAATCCATGCCCCTTGCTGGGTCTTTAGAACTCATGGGGTGCCGATCACTTGCATGCATGATGGGCGTGGTGATCGAGCCTTGAAGTCCCCCTAGTGTAGTTGATGCCAATAACCACCGAGAACTGTGATCCGGAAGAGTATATCCGGCCACGACGCATTACCTAAGATAGCACTGGTGACACGTGTAGGCCCACACGTGGGAACGCTTCCGCTCGTGCTCCCTCCACATGCCTGTCGTCAGCGAGCAGCACCATCAACACCGTCATCCATCGCCATCAGCTTCCTCGCCGTCACCACAATGGTCAACTCCGAAGCGGGTCCATCGCGTCCCGCGCATCCGGCATTCCCCTCCGTGGCTGCGCCAAGTCCTCAAAATGTTCCTGTCCCGCCTAGCCCCGCCCACCTTTGGAAGCAGATCCAAGACTCGAGCTCGCCTCAGCTCCTCAGCGATTTGGCCGCGCTCATGGACTTCCTTGCGCCGTCCAAGCCCGGCAACGAGGAAGCTCCCCGTGAACTCCTTCTTCTTGAAGGTATTGACCTCACGAGCGTCTCCGGTGCGCAAGTACCTGCCATTACTCTCGGGCTCGTCTACGTCCTGTTAGCCCTTCCTTCTGACGGCACTGACAGCAGCACCGAGCGTCTGAACCGGCGCACGCGCGGGGCGGATGAAAACCTCGAGCTTGCGCTTAGCGTGTGTGTGAATGGCAGCTCGGAACAGCTCGCGCGAGCTCCATGGCGTGGTAAGCTTACGACCGTGATGGCCAGAGAACTGATCAAAGTGGCCCAGTTCGCCTGGGCGGTGCTCCGCGCGGCTCAGAAGGCTAAGGAGGTAAGGAGTGCTCCTTATCGTGCTGACGTAGACCGCACGAGCACTGCATCCACTGCAGCACTTACTCCGTCTTACTTTCAACAACGCTTACTTCAACGGCGTGCACGCCGCCTTCCTTGAGGTAAATTGCGATGGCGGACGTAGCTCACAGTAGGCTTGCCTTTCGCTCCGCGCAATTGATTTGGGATACCAATCGCTGTCCATCATCTACTCCAACGTCGTGGCTGGCACTAGCGTCATTGACGTGCTGACCTACTACCACCACGCCGGCACTGTCGCTGCTGCACATGGCGACTTTGCTCGTGCGTCCGAGCTCTTTACCTTTGGCGCATCGATACCCGGCGAGACGCCATCTGCGATTCGCATCGCCTGCGCAAAGCGGGCCATTCTATGCGAACTTCTTAGCAGCGGCCGACCGGCCCCCTTCCCGAAGGACATGGCCCAGGCGACAAGCCGCTCCATAGACAAAGGCATGGAGCCCTACAAGAAGCTTTCGAAAGCCTTTGAAAACCGCGAGTGGGATCAGGCATCAGAGGCTGTGTCCTCCAACGATGCGGTCGCCATGTTTGAGAAGGTGGAATCGGGATGTGGATTGTGAGCTGATACTCAGGATTGCAACCGTGGGCTGGTCACGCAGATCATGCAGTCGATTCCCAAGCGCCGCATTCTCGATCTCCGCAAGACGTACTCGCGCCTCTCTCTCCAGGACCTGGCCAGCAAGGTCATGGCGCCCGCCGATGCGGTAAAGTCGGCGATCCAGGACATGGTGAGCTCACTAATTTATACCTGGCAACTGACCGGTCAGGTTGTTCGCGACGAGATTCAGGCCACCATCAACGGCGTGCCCGAAGTTGTGACGTTTGTGGATGACGATGACTACGCCTCGCCCCAGCAGATGGTGAAGCTCGTGCAGGCCAACCTCCTGGCGCAGAACGTCAACAATGACCTGCTTTACGCGAACCGTGCCATGCTGCTCAACCGCAAGCTTCTCCAGAAGGTAGGTGACTGACGCACACACAACACAGATTCTGACGTCAGAAAATGGACCGAATCGAGAATAAGGATAAGCGCGGCAGCATTGAGCCGCTCAAGTCGCGAGGCGAGTTTGAGGTTCCCGGCGACGATATCGGGCAGGTGCGTGGAGCAGGGAGCAACTACGCCGACATGGGCTTCTAGACGTTGTACAATATTTGTGTAAGCATGTGCGTGGTGGCCCTAAGGGAGATGGATTAGTGGCGCTTAATCAATGATAGTGCCAAGATGACACGATGTGTGTACCTCGTGTAATATCCTGATGTTCTTATCATGCTCGACGACAGTTTCAGTTGGAAGTGACTCGATTACAACACAGCGGAGTGGGTAGGTCATACAAGACACCGAATAACCACGATTCTAATGCTCTCAACTCACATCTTCAATTCTTCTATGTACCTTCTACTTACCCATAGCTACTTCCTACTGTTCATCGCACGACGATTGCACATACCCCCAGCAAGAAGCAACAACCTGTCAATGAGAGGCGCACCACCCACCTCATCTCCGTTTCCACGCTCAATGGGCGCGATATTGAGCCCACCCATGAACCCATGATCCGGGGCGTGGAGAGCATTAACAGAGCATGGCACCACGGGATCCACGAACCCAACCGGTCCTCCGCGCCACGTACAATTAGCGCCCGGTCCGTCGGCATCGCGCCATCGACGTCAGCGGTTCTTTGCTAGTCCGTCACCCCTTAGTTCCTGCCTGCCCCGACAGTGGGTGGGACCCAGCGTCGGCGCGCTAGAATGCGGGGTGTCCGGCGACGCCGGCGGCACGCCGCCCTGACCGCTGATCGCGATAACGGCGATGAACGCCGGTCGTTGTTGGGTGAGTTGGTATGGTAGTGGGGTGGGAGGTGAGTGCGAGATGGCCCGAAGTAGAGCCGGGGAGTTCCGAGAGGAGGGGCGACAGTGCGGGAGATGGATGAGGGTCGGGATTGGTCGGAGGATCGGAGGTGGCAGGGGAGGGAGGCGTGGCGGATGACGTTTGGTGATGAGAGGGATGAGCGATCCCTCGCTAAGGGGTGGATAATGTGGGGGTGGGGGCCCGGGTGTACTTTGCCGAGCCGTAAGGGAGAGGGAGGATCGACAATGACACTCGAGTGCCACCGCAGCGTCAGCGTGTCAGGACAAGCAGCACTAGACAGCTCGAGTAACGAGTGGAGTAGAGGCGCAAGCCAACCAGGGGGTGATTTGATCTCCCTCGGCGCCCAACCAGATAGCTGCTTGCTGCTAGCTGCTAGCTGCTAGCAGCTACGAGTGCATCGAGAGCAACGCGGTTAGCCTACCACGAGCCGCCGCGCCACGAGTCACGTCCTTTGAAAGAGCTCGTCCACTCAGCGCGCGCGCACAAAGGGTCCGATATACCGGCCACACCAACCCCGCTCGGCTCCAGCAGGGGTGCTTGCTTCCCCCGGAACCCGGATCGCACCTTGCCCCTTCCCCCCACTCATCGCTCTCTTGCCTATAGCCATCGCCAGCCAGCAACTCTCGCATCTTGCTTCTTCTTTCTTCCTCATCCATCGTATCCCATCCCCATCACCTAGTCACCATGCCCCAGCCTCCTCTCGACGTCCACAAGTACTTCAACAAGCCCCTCTGGCGCATCCCAGACAAGTACCCTCCGGGCACCGGCGGCACTGGTGCCCGTAAGGAGTGGCCCGAGGGCACTCTGAGCGGCATCGAGGTCGTCGACGACTTTGGCAAGCTCGTCACCGAGTGTGAGTACTCCTGGTGTATTTGGTTGGTGGCTTCGTCAGCTCGCCCTGCGCGCCGGCGACAACCCCGGCGCACCGGCTTGGCCTCGGGCAGGCGTCGTCAGCAACCTCAAGAGTCCCAGAGAGGCCGATGAGGTGCTGTTCCCCGACCTTCCTTGGCTTTCCCATACCTCCCCTCCCCCTACCTCCCCACCCCGAGCCCACGGCTGATATGCAGACTTTGACAAGTTCCCCAAGGAGCCTATCTACCCCAACCCATATGCCAAGTACCCCAAGTTCGTGCAGGTCGAGTACGAGCTTCCCGAGGCGTTCAAGACGTCGCAGGACCTCCAGAAGGGTGAGTAGCGCAGCGTCGCGATGCGGCATGCGAAAGTGGCGGCGTGGGCGGATCGTGGAAGCATACGGTCGGGCGTGACGCGCGATGGCATCGCTCGGGAGATGCAGCAGCCGAGACGGCACACACGTGCATTACGTGCGCCTGGGTGGCACCCATCGCGACCCATGGTGAAGTGGCGGTGGCGAGGAAGGTGCGGGAGAGGAAGCCATGCCGCCGGTGACCGGTGCGCAGTGGCGGTCGTGATGGACGTGCACTTGCCTCACACGGACATGGCGACCCAACTCACACGGACGCGCTGACGCACATAGCCCTCGCGATGCTCCCGCTCGCCTGTGTCTCGTCGGTTATCACTGCTCTTGAGGACGGTCCCCAGGGCTGCACTTCCAACAAGCGCGTCGATGCCGCTGGCTACGAGTCGGACGGTGGCGAGGAGCCCGAGACCAGCCTGCCGCCCAAGGACCCCAGCAAGATTTGGAAGTGGCGCTTCTCCAAGTCGCCTCTCGGTGAGTTTTTCCAACGGCGGATTCGCGCCTGCCTTCCCTGTCATGCGCACGGGCACACTCCCCTTCCTTTGGTCCTCGACCGGGGGCGAGGCCGTGCGCGTCAACGGGCGAGGTCCCGGATCGATAACAGAGGAACAACCGCTGATAGCTCAGGCTCGGGTGAGCTCCTGCTTGTCAAGGGCGAGACCAACGACGTGAACATGGTTGTCCGCACCATTAACCCTGCTGCGTTCACCTCGGCCGACTGGGAGGAGTTTGTCGTCACCGGCCCATACCACTACAACACCAAGTCTAAGGCTTCGTGGTACTGGTCGCGCACGTGGGGCGCGTGCAAGCGTCTCGACACGCGCTGGTGGGTCCTCACCGACTGGCAGCGCTGGGTGTTCGGCAAGTTCAACGACGACGAGTCGCACGGCTGGGTCTCGCCCATCCTCGACTACAACACCCAGGGACCCACCGTCCTCCAGGCCCTCTTCTACTGGACCCAGAGCTCGATTGGCGCCAAGGACGGGTTCCAGCGTTCCGCCAAGGACGTCAGCAGCCTTCCCGAGCTCTTCCCCGACACGCCCGCACGTCGCGTCTCGGTGTCGGGCAAGGGCGGCCACGTCCCTCGCGACCCGCGCCAGGTCAAGAAGGCCAACGAGTCGGACATTGAGGAGAGTGACGCTGAGGACCACTAGACGCCCGGCCAGCCGGTTCGCCCCCTGCGATTCTACATTAAATAGGCCGTTTCTGTCTGTGACTTTGATAGCATGAGGATGAATAACACGAAAGCAGTTGTCTGATCGGGGCAGCGAGCGTGGTAGAAGGGGCTCGGCTGTACACAGGTGATATGTGGCATGAAGTACATGTACTACAGCTTTACAATGATTATTCGAATAAGTGACAATGGTCACACCAAGAAGATGGCCTGGGCAGTTTGCGCAGCTTGCTGAGTGCGGATCGATCGCTAAGCGCCAAGGAGACGGTAAGCGTCCGCGACGAGATACAGACTTCCACACACGATGGTGAGGCCTGGGCCGCGAGCGTTCCAGTCGCTCTGCGCCCAGCGGAGGGCGCCGGCGAGGGCGTGTGGGCCCGCACCGGGCATGTCGACAATCTCGCCGGCCTGCAGCGCCTCCGCAGCGGCTCGCATGGCCGCCTTCTCAACGGGCCGGATCCACGGCATGCCCTCGACGGGGGTGGTGAACTCGACGAGGGCGACGCGGTCACCGGGGCGCAAGAGGGGGGCGAGGACGCTCTGCGGCGTCTTGGCAGGGTTGGCCGAAAGCGAGACGATGAACGTGCGTGGGCGATGCGGAAGATCAAGGCTGTCGATGTATGCGCGCAGCGTAGTCGCCGAGTCGGCGTTGTGCGCGCCGTCCGCGAGGATGGGGACGGGCGTGTCGCTATTGCGCCATGCGAGCCACGAGCAGCGGCCCTCCCACCGCGCATTCGCGATGCCCGCGGCAAGGTGCGCCTCGGTCAGCTGCTTGAGCTTGGGCTGGATGCCCAGGGCGCGCGTGTCGTGCCGCATCACGTCGAGCAGCGTCAGCGCCAGCGAGAGGTTGTCGAGCTGGTGTGCGCCGCCGAGGGCGAGCGCTGTGTCGAGGTGCCGCGACGTCACGCCGGCCAGCGGCGTGCGGACCGTCGCGGGCGCCGGCTCGCGGAACGGCACGAGGGACAGGCCGCCTTGCGGCGCGAGCATGCGGCTCGGCGCCGCCAGGATGTAGTGCGCGCGGCGCTCGTCCGCGATCGCGCGCGCCACGCCGGCCGCTTCGGGGTGCAGGTTCGGCGAGGTGACCAGCACCGCGCCGGGGACTACGATCGACGCCTTCTCGCGCGCGATCTCCCCGATGGTGGTGCCGAGACGGTCGGTGTGGTCGAGCCCGACGGATGTGAGGCCGGACGCGAGGATGATCTCGTCGGGCATAACGTTGGTAGCGTCGCGCGCACCGCCCATGCCGCACTCGACGATCATGATGTCCACGGGGGGTTGGACCGTCGAGGCCATGTAGAAGAAGGCCGCGGTCGCGACCTCAAACATTGTTGCGTCGAGGTTGCGATCCTTGGCGACGCGCTCAACATGCGCTAGTGCATTGGCGTACTCCTCGCGCGATGGGGGCATGCCGTCGATGCGGATGGCATCACGTGCCTCGAGCAGGTGGGGTGAATTGTAACGGGCGGTGCGGAAACCAGCCGCACGGAAGCATGACTCCATCATCACCGACACGGATCCCTTGCCATTCGTCCCGGCCAGGTGGACGGCCGGGGTCGTCATGGGCGGGAGACCGCGCATGAGATCCCGCATACGATCAAGGCCCAGGTCGATTTTGCCTACCCCACGCGGCACTGTCGGAGGGAGGACATGCGGCGGTGGCGCCGCCGGCGAGCGGTTCGGCTGGGAGTATCCGTGGTTCCATCCGCTGGAAGGCCCCGCGGATGTCGCGTCGTGGCCCATTGGAGCTCTGCTTATGTGGGGCATGGGAGGGGGGGCGTGCAGGAATGGACGCGAGCCGTGGCCGTGAGCCGCGGCGTATCCCGGAGATGGCATTGGTATCCGAGGCGGGTGGATTAGATGCGAAGGGAAACCCCTCGCGTGCTCGATCGTCGTCGGCCCTTGCCTGTCGTGAGGCCCTGGACCTGGGCCAAAGTGATTGTATCCGCTTGGAGGATAGTCCATGGCAGGAGGCATGGGCCTACCCTTGGCATCGACGAGCACCACATTGGTGGCTGGAGGATACGTCGGACCTGGAGGAATAAAGTGGGCCGAATGGGGCGGCATATAATGATGATGTTGTGGCATGACCCGGTGTGGTGGCTCAGCGTATTCCGAGTGAAGGGGACGGGGGTGCGCGACGGGCGACACGGAGGGGTGAAGATTTCTGGTATAGGCATGCGGGGAATAGCTGGGAGCACGGGCGGATGTGGGTGGAGGGGGCAGGTGGGGTCTATAACCGGCGACTGGTGAGAGAGAGTGATGAACACGAGTCTGCGAGACCGGTGAGACTGGGGGACGAGGGGCCTGCATCTGCGCAACGGGCGACACAGAGGCCGACGTCTTGGGTTTAACAACTGGCGAAACCGAGTCTGGTGTTGGGGGAGGCTGTTGGTTCTTCCGACTCCGCTTGGGTGGCCGAGCATACTCATTTTCCAGCATCTGCGGCTGTCGGGCCTGGAAGTCGATCGCTGTCCACGGCATTGGCTTTCTCATTCCGTCGGCGTACTGAACAAGAACTGTCGAGCTCGCTTCGTCCACGCTGACAAGCGTAGCCTCGATCGAGGCGCCGCCCTTAAGCTTGATCTTCACGGTTGCGCCGCTCTTCAAACCCATGACCTTGCGGTGAAGTTCGTCCTGCGCTTTCCGCTTCTTCATTTGCACGACATCAGGGTTGTGAGAGGGGCACAAAAGCTCGACAGCGAACGTCGGCTTGCCGTCGACAAGCTTCTCGCCGGCCCAGTACGACACCTGGGGGTGGTTGCGGGCGCAGGGGATGTGGAAGGCGCGCACGCACTTGCCCTTCGTGCACTGGATCTTGGTGCCTGTTAGCGCGGAGCGCTTGTCGACACAATGCGAGCACTTGAGCTTCCAGCGGTCCTTGCCGATGTCGTCAAGGCCCCTGATGTACACGGCCGTGTTGCCGTCGCCCATGTCGATCTCCTCGGTGTAAACTTCGGGGACAGCGATGGCACATGAGACGTGCGCATTCACGGCGGGGGTGGAGGACAGCGCGCGGATCGCATCCGACGGCTGGTACACTGGGGCGAGATCGTCGGTGGCCAGTGAGGGGCAAAGGATGCAAGGCGGCTTGGGTGCCTCACGAGTTATGCCGGACTTGGCTTCGGGCTGCCTTGGTCCTGGCGGCTGAGGAATCCGCAGCACGATCTTGACAGGTGCCGGCGCCTCTGTCTTGACCTCAGCCGCATCAGCCTCTGTCGGTGGTCCAGATGGTGCGACTGAAGACGCCTCCGTCCGTCGCCTTCGGACACGTGGCTGTCGAGGTGTTGTAGTTGTTGAGTCCGTGGACTTGCGCTTTCGTTTCGGCTTCGATGCCTCCTCTGGCTCTGGCTCTGGCGACTGAAGCAGACGATCGACGTCAATGCGCACGCTGAAGTTGACGCAGGTGCAGGCTTTGGCCCGCTTGCCAATTTCAAGCCAGTACGGAAGCGCGAAGTTTACACTCTCAGCGCAGTTGAAGCCCATGTTGAAGCCGGCGTGGTAGCCGCGGGGGAATGTAATGACAAACTCGTTCTGGTGCTGGACGAGCTTGTTGACGCGAATGCCCTCCTGCGCGAGCTTGGTTGGCGACAGAGTGCAGCTCTTGTGCCGCATGAACTGGTCACAGGTGTTGGCGTCGTTAGGGAAATAGCTTCTAGTAACAGTCTCGAAGCGCTCGGCCTCGGCCTGCGGGACCGCGTACCAGAACTTGGGAGCGCCAAAGTGGATGTAATTGATCGAGAAGAGGTCCATGTCCTCCACGTGCCACGAGAAAGCCGCGCGCCACATGCCGAAGTAAAGGTAAGGCGTGTTGACACCAGGGAGCTTGCCCTTGAGACGCTGCAGGAGGTTGGGGAGGTGCGCTACGTTCCATGGCGTCTTGGGGTCGGCGAAGAGCGATCCCGCCAGATCGGCGCCGTACCAGCTCGAGCGCGCCATGCCGATAGACTTCCAGAACCTCTTCTCAATGTTCGAACACCCAGCTACAGTAAAATCGTCTTGGGTTGCCCCCGCAGGCAGCCAGTCCTTCTTAAAGTCGACGGTCTCGTAGAACGGGTCGACTGGGGGCAGTTTCTCCTCCATGTCGCGTTTCGCACCTCGCTCGGCGGGGGGTGTGCCTTCGGGCGTAGCGATGGGCTCGCCGTCCGAGTGCGAAGTGTGCGAGGAGTTCTCGAGGGCTGGGATGTCGTCCTCACCGCCGACCTGGCCGGCAGGTGGGGAGCGGAACGAGCTCGAGTCCTTGGCGCCTTCCGCATTCTTCTTCTCCTCGGCCTTCTTCGCGTCGCGCTCCTGCTTGCGCTTCAGTGCGGCCGCGCGCTTCGCGCTCTTCTCGGCCTTGACAGCAGCGGCGCGTTCGCGCTGCCACGCGCGCGCGTCCTTCGAGTCGCGGTCAACAGTGCGATCGCCTTGCCGTGGGTCGGGAGTCTTGAAGTCATCATGTGCGCATTTGTTGAACCACTCCCGCACGCTGAGCGGGCGGTTGCGGTTGCGCTCAATGTTGCGCTGGACAAACACGCCGTTCTTGCCGAGCATCTGCTGCTCGATGGGGCTTCTGATCTGGAGCTGGCTCATTGCGCGAGCGTCGACGAGACGGACTGCATCAACCCACTCCTGCGGCGGGATGATCTTGACAATACTCGAGCGTTGTCCCCATGGGGCTACGCGCTCCATATAGACGTCAAAGTCCTGTAACGTCAGCAATGTCGCGTGCGGGTATGGGTACCTTGAATTCATCATAGGTAGGCTTGAACACAGGAATGCCGGCGTGCGCGCCCGGATCGTCGTCTGGTAGCACTATCAAGTCGTCAGGTATTGGCTCTGGCTCAGCGTCCGTAGACTTCGTGGCGTTGTTGGTAAGGGGGAAGCTGGGGTGAGCGGGGTGCGGTGATGTGGCTCACAAGTATGCCGGCCGCGCAATGTCGGAAATCGCCGGGGGTGGAGGTGCCGACGCGGTGGTGTGCGGTGGTGGTGGTGGCTGCGCTCTTCTGTGCGCGCGTGACCCAGACGCGGATGCATTGGGACTTGTGGGGGGAGGAGACGCGAGAGAGGGTGAGGGGAGGGGGAGCGCGGATGTTGGAGGGGAGAGTGGTGAGGATGGAGCTTGAACCGGGCGCGCCGTGTCAGCTCCAGACGGAACTGCGCCGACTACCGTCATGGCGGCAGAAGGTGCAGGCAGGCAGGGTGGGTGGAGCAGAGTAGTGCAGGGAGCTCGTGGTCGTCGGTGCCGCAGGGGATGGGGAGGAGTGTTAGAGAGAGAGAGAGAGAGAGGGTAAGTGGGAAGTGGAAAGAGTGTTGCTGATGAGGATGTGTAGCGCGACTCGAGATGTGAATTGAATAGCGTCCAAAGAGTCTTGAAATGAGAGATCTGGGTGGAATTGGTGGCGATTCGAAATCCCCCCGACCGTGGGGTTGACTCCATTGTCCGCTCCAGCTCTCCCACGCGACTCTGCCGCACGTGACCCTGTTGCCAGTTGGCTCATGGCTTGGCACTTGCCACTCCCAAGATCATTTCGGCCGGCCTTGCCTTGGCCTGCTTGCATCCTCGCTTGTAAGAGAGTACTGCCGTTCATTTGAGGTACAGTGCATGCCACTAAATATCCAAGAACAAAAGACTACAGCAATCAACTAGAATACAGTGCGGGTGGTGGGATTTTGGGTGGGCTGTCTAGGCTCTAGGCTCTAACAAGAGTCCTGCGGGTGAGGGGCGGTGGGGAGTGGTGGTGGTAGGAAGTGGGACGAGCTACTTCTCCGTGCCCGTCGTGTTCACGGGAAGAAACCATCTTTGTCGTCGAGGCTGCTGGTCCGGCTGCTGGACGGAGTGCCGACGCGCTGGCCTGACAGAATGGCGTTGAGCGCGGCTGTGGCGGTACGCCGTCTGTGCGTCAGCGCCGTCGCCGCGGCATGTGGCGCGCCACATTCTACTCACTCGATATCGGCGCGGTTCTCATCCCATTGCGATAGCGTCCAGAGATATATACTGCGCGAGTAGCGGCGGGAGCGCTCGTTGGCGGCCTGCGAGCGCGCCGGCGTGCGCGTAGACGGGAGGGTGAGGGACATGTCGTCCGCAGGTGTGGTTTCTGGGTGGAGGGACGTAATGGTGGCTGATGTGTGGACTAGACGATCTAGTCGAATTGGCGTCGCTGGGTTCGACGGCGGGATCGACGCGCCCTTATACTCTACGGACAGCACACCGGTCGGAGGGCGTCCGAGGATCTCGATAGGAACAGCGCTGGTACGCCGGATGTGGGTGGGATGGGGCTGGGCGGGCACCAGCGCCAAGTCGCTTGCGACGCCGGTTTGGGGAGCTCCACCGCCGAAGCGAAGGGGTTCGTGATCATCGAGAGCAGGAGCGAGAGCAAAAGAATCCGACGGGACGACAGAGGGCCCCCGGGTTGCTTCCGGGTCTGGGTCACGGACAGGATCTGGATGGACTCTGCGGGTGCACTAGGGCGGTGCTTCCAGGCCCGAGCTCATGCTCATGGTCATCGGCAGGCGGCGTGGGTCAGTGGAGCCAAGGAGAGAGGTCAGCTTGCCAGCTGTACGATGGGGTCGGTGTTCCCTTGCTCCCACTCAAGGCACGGCAGTGAGCGCATGAGCGCGCAAGACCCCGCGAGAGCGCACCCCCCATGCCGCTCACACGGTGCACGCAGGTCGCGGCACATGGCACATCATGTACATCAGATTATCAGAGGAACAAGAAGATCGCAGTCCCACAACACATGACGCACCCCGGCGGCACAAGTGCGGTGTCAATTAGGAGCTCCCCGGTGTTCCTCTCGGCGACGTGGTGACGCTGAAACGACGTTCCCGCTCCACCAACCTACTCGAACGAATCACGTCATGGCGTCCGAACACCGGCGGAACCGTCAAGTACTTCCCTACCGATCGACGCGTTGCGTCGTAATGCCCTCCCTGCCTTACGCCACGATCACATGCTCGACCTGGGAGTCGGTGTGGCGTGCGTCGAATTCCCGGATTGCCAGTCTCTCTCCGAGCTATTGCCGGATTGCGCTTAGATTATCAGTCGTTTTTTCATCTTTTCCTCCGGTGAAGCGCGCTCCACCTGTCCCTGGCACACTATTACATGTGGTGTTTACATAGTCTGATCCGCCCCACTGCTCCCCGACTTACACGACTACTCAAAACATTAGATGGACACTGATGGGGCAATGAGACTGGGCACAATCCATGGGAATCTCGGCGATACGCGATACATTGGAGCAGCAAGTTTGCTCGCACGATCGCGTCTTGCCGTCACCATCGACGTAAGCCAGACCGGTAAGATACCGAGCATGAGGAGCGACGTGACGACACGATACGTGTTTTTCTCGGCCAGCCGAAGCGCCTAACGGCCGGTCGAGTTCGGTCCGTTCTCAGAGATCATGTCGGGGTTGAACGAAAAATCGTTGAGCGGGGCCTGGTCGGTGAAGATGGAGCCGTAATCAAATGTGCCTTCCTCGAGGAGGCTCAGGATAGTCGCGGCGGAGCTACCATCAGCATCGGCATCACAGGCACCTGGCAATTCCCACTCACAGTCCTTGAGATGACTTGTTGTCGCCCGACAAATCGCCGTTGCCCAGGTCACCATTCCCGTTGAGCTGGATGCCCTCCATGGCGGACCCGTTGATAGCCTGTGTGTTTATGAACGCCTGCGCCTGTTGCTGATGGAGATTTTGCTGCTGCTGAAGCACCGTCGCGATGCCGCCAAGGTTCTCGTTGGGCGAGAGGGTCTCGAGCCGGTCAAAAGGCGCGGACGGCTCTCCCAAGCCGAACGGGTTGATGGCCGCTGGAGTCGCGCCCATGTTCGACTTGTGCATCGGCGATGACATGTCCATGGCACCAATGTCAAAGTACTCGGACGTGTTGAACAGCGACTCAAGGTCGGTTGGCATGCCACTCGGCCCGAGGTCGGGCTGAGCCCCCATAAGGTCGAGGTTCTGCCCAATGAAGGGGAGATCCTCGGCCACTCGCGAGGAGCGCAAGGCGGAAGGTGCGGGTGAAAGGGAGGCGCGTTTGCGGACGGGGCGCAGCCAAGCAGGAGAGGGACGGCCCGCCGAGTCCGGAACGCGAGGCGAGTCGAGTGGAATGTTACACACTTTAGGTTAGCGAGACATCTCGGTTGTTTCGTTTGCTGTTTCATTTACGTACCTCGACAGAACTCGTCAATGATGTCAGCGGATCGGAGACCGCACAGGTAGCGGCCGCTGAAACGACGAAGGAGACCGACGCACGAACGCAGGCCCTCGATGGATGGCGATATCAGTGGGCGGAACTCGGGGTTCTTGCAGTTCAACACAACCGCAACGAGCGTGCGGCCCGCCTGTGCGAGCTGGTGTATGACGTGGACGCCGTAGTAGGTCATCATGCCGCGCTGACTAATGTGGACGTGGTCGGCAATGATCGTCAAGGCGCACTGCATGGCGCGCTTACACCACTCGAGGTGACGCGCTCGTTCCTCGACTGTCGCGGCCGGTTGGAGCACAAAGCCCGAGAAGCGGTGACGGTAGATGATCATCTTGACGAGATGCTCGAGGCAATGCAAACGTTCGGCCTGAGTGATGCGGATTGGATCCCGCGAGTTGGTCGTCTCCGAGTCATAGTTCCAGTAGCTGGGAAGGATGCGGCTCCACTCCTCCAAAAGAGCCTCCTCGTCACGGAGCGACTCGCTCTGGGGCGCTCTGTGTGCGATAACGGACGAGGCCTGTGCGAGGAAAGAACCGGCTGGGAAGGCCGAGGCCTGGACCGACGAGTCGATCACGCCCTCGAGCACAACGTGCAGCCGAATCGCAGCCACAAAGGCGCAGAGCCTGCTCGTCTCGGGGTTCGGCTGTTCCTTGGCACCCTCAGTGGTGAGGTTGTCATCGTCAATGATTAGCGGTTCGTCGACGTCGCAATCACGCAGGTGGATGATTGGAGGGCGACCAAACAGCGCCGCCGACTGCTTGTCCCAGGCGTATATGGACCAGAACGTGCGTTTGCGAGTCTCGCGCTCGACAGCATTGAAGTGGTCGTAGGCGTCAACGCTGCGGTGTAATCCGCCGTCGAGGCAGAGCGTGACGCTCTCTGCCTGAAGTGCGAACGCCTTGCTGAGGTTGCCCAGGCCAAAGGCATAGATCGCGGCTAGGAACGCGGCCTGGATCGAGTAGAGAGTTGGACGGTCGGCCGAGGGAAGGTCGCGCAATCGCTTGAACAGCTCAAAGTACTGCTTGCCGGCTGTTGAGGGATCGGCGGGGTTGGCACGGACACGGGGGTCATCGACATGGCGCGAGGAGAGCGTGCACACGGCGACGATGAAGCAGGCGAATCCGGGCTCGCCCCACTGCTGGGGGTTGGCGTAATCTGCGAGGAAGGATGGGACGTGCAGGAAGGGCCAGAGGAGGTGACTCGTCGAGAGGTAACACCGCACGAGCGTGTCCATCAGGTCCGGAGGGATGACGCCGGTGATGACCTTCCAGCTGGCTTCGGGATTGAGTGTCTGGTGCGGGCGTGGAGTACGGTCAGGAAAGAAGCGCTCCCTCTTGGTGCTGTGGGCACTGGAGGAGCGTGCTTTGGAATGTGAGCGGCCGCCGCCAACGGAGCTGGCTCGTCTGTCGACGCGGCCTGCGCGCTGGGGCGGAGAGGGGCCAGAGCGCGTTGGCCGCACCTCTATTGAGGCCGGAGACGAGTCTTCCTCGTCGTCCTCGTCGCCGGCCTTTGCCGCGGTTAACATTTCGAGTAGAGGAAAACCCGAAGTTGCGCCTGTAGGAATGGTCAACACGCGTACGTACACAAGGCGGCATCGTCCCACACGACCTACCCTGCCACTTGGCCTGGCCAATCTCGTCCTCGTAGAAAAAGCTGAGGTTCTCCATGCGGCGAGCCATGTCGTCCATGGCGCGCTCGTCTCGTCGGCGAAGACCGCGACCGCCTGCCCACGAGCCGGCGATTGCCGAGTTGGTGGCCCAAGGAGTCGAGAATGCAGCATCGTTCTTGAGCCCAAAGGCTGGGCTAAAGGACGCGGCGCTGAGCGTTGGCCCACCACCTATCAGGGCTTCAGCGGCGACACCGACACCGTCGCCCTTGCCCTGGGTAATGCCCACGCCCTGCCCCGATCCAAGGCGGGCATCCAGAGTCGAGAGGTATGCATTGTGCACGTTGGGGGGCACATCGCGAAGAAGTGACTCGAGTGTTGCGAGTCGAGCCTCGAGGGAAGCCTGGTAGCTGGAGCTTCCGCGAGAAGGTGAATGGGGGCGTTTCAAGCCGGTGGCTGAGGAAGACCTCGAGCTGGGCTTGGGCTTGGCCACTCGACGGCTTGGCGTATTGAAAGTGCACTCGTTCTTTGTCGCCGAGCATGGACCACATGGCTGCTGGGTGTCGCAGCGAATCTTGCGTTTGCGACACCGGTCACATGCGTGTGCGAGGCGAAGACGGGGACGTTTTGCACCGTCTGCGCCGCCGTCCGACATGTCATCCTCTTCCATGGCATGGGAAGGCTGCTGCTGAGAGGGTTTGGAGTCGGCGTCGGGCAATGACCCAGCGTGGGGCGCTTGGGCCTGCGGGGCGGTGACTGTGGTAGTGGGAGGCTGTGCAGTAGCAGTCGGGGAGAGGGAGTTGGGGTTGACAGAGTCACGGGGAGAAGGATGGAGGGATGGCTGGGACTGTAAAAGTGCTGGATCCATGTTGGGCAGAGGGGAGGTTGCACAGTCGTGTGAGAGAGAGAGAGAGAGAGGGGGAGAGAGAGTCTCGGGGGGTCGGGGGTGCTCGAGGGGATCGGAGGGGAGGAGGACGGTGCGGAGGATGAGGAGGGGGCTGGGGGGGGACGGGGGATGAGGATGAGGCGAGAGTGAGTGGAGAATGGAGATGTGTCGAGTGGAGAGTGGTGGCAAGGAACGGCGCAAGGATCGTCTGTTGTTGGAGGAAATGGGGGCGGGGTGTGCGTTGGGTCTATTGGTTCCTTTGGGCTTTCATTAGGATGTAATTGGTGACTAATACAAGAAATCCACCTCACCATGACTACTCCCAACGTCGCCCACCTCTTCCAAGCCCGATAGCCCCGGGCCATGTCTCGCATTGTATCTCTCTTCTCGTCAGCAGAAGCGCTCACGCAGTCCTTCTGACTTGCGTACTCGTCTGCGTAGGATGCGTAGGCAAGCGCAGAGCGCAGAGAGAATTGGTGGTCGTCTGCATCTCTGCCCATGCCCACTCGCCCTCCTCACCCTGACCTGTGACCCTTTGAGGCCTTTGAGCCATGAGACGCGTGCGCGTAGTCACCCAGACGCCTTTCAGCGCCGATAACATCCTCCATCCGCTCTGTGTCAGCTGATGCATCGCGGTCCACTTGTAGGTGGGCAAAGCCGGTCTGAGCGGGGTGTACTGATCGAACTGATCTTGCTGAAGCTCTGAAGCATCTCTGCCTGCTGCCTGCCGTGTCGCCGCTATCTTTCTGGCTACCACCAAAAAAAGGGAGGCCGCCCTGAATAGTGAGCCTGAGTAGGATGACTCGTACGCTCCGTGGATGATGCCCCGTGGCCCCCGCGGCCTGTGGTCCGTGGCCTTGCAATGCTCTGATGCGAGCAATGCATGCATTCCGCGTCGAGCGGCCCCAACTCCGCTCGGCCCCCTCGGCCCCTCGGCCACCACCTCTGGTGACAAACCTACTCGTAGTGTACTTGTTGCGTCTCAGAGCCTCGGCGTTCGATCGGCCCTCGTTCGGCCTCCTCTTCGCCTCCCAACGACCTCCTACATCCTCCCCCACATTCCCCACCTCTTGCCGCGGCACATATTCCCGCTTGTGCGTTGTGCGTTGTTGACATGGTCGACTTTGGTGCGGCGCCCGTGTTGCTCACATGCTTGCATTTCGGTATTGTTGGGTACAAACCTCGGTCTGGTGGATGGTCACCCTACCAAGCTACACTAACCATGATCGGCTGTACGCGGCTCTCTAATTACCTACAGTACAACTATCCTACAGATCTAGTCACGCCGTGCTCGGTCCTCGTCTCGGCTCACAACCACCCAAAGACGACGCTTTCGCGGTACAACGCGTCGTCTTCGCCTTGTTGAGTCAGAAGAATCTGCTTGATCTGTTACAGTCAGCATTTAGAGCCAAGCCACACGCCACTAGACAAGCCACACTCGCCTCCTCGGGTGGTTGCAGGCCCCACTTCTTCGCCCGCTCCCAGCGCTCGAGCCGGGTGATGCCGACGTAAGGTCCGTACTTGGACGTCATGTCAAAGACGCGAAGGATGTCTGCTGTCAGCTGCTTGGTTGCTTGGCTGCTTGGCTGCGAGAGACACAGCGACGTTGCGATGCCGGCTAATCCGCCGCCATCATCGTCGCGCGGCTCATCCAAGAGCGCCTACGCCTGCCGCTTATCACTCACTCTCAACCTTGCTCTCCTTGTCGCCATGGACTGGCATCAGCACCACCCAAGGCCCGAGGAGGGTCCACCTGCCATACGCACTCGGAGCCATCCCGCCCATCTGCGCCTTTGCGTCCCGCCACAACGCATTCCACTCCTTGCCATTTGGATCCAGAACTCGTCTCTTCTCCTCCTTCTCCTTCTCCACGCTGAGATCAATCGTCTCCTGCTCCTTCGCTGCCTTGGGCTTGGAAGATCTGGAAGGGACGTCCTTCGCCGGACTGCTCTCGCGCGCCTCTGTCACCGCGTCCTTGCGCACGCCGCCCTTCGCGGCCGCTTTGGCGCTCTTGCTCGACCGGAGCTTGGTCTGGAACGAGAGTGTCGGCTGGTGTCAGACGCCTACGGGGACAGCGGCGCACCTGACTCAGCCCGGTGGACTGCTTCGTGCTGCGTCTTGGTGGCATTGTGACGAGAGATGAGCGTGAGGGTGGTGGGGTAGTGGGGGAGTCGATAGAACAACTTGTTATGACGAAGAAGAGGGCGACAGAGTGAGACAGACATGACCATTGTAGGGCGAGGTGGCTGGTTGACCTCACCTCACGCACCCTGACACCCGATGACGGAACCAAACCGCCACCTCCCTCCACTTCTCGACTGACGCGTTGTGCGATCTCAACAACATCGCCCGACATGAGCAAGAATGCGGGGTCTCTAGACCTCGCCCGGCAGCTCGTATTATCGCTGCGTCCCGACACGAAGGATGCCGATGCAACCGCGCGCCGCGTCGCGACACAAGTCCGCGCCCACGCGGGCGCCAGCATGCGGAAGGAGTGGCACGAAGTGCGGCGCACGCTCAAGGAGTTCGTATCTGCCCGCGCCTTCTGACCGCAGGTTGGCGGGGGTCGCGCGCGTGCGGGTGGAAGACGATGTCGCGGACGCGTATGACAAGCTCGTTGCCAAGCTCGAGGAACACCGGCGGCGGGGCGGCACACAGTGGGACGAAGACTTGCCGCTGCAAGCCTCGACTATCCCGCAGCATGTCCACTTTCTCGTGCGCTATATGCGAGCTGGCTGACCACAGCTCGAGCTCGCGCAGCCGATGGACGATGATGTGCGCGAATTCGCCGCGGAATATTTGGTGCGCCCGCCACGCGCCGCTGACAAGTCGGATATGCGATTATATCGCGAGATTATGGCCGCGCCGTTCGAGGGCGAACACTGGGGACCGGGGTATGAGGAAGCATCGGACGAGGAATGGTCGGATAGCGAGAGCGACGGGGGCTCGACGCCGAGCGAGGAGGACGTCGTCACGCCAGCGAAGTCGACGCGGAGTGCTGCGGCTCAAACCGCGCGCCAGGCCGAGGCAGCTAGGAGAGCAGAGGAGGACGCCCGTCTGCTTCTCGCCAAGCTTCAGCTGCGCGAGCTGACGGGCGCCGCGTACTGGAAGACGGGCGGTGATCCCCTTCCGTCCTCCGACGGAGCGTACGGCTGGCGCGCTCTGTCCTCTCGTGAGTTGAGCTCGGTTGGCAAGCTGACACCAGTTCCTGCACTCGCGTCGCCCGCACTCCCCCGCCACGACCGCGCAATCAGCGCTGCACAACTGCAGCGCGAGCTGCTCTTTGCCTTGAGCGGACGGCCCGGAGTTCTCCTCACGTTCAATCTCAACGAATGCTCGGTAGGAGTGTATGGACAGGGCCCGCTGACGCAGATCGTGCCCAGTCACCCCGAAGTAGCCTCCTTCAGCCCCGCTGCGCTGCAGGGCATTCTCTCCACCTTTGCGGTCTACGCAACGCAGGCGGCGCGCTTGCGCGCATACGTTCAATCGCCGGGTGCCAGCGAGACCGCTCAAGCGTTCGCGGCGGCCTGCCGCGGCGTCCTGCACGACGTGACCACGTGGGTCGCTGAGCGCGAAGCAGCGTTTCTCGGCAGCTCTTCCCAGAGCGTATCGACGCCGCTGGCCCTGCAGCGCGAATTCGCGCGCTTCGGAGACGTCCTCGCCGCACTGTGTGACCTCGTCCCTCTAACTAATTCACCCCTCGCCCTCCTCGACGCACTGTACAGAGCCACGATCTCGCCCGTGGCGCGTGACATCCGGCCCCAGCTCACAGACGTGTTCGCGCGCGCCGCAGCCCCGATGTGGCGCATGACGGGCGAGTGGCTCGTCCAAGGCATGCCGGTGCCCGAAAGCCTGGCGAGCCAAGAAGCCGACCTGGCGCTGCAAGACGACGACACGGAGCGCGCGCTGCCCCCCGAATTCTACATCCAGCGGGACCGCGACGCGGCGTGGATCGACGAGGACTTCTGGGACGCCGGGTTCGTGGCGCCCGCGTGGCCGGCGTGGCTGCGCGAGCACGCCGTGCTGGAGGGGGGCAAAGCGCGGGGCCTCCTCCGCTCCCTGCCGGCCGAGGGGACACATGCGGGCGAAGCCGAAGCGTGGCGCAGCTTGCCGGACCTCATCTCCGCTGACCAGGATATCGGGGACGCGCTGTGCGCGTTCGTGGCCCCCATTTGTGGGCGCGCGCAGTCGCTGCTCGCCGCGACGCTCGCGCGCGAGTGCGGGCTGCACGCGCACCTCGCCGCCATCGACGGGCTGAGCCTCATGCGCGCCTGCGACGTGCTGGATACATGGGCGGACTGGCTGTTCAGGCAGATGGCGGCGCGCAAGCCGTGGGCCGACTTCCACTTGCTGACGCACGCGATGCGGGACGCGATCGAAGGCGCCGGCGCGCACTGGATCAACCCCGCGTCCGTGCGTGTCCGCACGGCGCGCCGGCGCGCCGCGATCACAGACATTCGCGTGGACTACCTCGTATGCTTCCCCTCGGCAGTGCTGACGCCAGGTCCCCTTCCCCCTCTCGCAGGTGTTTACGGCCTCGGCGCTCGAGCTGCGCTCGGACGTGTTCGGGCTGCTCCTCCGCCTCATGCGGGCGCGCAAGCTCCTCCGCGCCCGCCACAAAGCGGGCGCGGACGTGCTGCGCGTGCGCCACGCCGCCTCGTGGGCGATGGAGTGAGCGCGTGCCGCAACTGCATCTGACGCCAGCACGCTGTGGGCGTGGATCAACGCGGCGCTCGATATTCTCAGCGCGCGGCACGCCGCCGCGATGGCCGGGGCGAGCTTCCACGCCCTCGTGACGCTCGAGCTCGAGCACGGCCGCCGGCTGTGCGCGACATGTTTCCTCCATCCCTCTGTGAGTTGCATGGTGGCAAAGCTGAGACAGACGGACGCGGCGATGCTGCATGTTGCGGGCATACTGGACGCCGCGGAGGCGGTGTGCGTCGCGAGCGCGGGCATGGCCTCTACGTGGGACACCGAGTCGGAGGGGTACGAGAGCGAGGGCGGGCGTAGTGGATGGTCTGAGTCGGGCAGGTCGGGCCGCTCCGCCACCTCTGCGTCTGAGGCGAGTTCGGAGAGTACGGTGCGCGCATGGGATGGGAGCCTTGAGCGCGCGGCGGCCAGTCTTGGCGCGCATGTGCGCGGACTCATGGAGGTCGTGGAGGGGTTGGCGGGGCGCGAGGGGGACGCCGCGGCGCGCGAGATGTGGGGCATGCTTGTGTTTGCGCTGCAGGACTGGAAGGATGTGTTGTATGTAGCATAGGATGTAAGTGTGCGGGGGAAGATAGCCGGATGAGGGTGAGGTGATGGTGGTGACGAGATGGGTTTGGGCGGTGAGCAGGGTTAGCGGGGTGATGATTTTGCGCATTTCATGGAATTGTGACGATAAACATCTCCTCTTGATGTCTGTATGGATATGATGAGGTCCTTCTGTCGCGTGACGCGAGTCCCCGCGCGGTCAAGGCTTGCTCGTGTCTGTGACCGCCTGGTCCTCGCCGCGTTCAGAGTAAATGCATATAAATGAGTTGCGCGCTGAAGAGTCCTTCATCCGTTGGCGTTCTTTCGTGTTCGTGAGGCTGGCCGACGTGGAGAACGCTCAGCGTGGGTGAGTACGATCGACAACATCCGACCCCAAGACGCCCACTTGCACCGTACAACTAGTTCATTCAACTACTACACAAAGACTACACTCTCGCTTCTGACAGGCTCACCTCACCTCACGCCCCTCATTAACCGACAGCCTGCTCACAGCGAGACTCTATGCCGGAGATCGATGAGGAAAGACTAGAAGTTGGACTCGCCACCCTTGCTCTTCTTGCCAGCCTTCTTCGACTCCTTCTGGAGCTTCTGGATCGTCTTCTTCCAGTTGACTGGGGTGTCAGCGGATTCCAGCAAAGGGCAAGAGTGGGTGGGGGACAAGAGGCTCGTTTCGGCGGCGGCATGATGCCCGAGGCACGCCCGACACGACACCCAACGCCACGCCGCATCTCGCCAGAGGTCCGCAGTGACACGTTGCGGGGAACTCTTGTGGGGAAGCGGGGTTCAGGGCCTATTCGCCCCTGATATGTGAGATGGTGGGCACCCCTCCCGCAGTGGCCTCTGACAGCGAGCACTCCAATTGGACCAACGCCCAGGCTCAGGACGAGACCCATGGGCCCCCCAAGGTTCCCCACAGCTCTCAGGGGGGGCTCATCCCACCCCAGATCGCCTCGCACGACTGAGATACTCACAGCACTGCTTGCACTCATTGTTACCGTGGGCCTTGCAGACAATGTTGTTGTCCTTGGCGTTGCGGTAGTAGGCCGGGAGGTCAATGGGGGCACGAGGCATGGGGTCAAAGCCCATGACAGCGTCGTTGTCTACCATTAGCGGGGACGACTGGAGGCGACAGAGTACTCACCCTCACGACCGTCGAAGCCACAAGGCTCGCAGACCTCCTTGCCGTGCTCGCAGAAGAGGGCGTCGTTGATCTCGACTGGGTGTTAGTGATTTCCAATAGTAGTGGGCGAGGCTATATCAAGACATACTGGACGAGGTCGAGCTGGGTGTTAGCGGTCATCATGGGAGGGCGAGAGGATGATGAGAGGTGGTGAGGAGAATGGCGAAGGCATGGGGGGAGGGGAGACATGGTGACGTGTCCCGGGGGTCAACTCACTCGGTGGGCGAGGTACCAAAGTCCATGATGGGTAGTGGTGTGGACTGGTGTGGGGCCTAGTCAAGTGGTAGTGGTAGTGTGGTCTGCTGGGTATAGGCAACGTCAGATACCAGATGATGCCAGAGATGGAGAAGATGAAGTGGATGAACAAGAAGAGATGCGTCGCGTCGTCGTCGTCTTTATACTGCGCGGCTGGCGGCTACTGCGTGCGCGTGCGTGTTGCTTCTGGCAGCTGGCGAGGGAAGGCGGGGGACGCAATGGACCCGAGTTGGCCGAGTGGTGGTCACGAGGTCATGTGCTGATCGGCCGGGTAATGCTCACGCCACCACTTCTTGTTTAGTCCCCCGCTCTCTTCTCACTGCACAACTCCTCAATGACGCAGCCACAGCTGCCAGGATAATAATGCCAGCACAATGCGACTCGACTTGATCGAGTTGCCGAGTGCCCACATGCCCGATGATAGCGCTTGCTTGTCGTCTAGCTCTTGCATCAGTGGAGTTTGTGGGCGTCGGGTCCTGTTGATCTTAACCCCGTCTCTCCATGATGTGCGCGCAACGGGGTCTCCCACTTCGCACTCTGACGATCAAACGAGTAACACCCAGGCTGGTGCTGCACTCCGGGGTGCACACAGAGACGCACGTAGACCGCAGAGTCGCCACTGATGTGACGTCAAGGGAGCGGAGCGAGGGCTCGAGTCGACCCCGGAGTCGTGCGTGGGAGACAAGGACCGGACAAGGCCGTCGACACGGCTCGATCTCGAGGTGATCGTGGGGGGCCGTGGGCCGTTGCGGTTTGGCTCGTGCGCGTGGCACATCTTGGCTGCAACCGAGCCGGCCGAGGCGAGCCAGCCATGTAGCCAAGGCCCTGCCCTAGTCGCGGCGCGTGGTGTCGCAGCCAAGGCTCGATTGCCATTCATTACCCACGCGCCTGCATTGTTCTGTCGTTGTGCATGCTTCTGCGTTGTGTCAACACAAATCTATCCCGCCCCCGCCCCCACCTTGTACGTTTGGTCCAGAAGCACTTTGACATACGCCTCTGCAACGCAGCGAGTAGGGGACGAGGCAATTAGATTGACACAAGGGGAAGCGGTGTGATTCACGTTAAGAATCTCAAGTCGCGCACCACGACGAGGACAAAGAGGTCATAGCCACTGCCAGCACCGACATGCATGCCCCTATGTCACAACTTGATCTTGATCTAGCGCGCCCCGATCGCACCCATGCCGCCTCCGCCGCCGCCGAACAGGCTGCCCATCAGGCTCTGGAGCATGTCGTTTCCACCACGCGGAGGTGGAATGAGAAACACGCCCGTCGAGATGGCATCCAGCACCTGGCGTCAGCTAATTGGCCCCACGACACTAGCTTACCTCCAGAACCTCCTTCTGGGCGAGAACGCCGTCATTTCCCGCGATGCGGCGGTACCGCCCCACGAGCTGCTGCCAGTCTCTGGCAACGCCGCCGTCCATCCCTCGAGCCTGTACTGCGCTGGCGCCCGGCGCCGGGGCGCGCTGGACAGTGAGTACGGCGAGCTGAAGGAAGTTGAGCGTTGGCGAGGTGGTGAGCTGAACGCCCTGAGCAGTGAGGATGAAGATGTCCTTCTGCGGCGAGCTGGGGCTGGACAGGAGAGACAGGTAGCGCTGCAGGAAGGATGTCGCGGCGAGAATGTTGGGTGGAGACATGGCAAGGAAGGGCAGAACGCCGCGCGCGGCGTAGGCGCCTGGGTCTTCTGCGCCCTTGCCTCCCCACTCGAAGAGCATGTCGGCCAAGAGGGTGCCCGAGTCACGCTTGCCGGCGTTTAGGAGGTACTGCTCCGCGGGCTCAAAGAGGCGGTCTGGCGTCAGGTGTTGCGGCAGAAACAAGACCCAAATGCAGCTTACCCTTGTAGTTGAGCTCGCCGAGGTACTGGTTGAGCGATGGGTCGCCGGCAGGGCACGCGCGCGCGGACCATTTCACAGCGGCGTCGGCGAGCTTCTTCCTCCATGGCCCGGCAGGGGGCGTGAGAGCCAGAAGCTGGGTCACGGTAGCTGGAGTTAGCCTCTGGCAATTACAGTTCAAAACGCGTTGCGGGCATGCGCGACTAGCGTCTGATGATGCGAGTAAGAAGTCGAGGAAGGTAGGCCAGTCGTTTCGCACTCACCACGACTCTGGTCGCTCACTTCAACGCCAGTCTCGCCCATAATCTCGACCATGCGCACGCCGAGTTCTGAGCCACTAGCCGCCTCGCCGCGCTTGAGCAGCTCGCGCGCTGCAGCACTAAGGATCTCGACGGCCATGGCCCCATGGCCTGATTTCGCGAGGCGCGCGGTGGTGGTGAGCGCCTTCTGGTGCGCTGAGTAGGCGTTTGGGGGGTCCTGCTCGATCAACGAGAGGATGGGAGGGAGGAGGGCATCGAGCTTGGGCTCGCGCGTACGGCGCGACATCGTGGGAGGTGTGAGATGAGCAGGTGTAGGGATGAGCGAGGCCGGAATGTCGACGGCGATGTCATTGTCGCGAGCCCAGGTCATTTCACGTGGCACGGAACCAAAGTGCCTCCATGGAAGATTCTGCTCATTGATGGTTCGCAGCACCGCCGTACCGCCGCGGCGCCGCGCTACCGTCTGCGCGTCTGCGGCCTGGGCGCGCTGGGCGGCATCGACAGAGAGAGCTACACAACAAGGACCGCTAGAGTTGGGCAGAGAAACGCAATGGGCACTTCACTCTCCACTTGAGCTCTTCAGATCGCCTGTGTCCAAACATAAACTGCTCTCCCTCACCTCCTTCTCCCCAGCCCACACATCCACATCTCCCGTCATACGCTCGTCTCCCTCCACCCCGGCCACCATTGCTAAGCCGTCAATGCCAATATGCATCAAATCCTACACACTCCCCACAAGCCCAGCGCACCGGCGCTTAGAACTTGCTGAAGCCCTTGGCCGCCTTGTTCTTGGCGACACGGAGGACGTTGAAGCGCACAGTCTTCGAGAGGGGGCGGCACTGGCCGACAGTGACGTTGTCACCGTTCTCGACACGGAACGCGGGCGAGAGGTGGGCCGCAAGGTTCTTGTGGCGCTTCTCGTACCGGCGGTACTTGGGCACAAAGTGCAGGTACTCGCGGCGGATGATGATGGTGTTGGTCATCTTGGTCGAGTGAACAACGCCGGTGAGGATGCGGCCACGGATCGAGACATCGCCGGTGAAGGGGCACTTCTTGTCGATGTAGGTGCCGTTGATGGCCTCTGAGAGGTTAGCCTGCCACCCAGTCACGGCTAGAGCTGCATGCTCTGGAACGCACCAAAGGGGGTCTTGAAGCCGAGACCGACGTCCTTGTACCAGCGGCGGGTCTTGGTGGCAACCTTCTTGCCGCCTGCAGTGCGAATCAATCGAGCATCGTAGGAGCATGCGCGCGATCAACGACGGAAAGAAGGCCGGTGATGACAGGCAAGATTCGGGGTCGGGCGAGGAGTTGTCGAAAAGTTGAACGGGGAGTGGGATGACAGCGAATCGTGCGAACAGCGAGAGTCGCGCGCGTAGATCGAGAGAGCGCGGAAAGCGGAGGAGGCGCGAAGGTTTGAACAGCAAGGCGAGCGTCAGCAGCATAACACATCTCCGAGAATCTGGACGCACCCTTCGCCTTGGCGTTCTGGAACAGGTGCTGCTTGCGGTAGGCGCGCTCGATCTCAGCCATTCTGCTAGTTAGTGCGCGCTCCCCATCCGTACGGCCACGACCATCTTCACACCACCACGCCCACACACTCGGCACACAGAACAACACCGGCGAGACGTTGGCTGGCTGCAACGCTGCACCGCGCCAACGCCTCCACGCCGCTCCCTCGAGAGCACTCTCCGGTGTGTTCGCGTGTCGCGCGCGTCGGTGTCCGTGTCGGTGTCGATGGCCGTGGTGCCCGCTGTCGGTGCTCACTTGGATTGATGGTTAGGAAAGACTCGACGGACTGCTCGTGAACGACCTGGCTGGGCTGGCGAAATCGATTTGCTCCCGTCCACACATCCGTCTGCAGTTTGGAGTCGCTGTTATAATCCCGATTCGCCGGTCTGCCACCTGACGTGGCATCTGTAATCAGGCACGGCAACCTCCACCCTGACGTCCAGTCGATCCGACTTCTGAATGTTCGTGCTGCTGGAACTGCATCGACACCTTCCAACCACTGTACACGACGCCATGTCTAAGCGGCTTAATAAGCGCCAGTTGCGCGAGCTTGAGGAGCTCGAGGCATTGAAGGCCGTCGAGAAGAGCGCGACGCCAGATGTCGAAGAAGACGAGAGCGAGGAAGAGAATGCTCCAGCACCGTCGAACCCCTTCGCAGCCGTGAGCAGACGCTTCTCGGATCGCAGCTGACGTCTAGCTCGGAGGAGGTGACGAGCCCGAGCGCGTCTCAGAGGAGGAGGAGGACGAACCTGCTCCTGTCGCGAAGAAGAAGGTGCGCCACTTGCCTTTGCCACCTAACTCCAGAACAAGAAGAAGAAGCCGAAGAAGAAGAAGAATGCTGCCGCGGCGCTTTTGGAAGCGACGGACTCGACGTCAGCAGCTTCTACACCCAGGAAGAAGAAGGACAAGGGGACTCCCGTGCCCGCTGATGACGAGATGGACGAGGTTGACCGTGCGCTTGCTGAGCTCAAGCTCAAGTACGGTGAGGACCCAGTGCCATCCCAGCCCCCCGCGCACGAGGCGGCTGCCCCGCGATCTGCGATGGCGTTCCGCTCCCTTCTGTCCATCGACCCGAAGAACCTGGATGCCGACGCTGAGCTGAGGCGATTCTTTGGCTCCAAAGTTGTAAGTCAGGCTGCAAGTCTTGGTCTCACGCAGATTGCTGGTGCCACCCCAACAGGCAGCGAGAAGAGGTATGCGGCTACATTGTCAAAGATGCGCTATCTTCTAGCCAAGCCCAAGCGAACATATCCACCGCCAATCTCGCTCGCAGGGCTGAACATGCGCGAAATGGACGAGGCCGCCGTGAACGACGTGTACGACCGCCGAGGGTGGGAGCAGACCGATCCTGGGGAGAAGTGGTACACGTTTGAGCACTCTCCTGCATGGCGGGAAATTGAACGACAGTTCCTTGGTGCGGTGCGCTCTCATGGTGAGTTTCGGGCTACTTAATGATACTCATGACAGACCCCAACGAGCTCATGGCTCTCCTTCAGGTGTACCCGTGGCACGTCGACACATTGCTGCAGATGAGCGAGGTGTACCGTTTGCAGAGCGACATTGGCGCCGCGTCCGACTATGCCGAGCGCGCCCTCTACGCTTTCGACCGATGTCTCGTCCCAGGCTTCAACGTGCAGAGTGGCAGTTGTCGCTTGGACTTCGACTTTGTGGAGAACCGGCCATTGTTCACGGCACTGCACCGTAACATTTCATACCTGGGTCGCCGCGGGTGTTGGGTCACAGCATTCAACTTTGCCAAGCTTCTCTTCGCGCTTGACCCCGAGGGTGATCCACACTGTGCGGCATTGTGGCTCGACTTCCTCGCCGTCAAAGCAAAGCAGGGCTCGTGGCTGCTCCAGATGCTGGAGCAGCGTGAGACATCACGCGCTGCGGCGTTGTGGCATGGCTACCCAGGCATGGCCTGGGCGCGTGCGCTCGCCCTGCGACAGGAGGAGGATGCAAGAAAGGACAAGGAACACAAGGAGAGCACGGCGGCTCTCGTTACTGCAATTAAGACGTTCCCGGAGGTTGTTGTACTTCTTGCAGACAAGATTGGCGCGAACATCCCGGCCGAAGCTCGCTCCAAGCCTCTCCTTCAAATCGAGCTCGGGTACACGGACAGCCCAACGACGCTTCTCCACCTCCTTGCTCACATCTATGTCGCGCGATCCGAGGCGCTGTGGAAGGAGGCTAAGCAGCTTGCGTGGTTTGAGAAGGTCGTGGCGTCCACCCTGCCCGACATCGACGATGGGGCTGCGCGAGCGGCGCGCGCGGAGGTACTCGCAATTGCGCAGACGCCGCGTCACCTTGGCTCAGACGGCCACCTGGTTGTCCCAATCAATGTGTGCCGACACGTTTTGTGTTCAGAAAGCACCTCGTGGCTTGGGTTCCTTCCCCCTGCCATCGCACGCATGCCGTTCCACGCTTATGACCCCCTCCCACCCAGCACGGCGCAGACTCTGTACGATGCGGCGTACTTTGACCCCGTGGCACGCTCTTTAGGCCGCTCAGAGCGCGGCGCCGCATTTGACACTCGTATGCTTGACCGCTTCCTTGACGAGGTGCGGCGGCTGGACAGTCGCGATCCTGCGGAATGGGCGGGGCCCATGCGCGAGGCGTTCGTCCACTTCGCCGGTCGCGAGCCAGAGGAGATGGACGCTGAGGACCGCCAAGCTATGCTCCGCGACTTGATGCGCATGTACGAGCAGATGGTTACGGCGTTGCGCAACGGCGGAGACCCAAACTTTGGTTACGCGCCCGGAGAGGAGGCTATGCCTGGGGCATTCCCGCCATAGCGCAGGGCTATGCACCACATTCCGCATGCCGCATGTATCTGTCATTGTAGAATATCGAACACATGCATATGGCGCACTTGTACTGCCACCTGTGAGGCTGCGAGATTAAAGCGGTACATAAACCGTCGCAGTTCTGGATGCTCGCTAGCGAGGTCGGACACTTTTCCGATCAGGTGTTTAGAGTGGTGGTGGTGGCGGCGGTCGGTGACGTCGACCCCAGCCACCACCTTGGCAACCACGCTACAACCCTCAATTCAAAGCTACACTTGGACTGGGCCCCACTTCACGTCTTCACATTGTTGCCCAATCGCTCCCATATCCACGCATATCATGGACCCCGAGCTCCAAACGCTCGTGCACGCGCGCCCATGCCGCCCGCTCGAGGTGCGCGCCGCCGAGCTCATAACCTCTGGCGCGGGGATCTATCTCGCGCCCCCGGCCGACGACCTGGACATCACCCATGAGCTCGCGTCCACACTATACGCGCTCCACATAGTTGAGCGACATGACCGCGCGCGCGGGAGTGCGCGCGCCGCCGCCTTCCGCGCAAGTGAGAGCGTACGCACGCGCGCCGCTCTCCGCGACCATGCATTGGCCTGCCTCGACGCCGCTTTGGAGTACGTCTCGGGACCCGGGGACGAGCTGAAGGACGAAGACGACGACGACGTCCTCCTTATCTCGCGACCGCTGCCAGTCAAAGAGAGGTATACCACCAGTGAGCCGCTAGCCCTCCTACTCCCAGTCCCAACCTCTACCTCTGTCCCTCATCGGCGCACTAACATCAGTCGCCGCGCTCCTCGCGCACCACACAACACCCGGCGCCGTGATTGCCCATCCGCTCATTCGCGCCGCGCTGCCTCGCGCGTGGTCCCGCTCACGGCGCAGTCATCGCGCACCAATCCGCAACGTCCGCGCACTTCTCGACCACGCTGTCACCCCTGCGTGAGTTGCCGTTTGGCGTTGCCTCGGTCTTCGGCCGAACATGCTCGCGGCGCCAAGCACCCACTCATCTTTTTTCTGACACCAGTCGCGCGCACGTCTTCGAGCTTGCCTCGCACCTCGTCTTCATCGCGCTCACCCTCTTCACGGCCCTCGTCCCCGACATCGATGTCGGCGGAGACACGTCCGAGGGCACGACCATCGTCTGGATCGTCTGGTCGTGGGCCTTCCTTATGCACACGCTCGTCGATGCAATCAATCGCAGACGTGGTCCGTCTTCGACCGCCCACCTAGTCCTCATGCTGCCGGCGTGCATCTCCGGCGTCCTCATGCCGGGCGTCACATCCAAAACGACCGCGATCGGCACCTTCATTCGCTGTCTCAGCATCCCCTGCTCAGCCCTGGCCATCGTTCTGCCCTCGGGACCCAGCCTCCCCTTCCTTTTCCCATCCCGCCTCCTGCCCCTCAGCATTATGCTAGCCGGCATTCTCGCGCGCGGCGCCAAGGCCGCAGCTCTTCTCGTGCCCCTCGCCGGCGGCCTGTGGACGCTGTACGCATACGCATTGAACGGCGATGTGTGGCGCGCCAACCCCAATGCAGTGGAGGTCGCATCGGGCGCCTCCGAAGCCCTAACGGGTCTCTTCCGCCGCGGCGTCACAGCGCAGGGCGGCGGACCCATCGAGGTCGGCGTGGCGCCGTTCGAGACTCGCGTCGCCCTCCTCATCACCCTTGTGCTCGTCATCTTCCTCTCCGGCGCCCTCTCCATTCTCCGGGCCATGGCGCCGAGTAACGAGCTTCTTGACGGAACATGGGAGGCCGAGTACGGCGCTGCAATCGGGCACGCCTCGCGGCGCGCTCTGGCCGCCGGTGTTGCTCGCTATCTGCCTCCAAGCAGCGACAGCATCCCGCCGCCAGTGCCGTTACCCATCCCTCTCAACGTCCTTGTGCTCCCGTTCGATGCGCTCGCTGGCGCGTTCCGCATCCTCAGCCGTGGTAAGGAGCCGCCATACACTATCCGGGCAATTCGTGGAGGCATGGGACTGCTTATTATCGCCATCCCCTGCCTCGTGCTTGGCCCCATCGCCATTTTCTTGCCGCACTGGTAGAGACGTAGACCTAATGATGTACACTAAGATGAACCCTTGCTTGACCACATTCATAGCACACCACAATGACATGCCAAATGTGTCTATTGATTATGTGATTATCATGCACTGTTATACAGCATATCTACACCATGTTTAACAACTCGTCATCTGTGTCTCTCGCTCCTCGCCTAATACTGGCGGTTGATGAAGATGGAGCTCGTCTCGGGTCCAGCCCCCGGCTTTGTCGCGACGACCTCGATCTTGAATTCCAACCGGGCCGGCGAGATGGGCACCGTCCACCGCAGGCCGGCGGGCACCTCGTCTTTGCCCTCCTTCGCCTTGTTGCTGCCGATATACAAGGGTTTGGGCGTATCGGCAGCCGCACCGTTAACGCGGAGCGTCACCTCCGGCTTGCCGTCGGCGGGGTCGTCCACCCACGCCGTGAGCTCGAGCTCGGTCGTGGCGGACGCGATGGCGACGGCGTGCGTGGCCACGCCACGCATGTTGCGGAGACGGATCGCGCTCAGCGGGTCGCGCGGCACCGGCGTTCCGCTGGCGCTCGGGGGCGCCGAGTCCGAGTACGCAAAGTCGATGACCTTGATCGTGGGCGAAAGCGGTCCGGGGTCGGGCGGAGGTGCAGAGCGCGGCTCGACTACGGGCGCAGGCACACCGCGTTTCCGCGCTTCGTTGGCTTCCTTCATCTGGCGGAAAATGTTGAGAGCAAGCGGCGGCAGAGACGACATCCACGCTTGCTGCTCGTAAGAAGGGTAACGGTCTAATGTCGCGACGACCTCTTCTGTGACCACGCCAATGGGCAGTGGTGAGAGATAAGAGGACGGCGCAGTCGGGGCGGGCTGCTGCGGGTGCGGGGGATACGCGGCGTTGGGGTAGGGGGGATGTGACGCGAAGCCGATGGGAGCGTGCATCCCATGCGACATCGGCTGTGGCAGACCGATCGCCTGCGCTGCCGCGGGAATAGACTGGTGCGCGCCGTGGCGGATGGGTGTCACAATCTTGGGGGGAAATTTCGCGACTGGCGCGCCGCTCCTGATCTGTGCCAACCGGTCCTTCACAAGAGTCCGATGATTCTGGACTATGCTGTGGATTTGCTTAGCGTCACGCCACACTTCGCTTTCGTCCTCGTTATAATGCATGGCGTTGTCGCACATGCGCTCGACCTCGAGGAAGAACTCGTCGGAAGTGTGGTATCGACGCATCATCATGCGTTGCTCGATATCATCGAGCGACACAGGATTCTTGATCATCCGGTAGTAGTCGGGGAACGACCTCCGATCTGGCAACGTGAGGAAAATGGAGGAGATGTCGCGCTCTTGGCCACTGCCCGTCAGCACTGGGATGCCACGGCACCCACTCGTTCGACTTTGCCGCCTTGATGTCACGCATGCACGGCTTGATCAACTTGTACACTGTTGGCCCGTCCTTCATGTAACTTCCGCGCTTCTTGCCAGTCCCAGGCCCTGATGACTTCGGGTGACTTGAGTCACCCATGGGTGTTGATGGTCCTGTTGTAGATGGGGAAGGTGCGGCAGAGACCGAGACGGAAGTGGCCGTACGCGGTGCAGGGGCCGGGGTAGCGATGGGAGGTGGTGGTGGGACGGAGGCCCCATCATCGCTCTCACCGCTCGCATCCTGCCCAGCTGTGTGCGAGTCGTAGTACGTCCGCGTGATCTGGTGCATCTTTTTGGCCCACTGAAACAGCGTCGACTCCTTCATATTATCTGCATGTCAGCTGCGATCCGTGCAACATTTGGGGGCCTACATCGTTTGGCGTTGTTCCACATTTGGGAAAAGTCGTTGCAGACGTCGAGGAGCGAGGTGTACGAGCCCGCATTGAGCTTTTGGTGGATGATCTCAAGCGACATCGGATGCTTGATGGTCTCATAGTAATCCGGAAACTGTCGCTGATGTGTAAGCTGGATGCTGCGGAGAGGGGGGCGCACCTTGTTGGGGAGCTTGATAAAAGGCTCTGCCATTGACTCGCCGCTGTCCGTCAGCATTTGGCCCACACATGAGCGCGTCGCGACTGTCTTCCGCATGTCTCCATCACGCGTCGCGAATTCATGAACCGGGATATAAACAGCCCTGGCCTTCATCCCAACATTTCGCGATAAGAGGCACGCGGCAATCGTGTCGACAACCTACCTAGAATCGCGCATCCCCGAAATCTTGTTGTACAGCGCCAAACCGAGGCTCTTGGCGCGCTCGGCGTCCTTGGGATCCATCTGGGGTTTGACGTCTGGCGGCGGGGAAGGCGTCCGGCGTCGCTTGCTGCGGCCCTCCGTACTGAGGATGAGGGAGGGGTTGACATCCAACCGTCGCTTGCGCTGTGGTTTGTCGGGCGAAGTAGCACTTGCGCCTGGGCCGTTGGCGTGAGCTTGTGACTCAAGTGCGGACATGATGTGGATGGAGTAGTTGTGAATGCATGCGAGGAGAACGGCGCTGGGATGTTGCACGATGGTGGCGGGGTGGTGTGGGCGGCCGAGAATTTGATCCCGTCCTATCGCCCTGGGGGCAGCAGCCAGGGGCGATTTGTTTGTGAGTCTCTGCGAATCCTCCCAAGGCACCTGGCGGATTCCTCTCGTCGTCAACAATTCAACAAACAATTCATCTCAGCTCCATCTCGCCACCAACAATTGCGACCCATTCTGGCTCGACACGACAGCCATCTAGTGCGTATGAGATTAGCTGCATGTATCTGATCAGCCTTCTAGAACTTCTCCTTTGCTGCTCTTATACAAACGCCACTCGGAAGCCCTCGGCGCCATCACCATGTCCCTTGCTGGGGCGCCACCACTGGCGCTGCACATACAGCCCGCGTGCCTCGAGCACAAATACATTCGTCACAAGGACGCGAGCCACATTTTTGAGCGTCCAGAGCGTCTCCGCGCCGTGCTTCTCGGCTTCGCGGCTGCTCTCGCGCGCCTCGAGGCAATTGATGGCTCCAAGCCTGATGCGGACGACTTGAGCGCTCTCCTCGGTTCGCTGTCGCTGTCTTTCCTCCCGCCAACACACCTCTCCGTTGTGCCCCCGCCCCCACCTCCCTCTCAGCCCGGACGAGTCCTACTGCATCACCCCGCACTGCAGCTTGCGCACTCTCCTCCCATCGAAGCGCCATTCCCATATCTTCCTAATGGCGGAGGGGCGATGCCGCAGAGCGCGTACCTCAAGGACTTGTTCAAGTGGGCGAGCGAGGCCCTTGAAACCATCCGCACCACTGGCTGCGAGATCCCTACCGACAAGGGCTTGAATGCGGGCGACCTCTACCTCGGTCCCGGGAGCGTGGTTGCTATTGAGGGTGCAATACAGACCGTCTGCCAGGCAGTAGATGGCGTGTGCTCGCCGGAGGATGGTCTGAACAACCCCAGCAAAGCATTCTGCGCTATTCGCCCTCCAGGTCATCACTGTGGCGAGGATGAGCCGAGCGGATTCTGCTACGTCAACAATGTTGTGGTCGGCGCCATGCATGGTGAGATGGGAAAGGTTCGGTTCGGCTGACATCAGCCTATCTTCAGCACGACGTTGACCGCGCGATTATCATTGACTTTGACCTCCATCACGGGAACGGGACACAGGCGCTTGTCATGCCTTTGAATGCAGCATCATATTCGGAAGACCTCGCCGTGGCAGCGGGCAAGCCGCCCTCGGACATGCGCGGACGCTCCGGGCGGAGAAGGACGTGGAAGGGCTTCTACGGATCCGTGCACGATATTTACTCGTATCCCTGCGAGGTGGGCTCCGACTAGCTGAATCAAGCTGACGGCAGGACGGCGATCTCGACTTGATTCGCGATGCAAGTGTAAACCTCGCTGCGCACGGACAGTACATGTACGACTACCTTGCGTACCCCACTGACGCCAGCGAGAACATACACCTGCAGCCGTACGAGGATGAGGCAGACTTTTACAAGCGCATCTACCCGCTGTATCTCGCGCTACTGGACAAAGCTCGTGTTTTCATGCGCGAAACTCAGGCCGATCCGGCAAAGACCGTGTTGTTCATCTCGTGAGCCGGTTGAAGCTCCATCGACTGACCGCAGCGCCGGGTTCGATGCATGTGAGCACGAGCACCAAGGAATGCAGCGGCACGATCGCCGCGTCCCGGCCTCCTTCTATACGCGGTATACGCGCGACATCGCCGCCTTCGCTGACGCGCACACGGACGGCAAAGTCATCTCCGTCCTGGAGGGCGGCTACAGCGATCGTGCTCTCACCAGCGCAGCGCTAGGGCATGCTGTGGGTCTAATGGGGCGTGAGGGCTTGCCAGAGTGGTGTAGCGTGGATGAGCTTGTCCTCCTCGAGCGCGCAGTCAAGAAGCGGCGCAAGGGCAAGCTGTGCTCCCTCCCGCCCGACCTGGCGGCGATGCCCCACATTGCGCGCACGCACGCAATCCTCGCGCATTGGGAAGGGGCCGGAACACCAGCACCCAGCGTTGCGCCAAGTGCAGCGCCAAGTGCGAACGCCACGCCCAGCGGGCGCATGACGCTGCGCGAGCGCCGGCCGAAGGAGTATAAGGAGGAGGACAGTCCGCTTCCCGCCCCGAGGCGCAGACAACCAAAATCCAACGCTGCAACGCCCAAAGCCAAGACGGAGCGGGAGTCGTCGCCCACGCCGATGCCGACGTCTGGTCCCAGTGCTGCAGCACAGCCCTTGACTATGACGCCTGCTGCGGCCGCATATCCCTCGCCCGCGCCCTCCGCCCCGTCACCGGACGAGGATAAGCCGGGACTGAAAGATCTCACAGTAAAAGATCCGCCCTCGCCCTCTGCACCAACGCAGCCCTCAGCCGCAACGCAAAACACCCTCCTTCCAAACCCGCCTCATATCGTGCTTCGCATCCCCGCTCGCACACCTGAGCCGCCAGAGTCGCAGGAGCGCGCACCAGTCTTGCGCATCCCCGCTCGCACCCCGCCTCCTCCCCACGCCGCGCCCCCTCCGGCCCACCCCGCGCCTGCTCTCTCCCGTCCCGCTCCCCCGCCGTTGTATCAAGTACGCCCGGCGCCACCACCTTCCGCACCGCCGCAGCCGCCATCCGGCAGTTTCCGCGCCATCGCACCACAAGCAGTCAGCCTCCCGCCCATGAATCCAGGCATGGCCAAATCTCCAGAATCTCGTATCTCCCCCGTAATCTACGCACAACAGCCCTTGCCATACTCGCAGACGACATACTCGCAGACCCCATACCCGCCCGCGTACGCCCCCACTTTCGGCCACCCCAGTATGCCGGGCCACGGCACCCAGAGCACGCGCATACCGCACAACACCAGTTTCGCGCCCTACCCCGCCCTCACAGAGCGCGACGGCATTCCGCCACCGCAGCGCGGTGTCCCGCCACAGTGGGGCACACCAGGGGCCGGGAGCAGCGAGCGGGGTGCGTAGACATTCCAGCGCGGCCACTCGCACACGCTACGAGTTCCCGCTCTCGGGCCGCGGGAGCCGTGCCTCATATCAGACATGTACTCTGGTATCGACACGTCAAACACACAGCGGCACGCATGTTCCCCGGTGCCCCTCGGCGTCGGTGCCTTGATCGGAAATGCGGACCCCGAATTCGCCGGAGCCGTGGGCCTGGATGACTAGAAGTGCGTGCCATTCTTGTGTGCCAGTTTTCGCGTCACTTTGCGACTGTTGCCAAGGAACTCCATGGGGCACAGTGTTTAGCGCTCTCCGGGCCGCGAGCGGTGTCAGTTCGACGCGTCTAGTGCGGCGCAGTGCGTTGGACTGATGCATGGAATGTTACAGTTACAGTGGGTCTATGCAGTGGGGTCATGCGATCGTGAGACACTATTGTCCAGAGCCAGCGCACACGTGTTTGCGAGTGCGGCCGGCAGTCGTATTGGGTTGTTTGCAGAGTATTGTCCTGGTTCGTGGTGGGTGAATGTATGCTGGCCAATGTCACAGACAAGCTGGCGAGAGTCCGGGGCCACAGTGGGCGTGACAGATGCTGATGCGATGCGAGAACAATGAACGAGACGACGGCGGTGACGAGATTAGAACACGTCGAGAGCGGGCCAGGGGAGAGCGGCCATGGGGGTCGGTGCTTCGGGCAGCTTGGCGTTGGGCGAGGCGCGGATGGCTTTGCGGTCCATGAACTCGGGCTCTGGCGACGGGGCAGTTTCGCGGTCCCACTCGTCGCGGTCGCTGAGCGAATCGTCCGAGTGGGATGGCACGAGCAATGGGGCCTCGTCGCAAGAGTATGTCGGAGTCTGAGGCTCGGGTGAGGCGGACGCGCTGGAGCGGTCGTCGGTGAGCTCGGGCTCGGAGATGCTCTCGCTGTCCGAGTCGCTGCAGATGGCGTAGTCATCCTCGGGGATGTGGGCGAGGCCAAGCCCAATGGGCTGCCGGGAAGCGCGCTCAACGTCCTCAGCAGTAACGCACTGGCTGAGAGCGGAGCGACGGACGGGCACGGCTGTGCGGTCCCCGCTAGCCGGAAGGAGGCGGTTGCTGAAGGCGCGGCGGACAGCCTTCTCAGCGTCGCGCTGGAGGTCAAGCTGGTCCAGCCACTTGCGCTTGCTCTCCTCACGCTCGTAGCGCGTGGCAAGCTGAGTTATGCTGCCGACGCGCCCAGCGAGCTCCGAGAGGCGAGCCACTAGCTGCGTGTAGGCAGAGCGGTGACGCAGGGGAAGGGTGTGTGCAGGAGGAATGCGGAGGAGGAAGCCAGTTGGGGTGGAAGCATCCGTGTAGTCACCGTTGCTCGAGGTAGCGTCGCCGAACTCGGAGCTGGACGCGGCAGTCGAGTGCTCAGACATTGATGGCGAGCGGAGGGTGGCCGAGCTCGAGAACGAGGTGTCGCCCGTGAGGTCAAAGTCGATTCCCAATTCGGTGAGCATGTGGCAGATGTCGTCACGCAGAGCAGTGAACTCGTCCATCTTGGAGCTGGCCTCGCTCTGGATGGCCCACACAAGGTAGTGGGAGGGGAGACGCTCCTTGAGCGCGGGGAGAACGTAGCGGCGATACGCGTCGACGAGGAGTGACCGCGCCTGGCGGCGGTGGGCCCGAGCGGGCTGCTGGTGGGCGGCGACGTGGGCGGGGGGCTGGACACGGGGCGAAGTGGGAAGCAGGGGAGAGAGAAGCGAGTAAAGGAGCGAGCCGGGAGTACGCCGTGCGGCAGCGGAGGCGGGCGAAAGAGTTCCCGATGATGCGCTGCGCTCAGAGGACATGCTGGATCGGGGCGACTCGGCGGGCGATGCGGCCGGAGGAGGAGGAGCCGGGGGCGCAGCGGCCGCAGCAAAACTGAGCTGAACCTCACGCACAACGCGGTGCAACACCGTGACGCACTCTTCCGAGAGGTCAACGTTGAGCGTGCGCCCGTCCACAAGGTGAACAAGAATAGTCGAGTGCGGGAGGGAGAAGGTCACATTGTCGACGATCTTCCGGTCAGCAGCGAACCTTGAGGCGTCGAGGCTCGACCCCATGGAGCCAGTAGTTACTCACGCCCGAAATCCAAGTCGCCTTGTCTCCGAGAAGCACATTGCCGCACTCGATGTCCTCCTGGAGGCAAAGGGAGCGGTGTGCGAGAAGGTTTGGTGGGAGGGGGAGAGCCCGGGAACTGCGGGTCAGTCAGGTTCTCCGAGGTGCAATGCAATGACATACGTGTAGGGCGAGTTGGGCAATGGGAGAGTGAAGAGGATGGTGGGAGGGGAGGGCTGGGAGGGAGAGGGTGTTGGGAGGAGCCGGAGGAGCATGGCGGTAGTTGCTTGGCGGTGTGGCGGAGTGGTAGGGTTTTGATGTGAATTGATGATATCGAGCAGTTGACGACTCGATCGAGAGTGTCAAGAGCAGCCAGAGGTGGTGGCTTGTGGGCGTGTGACGTGTTCGAGAGCAAGAGTGACACCGGAGAGCGAGGTGGGAAGAGGTGACTGAGAGTGCTGAGCACGAAACGTGGGGGAGAGAGCGAGGGGGATGGGAGATCGTTTGAGATGAGACAGAAAGACAAAGCGTCGAGAGCAGCGAAGGGGAATTCGTGAACTGTCTGTGTAGTTTTAAACACAAAAAAGAGAAGAGAGTAGGAGTGGTAGTGAGGAGAAGAGAAAGAGAGACGAGAGAGATGTATATGGGATTGTCGAGGAGCAGAGAGCTGAGAGCTGAGCTGTAGTTGACAGTTGATGGTGATGGTGGTGGGAGGGAAGGTCATCCCATGTCCCGTATACATCCCGTCCTCACCTCTTGATCTACCCAGGGTTCACTCATCCATTCCCTGACATCTGAGCAGTAGCAAAGTGGGGCGACGCCCGGACCGGGTGGTCTGTGCGGGCTACGGGACCCTTGACGACGATCACGCTTCGCTTCTCTGACGCGCCCCTCTCCTGTTTCCCCTGCGCCTCTTGCGCCTCATGCGCCCTTCTGCGCCCTCTGCGCCCTTTGCGCCCTCCGTTGTCTTCCAGGCCGTCTGGGCCCTCTACGCCCTCTGCGCCCACAGATGCAGGGCATTCAGGGTATACCGGAGAGACACCAGTCGGGTCACCCTGAAAGCAGCGGCTGTTGGAATTTGCCCTGAGGGTGCGAAGTGACCAGGGGCGCGAGGAGGGGGTGCCTTTAATCTGGGCGGGCTCGGGGACGCTCCCGCAAAAACGGCGGTACAGGCGGCTACGGGCGGCCCGCCAAAGGCTGGTGATGCTGGGCATGCTCGATGAGATGGGTAACAAAACACGTCACTCGGCGCTGCTTTGTACAGAGTTAACATTCGCACGCTGGGCGTAAAAAAAATCGGCATGCGACATGCCGTACAGAGTTTTGCTCGCGTGGCCGTCGAGGTGCCTGCTGTCCCGTGTGGTATGCTCGAGCGTGTCAAGCAGAGGGCAGAGAGAAGTGTGGCAGCAACGGAGGTGTTTTGTTCACACTGCACGCTCTGGACACTGAAAGTGACGAGTGACTGCCACAGCATGGACCAGGGAATGGGGAGCTCGGCAGCTGGTAAAGGCGGAGAGGGCCGGCTCGCGGCTGATAGCCAAGAGGCGGCAAGGGCCGAAGCACAAGTGTCCCCTACCAAAGTCCTGTTTCTAGACGGCGCGTTCCGGGCCCTACCTTCGATCTAGATGAGCAGAGCGTTCGGCAGGTAAATGCAGGGAAAGAGAAGCTGTACAGCAATCGCACATGCACACATGTCAGCAGCAGCGGGCGCAAGAAGCACTGCAGTATAGTAGAGCAGGCAGGCATTCCACCGCCATTTCGGCCCGGCTCAATTTGGGACACCCACGCACGCCCTGGGTGCTGCTCCTCCGATCCTCCGCGCCACTCCGGCTTCCATGCTTCTGCAGCTCTGCAGTTATGGCTATTTGGCGGCCAGGCGGCCAGGCGGCCGGCGGCCAGGCGACTGGGCAATCAAGCGGTTAGGCAGCGGGCACCCCTCTGCCACCGCTGCACCCGCCGCCGATCACGGCCTTCATATACTGGGCGCCCGCTACGCCCGTGCCAGCCCGTCACCCATCACTCAGCCACATTACTTGCATCCTCACTCTCGACCCTTCCATAGCCGGCCTGTTCCATAACCCACCACTTGCTGTTGAATCAGCCAACCGGTCGCCGAGCGAAAGAGCCCCGACACCCGGACGCCCCCGCTATCGGGTGGGGGACCGAGCGACCGAGACGGGCCCGAGATTGCTTCATGCTCCAGGACTCCATTCATGCCTGAGACATGAGACATGGGAATGAGAATGCAAGGCCCATCCAAGCCTTTGGATCCTCCGGCCTCCGAGGCTCCGAGATCGGGCGTACGGGCAATTGAACATACGCCACCATCTGTGCATCACGCGACGTTCTGATCTTTCTGTATTCAGTGCCATTCAGCATGGCATCATCAATGGCCGAGATGCGATACAATGCAGTCTTCTGATCCGCCACACCATCACCGACACCATGGGTCATGCCATGAGTCAGCTATGGGCCATGGGCCATGGGCCATGGACCATGGACCATGGATGCATGGACCTTGCTCACCGGCAGTGCCTGCATGCCGGCGCCCTGGGATCCTGGGACCGGAGTGCGCGCTCCACCTTACGCGCAAGCTCGTACCGCGACCGTGCCTCTGCGTGCGGGAGCGGCTCGTCTGGATTTTCCGTCCTGCACCTCGTACACCTGGGTGGGCAAACCAATCGGCGCGCGTCCCACCTCTTCAGACACCGGAAACCAAGCGAGCCCACCCACATGTACAGGGACCGCTTGTGCAGATCGGCAGATATCCCCTCAGCAGGAGCTCTCGCACCGCTCGCACTTTTGCGCACCTCGATATGCGCGCGTGTACGGCACCAGCGTGCGTTGTGAAAGTCACAAAGAAATTCTCCGGCACACTGTTCCTGCCGTCCGTGCCAGTCAACTAATCACTGGGCTGGGCCTGGAGATGGCAAGCATGCCAACATTTTCTCCTGCGTCCTGCACTCCTGCATCGCCATGAGAATTCACTTTGCATCTGAATACGTTAATAATGCGACGCCGTGCATCTCGGACGCCGGAGGGATCTGGATGTGAGACCAAGCGCCAGATCTCGTGCTTGCGTCACATTCGTTCGTGGTCAGCGGCGCCCCCCGATCGTCAGACGACCTATTTCTGCCCGACACCCAACACGGGTCATTAAAATACATGCAAAGTACAATCGGGCCATGGGTCGGCAGATGGAATGACGATGGATGGAGCCGACCCGCAGGCCTGGGAGCTGAGGGGTCGCAAGATTGTGCAAAACGAATCGCACCGATTCTCGGTCCACCCGTGCCTTCCCGTTCCTAAGGATCGCTTGTCGGAGGGTCGGAGGCAATCACAATCCCTGGGCCTCGGTCTGGCCCAGCCGTGCACCCATTTCCACCGCCACGCGATGTGCTCATGGTTGGCATGGTGGGCTCGCCCGTTCACGCGCAATTGCACGCAACCGGCAATCGCGGCGGGGCATACCGCGGATCGGCGAGCTAGCTCGTCAAACGACGCTAGCTTAGGCCATATGAGACACTAGCGTCTCGAAGGTGAGGAAGGTGACCATGTTCGTCTGTAACGGGGTCAGCACTAAAATCTTTGCGTTCGAGAAGACTGCAAGGGGAAGAATGTTTCAAGGTGGTCGAGATTGCCAGGGGGGCGGTGATCCGTGGGGTTCCAACGTGATCAGATCAGGGGGGGCGGATATAGAGTACTCACAGGGATAGCGCTGTTCAAACAAGTTTCGAGAATAAGGTTAGCTCAAGACTCACACACACAAGGCAGTCAATTAACGACGCGTCAGGCCAATGCTCTGTCTGCTACACACACCAACCCCGCCCAGCCTCACAACGACAGTAGGCGGCCCGCGTTCGGGCACGGCTGCGTACTCCGCCCCGCTGGAACACGACGCGAACTAAAGAACGTTACCGCCGGCTGTGAGACATCAAGCACAAAACGCGCCCTGATAGCTCCCTTGTTGCGGCGCGGAGTGGCTCAGTGGCCGGACAACGATTCCGCTCAGCCTTCTTGTGCCAGCTGCTGCCCTGTCACCGCTTGTGTAACAAGCTTTTAAACCTGTTCAAAGGTCACAGCCCTGGGCAACGCTTCCATACTCGCGGGCACCGTCGCGACGCGACTGACATGCGAACGCGGGGTACGCAAACAGCGCCAAGCTCGTTAAAGCTTTGGCCCAAGCCGTAACTGATGGCTAGACAGATCTGGCTCGGAGCGGCTTTGACTCTAGCTTACGCTCGTGACGGATGCGCGCGTCGTCGGGGCGACGGACAGCACCCCAGAGTGTAAAGCCAGCTAAGGCCCTCCTTGGAAGCTTCATCCCAACGGCCGGCGCGCTCGCTGTCCTCGGCCCGAGGACAATGCTTCGGAGATGTTATAGTCTGCCGAACCGTGTCCGAGCCCTCCAATCCACCGCGCAATCTCGCAACGCACGACCTCCAGACAGCACGACTCACCGGACTACGCAGGGCCACAACCCGCGGAACATGACGTGCCATCCCTCCTTTCGTACACTGTCGACCATGACGCGGCGTAGACCGAGTGGCTTGCTATTTTCGTCGGCACTCTGCATGCGTGTTTTCCACACATCGAAAGGGAAGGTAGCCTGAAATTAGGGGGTTGATCTTGCTGGTGCCATAGACTCACAACCCAAGCGATGACACCGGCGACACCACCGGCGGCCATCAGTTCAGCCCAGTTCAAGCCTGAGTGTAATTCCGCCTCGGCCTCGTCAATCAACCCGTGTCCATGCGGGGTGGACGGAAGTGAGCGTCGCCACTTCAAAAGGCGACAGGACGCCTCGTACCTGCTGTCAGATCCTGTGAACGCGTGACCTTATCCCCACTCCCTCCCTGTCCTCACTCCTCACTCACGCCCAGAAGTATGGTCCGTATGCAAGCTCGCGAATCACTGTCGCCGAATATCCTCGGTACAGACCACGGAGGCCGCCACTGCGGAGAATGCCGAGTGTCACAGTCAACACGTTAGGATTCAGGTGGGGTGGAAGCGACTGCTGGCGGATCTTGATGAGCTCGATAGGGCATGTAAGCGTGCTGTTGTCAGCTCCTATCTTCAACAAGAGCCGCGCACGGGCAATTCTGCCGGCCGCCACTCACGCGGCGATGACACCACTTCCCGCTCCGGCGAGGCAAATCTGACCAAGCGTGGGGTCGACACCCTCCTTGGGGATCTGGGCATTCATGAAGAACTGATAGGACGAGAAAACAATGCCGTTGACCTGGGGTTAGCCACAAGTTCAAGTGCGCGATCGCGGGCTGGTCCAGTCTGAAGGTGGAACTGCGTCCAGGGACGACCGAGATAAGATACGTACTCCGGCAATACCCGCCTGTTGTCAGCCACCACGCATGATTCCCTGCTCACCATCGGCGACATGACGCCCTTGAACATGCCCCTAAACCCTTCCTCGCGCAAAATTGCGCCTGTGGTCAGCTGAATACATGTAAAATGTAGAGCCGAAAACATGTCCCAGATCCCATCACGCAGGTGTGGTGCACACGACCGCCCTTCATACTCCACAACATCCAGCCTCGCTGTTCAGATCTTGAACATCAGGAGGGCTCATCAATACGACCATGCTGGCGGTTACTCGCAGCACTGACGTCCTTTGTGCTCTGCGCCCTTTGGATAAGGGGGCGAACATTCCAGCTCGCCGAGAAGATACTCACGGAACGCCTGGTGGATGCTGGTGTATCTCCCACTGTATGACGTGGTCTGGTATCGTACTTTGACAACATCGAACGGCTGGCCCACGATTAGGCCGGCAGCGCCTGGCGTCAGCGTCGTGTGAGGGCATACCAATCTGTGAGGCAGGAAAGAGGTTTCGATCGAGATGAAGTCACGGCAGTAGGAGCACCCCAAGCGGGGTGATGAGAAGCACGTTGATGATGGAGTGCAGAAAAGGCCGATGCCACCTCGCCAGCTCCCCTTCCCCTTCTCCCAGCCTGTTCACCCTCCCAGTTGCGCTCGGCAGAGGGTGGCTGATACTGGGCCGCTTACAAGCGATGCTGTCCGTAACCCAGGCCGTGGATATGGCAATGAGGCCACAGTGACGCCTCTTACAACTCGATGAACCCCTCACTGCACCGCAGCGCGGCTCGTCGTCAGACGCGCGAACACCCTACTCACCAGCAATGACGCCGGCGACGAAGTCGACTGTGGGACTCGGCGTTTCTGATGTCAGCAAAGAAACAGAGCAAGCAAGAACAAACTTGATGTGTCCTCGCTCATGATGGAAGAGGATGTGTGAGACGTCAACAGCTGAGTTGACGGAATGGGCTGAAGGTCGCAGCGGATACGTCAATGGCAGTAAAGTTGGGCGTATCGTGTGGGGTGTGGGGTAAGGCGCGGGGTGATTGGACGCGCTAGGGGACTGGAAGGCAGGGCGAGCTGGGGTGAGAGACGTTCGTATCGACGCGCGGTATGGTGTGGAGCTTGCAGGGACTAGGTAGCGTCGAGCGCGGATGGAGTGGTGAGGCGAGCTGATTCCACGGAAAAGTGAGCGCAGACAGTCGCGTCCACGCGGACGCGCAAGATCCGGCGTCGTGTCGCGCGCGGTACACGGCAATCATCCCGGCGTCACCGAGGTGCGTCACACATTTCGAGTGTCCACAAGCGCTTGAACCCGTGGTCACCGTTATCTCATATCTCCCCTTGGCCTTGCAGCCTCCGGCCTCGCTCCTCCCCCTCGCCGTACGCCGCCAGTACCGCCGGCACGAGAGCAGCGCTCGATTGATGAGCCCGATGTGGGGTTGGTGGGGGTGGTTGGCCGCGATTTATATTACCAGCTTTAGGAGCAGGTGCGGCCAGCCACGTGGCACCAATATCGTCATCATCGATATCGCGATCGTTGTGAGTAGTGATCGTCATATCGCCATCTCATAACCAGCACTGAGCATCGTTCTCGCCGCAACGCAGACTACTCCGACTTGTCACCTCGTTTCGTCCGTCTCCTTGCCCATCACGCCTATACTAGGAGTCGACTCAACGTCTTCAAGCGACCTTCCACCCACTGCGACGGTGCAGCGCCGCCCACCAGAGCGCAAGCACATCCTCCCCTCCCTCCTTCCCCCGTCCTCCCGTCGCCATGAACCTTGACGAAGAAGTGCGACTGTACACAACTAACGCGGAGCGCGAGCGCACGGAGAATCTGGCGACGCTGTACAGCATCATCGTATCGCTGGACCTTCTGGAGCGCGCTTACGTCCGCGACTCGGTCACATCGAAGGACTATGCGCCAGCATGTACACGCTTGTTAGCGCAGTACAAGAGCTTGATGAAGCTGGTCGGCGAGGAGATTGGCGGCGTCGAAACGTTCATGAAGCGGTATCGGGTGAGTCTCGCTGGGCCATCTTTCGTTGCCTCCGTTAACACCAGATGGACCATCCCGCCGCACTGCATCGCCTGACGGTTGGCGTGCCAGCCACGGTCGAGCACTCGGCCGATGAGAACACTGGAGATAGCGCCAAGAACGTTGCAGAGGCTACTCAGGCGTTCATCACATTCATGGACGCGCTCAAGCTCAACTTGCGCGCCAAAGATCAGTTGCATCCGCTCCTCACCGAAGTCATGGCCGGTTACGCCAAGTTCAAAGCGAGCGCCGAGTGGGAGGGTCGAGCCAAAATTATCCACTGGTGCGAGGTTCTCCAGACGAGGCTGACGTTAGGCTCATCACGCTCAACGCGATGCAAGCTGCAGACGAGATCACGGAGGAGCAGTCACGACAGATGCTTTTCGACATCGAGAACGCGTACAACGAATTCTTCCGGTCACTGGGCAAGGCATAGGGTAATATACAGTGTCATTAATTGTGTACAATCTAGATAACCAGAGGAGCGGGATACGACGCGAAAGGGAAGGAGCAGGCTAAAGCTCGACGTCGAGCTCAAGGCCGAGCTTCTGCGTCATGGCAGCCATGTAATCCGCTGCCGGTCAGCATTGTCAGGACGAGTAACTCACTCATGTGGGCCTCGAGCAGCTTCCATTCTTTGACGAGCTCGGTGTGGTGTCGTTCGCGCTCACGCGCAAACTCGGCCGTCTTGAGGTCGTACTCGTGCGCCTCGCGCTCGAGGCGCGCGACCTCCTCACCCTCCGCCATGCGCTCAGCCTGCAGCGCAGCACGCTGGGCGCTGAGCTCACGCTCCCGAGCCTCGAAGCGCTCCCGCTCACGGACCCGATCTTCGGCGAGCTTGTCAAACCGCCCCTTCATGTCCTGTAGCTTGCTCTCAAGATGCGCAGCTTCGCGCTCTAGGCCGTGCAACTGGTTTTCGAGGCCGCGGATCTCGTCCCTCCGCTCGCTGTTAGCACGGCGCTTCTCGTCCGCCTGGTCCCGGAACGCGATAATCTCCTTCTGCACGCGGTTGAGAGCAGCCACTCCTTCTGCGATCTCGGTAAACACGCGCAGGCGCAGTTCGTCGGCGCGGAGGTGCCCGTCCAATTCGTTCTTGAGCGCGCGCTGCTCCGCCAATTGCCGCTCCTTGTCGGCGATCCCCCGCCGCACGCGGTCGGGCGAGCGCATAAGCTTCGTCTGCGCATCGGCCACCGCTTGCTCGAGCCCGTGAAGCTCCTCCGTCCGGCTGCGGTGTTCCTGGCTCAACGCAAAGCGCTCCTGTTTCAGCCGCTCCACCTCAGCCGAGACGGCACGCTGCGTCGTTCCCAGCTGTAGAAGCTGCTGACGCAGATTCTCGTTGCGTGCACGCGCTGCTTCGATGCGCGGCACGTCCTCTTCCCGCTTCGCCCTGCTGTCAGCGCTTATCATAGGCGTGCTTACTTGATCTCGGCGATCTCAGCGTTGATATGATCCAGCTTGCGCCGTAGCTCGTCCGCCCGCGTCTGCTCGCCGTGCAGCCGCTCCGCGAGGGCTTGTTGGAACCCTCGCCGCTCCTCCCGGAACTTGGCGAAGTTCATGATGCCGCTGAGCACGACGCGCAGTCGCAGCTGGTCCGGCCGAATGAGGTCGGCGAGGTTGAAATCCTGGACACGGCACAGGTCTGCGAGTCGCTTGCTGCTGTCAGCTTGGTAAAACTCCATCTTACCAATGGTTGTAGAACATGATAGCTCCCAAGGTGTCCATATACAACTCGGGATTGGCCATGCCTTCGGTGGCCGCAAGCTTGGGCTGCTCGAGCATCTCAGGCGAGATGTCCATCAGTTCATCGAGTAGAGCCGCCCAGATTGCGTGTGTCGTTGCCGCAGTCGGCTTGGTCAAATCGTCGGGGTGCACGGTGATGCCCAGAGCTTCCATGCAGTCGCGGATTTCGCTAGCCGCCATCAGAGGGAACCCCGCGAGTGCCTTTGCGTCGGCCTTGCGGGACATGGTGTGTGTTGTTGCGGGTGGGTTCAGACGCGTGGAGGACGGTGGTGAGATGGAAAGACCGAGATGAGATAGTGGACGCGCCTGACCTTTGTTTGTCTCGTCCAACCCAAGGGATCCGAGTCACGTGGTGGTATCATGACCCATTAGTCCTGACTTGCCTCCGCTAATAAAACTTGCTCCCGCTATTAGTTGTCCGTCTCCTCTCTTATCTACAGACGTGATTGCCTTCTTGGGGACACAAACAAACGGTGGGCCACCCCATTTGCAGCACTCTCAACCGTTGTCAACACCATCACATAATCCAACATCTGATACCATGGCGCCGCGCATCAAGAAGGCGGAGCGCCGTCCGTCTGTGTCATACCTTACGGATACGCTGCCGTCCGTGCTCCCGCCCATCTTCGAGCAGGCGCAGAACACGACCGCCAACCACCGCAAGAACATCGTGCAGCTGTTCAAGGTGCAGAGGACCTGCGCCGAGGTCACCGAGGAGACGGAGAAAGGCATACGTCTTGTCGGAGAGCGGGCGTTCAACGCTCTTTTCATCAGCATGATCAACCGCGTGCTGCCGGTCAAGAAGGGAGTCGCTGTTGCCGATCGCGTCGTCAAGTTTGTCGCGAGCTACGTCGCTTATACTACTGAGCAAGGTGAGTCTGATATATTTGCGTCGATATCTGACAGAAGATACAACCGAAGAGGAGGACGGGGACAGCATGTCCCAGCGCTTCGTTGCCAAGCTCGTCCGGCATCTCTTGGCTGGCACTGAGGCCAAGGACAACAGCGTGCGTTTCCGCGTCACGCTGATGCTGGCCTCTCTCATCAACGGCCTTGGAGAGATAGAGTGCGTAATTTACCGTATTTTGAGCCAGCCTAACCCTAGCGACGACCAGTATGTTGCCCTCAGGCAAGGGCTCCTCGACAGGGCGCGGGACAAGGAGTCGGCAGTTCGGGTGCAGGCAGCCCTCGGTCTTGCCAAGCTTCAGGCCGGTGAGAACATCGACGATCTGGAGGAGGGCGAGGAGTCTATTGCCGAAGTCATTCTTGATCTTCTACGCCATGACTCGGCCGCGTGAGTCCATTGCACGGCTCGTACTGATGGAAGTGAGGTGCGCCGTGCTGCACTCTACAACCTTCCGCGCACCAAGGACATACTGCCCGTTATCCTCACACGGACGCGGGACATTGACCCCGTTCTGCGTCGCACAGTTTACCATGGGAGCCTCGGCTCTGCTTCTCTCCCGGATGCGCGTGTCCTCACCATAGCTCAGCGGGAGGAAGCGGTCCGCAACGGCCTGGGCGATCGCGAGCCGAGTGTCCGCAAGGCCGCCGCGGGAATGATTGCGGGCTGGTTTGACCAGGCCGAGTGTGACTTGCTCCAGTTCCTCAACCGCTTTGACGTGGTCTCGAGCGAGGTCGCCGAGGAGGCTCTGCTTTCACTTTTTGTCACCCGCCCCGAAACGCTTGAGAGCATTGACTTCCCGGACGAATGGTGGATTAAACTCTCGCCGGAGAAGGCTTTCCTAGCCCGAGTGTTCGCCGAGCATTGCCTGTCGCTCAAAGACGAGTCGCGTCTTGAGGACGCTATGCCTGTCGTGACTGCGCTCGCATTCCGCATCCAGGACCAGTACAATGAGCTCGTTTCCGTTGCGGGGAACAACGAGGATCCGCAAGAGAAAGCTTTCATTGTCGGCGAGCTCCTCCGCCTCGTTCTCACTTTCGACTACGCGGACGAGACAGGCCGACGGAAGATGTTCGCCATGTCGCGGGAGATGATCGCCATGCCAGACCTTCCAGAGGCGCTCATTCCCCGCTGCCTCGACGTGTTGCAGAAGATCTCGACATCCGAGCGCGATTTGATCCGCCTGATTGTCGACGTCGTGACTGAGTTGCGTGAAGGCGACGGCGACGTTGAGGATCCTGAATCGACTGGTCGATCAAGTGCGGTGGGCGCAGCGCGCCCGGTCCCAGAGGAACAGAATGCGGCTGTAATCGACTTACGCTGCCTCAACATCTGCATTGGACTGCTCGAGCGTGTCAACACGCCGTTGCAGGAGAACTCGGTCTTCCATGGCCTGCTGCCAGACTTGATCATCCCCGCCGTCCGAACAAAGACTGAGCCAGCACTCCGCGACCAAGGCCTCGTTTGTCTCGGTCTGTGCTGCATGATCGACGAGAAGATGGCTTCCCAGTCTTTCGGCCTCTTCATTCAGCAGCTGACTGCCGCCGATGATGAACTCAAGGTCAAGGTCGTCCAGATCATCTTTGACCTGTTCATGGTACATGACATCCCAACGCTGCTGGCCGGCATCATTGAGCCACACCGCATCGTCGAGCTCGTGCGGCACATGGTGCTCCAAGACGCTCCAGTCGTCCAGGCGGCCGCTATCGAGGGTGTCGCCAAGCTCATGCTCACCGGCATGATCGAGGACGCCGCCGTGCTTCAGACCCTGGTCATGCTCTACTTCTCGCCCGACACCGCAGACAACCAGCCACTGCGCCAATGCCTCACTTACTTCCTCCCCGTCTACTGCTACTCGTCGAGTGCAAACCAGGCGCGCATGCTCTCCATCTTCTCCGACACGCTCATGCACGTGTCCACATTTGCGGAGGACTTTGAGGGCTCGCCTGACCTCCTCCCGCTCGCGCAAATGGGCCTGATGATGGTGGACTGGATTGACCCGGAGAAGGCAGTGTACGTCGGCGCACAGCATCTTTCAGCTGACGATAGCGGTAGTCACAATGACCACGGACTTCATCTCGATCTCGCAATCGAACTTCTCAAGCTCCTCCTCACAGAGACAGCGCGGGACATCCGCAAGGCCGTCACCGGGTACTTCTCCAAGCTCAGCCTCCCTGAAGAAGGTCAGGCAGACGCATGGAAGACCAAGGCGGCGTTCACCCTCGCCCAAAGTGTCAAGAACGTGAGTTATGAAGTCTGAGCAGCCCTGCTGACGCCAGAAACGGCCCTTGTCAGAGGCAGCTCCGCGCAAGGCGTTAGACAAATTCCAGGCTACGCTGCTCAAGCAGTACCCTGAGCTAGAGGGTTACGACGAGGACACGTTCCGTGCCGAGGGCGACGAGAACGAGGCAACTGCTGAGCTGTGGGGGTTCATCGACGACGTGTGAGTGCAATGCGTCTGCTCGCCCTAGGAGCTAGCTGATTGCAGTGACGAGATTGTCGAGTCCCCCGTCAAGCGTGGAAGTCGGGCCACATCTCGCGCACGGTCCTCAGCCACTCCGAGTGGTGCATCTGACTCAGATGTGCCAGCGAGGTCACGGCGGATACCACAGACTGTTGTGGAAGAGGAGGAGGACGATGACGTGGACGCCATGCTGGACAGTGATTAGTTTGTATTCCTGATACCAATTGTGACCTATAGAAATCTGAGCAGGCAACTCGCTCGCACGAACCCTCCACGCGGCACCAGCGAGATCTGCAGCACAGAGTCATATGAGTCGCGATCGCGCCCCGCTTCCGTCGCAAATCCAGAACCAAGACCGATGCTTCCAGGGTCTGTGATTAGCCACCCATCGAGAGCATGGCCAAGGCTCGCCACTTAGCTCACAATCAGTCCGAGATCCACACAATCTGGCGAACTCGATCCTTATTAGCCGCACCCGCGATCGAGCACGGCCATCGTTAGCGTGTCCATCGGAAGATCGACGCGATCTACGGAGCTGTTGACAGATGAGGGGAGTCGGGATTCCGTCGGGGTAAGTGTGCCTCACGAGCGTGGAGTGTCTGCAGAATCCGTATCGCTGTTCGGTTGCCATGCCCGGTGTGGAGCTATCTGAAGCATCCCGCGTTGCACTGACACCGGTGTGCTGGAGTTGGCTTTCTCGATGCAATCTTTGCATCATGCCTACGGATAAAGGTGACGAGATCCGGCGGAAGCGGTGCAATCGCCGTCATCTGACCCGAAACGCAGGCTAGATCAGGTCCAGAGCCCAACCTGGCTGGACACATGAGCTGGATGATAACCTCGATGCGGCGTTTGCATACGGGCACCTCTACGTAAGGTTCAGAACGGACATGCTGCGCCCATGTAGATGCGCATGTTGGACGCGGGCACCTCGATGATTTTGGCGCGGATGGTCTCGAGCCCCAGCCGCTTAGTGGCTTCGTATCTGCCGTCAGTGTTTGTGCTTTGCAAGTTCCCGTGGCATGCCGAAGGCGCGTACCGGTGACAGCCGCCCATTGCAAAGTAAAAGTTCTGCGGCGTGCGTGTGGGGTCGTTCTTGAGGGGCGCGCGCACCTTGACGACCTCGATTGGCGTGAACACGTCCCCGGTCTTGCGTTAGTGGATCCCAGTGGGCGAGGGCACGACATGCCCTGCGAGTCGCGCACGGCTCCGGGACGAGTCGTGTTTGAGTCGCGCTCTGGCGATGCCGCTTCGTTGTCTAGGTGAACTGCGAGCTCACCCTCATCTCCTCCATGAAGGCCTGGACTTTGTCCTCGTCGAGCTCGGACGGCAGCGGTCGGTGAATCACACGCATCGGCACGTTGTGGACCGGAGCGCTGTCGGCGCGCGCGAACACAGAGGATGTCGGGCGGTCTTGTGTTGCCGCGCTGCCATCGCCAGACTCGGCATGTCCGTCGGGCACAGAATCGGGTTGGAGATTATCGCGTGGTGTCTGGCTGGCAGCTGTCGGAGCCGACTTGAGCTCATCTGGGATGCACGACGACATGTTACGGCTGAGATGAGTACAGTAGACCCGGCGGAAGGGGCGCGAAAAATTAGCAGTGTACGGAGTTGCAGAGTCGTATGCGGTCGGGGAGGACCAGTGACGAGGACATTGCAGCGCAGCAATTGCGCGGCGTCGTGTCGGCGAGTGGATGAGTCATGAGTCATAGCTCGGCCGATGTGACTAAAGTTGACGAGCCTCGTTCAGGACCGAAAGGCACCTGTGCCAGCGCTGCTGATCTGCTGACCGCGTGGCCTCGTGGCTGCGTGCGCGCGTTGCTGTTCCGACACCGCCTTTAGATCCCGTCATAGGGTAATAGACCCTGCAAATTAGAGATGTTATACAACCATTAGCGCGACGATAGTGGGGACAACCGTAATGGTGTTAAGCTCGGCGTGCTTGTCCATGTAGTACGGCATGCTCACCTCAGCCACCCGTCAGGCCAGAGACCAGAGAGACCCCACCTCCCACCTCCTCCACCCATTGTCTCGCTGGCTGTGCTCGAGCATCGCCACCACCCCTGCCTGCAGCGCCCACAAACGTCTGAAACTACCAGCCCTGGTCTGTTCATTGCTCCATCACTCTCTCTCTTTCTCTCGTTCTGCGCTACTGTCCACATCCGGGATCGGCAACACGGCAACATTGCGGTGTCGTAACAAGCGGGCCAAGATGGACGTGTTGCTTGAATCACTCCTGTCAGGAAGGAGGCAGAAGAGATTGGTCGATTCGAGCTCACCTCATCCGCCCATAGAGGCGGGGGTTTTTGTCCGACCAGACTTGCTCTCCCTAAGATGCAACCCCCTCCCCTCCTCTGCATTTCTCCTTCATTCTCCAATCTATATTAACTCGCTTTGCTGGACTCAGCACCACCCTTTGCATCCCAGAGATGTACACCGGGCTCACCTCGCCGGCGTCGTCATCGATTGACTCGCCCACTCCTACCCCACGCCTCTCCGCCATTGATTCGTGGTCGCCCCTGCCATCGCCTCCGCCCTCGTATACCTCGAGCTGTAATCGCTATCGGCAGGGACGGTATCGGCCCTATACCACCAACTCTAACAATCCAACCAAGTTTACCCCGCGTCTCGTCCCCACGTCCACCCTGTCTCCCACCGACAAAGCTGCACCCATCGTCGACGACTGTGGCCCGCGACGCCGTCAAACATACCCTCCCCCCCGTTACTCCAACTACACGTACCAGCACCGCCAACACTCCATGCCCAGCCCGGCCCATCGGCCATACAGCGCTCCGGCTCCTACTCCGCCCCCGCTCTGGGCCCCCAATGTCTTCTATAATCGCGGTAGTCTCGTCTGGTATGCTGGCAGTGTCTGGAGGTGCGACACACCGCACACAAGTGGAGACTTGGCAAGAGAGGTGAGACAAGGAAACAACCGCATGCATATGAACGCCACTTACGCCCCAGCCAACAGAGAGCTTGCACCTCTGGACCCCGGTGGGCAGCTCCCTCGTTTCGGCGCCAGGCGGCTATGCTCCGCCACCGATGTACCACCTGTCTACACCACCACACATGCCCACGCGTCCGCGCACTGCCCCCGCAAGCGCCGAGCGCGCTCGCTCCAGCGCACTGCTTGAAGATACCGATGCGTCGCGGAACGTCACGTATCTGCACGAGGAGCTGTCGGGAACAAGGGTATGGCGCGTGGGTGGCGTTGGGGTATTCGCCTATGCGGAAGACGTCCGCGCCGAGCGTGTGCGTCAAGCGGCCTGGCGGGAATGGTCGGCGACCAACGGACGTGAAGAGTGGTTACAGGCAGCGCGAGCACGCACGACAACATACGTGGCCGCGCATGACCAAGGACGCTTGCGTCCATTGGTGCGCTGGCATCTCGTCGAAGGGCAAGACCCTCTCCCACCAGACGCCCTCCCCGTCGGCCGCGAAGGAAGTGGAGCCGTGCTCTACTCCGCGCGAACGTGGCTCAGTGGCGGCGTCGAGATCGGAAAGTGAGTGCATATTTGTATCGGCGGCTGATGGCAGATGTGGGACGCACATTCGCGGGCGGAATGCGTTCACGCTGGACGGCGAGGAGCTCGACGTGGCTTTCTTCGAGGTGCTTTGTGGGCCACCCGACGTCGTTGAGTGGGTGCCCTTCGAACGGGGAACGAGTGCCAATCTTCCGGGGTGGCAGCCGGTCGAGGGCGCCCGCGACCGAACAAACCAGCGCGCCGTGCTGATCGCACGCGCCAAACATGAAGGGTACGTCCCCTGGGAACGGGAAATGCTGGATCATAGCTGACGTATAGAGGCCTGCAGCCTGGCAGTGAGTCGCTTATGGTGTGGCGAGTGGCGCCCAGGGTTTGGTGTTTTGGAGGCGACCCTGCCGCAGTCAAGGCTTGACTGACACCAGAATGCCTCGTAGACGACGACCACGCCTGCATCCCCTTCGGCGGGCAGGACTCTTGGGTCACCCCCTTTGAGGTTCTCACGTACGCTGGCATATTTAGGCGCTAGCTCTGCATCCCACTGGGACCGCCGTTAGCCGTTGCTGCCTCGCCACGGCGTCATGCTCCTTGCATCTTCGCAAAAATGGGATCTGAATCCCAGGACACTTCCGACCTCTCCGACATTGTCCTCAGCTCTGCGTGACCAGCATCCCTCGCTTTACCCTCCTATTTGCCGTTGGTGGCTGGCCCAATGCCCCTGTCGATCACCCTCGCGTCGGTTCCCTATGGACTCCAAGCATAGCATAATTACCCCGACTGGCCCGCAATACCTCGTCGAACCGACGGGCCTGCCCTGGTGTCTCAGCGCCACCGCAAAATGTATCATAGTTGTAGGTGAAGAGATGTACTCTCTAGGTCTCTTGGTCTGTGCGAGCGGGTCCGTATGGGTACGTAACGACTGCCGGTGGCAAGTAGTGGTCCGAAGCTACTTAAGCATTCGGAGTCAAAGCAGACTGACGGTGGAGGTCATCCTCGGGTGCGCCGACGGCCATTCACGTCCGTCGTTTGCCAAGACTGGAATCAGACAGCTACTCCTTGCTTCTGGAATGCAGCATCTTCCACCCCCTCCGAAGAAAGCGGACAGACCAAAGCTTTTACGGGAGCTCCGATTGCTTCTAGACAGGCTGGGGCAGCTTGCCAACTCCTGGCCATGCAGGGGCGGCAAGCGGGAAGGAGGGTGGCGCAATGTGAAACTGTGGCGAGGTTAACGTCATTAAGCATACCCTGGCGTCTCCGGCCGAAGTGAGGGTTGGCATTCGCGCTGCATCCGTAAATCACTGCAGATGCATGCCTGGCTTTTGGCTCTGCCAGATTTGGGCGGGAGTGGGGCTTAGGGGCCAGGAAGATATTGCTCGTCGCTGAGCAACTTGCCGTCGCTTAGCACATGGGTCACCGCCCCACCACAAGGCGGATCCAGGCCCGATCCCGTGTCCGGTCAGCTGGACTCTTTCGCAAAGACGACGGAAGTCCGCGCCTCTCTGCGCTACACCTGTTTATCCGATTGCCGTCACTTCCCCGTGGTCTTTGCGCACTGTTGGTATGCACAGATGCCGTCTTAACTTGATGCCTTCACAGGCTCGGGAAAACGGACTATCAGAGAGGCGGTGGCGGGGACAGGGCCCATGGCACGAGGGGGTGGCTGTGGCAATCAGCTGTTAGCCTCTAAATATTTCCATGAACGTCTGGACTGCCTTCGGAGTGGGTTACTGAGCAAGTGTCTCCGGCGGGAGAGCAGCGGAGTAGCTATGTAACGGAGTGGATGTGCTGCACGGTCTGGTGAAGGCCGCCCGAGGTTGAAAGACTGCCCTTGAGGAGTCCGGGATAATAGCACCTATGGCTAAGCTGCAGGGGCCTTGCATCTCGGTACACTACCTCGACTTTCGCTGACAACCCACGCCCATGTGCGGCCTACGGATGTCCAAAACGTTAGCGTGCACGAGCTGATCAGGACGCTTCACCACCTGTCGCCCCGGTCTTAGATGGCTCTCTAATAGAACGTAGGTTAGCAAAGAGCGGAGGGCGTCTTCAGCAGTTCATTTAGTCATCCTTCTGCAGGAACGCATCGCCTATCGCCCCTACCTCAACGTGCAGCAGTCTTGTCTTCCCGTCCACTTCAGTCCCTTCGGAAAATGGCCTCGGCTACTCACTACTAGCCCACAGTGCAATTGTTCTGTGGACGTCGAATGGCTCGAGGGCGGTAAAGCCTCATATAGTGACTAAAAGCAGTTCCGTTCCCTACCCTCAATATTGCGATGTGCGGGAAAACATTGGGACGTCGCCCTTCATCATCTCAGCGCTGAAGGTCACAAAAAATTGCGGACTGCTCTCTAACATTATGCATAGGCGTCGACAGCGTCCAAGACGCCTCTGACCGCAAGGTACTCGGCGGGGACATCATCGTCTATTCAGCGTCGAGTTTCAAGTTCGGCGCCCTTGTGGTCATAATTCACTCCAAGTGTGGGTTCAAGTTGAAGCGGGGCAGTCATTCCATTGACGTTTGTTAAAGGTGAGACGTTTTCCTGGTGGAACCCCCTCCCCAACTTCGTCCATCCGTCTCCCTGGCTACCAACTTTGCCCGATCTGTCTTTCACTCCAAGAAGCTACCACGCAGCAATGCTCTCCGCCCTTAACAACCCCGAAGGCCCAGAAAACTGATTTCTGCCCATTTAACACATCGTGCTGGTGGCGGCGACGCTCATACAAGTAGTTGGCAACGCAACTCAGCTCTCGATTCGCCGGTCACACGGTCCTCCACCACTCCCACATATTTTGCGCCCAGAAGGTGCGTCCTCTTACTGGCAAGCTCTATACATGCAAAAGATGACTATGTACACTGATTCCTGGTCGTCACCAAAGGCCATTTCCGACCATGCAATGCCCCTTAGACCTCTCAAATCTCCGTTTCCTCCACAACGCGTCTGTTGCTCTCCTCAACCTCCATGCGACGCCACTCCGCCAGACTTGACGAGTTGACCACCCAGATACGCGCGCGCCGAACCGCCTCCTCGGTGTTTGGTATGCCCTCCGTAACACCCGCCTCGCGCATGACCTTGAGCACCGCCCCACGGTTGTTGGTAAGAACAGTTGCGCGCGTCTGAATGCCTGCAAGCAGTGTGCGCAACGTGTGCCCTGACGGCAGGCGCGAGGAGGCGGGGAACACAGTGCCGGGACGCAGCGGGTTCCTGCTTGCCTGCCCCTTTTCCTTTTTGCTCTTGATCTTGGGCTGATCGGACTTCTTCTTGGGCGGACGCACCGGCTTTGTTGGACCCGGCGTCGGCTCCCGAGACGGCGGCGTGCTACCCCCACTGGCCGCAATCATGCGCTCGCAGACGGCGCCAACGGCAGCATCGAAAGCCGTCTCAGGCTCGTGAACGGGCAGATCGCCGTCGCTGTCCTCGATAATGCGCACGTGAATTGCAGCAAGACACTCAGTCCCTTGCCCTTGCCAGCGCGAACCCTCCCAGAAATTGCCAGAGGACGGATCGAAAAGCGCCTTGGCGCGACGGCGCTCGGCTGCGCCCCCAATCACCTCCACTAACCCAGGAAGCCGGCCATACACCTCGCGTGTGCACCAGAAGCGAGGCGTCGTCACCCCGGCAGCGGTCAAACGGTCACGCAGCTCCCTTATTAGAGGCCGTGACATCTCCATTTGAAGCTGATCGCGCAGGTCGCGCGTCGCATTCGAGTGGGGGGCGAGGCTGAGTCTCTCTTTGCTCGTAGGCGTTTCCTGGTCTACGCGCAGCAGCCGGAAGCGTGCCTCAAGCTCGTCCTCATCCTTTGGAAGGGGATAATGTGTGGAGTCGCAGCAAAGAGCAATGAGCACGCTGAGGTCGAGCACGATGTCGGCCGCAGGTACAGCGTCGCTGGGACGCGTACCAGCTGGAGGAGGTGCGCCCCACTGGGCGGCAAACTCTAGCTCTATGCCGAGGTCACGAAGCGCTGCAAATGTCTTCGGTATCCTGGGATCTGGGTGGCCGCCCACAGGCTCCTCCTCGAGGCGGGTTAGGACGTAACGTATTCGTGGCTGTGCGAGGCCAGGTAGGCGAGTGTGATGCTGTGCGGCATCAACTATGGCGCGAGCCTGTGTGATGAGCGAGTTGGTGAGCTCGGCACCCGGTGAGGACCCGTTCTCGCCCTCCGAATCCGAATCGTAATCTGAGTTGATATATGAATCATGTTCTCGAAATTCGACCAGCAGTCGCGAGTGCTTCATTCTGTTATTAGCAACCGCCTTAGGTGTACCCACGTGTTCACTTTGATCCACTCATCGCCACCGGCAGCCACGACATCGACCTTGACAGACCCGGGCCCACAGCCGCGATCCATAGTCTGCCACACACCGACAAGTGGGCGGGGCGCACGCTTGAACGCGTCCCACACGCCCTGCAACGATACGAGATTGGTCGAGTAATCCACAGGCGGGTTCGAGGAGCCGAGAAGCTACTGTGAGCTTGTCGAAGCAAGCGCGGCTCTTGGCGCTGCCGCAGCCTCCAGGACTCACTGCATCAACGATGGCGCTCTCCTTGTGAACATGGTGCAGGAATTTACTCAGTCCCAGAACGCTCAACTGAGCATATTCGTCCGGGTGATGCCAATCAATGACAGGCGGAAAGTAACGATCTCCCTCGGGTACGTCTGCCAGGTACTCCTCGATCTCGCGCGCCAAACCCCGCAGTTGTTTGCCGACGGCAGCGAAGGCGCTGCCTTCGGTCATGGTGGTTGCGATGTAAAGGAAGAGGAAAGGAGACGTATGGCAGAAGGAGCAAGTTTAAATGGTCCTCTCAACGTCTGTAGGAACGGCTCGCTCTCGTTGCCGTTGGTGATGATGGTGATTGACACTCGCATCGATGCTCGCGCGCATCCAGTCCAAGTTGGTGCACCTCCACCGGCCTAATCAGTTGAATGACACCTAATAGGGGCATTTGTTTCCGCACGCAACCAGAGCACATGGCTAACCATGACGCAGATGGCGAATTCCAAAGGTGTCAACAAACCACCACCACGACCACCACAATGACACTCTCTTATGAGGAGCAGCGGCAGCAGAACATTGCGTTCGTGTTTTACGGGACCTGCTGACGAAAGGGACAATGAAGCGCTGCTCAAGTCACTCGGGCTTGACACGCCTGTTATCCCGACGGCAAAGGTCAAGCCAAAGCCAAAACCAAAGCCGAAGCCGAAGGCTGTCGAAGCCGCTGATTACGAGGACAAGGGCAGCGAGTCTGATGACTCGGAGGGCGAGGTCATCCGCCTGCGGCGGAGCGCACGCGACCGGCGTACAATGAGTAGTGCTGCTGGTACCACAACTCGTGTCACAGCGCTAAACACCGCTCACCGACGTGCTGTGAGCCCGGACACAGACGACGAGAGGCAGCCGCTGCGTAAGGCGCAGCGTTTAGGCATTCGTACACAGGACCCGTGCGTTGCTTTTCCCATCGCGCCAACTTCTTTGCTCGTTGACACCAGACGGCAGTTCGGCCACATTCCCGGCGTCGCGGTGGGGACGTGGTGGGAGTCACGGATGGACTGCAGCACGGCAGCGGTGCACGCACCCCCGGTCTCAGGCATCTCGGGCGGCGCGGAGACGGGCGCGTACAGCGTTGCGCTTAGTGGAGGCTATCCGGATGAGTATGTTGTGATACAGGTTCCTCTACAGCGCGCGCCCCTGCTTACACAAGCGTCGACCTCGGCGAAGCATTTACATATACAGGCTCGGGAGGACGCGACCTGAAAGGCACGCGGGACAAGCCAAAGAATTTGAGAACAGCCCCGCAGACGTTTGATCAGAGCTTTGACAACAACTTCAATGCTGCACTCAAGACTAGCGCTGAGACCAAGAACCCCGTGCGTGTGATACGTGGTTTTAAGCTTGAGTCGCCATATGCCCCATCTGAAGGCTATCGGTATGATGGGCTGTACATTGTCGAGCGCGCGTGGATGGCCCCTGGTCTGACACGAGGCCTCAAGGTGTGCAAGTATGCTTTCAAGCGTTTGCCGGGACAGGCGCCGTTGCCGAGGCAAGACGATGATAACGGGGAGGAGGAGGAGGAGGGGGAAGAGGAGGACGTTGCGGATGTCATCACCGAAAACGTTCTCGAGGATAAACAAGAGGACCACGAAGGACTGTCGCCGCCGCGCAGCTCGACCCGCCGCATGCCTCGCAACCGCGCCTATGTAGAGCTCCCGTTGAACAAGCCCCAGAGCCAGACCCCCGCTCGTCGAACAGGCAAGCGCTTAACCAATGGTCATTCAACATCCACCGTCGAGGAGCCGAGCGACGCCAACAAAGTCACGCTCACGCGGCTTTCTGTTCTCGAGTCAGCTGCTGCGGATGCTGACATTGCTGTCGGAAATGGCGCCAAAAACAGGAGGAGGAGGCGCTCAAGTCCGAACTCTACGGCGACACCCACAGAACTACCCAAGGGCTCGCGGCGGCGCTCCAGCCGTTTGTCGACCGGTACGCAAGTCGCATCTCCAATCTCAAACGGAAAGCGTTCTGGCAGTTCTACGAATGCAGAGCCTAGCAAACGCGCTAAAAACCGCAACTCGCTGGTCTCGGACGCAGCACCCCGGCGTAGTAACCGTCGCAGTCTGGTCTAAGGCTGTCTGGCGTCTGGCCATAATGTCTCTTGCTTAGTATCTAGTGCCTCAGATGCCAAGTGTATCTCTGTTTCTGCAGCTAAATCGATTGTTCAATCGCTTGCTACAACAACCCAAACCCAGCACATATCGGGGAAGATCGTCGATATCGGGAATGGGTACATGCAAATACGGAAGGACAGCCCCGTCACCACCCCTCCGGCCCTCTACCACGACGCGCTCAACACTGCTCCAGGAACAGCTTAAACCATCTGGTGGATAAGCTTGGAGATGTGCTGCTCGCGGTTGCCAGTGTCACCGCCCTCGATGAAGCCGGTGAACTTGCGCTCGCGGAAGCCACCAGTGGGGTTGGAGAGCTTGAAGGGCCAAAGCGACTGGGTGGCCTGCTTGAAGTTGGGGCCGCAGGTGGCAATCTCGTGGACGAGGTCCTCCATGCCTGTCTGTCAGCTTGACTCATGGTGACTCGCGTCTCATCAGATACTCACAGACAATGCCGTACTTGCCGAGCTGCTCCTCAATGATCGAGTTGTCAGTGATGGGGATGCGCTGGCCGTTGATCTTAGCGTAACCGCGCTTGTAGACAAGCTCGCGGATAGCCTTGAGGTTGGGCTCGCCGTAGGCGATGTAGGGCTCAACAAGGCGGAGCATCTGCTCGGTAGCCTTGGTCACACGGACAAAGACACCGTTGTTGATCTGGAGGAGGCGGAGAAGCTGGAGGATCTTCTTGGGCTTGGGGGCAATCTTGGAGATACCCTTGAGGCGGATGGCGAAGTAGACCTTAGGCTGGGCCGGGACGTAGTAGTCACCGGTCTTGCGGGCCTCGCGCTTAAGGCGGACCTCCTCCTTCTCCTTGGCAATGTACTCCTTGACGTACTCGTCGGCGCGCTTGAAGATGACCTTGCGCTTGGCGAGGCGGGCCTGCCCCGTTTAGCAAAACTTTTTCCGGAAGTGTGTAGTTCGCGGTGGGGTTGTTGAACCAGTGCACTGGACAACATCGCAACAGCGTCGCCCAGCAAGGCTAACCGCTATTTGACAGAGACTGTCTTTGCAATAACGAGAGAGACCAGAGGTCTCTCCCGCCCCACTGCGAACTAGGGGTGGCACTCACCTTGCGGGCCTCCGACGCGGCAGCGAGCTTGGCCTCGCGGGTGGCCTCGTTGGTGCGGCGCTTCTTAAGAAGCGTCTCGGGGACGGCAATCTGCTATGGGGGTGTCAGCAACGAGCTGACGGCAGTTGTGCATGGTCGGCCAGGAGAGGAGATTGCGCGGCAAGGTGAGAGGTCCGCTCGCACGAGTTGAATATTTGATAGTCCGAGGACATGATCAAACACTTCACGACGCCGAAATCAATCGCACGATGATCACCGTCGCGCTTGTCGCTCGTCGCAGCGAGTATCTGCACTCCGATGCGAGATCACACCACCTCTCCAATGCCCTGCAAATTTCACTCCTCGCGCCTGCCGAGCGCGCGCGATGGTGATAAACGTACCTCGGCCGAAGCAACACTGTCTGTCAGTTTGTTTCTTCATCGTCACCGCCGCCGGGGTCACTCACGTCGTGGAGGGAGCCATCTTTGCTGCTGTTTTTGGGTTGAGGGATGGAGAGACGGACTTGGTGCCCAGCAGTGAATGTCGACCAGGGTGAAATTGTCGGCGTTTTGTGGCTGCCGAAGTTGACATCAAACTGTGGCACCGATTTGGTTCCGTCACAAATGCTCCCGTCCGAAACTCCTTACCAACTTCGCCGCATCCCAGGACCTTCTCTTCAACCAAAACCGCATCTCGAACGCTTTTCCTGCCAAAGGCTTAAACCGGTTAACGTCAAGATGGTGAGTCTCGTCGACTACAGCGACCGCGGCGAGGGCGCATCGGCAGCGCGGCAGTGCGCTACGGGGCGGCGGTTCGTGCGCGCCGCGCTGTCAACCGCCGGTGTCATTGACATGCCGGCCTCGAACCGGGCTTCCGTTCATGCCTGCACTCTGCCCGGCTCCTGGTGCTCTGGTGCTGTGGAAGGTGAAGGCTGGAAGCAGGCAGATGCGCAAGCACGCCGTGATGCTCTGTCTTCACCGCCCGCTCTCCCTCTGCGTAATGCGCCTCCCTCGAGTTGAATGCGCGGTCCCTGCCACAAAACTTTGAAGTCCACAACTAACTTGCAGTCTTCCGAGCTCTCTGCTGTCTACGCCGCTCTCATCCGTAAGTTGCCAGCAACGCGACTGCTCCTGCGACCTTCTGAGCCGGCCTCGGAATTGTGGACCTGATTATCCTCTTCGCAGCCACACATCCGAGTTGCCACATTGAGCGCAGAGCGTTGCCTACAGCCGAGCCGATGCTAACCTGCAGTCGCGGACGAGGGTGTCGAGATCACCGGTGACAAGATCACCTCCCTCACCCAGGCCGCTGGTGTTGAGGTCGAGCCCGTCTGGGCCGGTCTCCTCGCCAAGGCCCTCGAGGGCAAGGACGTCAAGGAGCTCCTCACCAACGTCGGTGGTGGTGGTGCCCCCGTCGCTGGCGGTGCCCCCGCCGCCGGCGGCGCTGCCGCGGCCGAGGACGCCCCCGCTGAGGAGAAGAAGGAGGAGGAGAAGGAGGAGTCGGACGACGACATGGTGAGTGGCTTAGTCTCCAATGTTCCACGAGCAATTGCTGACAATATCAGGGCTTCGGTCTCTTCGACTAAGCGTCTCCGTCCGCTTCGATTTCTGCTGGCCTCGGTCATGCACATACCTACATATGCATGATTTCTTCCTCACCTCTTGCCTCTGTTCTCGCTTTGTCGTCAGTAGGCCCTCATGCCTGCTTATCTAAAGTTTCTTGTCGCCCTTCCTTGCTCGTGTGCGCATTGTGCGTCAGTCTCTTGACGACTGCGGACTACACTCCCTCTCAAACGACTCCAGATGACCGGTTCATTAATACTCTACACTGATGATACATCACTGCTCCGCAAGCTGGGCAGCGTCAGCGGTCTGAGCAGATGCGGTGGACGACGCAGCTCGCTCCCACGGCTTTGGACGCGATGCCATCTTAGCCTCGCTGGCAGGCTCCTCGTTGAGGCCTTCGGGGATCTCGTGATGTGGCACCTCGCCGGCGCGTCCCGTCGAGATGAGGCGCACGACTTCGTCGAAGGGCATCTGTGGCCCGTCAGGCCCCGGGGCGGTCGTCTCGATCGGCCCTGGTGCGTTGGACGCCTCAATCTCCGCCTCGACAGGTGCATCAGCGGCCGGGACTGCCATCTCGGCGGCGACGGCGACGCGGTTCTCGATGCGCATGCCGCTGACGTCGGGCGTCGACGCCTCAGACTCGGTGAGCCCTGGGGTGGGGAGGGTGGAGCCGCCGGTGCTGGGCGCCCGGACGCCCAGCTCGGGGCGCGCCTGCGGTGTCGTGTCGCGCGGGGGTGGCGTGGTGTTGCGCGACGCCGGGATCGACGTGCACACCCGCTCCACGGTGATGCCCCCCTCACCGTCAGTGTCGAAGCGAGCGGGGAGAGCCGAGGCTACTGCCGCGGAGGCGCCCTGAGGCGGGGAGGGCGGGCGCGAGGAGAAGGGAGGTGGGTCGGAGGAGGGAGGGGCAAGGCCGTGCGCCCCGGTGAAAGCACCGTTGGGAGGTTGGGACTGGAAGGTCGGGGGAGCGGTCGGGGCGGAAGAAGCAGACGTGCCCGACGTCACTGACGAGCCCATGGGCACACTTTCGGTCTCCCCGGTACGGCGCTCGAGATAGACTTCGAATGGAACCTGCGTCTGTTGCTTCCTGGTGTTAGCTGGGTCAGTTCAGACGGCAGCTGGGCGTCGTATGCGGTGGAAGAGCTTAAGATCGGAAGGCCGGAGCCTTAGGTGTTCGCGGCGCGGCTTACCGAGTAAAGTAAAACCACTGGGCACGCGCAATCACGTCGTCAATGTCCGCCGCACTCGCTCCTCGCCCCTTGACGGACTTGATTACGGCGGGCAGGCCGGCCTGGTGTCAGCCATCCGTTGCTCGAGTAACGGCGGAAGCGACAGGCGGCATGGTGGCGCCGGCGTCGAGGGATAGCATGCCGACCGGTAGTCTCGCGACGCGGCGCACACGCTACTCAAAAGTTGCCACAGCATGTCGTCTAGCAGGTTGTCGACTCCGACTCCGCAGTCGCCGTCCGCAGTCCGAGTCGCGTCGTCACCGCCAACTCCACCGTCGGCCTGGACATACCCGGAACTCCTGATCGTTGCGAAAGTCGTGGGCCTCAAAGGCAGCGACAAGCTCAGTGATAGCCATATCGGCGTGGCCGCCGGACTCGGGGATGCCGACGGGCGCGGCGTGTGCGTGTTCTGATCCGGCGGACATGGTGACGGTGTGGATGGAAATGAGATGGGTAGCTTGCAGTTGGCCGGGCCGCTTGGCTTCGGTTGAGGTGGGGCGGGGTGGGGGTGGAATGTGGGGGATGAAATAAGGTGGATGTCACCGATGCGATTCCGCGGGCTGTTGCTCTCGACGCGACCGATTCCTTGTATGTCGACTGACGCGCTCCCTCGTGACGATGCGGACGCCGCGCGGAATGCATAGACCGGCGCGGAATTGTAAAGCTTTTGTTGATCTTATCATTTTGTTGATCTTATCAGGCTTTGCTAGGCATGTTGTTTCTTCGTGGAGCGGCGAGCCAGCATAAGAGGGGAGTGGCCGGTGTTCGGACCTTGATGCTCTTCCTGCGGATCACATCGCCGTCTGATTCTTCTGAGAATTCGCTACACGACAATTGATTTGTAGAGAACAGCGACAATCTCTTCTAGATGGATCGACTCCACTCCGGAGGGATCGGCGTCGATCGAAGCTGCCACAGATTACTGGAGATAAGATTAAGCAAAAGTCGATCAGTTTGCATGCAATGCAGCTGCGACTGCGAGAGGTCTGCACAGCACTCAACATACCGGCCTTGAAACTGCAATGTACAGTAGGTCGACCGCCTGGAGATTTGGAGCTGGCGACGGAGGGGGCTTCCAACGTTCAGGATGCATGCACCCGAAAATCATTCAAACTTCCTCCCACCATGGACACATCAGTCGCGAATTTGCGTCCGCGCCTCCCCCCACCCGAAGCGAACTTGGGGGTCGCAGGCACAGACCAAACAACGGCCGGTCCGGTGTAGTTCGTCCAACATGACCGATGTCTCGATTGCAGCTGCCGGCAGCCGAACGCTAATGCGGGCAAACATTATGCCTCATGCTATAAATGCACTGTCCTACAATACAGCCTGTCTAGGTAATGGGTGTCTGTCGTGTGCGGCCGCGGCACCCGGCGCGCGGCGTGATAGAAACAGGGGATGGACTTGCGTCCATGTGAGGAGTCTACTGCGCCTTTCCCTCGACCTCGGCGGAAAGGCTCTTCTGGCGGACAGGAAGAGCGGCAGGTTCAACCTGGACGATGGTCGAGGGGCGGACGAGCCCGCCATCGTTTCGCACGATCTCGTGCGTCGACTGCTTGCTGGCATGGCCGGTGCTCATTCCCTGTTCTGCGGCAGCAGCAGCGGCTGCGTTCGCGACCGCCTGCGTGTACTCGTAGTCATGGCCCTCAAGCTGGGCGGCTGCCGCGGCTATGGCGCCGGCTCTGGCCGCTTCCGAGTTCGGTGGCGCGGCAGAGTACTGCCCCTGCTTGGCTGGCTTGGCTGGCGGCTCTGGGGCGTTGTGAATTTCGGAAGGCTCAGACACGATGACTTGAGGGTATTGGGACGAGGACGTGTACGTCTTGTTGTAGGCTGGGGGCTTACTCGAGCCCGTGTCGATGATCAACGAGGGCCGGGGCGAGCGGTTGGTGGCGAGCTGAGAGGGTCAGTGCGGCACGGCGGTTCGTAACTCACCATGGGGACGGCCTCTCCTGGATCGGCGTCCGAGCGTGCGTCCCATGGGTCATCGATTCTCGAGGCCGTTGCACTGCGCGCCAAAGGGCTCGAGTCATACGGGCTCGAGTAAGACGAGTGAGAGCTCATCATGCTCGCGCGCAGGCTGCGCTCGGATGGGAAAGACGGGAGGAGCGCCGAGTTGTAGATCTGCGGACCGGAGACGCCCGACGCCAACGAGTCAAGCGTCGCGTAGCTGTCGCGCGTTGCGATGCTGCCCTGCTCCGAGAGGGCCATCATGCGGCTCTGGCGTATCGAGTTGCGCGCCTCGGCCTGCTTCCAGAACTTCTTCTCGCGCCGCTTCATGCGCACGCGCACAATGACACCGATGATGACCACGGCGACAAAGGCTATGCCAAAGATGGCACCGATGACGGCGGGAACGACAACCTTGAGGCCCTTCTCGCCCTCCTCGGTAAGCTCGCGTCGCTCGACGCCGCTTCCAGCGTGTTGTGCGGGAGCCATTGTGGTCGGTGATGTGGGAGGTGGTACGAGAGGGAGAGGAGTGTGCGATGCGAAGAGTGTCAAGTAAACTCTGGCGAGGGCGGCGGCGGCGGCGTGGCTGGCTGAGTGATGGTGTGGCGTGCGTGGGCCCCTCAGGTGGGTGTTTGCTGGTTTCCGCTGGGAAACGGAGAGGTGTTGTTGTCGAGCGCGCTTGCCGTTTGGCCGTGTCGATGGGCGCGGTACGAGGATGCCGGCCACTGGTAGCCAACAAGTAGAGAAAAGACAAGAAGAGACAAGTCGAAGCCAAATGAGAGTGGGAGATGGAGATGAGAGCGATGCCAAATGGGACGTGGCGTGGCCTTTGCAGAGAGAAGCGGGGAGCGAGTGACCAAGCCCTATATGGCCTATATGGATTTTGAGAGAGATCATCCATCCATTAGGGCGCTGCACCTTTGGCCAACATGTAACACACTCCCACCACAGCCCCAACCCCTGGCCCTGGCGCATTCCCAGCGCTCTCCGCTCTCCGCTCTCCGCTCTCCAAGCTGCAACTCTACAACAAGCCGCCGTGCTTCGCCTTTGCGCCTCGCTGCACGCCGCACGCCGCCTCGGGGCACCTGACCTCTGTGATGTGCAGGATGTGCGGGAGAGGGGCAGGGTACCAGCAGACCGAGAATCAATCCAGGAATTCTCCCTCAGGCAGCTCAGGCATCTCAGGAACCGAACGAGGGGATGTGGCACAGCCTACAGAGGCTTGGCAACGAATCAACAGCCATCCTCAGGGCATGTAGGGTATGCAGTGGGATGCAAATCCTCACTCATTCACAGCAATAATCAAGTGATTTACGACAGCTGGCAGTCCGCCATCGTCTTCTGCGTCTCCGCTGTCTCTGCTCTGTCTCTGCACCCAACGTGGCACTCTGGATATCGGGCCTCTTCTGCACTCAACATCATTTTGCTTTCCCGGCTCGCCCGGCAAACATGTACGGCACGCCGTGCCTCACCCAGGTGCTGCGTGCGTGTGCTCGCCCAGCGCGGGACGTCTCTGAGCTGCTCGCAATACTGTAGAATGGAACCTCGGATTGGTGCTCGGCTCACAGCCTTGGGACCCATCTTGCTAATTAATAAACCACTACCTACTCTCTACTTGTGCCGGATATGCCGGCAGTGCCAGCCACTCACATCGTCAGCTGATTGCCGCGTTCGCAAGTATGATATCGCAGACGTCTGACGTAAACTCGCTTGCAGTGCCTATGGAATCGACACCTGATACGGTTGCAACGCTCACTGCACTGACTCTTGCCTATTGCGAAATGTGAAACGCGTGCTGTACACATCCTGGTCGAGGACGTGAAATCAGCTGCGAGACGTGCACACACCACACGCTCCCGCGCTGGGTATCGGCTGTAAGCTTAATAAAAGGTCAAAACGGAATTGCTTTGCTCGTGGGATGGCGGACCCGATCGCGGAAGCGCACGACGCCTAGAGCTTAAATAGGCGTCGCTCTTGCAAAGGTCCGCGTGGGTTCAGCACCGTGCATGCATGCACAAGGCAATGTGAGTCTGGTCAGCCAAAGTGTGTGTCGTTTCATACATCGCACGCATCACAATCACCTCCAGGATGGCGAGGCAGTGGGGCGGAAGTCGAGGCGATACATTTCTCAGCGTGCCTGAGAATAGACACAGCACTAAGGTGTCCAACAATCTGTTCCGCTTCGTGGTTGATCGCGATTCAATTCCTCCTTCGGTTCCGATCTTCAAGGAACCCGAAGAAGTAGACCCGTCAGAGTGAATCGCGTTTGTGATGTGCGAGTCCAGTCACCGAAGCTGGTTGGAGTGAGAGTTTCAATCATGTACTGCGTAGTCATTCAGAATCTGCCAAAATCACGCCTCGATCGGAGCCCACCCCACCAACAAGATCGACAACTATTGCATTCTCCCCAGCTTAAGCAGGGGATGCTAGATGACAATTTGATCTCGCTTCTTCCCTCGGCTTACGCAGACAACAGTCAAAGGCTTAAGCCGCAACGTGCCAGTCAAGCTTGTCGGCCCACTCCTTCTTCTTGAGAGTGAGGAGGACCTCCTCGACGTCCTTGGCGCCATTGCCCGAGAGACAGATAACGACGTTCTTGTCCTTGGGCAGGGTCTTGGCGAGCTGGAAGCCACCCCAGAGGGCGTGACTTGACTCGAGGGCGGGAATAATGCCCTCGTTCTGCGTGAGCCAGCGGAAGGCCGTAAGGCATTGCACATCGTCGGCCGCAATGTACTCGGCACGGCCGATCGACTTGAGGTACGCGTGCTCAGGACCGACGGAGTTGTAGTCGAGACCAGCCGAGATCGAGTGCGTGGGCGTGAGTTGACCCATAACATCCTGAATAATGTAGGACGCCGCGCCGTGTACCACACCGGGGACACCCTTGACGAGAGTGGCCGAGTGACCCTCGGTGTCGATGCCGTGGCCACCGGCCTCGACACCGATAAGGCGCACGCTCTTGTCCTCGATGAAGTCGTAGAACGTGCCGATAGCGTTTGAGCCACCACCAACGCACGCTACGACGGCGTCCGGGAGCCCGCCCCACTTCTCAGCGGCCTGGGCCTTGATCTCGCGGCCGATCACGCGCTGGAAGTCACGAACGATGGTCGGGAACGGGTGCGGTCCGATCGCCGAGCCAATGAGGTAGTGCGTCGTGTCGAGACGCGTGACCCACTCGCGCATGGCGTCGTTGACGGCATCCTTGAGCGTCTGCGACCCGGACGTCACAGGAATGACCGTAGCTCCCAGCATCTTGATGCGGAAAACATTCATTTCCTGTCGGCGCACGTCCTCGGCGCCCATGTAGACGACGCACTCCATGCCGAACTTGGCGCAGACCGTGGCAGTCGCAACACCATGCTGCCCGGCGCCCGTCTCAGCGATGATGCGCGTCTTGCCCAAACGCTTAGCAAGAAGGATCTGGCCGATGGCGTTGTTAAGCTTATGCGAGCCAGTGTGGTTCAAGTCCTCGCGCTTGAGCCAGATCTTAGCTCCACCCATCTTCTCGGTCATGCGGTCGGCGTAGTACAGGCTGCTGGGGCGACCAATGTACTCAAACATGTCTTCGTACTCCTGCCAAAACTTGGGATCCTTACTCGCACGGATGTACTCGTCCTCAAGCTCGTTCAAACAAGTGACAAGGGCCTCTGGGACGAACGCGCCGCCAAACGGCCCGAACTTGGACGGAAGCCTCTCGCCAGCCTGAACTGAGAACTCGCTCTTGCCGTCCTCGGTCGAGGGCGGGATGGGGAGCGCGGGTTCGGGCTTGCCCTCCGACTTCCTGCTGTTGAGGCTGGCGCGCGTCACGGCAGGCTCGCCCTTGAGGGTCATGCTGCGGCAGTACGCCTCGAGCGCCGACTCGGACTGGCCCTGAGGGGCCTCACGGACGACCTTGATGACCTTGGAGCCAACAACAACGGCGTCCGCACCCGCAGCGGCGATGAATTCAAAGTGCGTACGGTTGTCGACGCCGAAGCCGACGGCGAGGGGCACAGGGGTGAAGTTTCTGATGCGCTGCAGGAGGTCAGGAAGTGCGACGTTGATCTTGCTGCCCGACGAAGATCCGGTGGTGCCCATCTTCGAGACGACGTAGATGAACGAGTCCGCAATGGTCGCGAGGAACTTGACGCGGTCGATGGTGGTCGAGGGTGCGACGAGAGGGACGTACGACATACCCGTGTCTTTGCAGACGTTGCGGAACTGCATAGCCTCCTCGGGCGGAAGGTCAACAACGATGTAACCGTTGGCGCCGGCGTCTTTGGCGTCCTGGACGGCCTTCTCCTCGCCGTACGCGAGGAACGAGTTGTAATAGCCCATAAAGATGACGGGAGCCTTGAGCCCCTTGGAGCGCGCCTCACGGACGTACTCCAGACACTTGCGGTAGTCGACGCCGTTCTGGATGGCGATCTGGCATGAGCTCGTGGCTTCCATATCGGCGTACAGTATTGGCCTCCTGGATCACGGGCCCGTCAGCCGACGGATCCGAGAAGGGGACGCCGAGCTCAATAATGTCGGCGCCGCCCTTCTCCATCGCGAGCATGAGAGGGACCGTCGCATCGGCGGTAGGGAATCCCGCTGTGAGGAAGGTGACAAACGCCCTGGAGTCAGATGAAGACTGCGGAGGGCTGCGGAGGCTGCGGAATAGACGTGTAGACAAGCAAAGTTAACGTAGTTGCAGCCATCGGCGACATGCTTCGACATGTGGCCGTTGCCGCAAGCCAACCACGGCTGAGACAATGCTGAAGGAGAGTCACCAGCGGGGAGCAGCAAGGAACACGCTTGGACAAAAAAACACGGCCTTGCGCTCTTAATACACTCACGCCTGATCCTGCTGGTTAGCTTCAGGCGAGGACATGGGCTCACCTGCTCCTTCTTGGTCGCGAACACCTGCTTGATAGCCTCGGCCATTGTTGTAGTTGGGGAGGAGGATGGAGAGGAGAGAGGAGAGAAGGTGGGCCGAGATAATAACGAAAGCGCGCTAAGCACGCCAACGACTGCGCGGGGCGGCAGGGCCGGATCTGGGGAGGGTGGAGTGGCCCGAGTCGTCCCTTTTCCGACTCGACATCCGGGCTGTCCGGACGGGACCTTTCCGTTCACACCTATACCCGAGTCCAAATTCGACTCAGAAGGATGTATCCCGGCTGTACGGTCACCTCCACACCCCTGTTCCCACGTGACGTGCTAGAGTGGGGCAGGTGTACATCAGGACTAGGGGTGGAGGTTCTCAAGAAATTCAATCGAGCTCATTCCCTGTCGTCAACAACATCACCATGGCCGCCGAGAACCCCGCAACAGCCACAAGGCGACCACGCAAGCGCCGCCGTCGCGCGGCATCGTACGCGACATCTTCTTCCGAAGACAGCGACGGTGATTCGGGCGACGATAAGGCAGAGGAGAAGATGGACGTGGACGAGGCCTCCAGCTCCGGGTCATCGGTCTCAACATCATCTGAGGAGAGCTCTGACTCGGACTCCTCGGAAAGCTCGGACAGCTCGGACTCCGACTCTGACGAAGACTCGGACTCGGACGCAGATGAGCCAGCTGCCAAGCGCGCCGCCCCGGCAAAGGCCAAGGTGGAACGACCTAGGCAACCCACTCTCTCGCCGTCGCCGCCGCCGCGCGACATACCCTCGTTCCTCCCCGCAAAGGCGGGGGAGGAGGATGACCGCCGCGCCCGCTTTAAGCGAGTGTACATGGAGAAGATGGTTGAGGGGTTCGGTGGAGACTTGGAAACATTGCGTGCAGTAAGTTCGGCACAAGGCCTGGGAGATTGGCCAACGCCCTACATTCACTGGCTCTGGAACATCGCAGCTGACAGCAGTCGGATCCTACTCTCGGTCCCAGCCGACTGCAGCTGCTCATTGACTCGCTGGCCGCCGGCGTCGACGTTTTCGCTGAACCCAACAGCGGTAAGAGCGTGGACGAGGTGGGCGTAATCCTTAACGAGGGAGCCTGAGTGCCATCACCCCTGTCCCTCGATTTGACTTGCGCGTGCTGCACGCTCGACCGCAATCTCGCCCTGCCTCCATCTCGATTCCCCCCTCCCCGCCTATTTCCCGTTGAGCCTCGGCTAGGCGCTGTACACTAGCAATGCATTCATAAGTCATTATCGTCAAAACAACATCAAGATCAATGTCGAAGGTTAACCAAAATTGCACTCTACTTGGGAATTGGAAGAGGGCGTGCAGTTGCAGGCCCGGCGGGTGGTGGCATCGGCTGTGGCACCATGTTGAAGCCCACGCCGCTAGGCGGAGGGGGTATCGGTCCCGGGAAGGCCCCTGGGAACGGCATGACATTGGGGTTGGGCAAGGGGCGTGAGACGGGGGGCGCTGGAGGCGGGGGCATGCCCATGGGAGGCGGCGGTGGGAAGACATAGTTGGTCCATCCGGGCGGGCCTTGCGGTTTCTTCTCACCTCCTTCCTTCTTCTTCTCGTCCTGCCCGTGAGCATGACTCGAGGCTGCAAGACAGACACCTCCAGTCGACACTCGCGACTCACCTTCTTCTCGGCCGGTTTGGCTGGTGGCTTGGCTGGGTATGGCACCACGGCCATGAGGTCGCCGCCACTCTGGCGCGCCTTGTGGAGAAGCAGCTCAGCAAGCTCGTAATGCATGGAGCGACGCGCCTCGCGCAGATCGCCCACCTCCTTGATCAGCACTCTGACCTCGTTGGCGAGCGAGCGACTAAAGTTGTCCATATAACCCGCGAGGTTAAAGGCCACCTGCTCGCGCGCCGCCTTCCTGAACTCATCGACGCTGCTCTTGACCTGATTGGAAAGGTGATCAACGGTGTGGTCTGCCAGCTTGCGTGAAGCTTCGCTTTGCTTCGTGCCTAGCTCCTTCAAAGCGTCCAGCACTGCCTGCGTGCCCTTGGTTTTCTCAACACCGGCGAGAATCTTGTCCAGAATCTCAGATATCTTCTTCTTATCAGCGGCCTTGGTTTCGCGCCTCTTCTTTTGGTCCGCGCTCGCCGCATCGTGCTCCTTCTTCCACCCCTTTTGTTCGGCAGCGTAGCCTTCCTGCCATCAGTTGGGGGCATACCAGCTAACTCACCACAGCTTTCTTGAGATCGGCAAAGGATCCGACCAGCGTCTTCACAAGGGTGATGGCTTCCTTGACACCCTTGTCAATCATCTCGGTATCTTTCTTCTCTCCCTCCTTCGCCGTTTCCTTCTTCTCTCCCTGCTTTGCCCCGTCCTCCTTCTCCCCCGCCTTGGCCTTGTCCTTGCCATCGCCGGCGGGTTTAGCTGTAGCAGCAGTGGCAGCAGCAGTTTCCTGTTTCGTCTTCTCAGCGGCGGCTGCTGCAGGCGCGGGGGTGTTGGCTACTGCGGGAGCGACCATAGGAGCAGGGGCAGGTGCCGCAGGAGCGACAGGCTTCTCCACGGGTTTGCTTTCCACAGGCTTGATCTCTGCCTTCTTCTCTGCGGGCTTGTCCACCGTGGGCGCAGGAGGTGGCGGGACAGGCGGTGGTGCCCCTTGGGGTGCGACGGCGGGGCTCGTGCCGCAATGCTGGCAGCAATGAGGCGCGGTGGGAGCAGGGCCGCTCGGAGGCTGGCTATCTCCGCCAGGTGGCTTAGAGTCGCCAGGAGGCTTGGATTCACTGGATGGGCCACCGGGGGGCTTGCCTCCTGTTTCCTTGCCGGTCTTGGAGCCATCAGCATCCGGTTTGATAGTTGCCGCATCACCGCCGACGTTTGATGCCTCTGTCGCGGGTGGGACGGGCTTGCGACCCGGCTTAGTTGGCAGCGTCTTTCCAGCCCCCTGGCTCGCTGCCTGGTCGGCAGCGCTAGTGGGAAGACCAGTAATCGGCTGAACTGGTGGAACGGGAGTGTTAGGACGCGACGGTGGATCAGCCTTGGTGTCGGTCTTCTGCTTCTCCGAAGTCTTCGTCTCGTCCGTCTTGTCCTTGCCATCGGGCTTCTTGCCGTCTGCGAGTTTCTCGGTCTTGCCCGCGTCTGGGGCCTTCTGGTTGGCCTTGGCTTTGCCCTTGTCAGGAGCAGGGGAGGCAGGTGGGTCAACGGGTACAGGAGCATAGCCGCGGAAGATGAGGCTGTTGCTTCCGTCGCCCATGACCGCTTCCGAGTACACAATCTTGTGACCGGGAGGTGGCGGACTGATAGGAGTGAAATCCTTGACAATGACGTTGGCTCCAGGCGCGGGGCTGTTCCGGCCACCGTTCTTGGCGGGGGAGGCCGTGCCCGTCTTACCGAGCGGTTCGTTGGCGAACGTGACCGTCTTCCCTCCAGTTGATGTGGCGTCGGGTTTGGGCGTCGCGGCAGCAGCTGAAGCCACGGGCGTCGCAGCCGACGAACCCGCTGTCTGGGAGCCTGCGGGAGCCGTCGGTACCGTGGACTCAGGAGACACCTTGGACGATGGTGGTGGCACCGGTGGCGACGTGGCGGGCTTTGTCGCAGTCGTTGTCTCGTTCACCACCTTCAGAGGTGGGTCCAAGCGCTCCGTTACGTCGCTCTTGGGCTCTCCAGCTGTCCCAGAACTCTTGCCTGGAACGGCAGGAGCATTTCCAACGTTAGCCAGCTCCGATACAGGCGTCATGGTGTCGTTCTTGGGCGGGCTTGTGCTCCAAACGGTGGCTGGCTTGGGTCCACCGGCGACAGACCCGGACGGTTCGCCACCCGCCACAGTCGGCGGAACAGGCGCAGGCGCGGCCAATTCAGGCGGAGAAGCGGCGGTGATCTCAGTGGGGCCGGTAGCCTGCGACAGCGGCGAGGGCATTGTGAGCGGTCGGCCGGTGCGCGGGTTCAATATCTTCTTTTCCTTGGTCTCCGTGATTGTCTCGGTCCTTTCCACGTTCCTTTCCGTAGTCCTCTCCGAAGGTGCGTAGAACGATCCCGGTGATGGTCTGGGCTCGTTGTGCAAGGGAATGTGATCCCTCCTAGGAGTCATGTCGCGAAGCAATTTAGCAATGCCGTCTTCGGCGGCCCGAAGGCGGGCGTCGGTCTGGCGCTCCCGCTCACGTGCCTCCTCCTCGGCCTTCTCCTCTGCTGTCGCAGCACGGGGAAGACCTTGCACACCGATGACAACCTTGTCGCCGACCATGACCGTGCCATCTGGGAGGACCCGTCCCTCAACGTGGCAGCCTGCGGGCGAAACGGAGGCGGGGGCACCTGCGTCGGCAGCGCCGCGGACGCCGTCAACGATCTCGCCCGACATGAGTTGAACAGTTCCGTCTGGGAGGACGCGGGCGCTGACGCGCTCAGGGCGGGATTGATCGCGAGTCCGGCTGATGATGTCGAGAACATCCTTGAGTTGCGCACTGACTTCGTCGTTCATGTCCTTCATCTGATCGCTCATGTTGTGGAGGTAGCGTGCCATTTCGTTCTGCTGCTCGCCTTGCGCCTCGCGCATGCGGTACATCTGCCAGTGGTGGTCGTCAGGCTCACCGACCGAAGACATCGACAAGCTGGGAGGAATAGCTGATGGCGGAGCGAGAGACTGTGGTGCATTGGAAGGCAGAACAGAGCGGATCGGAGTGGGGGTGCCGGGGTACGAGGAAGGAGCAGGCGGGACCGTAGACGGGGGAGCAGGAGGCAGGTTGGTAGCGACAGATGCAGCGGGTGGTAAGACGTTGGCCGGGATATTTCTAGTCTCAATGACGGGGTGGGGCGGAATAGTCGGTTGAGAAAGAACGGGCGTGGCGGGTTCGCTGGGAGCGTGCGTCGTGCTCTTGGAAGTCGTTGAGCGGGAGTCCGTTCCGGCGCCGCTGGCGAAGCTGGATCTGGAGCTTGAGACAGTAGAAGCACCGCTTGTCGTATTACCTAGACCATGGTCGGGGGGGATAGCACGGGGTACGAAGCCAGGAGCGAGAGAACCGGGATAGACAGGATGCAAGGCGGGCTGGAAGGCAGCTGCGCCCATCGGCCCGGGAACGGGCGGAGGGATGCCAGCCATCGGAGGACCGCCAACGGGATACGCAGCGCCAGAAGGCTGGTGACCAGGCCGATAATAGCTGCGCGTCATTGGCGGGCCACGGCGGTTTGGTCGCCAACCAGCAGAAAGACCAGGACCAGAAGCAGGGGGAGGAGGACCGGTGCCGCGAGGCAGAGTGGAAGGGGCAGCACCGTGGATTGCGGGACCTGGAGTCATGTCCCGAGTCCTACGTCTGGGGAGGCCGCGGGGATCGTGCTGAGGAGTGGGAAGACCGAGGGTGTTGGGCGTGGGCCCGCGATGCGATGGTCGCAGATGGCCATCCTCGGAAGCGGCATCCTCATACCGCTCCTCCTGCGGCGCACCTCCACTTCGGACTGGCACGGGATGCTGGAGACCTTGCACACCAGGTTCCTCCTCGTACTGCTCATCGTACGCGGTTTGGCCCTCGTACTCGGGCTCGAATCCCTCGGCTCTGTGGCCTTGCTGAGGTGCTCCCGGAGCGCGCTGGCGACGGTAGAACTGTGGCGCCTGAGCGTGCGGGATGTGTGGCTCGCTAGGCGGGTGTGTGGACGGCAGGTCTCTCAAAGCATGTTCGTCGTCAAAGTCGGGCGAGCCGATGTCCTCGTGCAATAGCGACTGAGTAAGGAACGGCGTGCGTTGCGCACCGACTTCGCTGTTGGGCGGGACGCGAATCCCGCTTGCGTCCGACGGCACCATGTCTGCGCCATAGGACCATAATCCCCCGTCCGCATCGTTTTCAGGTGGAGGATAGCTCGCGCGGCGCGGGAGTGAAGAGCTGCGCCCGTGACGCGGGCGCGGACTAGGCGCCCTGGTCAACCCGGTCACGTAGCTGCTGTAGTCTGTCTCTTCCACTCGCTCGCGAATGTTGCGCACGAGGTCAAGGATGAGAGGGATGTCCCTGCTTGTGTCGAGATCGTGTGTGCGCCGCCTGGAGAGCTCTCCGATAATGTCCTCTTGCTGGCCAAGTACTTTTCCCAGCAATATCGAGATGTCATCAAGACGCTGTGTGAATGCGGCAGGAATCACAAGTGGCGGTGGGGTGACCGGCCTGGCCGTTTCGGCGTCCGACTCTGAGGATGTGTCCGAGTGTGAATCAGACGCCGAGTCGCCGTCGCCGATGCCGAAGAAACCTCTATGCCCGTCCTTCGAAGGGACGGGGGGTGGGTCATTGTCAGTATTGGCGACCCTGGCTTCAATCTTGGCCTCCAGGCTGGACCAACTGTTCTCCAAACTGTCGAGCTTGCCGAGCTTGTTCTCAATGCGCTCAAGCTGGCCCTCGATGCGGGTTGTCTGACCTTGCCGCACCTGTTCCTGGCCCTCGAGGTAGTTGACAAGACGCAGCATACTGTAGTCCGGGACAGGTGCGGCAGCAGTGCTCGGTGCCGAGGGAGTGGCAGAGGAGTCATGCGACGACGAGACGTGCGTGGAAGGCGGAGTCGGGTCCGGGGGAGGACCCCGATCGAGCTGAGGGACAGGCTTTCGCCACCCACGCGCGGAGGAGCCAGCAGTAGACTGAGCGGTTGAGATGCTCTGAGGCGTCTGGTAGCTGGAGCTCCCCGCGGCGGTTGTAGTAAGACTTGGAGGCTTAGACGATCCGGCAAGAGATTGCGCGGTGGAAATGCTCGGCGGTGCGCGCTTGTGCACAGAGGGCAGTGAGCCGAGAGACTCGGGGACAGTGTCACACAATGTAGAAGGGGGAGGGGCGCGCATGGAGGCTGGAGGCGCACCCAGAGACTCGGCCATCGTCGGGTACGCCGTTGACGGCGAGGAAGCACGCATCGATTGCGGCGCGGACCCGATGCTCTCAGCGGCAGTCAACACATGGGTTGAGGATGGCAGCCCACGCAGAGAGCGTGGCGGAGTGCCAACGCTCTCAGCAATGGTGGAGAGGTGAGTCGAGGGTGCGGGGGCACGCATCGAGCGCGGAGCGGAACCCAGACTCTCGACAACCGTC